TATTAAATGTAACTTTGAGACTCTGTAAGGGACATGTGCCACTATTTTTGTCCTCACAGGGGCACAATTTCTCTAAACACCAATTAATAATTCACTTGTATGCCAATTAACCCAACTCCTCATTATGCAGGAGCTCAATTATTCTTTGCTTTTGCAGCAACCCTATTAAAACTATATTATTGTAGGTGAGGTCTGAGTCATATTTATAAGGTCAGAGAATGCACAGTAGTAAACTTAACGCAAGGCGGTTTTAATGTGCTGTCTTATATTTAGAGGGATGCAGAATAACTCTTGTTTTTAGGAAGCAGCTCAGCCGTTACTCCAGATCATCATACTGGAAGAAACTGAAACTTAAGTAGGCAACACATTTATGTAGCACAAAAAAACTTTCCAGAATTAACTGCATCATTAAGAAAGATACGTATAGCATTTCCACTAGCTGTAATAGTCTCTATGTAGCAAATTTTGAACACAGCACCATCTGGTGGTTGTTTGCCAATCTTACACTGCACACTCCCTTATTTGATAGAAACTTTTAACAGCAACTACAAGGGCATTTTTATGATTGACAAAGAGCACATGCTGATCTCTCTGCTAGGATGTACAGGAGCAGGAAGCTTGATCTCAAACAGAAAGTACCACATTGGACAGTTAATTCTCCTAGTAGAAATACTGTATCTGTGTCCATGTAACAATAGCATTGGCAGAGGGAGGAATTGTCTAGTCAAGGTAGGCCATGCCCCTTGACCTTTTTGAATAGCTTGTGGGCAAGTATGTATTAACAAGGAACCCTGGAACATGTGCTTGCTCCCGGACTGTGGCAAAGGTGTTGGGGTCAGTGGGAATGCCATCTCCGTGGAACCTACCATTTTCTTAATCACCACACAGCAGCTGTGTTAATGTAAAGAAGAAAACAAGGAATGCAAACAAACAAAAACCCACAATGGAAAATCTTCAGTCAAAGTACAGATAAAGTATTAATAAGTCCCGGATTTACATATAAGCTAAACAAGCTATAGCTTAGGGCCCCACTCTCTTGGGGGCCCCAAAAAAAATTAAAGGGAAAAAAACCGGATGTATATTTCCAAAATATAAGATAAAAAACAAATAAAATGGCTTTAGAGACCTATTAGGTCCATAAGTGACCATATAGCATATATTCAACACAAAAAACAGCGACAATTTGTTGTTGACAAAGGACAGCTGGACATATAAAGGGCCCCAAAACCTTCAGTAGCTTAGGGCCTCATCAAACCTAAATCCGGCCGTATTATCTACTTAAGTAGAAGCACTGAATCAGGGTGACCCAAATATGGGATACTACTGTTGTGAGGGTTATACCAGCAACTGATGGAGGTGTGCTGCGGATGCATTTGAGACATGCCATTGTTGGCGTATTGGATAAAAGAACAACGGGTTGTATATATGAGTGTTTGAGTGTGCTCTTCTGAGCTGATGAACTGAATTTTCCAACAGCTACATGCAGTGCTTTTTTTTCCTAAAGAAAATATTTAGGGGTGCTCTCATTTTGACTCAAGAAAATCACCATTTTAAAGATCAGATCGGGGGAAATACAGTAAATGGAGAAAAGTACAGATTCACAAAATGTTTAGGGGTATGCGTACCCCTGCATCCCCCCAGGAAAAAAAAAACGGGCTACATGTGGTGATTCTGACCAGGCCAGTCTTTCCACTCTTTGACCATTCTCAGCTGAGTTAGCAAGAACGTGGCAACCTGTCTGTTCCACGGCATCATTTACCACACATTGAAAAGATCTGTGGTTAATGTGCAGTTCTGCTCACTCTGCTTAATGCAAACAAGTCAGACCCCAAAATGGACACAAGAATGAGAGACACTGCAAGTAGATCCCACTTGGTAGGCAGGTTGCGTGTACCAACCCTAAATCAGATGAAAACGCTGTGGGTTTTAGCACCCTCATGGCAGCAGGTGGAATTTATTGCACCGTGACCATGACTGCAATTTCACAATGGACTACAATTACCATCAAAACAGAACAGGCTGAAGGAGATCACCAATGTCATCTTGATTCTCCAAAAGGGAGGGAAAACCCAAACATCTTTACTGTAGAAGGAAATAATAAATCAGTTCTGAAAACCATGCATGCATGTGGCAATAAGGGTAATAGGGGACTCAAAAGAAAAACTTGCATCTGCTGTATTTCCCACAGTGAGATTATCTGTAAATTCCTTTCTTGCAGAAAGATAGAAAGGATTTAAACAAGTATGTAAAGCAGTTTTAGCAGTGTTTTCTCCCAGGTAGCTAGATTATGCCAAACCTCCACCAGAGTATAACAATAAAATAATGAACAGGGTGGTGATACAAATGTCTACTGCAATTGACACAAGGTAGTATTATCTTGTGTCGAAAACAACCACCAGAGCAGAAATCTTTTCCATGTTAACATTTTTCCTTCACCTTTGTAGTCTGTTTTTTAGAGAAGCACCACCATTCCCACTTCTGAGAAGTCATCCTTGAACTTCATTCTTTCTCCTTTCTTCAAGATTATTTTTTGGGGGGGTGGGCTGGGGGGTTGTAAATACTTTGTAAACTGTTTTTTTTTCCATTGAGATCCAAAGTTATGGCAATTAAGATACATTAGTGGCACTCCACAGCTCCTGTATTTCCCACTGGCAAAAAATTTAGAGGTTTAAACATTCATTCCCTCTGAAATAGTGCATGCTGTGCTGTCCTGCGGGCTACTGCATCTGAAATGTATAGAAATCAAACTTCCACTAAGAATCAGAAGAGCTGTAGTAAGGGAAACAGCAGGGGACTTTCCAACAATTCTTAGATTTCTAACTTGTCTGAACAGGTTGCACTTGAGCTGGTGTGTGTGTGTGTAGAGGAAACCAAAGTATTTGCTTCTACACTCTGGTAAAGCAGTCAACTAGTCCTTGACCAGGCTCATTGATTTAATAGAAATGTTGAGCAAGCTGGACTCAAGTTTCCCAAAATCCCTTGGCCAAGCGTTCGTCACAGTCAGATGTTGAGGCATACCTCTAGGTAGTTCAAGATTGGGGTCTGTTTTATTTACATCTTTGTTTTTTATTTCCCTTTTGTGTAAATCCCCCTGGGATAGAGATAGATAGATAGATAGATAGATAGATAGATAGATAGATAGATAGATAGATAGATAGAGATATATTGTTACTGAAGGTCAATGGGAAAATATCTTAAATTTTCGTCAAAAAAATCATTCAAATTTTAAGAGGGTAAAATAGGAACATGTTTCTTACAATAAATGTGTAGATCTGTTCTGCCTCCATGCTGCTCTGGTGAGAAAAAACACGAGGAAAACAGCAAAATGTGCTGTTAGAAGCACACACACATTGCACAGGAATATGCAATTTTCCATTTGCCACACTTTTCAGCTGCTACTCCTAACTTAGTAAAAACGTAATCTTAAACTGCTTCTCCCTGTACAATATTCCAGAAATCTAGTCCTCCTTCAGCTTCTTGGCAAGCACTACTTCTTTTGCTCTTGTCATTTTCCACCTCGACTACTATGGCCCCCTCTTCCCTGCCTTTCTGTTGTAGCAACTTAACTCTTCCATTCACAAGTAGGGTAGCATTACTATCTGAAGGCAAATGACACAGCCACCTTGCTAAAGTTAAGTGGGTCTGGTCAGTGCTTGGGAGAAGAAGAGGAGTTTGGATTTGATATCCCGCCTTTCACTCCCTTTAAGGAGTCTCAAAGCGGCTAACATTCTCCTTTCCCTTCCTCCCCCACAACAAACACTCTGTGAGGTGAGTGGGGCTGAGAGACTTCAAAGAAGTGTGACTAGCCCAAGATCACCCAGCAGCTGCATGTGGAGGAACAGGGAATCAAACCCGGTTCACCAGATTACAAGTCTACCGCTCTTAACCACTACACCACACTAGCTTCCTGGGAACCCTTTGTCCACTGGCTTCAAGTTATATAAAAGAAAGGGATGTATATGTAATAAATGAAAACCAAAACTGCCTCAAAAATCACCTCTCATAATTCTTTACCAGGCATACGGCTTACTTCCTTAAGGGTGACCATTCACTGACAGAAGGAATCTGTCAGTAAAACTGAGAAGCAGGTGTTTTTTGGCAATTCCCCCTCCACAGTGCAGTCCCCTTCACCCCTGTATATCTGCTCCAGAGTTGGGAGCCCTTCCAGAGAAGATTTTAGGGGGTGCTGGGCACTTCAAGGAGGAGGATGAATTCCCTCCTTCCCAGTCTTGCAGACACATTCCTTCCATAATAGGAAATCGCTACTGGATACCACCTTTGGCTCTCTCTTCCTACAAAGGTGAAACCCAAGCACATCTAGTTGCCTTTGAACATATTCTTCCTGTTACTCTTATTTATGCATTTATATACAGGCTGCTTTTCAGAACTAATTAAAACAGCTCAAAGGAAACATTAGAAGAAAAGACAGTGTTAAAAATCAAACAAAGCACTACGAATACAAATACACACCAAGATTAAAAGCCAGCGAAACACAGCAAGCACGCAGTAGAAACATAATAATGTCAATCGTAAATTCCCTTACATAATGATAATAAAAATTCAAGTGCCCTCAGAGGGGTTTGCCAGACTTCCCTGGAGAAAGAATTCCACAACTATAGTATCACTACAGAAAATCTCCTCCTGTTTCTAGTGCCCATCAGTCAGATCTTTGCTAATGCTGGAACAGAGAACCAATCTACTTCTACATACCTCTGTCTCTAACACACAGTTTTAGACAGTAAGCTCCTCAGGACAAAGGCTTTTTTTGCTTAACAATACTGCCTAAGTGTGATGTACATTAATAAGTGTGAAGTGCGTTAATACTTGTAACTTAGTAACAAAAGTATGAGGGGCTTGATAGTACACACCTTCATCAGTATCTTGGAGGAACTAAACAGCTAAGAGGGGAAGAACTCACCTGGCAACAGAAACTACAAAAGTGGGAGAATGTTTTCTCACAATTGAAGCAATACATTGCTTAAGAAGTCAAGGACAATGCATTCAAGGTAACTTAAAAGACAATTTAATAGTCAGCCTAATATACAGCTATTAGAATCACCTAAATATCACATAAATTACAAAAGAATTGGTATACAGCATAATAGATTTTTTTAACTATAAAACACATACCTCTGCAGTCCAACAACAATCCTCCCAAAATATCAGTTACAGTCAAACACCAAAAAAGGACATCGCACAACACAATTTCAACTTTTTGAGCTAGAGAAATTGAGGCCAGATTACATTCATTCATTCATGTACATTTAAACTGTAAAATCCCCCCTCCCACCCCCACCAGTTAATCCAGCTCCAGGTGCAATTTCACATGCTTCCATATATTTTCCAGTACAGTTCTCAGAATATTAAAGTGCTTATGTGCACTCTGGTATCATTCATATGCAGATGTGCAATATTAATCATATTTGGACATTTTAGTTCAAAGTCAGTTCAGCCAGTTCAGATTTTTTTTCCAGTGCCAACATTTATACATGTTTCAAAAGCATATTTAGACAATGATTTAGACAATGTGTGTAAATGTTCGTTTGTTCCCAAAACCACTGTTGCTTTCTCTTTCCTGTTGCTGGATTTCACATAAAGATTAATCTCCAACAAACTCTAAATGTACAGGCGTCACTTCTCTAAATGGCAAACAAAAATTAATTTTCTATACCTACATACAAAACTACTCAGAATTGCTACCTAGGGAAGATTAGTAGAAATATTCATAGTATGAATGTTTTTATTTTTTAAAGTATGCATTAACTTCAGCCAACAAAACCACAATTAACAATTACAAATGTGCAGTATTTAGCTCCTGGATATATAATGTAATAATATTTCACAGCTGAATGAGTTCATCACTCTATGCTCCAATTCAATGGTTTACCAGCATGAACAGTACATAGAAAACAGGCAAAACAAAACTGAATGTAAGGCTTTTGGATGGATACGATCTGCAAAAAGCTACACATTGAGTGAATAAATTATTTACTGCTGCCTTCTTCAGCATCTCCAACCTAAACTCTTATTCAAATTCCTTTCCACACAATATGCTACAGAAGGCTCTCTTCAAAAAGATTCACATATGGCCAGATTCAAGCACCCTAAGGACTGGTTCACAACCACACAGATGAGGTCGCCTCTTTTCAGGAATTGAAATCCAATGCTTCTTTTGAGTACCAGCAAGGCACATGGATGTATATGATTGTGTATTAAGCCTCCGGGGTTTTGTCATTGTTGAGTAAAGGCAGTATGTCCACAGAAAGCAAAGTTTTGAGGTAGGGCCACTTGAGAAGGGATATGGGGTGGGTGAGCCAAAGCCACAGTTCCCACCCCTTCAGAATGCCCCGTTCCCAAGTCCTGTTGCCATAGATGCCTCCTCAACCTTTCTGGCTTCTTATTTGGTAACATGCGAGCCAGACAACATAACGGGGGGAGGGGGGCTTAAGTAATTCATTATGTGATTCACTCATAGGTTTTTAAGCATGGCTCACAATTTACTATTATTGTGGAACTAAGCACAAAGCGTGGCAGTTTACCGAATGAATTTGTTTTGGATCAAAAGAAGCTATTGAAACCATACTCTCCAACATTAGTGGGACATAATCAATACAGTCATTCAACTCTCCCTTAAAGCATTCCATTACATCACAATAGATGCTACGTGAGGTCATTTAAAAGGTACCAAACCTGAAGCAGAAGGCACTCAGCAGGGACGGTTATTGCAAATAGTGTAAACTATATAAAAAAAAATTAAAATATGGACAGGTCGAAAGGAGTGTTTTGTATCTGTTGCAGTCCTTTAAAAGGGCCATAATATAAAGGAATTTAGAAGGGTTTCGGCTCATGGTCTATAGTGGTTGTGCCCTCTTCTCTCTCTCTAGATTAGTATTTAATACTGAAATATGTTTCCCTCAAAATCCGTGCAGTATTTTGCACCCTTAGTGACAACCAGTCACATTCCTAAGTGACCCTTATTCAGTTCTGCTATGGCAAACTATGGCCACGGTGCTATACACGCTTATTAAGAAATGCCACAAAACGCAGAGGGACTTATTTCCAGGTAAGCATGCATAGGACCTACTTGTAACCTGCCAAATTGTTCATTCAATCCACAATTTAAGTGAAAATAGTCTCTTCCTAAAATTTAAGCATCTCAAATGGAATGGTATGTAATGTATGGGATACGCAAAAATAGTTCTCCTGTACAATAGAACAAAAATAATTTCAGTTTGAAAATACAGCCTCCATGTGAAAACACAATTATACACAATTTCATAGTTCTGTAAAACTAGTTAGTTAAAATATTTTAACATTTCATAATACCATTATTTTAAATTTCATTTGAATATATGCACCAGGAACCACTAATATCCAAAAATACCAAGAATGAAAATGTTTTGCTATTAAAAAATTATATAATTTAAATTCTTATCAGGTAAGATTGTACATAATTTCCCACAAAATACATTTAAAAGGAGTATTTTCACAAACACATCAGAAGCGATACTAAGAAGTGTCCTTGTGACAAGAGCCAATTTTTCAAAATCAATGTCATTTACAGAGGCTGTAGCTGTGGAGTCATCTTCGTTAGTGTTTACATCAGTCATTCTTCCTTCCAAAGAGACACATTTAAATACTCCTTACGCTACACAAGGGCTCCAATTTCAAGCCCTGTAGGTGCTCTGATATATACACAAAGTTCTCATAATACACAGGTTTTCATATCCACTTCAATTAGAGGTGGGCGTATCTGTTTTTTGCACATAAAATCAACTTGCCTCCTTCATTAGGTGAATAGGGAAGGCCCTGCGTGTACCAGGCATTCCTGTGTACATCCAAGTTCCAACATACACAATAAGCTACAGAATCAGGAAATCTATGAAATAAGAACTTTCACAATTACGTACCCAAGCTTATGCTATTAAAGCATCACTCTACAAGGCTTCCTATGAACAAGAAATGGAAACGAGGAAATTAGTCCATAAACAATGGTGAGAATATACTAACATAAAGGAAAGAATACTATCCCATTCTGAGTTTTTATTCTCTTTTCTGTCCTCCCGTGAAAGTCACATAAGTTCTGAATTCACCATTTCTGCAGTCTACATTTGAATGGGTTACCTTTAGCTGTACTCAGTTTTTAATTTAAAGTACTATTAACTTCCAACTGAATAAAAATAAGTATAATTCTGTTACAATTGCAACTATAAAAACTGAAAATTAAATAGGAGTGCTTTCTGTAAGGTGATCCTACAATGTTCTAGTTACATTAAATAGTGTAAGCAGCACAGCAATGAACAATTATGATACTAATATTACAGAGCACACAGATTACTGCCCTACAGATGTGAAATGGTACAGGACAAGAAAGAATAAATACTTGCCTACATTAGACATACCCATATGTGTGTGTGTGTGTGAGTGTAAAGATTCTTTGTTGAACAGAAAACAGACACAGATAACATAAGCTACTATAGAATAAGCTAATTGTTACAAAGGTAGCTCAATAGGACAGAATAGTGTAACTTTTTCCAGAATATGCTTTAAATTACTTCACAGAACACTGAATTCTCCTAATCACTCTTAAAGATGGTAGTATCACCTTTGACATAGGCTTTTATTAGTTAAGGCTCACTTTATAACCTATGTGAAAACTGTTTATCAATGTAGCATTTGTTTTGATAGAAAACAAAAATCCATGTATATTTACCACATGTTGTTTCCAATTAAAATCAGTATTCTAGTGAACCTTAGAAAGTGAAAACACAAAACTCTGATAAATTTTTATGTCCAATTAGCCTACAAAACACCATACAATGAAACAGTATTAGCAGAACATTGAAATTAATCCTAAAATTGTAGCTTTCCTTCTAAAAAGTTCAGGGGAGGGTGATCAAATGCAGGAGTGAGTGTCTGTTTGCATAATTCCCTTACAGCATTGCTGTAAGGTGCTTCCAAGTGGGGCCTGCTCAGTGACAGCAGCCTCTGGTTCTTGGTAGTTTTGAAGTCAAGCAAAGTGTTCTCCTTAACGGCACAACTAGAAAATGGACATTTGGTTAAAAAGCATTTTCCAGCGATGTGAATTTCAGGAGGTGGTAGAGGATATTTTTTCCTATGCAAATTAAGTAAACTTAATTTACACAGCATAATTTGTGCTAGAATTTTTTCTGATGGCTTATAAAAAGTGATCTAATTTACCTGTGTTTCAAAAACAAAGCTAAAAATGTCAAAACTGCCAAGCTTGCCTTAAACTGTATTTGCAGCTGGCATCTAGTTATTAATAAACTTACAAAAAGGAAAAAATTTCCATGGAAAAAAATAAAGCACTGAAAGAGTTTCCAGAAAATTTTCTGATTTGTACAATTTTCCATCTTGTATCACTGGATTTGACTGCAACCATTTCCACGCTAGACAGATTCTGAAACATGCCCATGAGAATTGCTGTGGGGTGTCATGCTATGTCACCCAGGGAGAAATTCATTGTAGAGCTATGCCAATCACTGATTAGCACAAGTACTTAAGCCAGACAAGACATCCACACTCTACCTCCTACTGCTTTGGGGGGTCTCCTAACACTATAGAGCCATAGGAGCTAACAAAAGTACTTGCACAGGCTTCCACTACCAGGACACATTAGTTGAATGAGGTCCATACTCTCCTTGCTGCCTTTTTTATGTTTATGGAGATGCACATGCTGCCAGAAGGAAGCCCTCTTGTATCAGCCCAACGTTTGCACGATAAGGCCCATTTCAAATGTAACGCTAAGAGAGAAAGCAGACACAAGCCTCGGACTAACAAATTCTCCCCTCCTGTTCGAGCACAAGAAAGCATTTATAGCTACTGTTTATGGTTTGTTCCAAAATGCAGTTTCCCATTATACTGTAATACAGGTAAACTGTGGCTTATTGAAACTACAACATTAAGCCGCAGTGCAATTTTGGTTCGACTGAACTAACTCAGCTTTAAAAAAAAAAATTGAAAATCCTGTATTTGGAATTAACAGAAACTGTGGTTTGTTCCAAAATGTGGGTGTAAGCTTTAAACATCCTCTACTTGAGTCTCTGGCTTCCATCTGCTTGTATTTATCAATGTGTAGTATTATGTCTGATAAAGCAGTCTTTATTCTCACCATAGGCAATTTAATAATTTTGAAGACCCTGGCTTATAATGGCCATTTTTCAACATGAACTTATTTCTAGTGTTCATACATTCCTTGGATGAGAGGATTTCAAGAGGATGCAACTTAAGAGACTGGAGAGCTCTTTAAATACTCTCTCCAACTGCAACCTCTTAAAACTATCTTAACCACTGGTTGTGCAATTTTACAAAACTGCCCACACAATGAATGGCCATAGTACTACCTTATTTTTATAACTGACTTTAGGCATTGTAGACTCACTAGGATATATTATTTTGCTGTTTTTCTGCAATGTCCAAAGCAACTCCTAGTTGAATATCTAAATATAAAGCTTATAAACAAAATAGGGCACAAAATCTGACACAAATGTTTCAAAACAGCATTTAACATCTTTACATGGCAAACAACTCCTATTTCATAAGTTTTGAAAAACTTTTCAATAGCACGCATAATAAATTACACTGTTCGAGTATACTTTTAAGTTTAGCCATGAAAAGAGGAACATACCTACCCAGTTTTAAGAACGAAGCAGTATGATCACCTCACACTAAAATGCTGGTTCATTTAGAATATAGATTTCTAAGTATTTATCCCTCAGAAATGCTCCAGTTCTAAAGATGTAGTAAACACCTAAGGATAATATTCTAATATTCTCCTAATAACCCGTTATTTAGAGATATGGCTCAGTGTTCTGGCTGCATGGACGGACTCTGATTAAGCTAAAAATATTTAAGGGTATGAGAAAGCTCTACCATTTTATCTGACACAAATCATCCCCCAATTTTAGCTAAGCTTCACAAGTTAAATGCAAGTTCCAACGATTACCAGTTAAATCGCATTAGCTTCTCTCTTACTAAACTGTAAGAAACTACAGAATAATTTTCCTGAGTAAGATTATAAAATACTTGATCATCCTACCAAAAGTACAAAGACAAGTAAAATGTAGAACAATACAAACCAACATATAACAGAATCACAAGTGCAGAAATGTTGTTGCTTTTCATTATAATTGGCCCCCAGTAGAAATCATAGCAAAAAGTTTAAGTATCTAAAATATTTTGAAGGACGGTAATTAAATTCTTCAGACCATGAATATAGCCCTCATCGTGTGTGTTGCTGGGGAACACATGCGCAAAATCTATCATCCTGACTTCAACCTCCATGCTTTCTGGCAGCGTAGTAGGCATGTGGCAGAAAACTTTTTCCAGCTGAGGTATAACATTTCCATTCAGATGTTCTTGTGAAAGGCAAGCACTGCTCTTCCATATGTTGTCTTGTTCCACAGTTTCAACTTTAAGGGAAATTTGACTCTGGTGCCTTTTGTGAAGTGCATACATTTTAGAGAAGCCTTTGCCTACAGAGGTCTCTACCTTGCCATTCTCTGTAGAACTGATGACACGAATGTTATTATTATATTCCAATGTACCACCACTTGGCACTTGACCCTTGGACACTCTTCCCTTCTCGACCAGACTGCCATCATTTAACCATGTAGTTGTCATCGGATACAAGCCATCATAGACAAATAGTAAAGAACTTGCATAAAAGTTAAGCTGCTTCTGCTTCTCAAACCACTGCAGTATTTCTTTAATCTTTTGAATACTGGCAGCTACAGCATCTTTTCTCAGGCAGAATCCATTATGGAAAAACTGAGCCACACCTGCAAGAAAGAAACCAGTAAAATTAATAGCCACTGACTGGAAAGTTCAAACTGCAGTATAGCAATGGTGCCTAGCTTCCAAAAAGCAAAATTGACAACAAATTCTCAGCTATTCATATAACAGAATTCAGGTTTAAGTTGCTATTCACAGTCAGCTGATAATATGCCCCCAAAAATTCAGACAAGTGCCCCAATTCAGATTTCCCATCATCAAAATATTAATTGCAATGTTAAAGGTTTCAGAGCAAGTGTGTCCAATTTATTCTCGTGTTCTCTGGTTCAAGTCTCACTTCTTACATGCACTTAAGCAAGCCCTCATCTTTCAGTTTTATCCACCCAATGAACTATGGGAATACTATAGCATGATCACATCTTCCAGACATTTTAATTGCGCAAATTCAATTATACACACTCAGCTCAGGCAGCAGTTGCCTTCTGGGTAACAGTTACAGCAGACGAGTGGGGGGAGACTAAGACAGTAGGGAGGTGAGAGGCAGACAGAGGAAGAAGAAACCCACCTCTCTCAGCTGCATGGTGAGCAGGGAAGTGAGGATGAAAAAAATCCCAGCTGCAGAAGGGAAGAGAAAGGCCAACCCAGAGACATACAGGCAGAAGCAAAAGGCTGGAACAGTATTGCAGCTTCTGCCTGCCTCTTTCCCTGTCTGCCTTTCTCCTCCCTTCTGCAGCTGAAGGAACCAGGTTTCTTCCTTCTCCATCTGTTTCTACTGCTTCCCCACTCGTCTTGCTGCCAAGGCAAGATTTCCTCTTCCCCTGGCAGTGGGGATGCAGGGAGCTCCTCCATGAGATCCCCACCCCCCTTCCAGCAGGCAGTTTTTGACTATGCACAATTCTGCATGTGTGTGCTGCTTCTGAAACAGAACCATTAAGTGAGTTGTGATTGCACTGTACAACTGACCTAGTTTCCAGGATTATTGTGAGAGTTTATAGGAATCACTTTAAACCCTCAAAACATACTATCAGTGCTCAGAACTTATAACTAAAGAGCTGGGACTGCACTATAAAATATTCATGGGGAGCAATCCTATAGCAGGATCTCAAGTTAGGATGAGCAGGTTAGGATCCAGTGCATCTCCATGTGAGTTAGGAGGTTCTTGGCATAGGCAGGCTATGCTGCCTTAACTCCCTCATCCGAAGCTAAGTCAGAGATACACATATTTCCCCCATCCGAGCTCTCCCACCTTTAACCCCAAGTCAGAATGATCCCACTTCCTTCCCTTCCCTGGCAATCCTGCATGCTAGAGGGTTTTATAATATTGTCCTCAATTTTCTTCACTATGAGACAAGCTACACGTAGTTTATAAGCACACAGTCTCGTAATAAAGGCCTAAAATAGTAGTACTACAACCTGGTCTAACTCCAAACATTACCATCTTTTACTGTCTCTTTCGTTAAGCCTCTTCCATAGTGCTGGTTTTGCGTCTCATAGCTGTCAGAATGGGCGCGATAAACCTTAAAACACACAAAATAATAATGTAATTTTGCCATCTGATTTCTGAAAAAATGTCTTTGTCCTAGGACTAGTTCCAATGTACTCTTCAGCATACGAAAGAAGGCTTTTTTTCAAAATGCTTTATCCACACATCTCTGAAACTATTTCATGAGCTGGATCTTTCTAGCAATCCAAACTCAGCAAGTTCACATTGAAAACATCATAAACTTTGTATATTCAGATATAGCTTTTTCAATGGAATAATACATCAGTGAGATGTTATGTTATATACCTCTCTATACTTTACAGTCCAATAACAAGAAACCAGTGCAAATAAAGTTATGGGTGTTCAGAATGTCTAGTCCGATGCCCCAGAATCAACTGGCCTATGTAGTCTTCGGATATAGGCCAGTGACAGAGGATAGCTTAGTATTCTACAGGGGATCTAAACTCAGACATATAAGTTTATGACCAAACATCATTGCAAAACAAGTCTGCCTGGAAAACAATAAACATGCTGCATAAAAATAGAAATCAAATGAATATAAAAATATGTGTGCATATAACCACTAACAGCAGCACATTTAGAAACAAAAAAAATATTATCTAGAATAAGATCACAAAACCAACATTTAAATTATATCCGTTACATGGGACAGCAAATGAACTGATACTTATTTTTCATTCTCAGTAACTACACAAACAGAAGCAGTTGACAGTGCATCCAGCAAGGTCCACCAGAAACCCAGCCAAATGGGCAGGGTATAAATAATAAAAAATATTATTATTATTATTATTATTATTATACAGGCTTCAGGCCATGGTGTTCCAATTAAAATCTCAGAGAGATGCATACAGAAATAGGAAATACAGCATATATATATTTTTGCAATCTATGTCTCTATCCAAATCTGCCCATTTTCATTATATTAAAGGAACAGATTTTTTGCTGACATATTTTATGCCAATCCAGAATGTACATAGGACATTTACTCTGCTACACCAGATCTCAAAGTTAAGCACAAATATAGGGCTGCTTTAACAGGCAGTCTGGGAATGGTTGGAATCCAATTGACTGAAGTCAGCAAGATTATGATAAAGGAATAATACACTTCTCCCACCAAATGTTAATGAACATGTGTTTGGCACTATAAGAAAGCAAATGGACAGCAAAATAATACTAAAGAACTTGAACATCACATACAGTACAGAACATTAATAGCTCCCTAAACACCTATGAACACAGACCAAAAATGCCTGTCCAATTCAAGTGCCAAACAACATCATCCACCTTCAGTAATATACTGATAAAATATGTTAATAACTAGAGCCTCATTGAGGTCTCTATGGGGACCAAACAGAAAACATGTTGTTTCTTTTCTTCTACTTGGCTAGGGAAATTACAATTATAATCTATTGCCTGAAGGCTAATTTTTAAGGTTTTGAATGCGCTTCAGCATCAGAATTCAGTTTATACAGTTAAAAGCCAAATCTTTTACATTAAAAGTCAATTAATGCTTCACTAACACAATGCTATGCAAGACTGTTGCAGTTTATCACCATGCTGCACCAAAGGCCTGAAGGGATTGCCAAGCTACCAACATGTTAGCTCTCTGGAGGACTGCTGTGCACGGCTTAAATTTCTGAATGCAGCCCGTATGAAGTTATGAATATGAAGTTAACAAATCTAGCTATTTGCTGGTGTTATTGAGTAGAACAAGGAAATGGAACGTAAGTATGGGGTGCAAGAGGCGGAACTACTGAGAATATAATATGATAAAGGAGGAAGGATAGAGCTGTATGAGAAAACCAGGGAGATAAAAAGAAATATATTATCAAAGTCCACATCTAGACAAAGTACAATCTTTTTTATAAAAAGAAAAAAGAAAATCTTGAAGATGCTGTTCAGATTATTGTTCTCAAAAGAGAAATCAATAATAGGTCTTCCTTTGGATCGCCAACCCTACCCACTTCTTTTCTCATTATTATTATTAATGAGAAGTTAATGCAGATTGTCTCAGTTCAGTCACCTACATCTCCCTGCAATAAGGGAAGCAGGGAATACGGCATGACAGAAAACATTCAAACCCAAAGCATGCTGACTCCTAATATCTTTCCGTGGGGAAAATATCATCTATATACACAAAGTATCAAATGTGGTGACAGTGATAATAATACAACAAAACAACACCACCACAAACTGGCTTATAAGTATAAAACCAAATTTACTAGAATAATAGCTAGAATAGAGAAAGACTTATAACCATTCAAACACCAAACATACTAAGGCGCCATGTGCAAGAAAAAGCCTGGAGATACTGTAAACATGGAGTGGATAAATGTACAACTCTATCTTAACAAGTTACATGTACAGTAAACGTTATACAGACTGGATAAATGAACCGTTCAAAAAGTAGCGTAAGTCCAATCACGGAACGGCAACCCCGTGCCACCACAACGGCAAGGGTAGCACACTGGAGAATATGAAAAAGTTTTTCAAAGCTGTTTTTCAAAGATTGAACTGGATGAGATGTTCTTCAATGGGTCTTGAGTTGGAAACACAAAGCCGTGTACATGGATCAATCACGGGAAGGAAAATCAAAGCCACCACCCTGGTGAGAATAACGCAAGTAGGCAAAAGGAGCTCGGGGTCGCATAACTAGTTAGCATGCCAGTCTCATTCGTTATCTGGCACTGGATGTTACCCTTGCCGTTGTGGCGGCACGGTGTTGCCATTCCATGATTGGACTTATGCTACTAGTTGAACGGTTCATTTATCCAGTCTATATAACATTTACTGTACATGTAACTTGTTAAGATAGAGTTGTACATTTATCCACTCCATGTTTACAGTATCTCCAGGCTTTGTCTTGCACATGGCACCTTAGTATGTTTGTTGTTTGAATGGTTATAAGTCTATCTCTATTCTAGCTATTATTCTAGTAAATTTGGTTTTATACTTATAAGCCAGTTTGTGGTGGTGTTGTTTTGTTGAAAATATCATCTAAACATAATTTTAGTTGCCCCCATGTTGTCAAGAGCATAAAAAGATTTAAAATCCAATGAAGAACTGCATCTTACCCTCATGCCTAGCACCAAGAACCCAATTTCTTCCATTAATGGGTACTTGCTGACTTGTTGCTTAATCTTCTCAGCGGAAGCATATGGATCATAGCTTTTCTGGCCTATTTTTACATCCATTATACATGGCTTTTTAAATCTGTGTGTCACATCTTCCAGTTTCAGGTACAAATCTGTTAACAATTCAGAATAAACCAGATCAATGTCATAATCTAACCAACCCAATCATTAGAGGTCAGTGGAAAGTACACAAGCACAGGAGTGGCTCAAAGATGGCGTCTTCCTGGTGGGGGTATATTACAACAAACATTATATTAACCATCTAATTCCCAACAATTATTCCTTTTAGTCTGTGATTTTATTTCATTGTGTCTATTTTTATATTCCTTCTCACTATCAGACAGTGTTGTGTAAGTTAATATAATAGTAGTGTTTTATAAATTATTTTTATTATGAAATCTGCTGTCCAGGTCAGATTCAGCCTCCTGTGTAAGAACGTAAGTAATTACAGTAACCATCCTTTCAATGAAGCAAATTGTAACTAACATTCTGAGAAAGTATAAAATGTTAAAAGATAATAATAAGCCCTTTAGCATGCTTTAAATTGCCAACGTTAATTCTTGGCGGTGGTCATCTTATTATCTTCCTGCAAGACTACTGTACCCTACTAGTGTAACCCCTGTTGCTGTGAGCAGTAGAAGGTGTATTTTGACATACAAATTCTGCAATAGACCTAAATATGTTAAACTGGATCTTACTGAAGAATCAATTGAGTTTGCAGAAAACAGCCCTTATTTACATGACATTTTTCCATCTACAAAGCATAGCAATACATTGTTTCATGATGTTCCACATGATAGTGATTTATCACGCTGTGCTCGGGTACTTAGTTTCTGGTATTTTCAGAACCATCTCCCAAGCAGTTGCCAAAAAAGTTAGTGCTTATTGCACTGTCTAACAGCATTACCATTGGGTGCAGTAGGTGATGACCAGGTTCCATAATATTTTGGCAAATATTTTTGGAGTTCTAGAAACACAGAGTCTTCACAGTCAGCAGCATACACCTGAAATAAAAGAAATATGTTTGAACTGCAACAAACCACTCAATTCCCTCTTGTGGCAGACTACATTTGGATATTTAGAACTTATGGGGGAAATTCAACATCATGCTAAGGTAATCTTCAGCACAAGCATTTCGGCTTGCCAGATGGAACAATTCCTTCTCGTACCCCTGCACACTGTCTCAGTGCTTCTTCCAACCACCACCACCCAACCAGTTTCAGGGGTACACAACATAAAGACCTTGCCCAGGGCTTCCACTAACAGGACTTGTTAGTTGAATCTTACTCTCTGTATGTTTAAAACCTCACACTCAATGAGAAATATCCATTTAGAAAGGAAACAAAGTGTCTCTCAGAATAAATGCTGTAAATTGTGCCAGAACATTTGACTACTGTTAAGTCTTTTATTTAAAAAAAAAAGTATTTGCTATCAAAAAAACCCCACCCCAAATTGAAATTCAGAGTTTGACAGCACTAAAGCACACAAATGTGTGCTTAGGGATCCTGTGCAGCATGAGTCAATCTAATTAAAACATTCTTAGGTGTACTAGTGGCAGGATGGGGCACAGGGAGACAGGTCTGGCCTCCCTTTCACCTTCAGTTATGGCAAAATCAAGTATGAGGAGGATAACCTTTCAGTGATGAATTAATCAACTGCATTCTCCCACCTCACCCCAAATTCCTAAACTAAATGGCCTTTAAAAGATTATATTGGATTGGTATAACCCTAGAAAGCATCCAGTAAATACAGGAACTCTTAACATAGCCTACCAACTGTGGGTTTACGCTTCTAAGTAGGGGAGGAGGAGGAGGGGAAGGGGAAGTAGAGTGGACTGCAAAACTTGTGTACTGTAACATTAGCAGCTTTATCATTGACTGAATTTGTAAAACAATTAAAGTGCATTGTTTCTACTGCCATAAGATACCTGATTTTTGTTAGAGGATGCAATTATTTATTTTGTTCATGACTTGTCATTCAATTGCAGCAAAGCCACACCATCAATGACGAACAGAAGGAATATTAAAACATGCAACTCAACAACTAATTCCTAATGTGACACCAATGCAATTTTAAATTTCTTTATTCATTATTAAATTTTGACCCTTAGTTGGCAATAACTGCAGAGGCAAAATGCTGAGCAAATACTTTTCAGAGACAGAATGACAGTCAGTCCTGTTATTCTAGTTACACTTAAAAAGGAAATGAACAAGACCATACAACTGAGTTGCTGGATTTACAAATTACTGTTGTCCATTATATATACTTATAAAGGAAAAAATGCCTTCAAACTCTTGTCTGCCTGAACTATTGGATTTTCTGTCACCAAGAGAAACCAGGTGACAGATCACAGGCTGCCTTGCCTGTCTCCTATGTAGGTCAGGAAAAAGCTGAAGCTTGCTAACAGGTTAATTTTAGGACTCTAAGTTATTATTGTTAACACACTACAAACTCTGGTGAATTTATTCCTTTTCCAAATCCCCCACCCCCTAAAAACCAAGTCAATATAGGCATCCAGCTATAGGAATAGTAAAATAATCAAATTACTTATGCTGAAGAAGTTATAAGGTCTGATTAGCAGAAAAAAATACTTTGTTATAGGAGACATTTCCTAAATGAGGATCACACTGTCTTTGGCTTTAATAGGGAATGGAATCATTTGCAACCAAATGTTTCAGCACAAACTGTTCCAAGAGCTCATATATTAATGAACTATTTACATTTTCTCTCCACGTGCACACTAATGTTACTTTAGGCAACTCTGGTAGAAAGTACATAATCCACTCTGACTCAACCAAACATATGTTGTAATTTCATTCCCCAAGAATGGTTTCAACATTTATTTGCAATATTAGTTTGTTCTACTGACAACCAAAATTTAACTTCAAAGATGTGCCATCTATGCCATGAGATCCAGTAACTAGCTATATAGCCCCAGGTTCCTGTACAGTGATTTCAAGGAAACAGGGTAGCAGGAGCATTCTAGCACCCCCTTAACCAACCTGGCTTTTACTCCAATATCACACTTTATTTGGTGCAATGTACCACTCCCTCTTCAATGCATAAACCAGTCTTCGTTCCTCCAGAGTCTCCATGCCTAAATAGCCCCCTAGCATGAAGCTCATTTATGGAATACAGTTATACCTCGGGTTGTGAATGCTGCAGGTTGTGTGTTTTCGGGTTACAGACTGCGCCGAACCCGGAAGTACCAGAACGGGTTACTTCCAGGTTTTGGCGCTCGCGCATGCGCAGAAACACTAAATCACACTTTGCGCATAAGCACCGAATCGCGTCACGTGCGTGCAAAGATGCGGCGCTGCGGGTTGCGAACGTGCCTCCCGCATGGATCATGCTCGCAACCCAAGCTTTGACTGTATAGAAAAACAAGGAGAAAGTTATGGATAGATGCCCAGCAACCAGATAGGCACATGATGAAACTACCAGTGTGCCTGCTGTGTACACAAGATGACCTCTGAGACTGTCAATAAAGGGATGCACACCAACATTACTGACAGTGGAAGACATCAAACACTAGTCATACTCAAGACCCACTGATGTCAAAAGCTCCACAGTATGTCATCTTCCTCCCATATATATAATCAGTCTCTGGTACTGATCAAGACTACCATATTGAGTTTGCCATTTAGAGTATGTACTAAGTTGGGACAGTAAGGTTATGCACACAGGTTCCCAGTGATAATTAAACAGAGGGGTGCTTCAATTCAACCAAAAAAAAAGCATAACTTCAGTTAGAGGATGAATTAGAAAACAATTACCTTGTTATAGAATTCTAGTTCTCTGGGCCCTCGAGGTGCTGGCTGCAATTGTTTGAGGACTGTGCCATCAGGATGCTGCAGGATGCCTGGGAAACAACAAATGCATTTGTTCACATCTTAACTTCAGCATGCTTTTGAGTCCAACTATGGTAACATAATCTAGTATATATACTAAATGTTCAAAAAAACCCAAAAGTTCTTGTTAGGGGGAAAAGTAAGAGTTCGTGTTAGGAAGCAGCTTTCTTTAAATGAAATCAATAAAACAGAGAAAATACACCTTACCTTTAGAGTCTGGTACTTCTCCTGAAGACCAGGCAAATCTTTCACACATTGGCCTGGTTTGCATGTAATGCTAAGCCATGATTTGTTTAACAAATCAGTAGTTAACCATAAATTACACTGGTCAACAACAAATTTGTTGTCTGCGTTTTTTCAGCTGATTTAGAATGAATCTGATGTGCTGAATCCAAAAATCACATTGGTTTTGCTCAATCAGGTCAAGTTTTTGAGCTATGGCCACATGTCTTTTTTTACGTTTTTGTTCACATGTACGCTTGTGTGGAGCATTTTAGAAGAAGTTGGTGGAGGTAAAATGCCTTGTCAAATAATTGTTTTGATTGGAAATGATTATTTTAATGACAAGAAGTATTCATGTCCGATAGTTCTGGGTGATTATGTTGAAAAGGGATCAGTTTGAAGTCATAAAACCTCGAAATCTTCCATAAATTGGTCCAGCAAAGCATAAAGTTGGGGGATCAAAACTAAGTTAATGGGGCAGCCGCCCCACGAAGTATCCTGATCTTCAATCAGCACGTCGTCCTGTAGCTCATTGTGATGAAATTCCAGTGCCTATCTTCGGAGAACTTCCTGACATTAGTGACGAAGATGCCTCCAGTGTTGAAGGACATGAAGAAGAAGAAGTGGTTCTTGAAGATGATGCTCCACATCCATTTTCCCAAAAGGAGTTGAATGATCTAGTTCGCGACCTCAGCTTGTCAAAGGACTCTGCCGAACTGTTGGCATCCAGATTGAAGGAAAAAAACCTCCTCTCTGACAGTGCTCGCATCAGCTTCTTGCACAACAGGCATCAAGAGTACCTCCGTTTTTTCTCGGAAGAGAAGGACTTGGTGTACTGTGCAGATATTTCACAGCTTCTGCTCAAGCTTGGAGTGCCACAGTATGAACCCAAAGATTGGAGACTGTTCATTGACAGCAGCAAGCGATCACTGAAATGTGTTCTGCTACACAACGGCAACCAGTTTGCCTCTATACCCCTAGCTCACTCGAGTACACTGAAGGAGAACTATGAAGCGGTGAAGTATGTGCTGGAGAAAATTGGTTATGATCAGCATAAGTGGTTTATTTGTGTTGACCTGAAGATGGTGAACTTTTTGTTGGGACAACAGTCTGGCTTCACCAAGTACCCATGTTTTCTGTGCATGTGGGATAGTAGGGACCGTGCTCAGCATTACACGAAGAAGGACTGGCCTGTGCAGGAGGAATTGGTGCCTTGCAAAGAAAGGAACGTCATCAACGACCCTCTCGTGGACAGAGACAGAATACTCTTCCCACCGCTGCACATCAAGCTCGGCTTAATCAAGCAGTTCACCAAGGCTCTGGACAAGGATGGTGACTGCTTCATTTACTTGTGCCAGGTTTTTCCAGGATTGACCATGGAGAAGTTGAAAGCTGGCATCTTTGACGGTCCTCAGATCCGTCAGCTCATCAGAGATCCAGAGTTCGGAAACTCAATGAACGAAGTGGAACTGGAAGCGTGGAAGGCATTTGTTCTGGTAGTGAAGAACTTTCTTGGCAACAATAAGGCCAGAAACTACGCAGAACTTGTCAACAACATGCTGACTGCTTTCAGAAACCTGGGCTGCAACATGAGCGTCAAGATGCACTACCTATTTTCACATATGGACCAGTTTCCTGAGAACCTGGGTTCAATGAGTGACGAGCAGGGGGAGAGATTCCATCAGGGCATGAAAGAGATGTAGACCAGGTATCAGGGTCGCTGGGACGCAGTCATGATGGCTGACTACTGTTGGACTCTGAAGAGAGACCTCCGTGCTGCTGAGCATTCCAGGAGTTCCAAGAAACAGAAGTTCAAGCCCTGAAGTTTGAAAAATGGTGAAGCAACATGCAATTTACGTGTACTTACCTTTGTCAATGCCCACCATTCAGTTTACAGAAAACCTGACCTGATGGAGAGAAACGGATGCCATTTCCTGATTCAGCAGTGCAAAAATACCCTAAATCAGTTGTAGAAATCTAGACAACATTCAAAAAGTAAAAAATTGTTGCCCAGTGTTATCCCACAGATTTGTCAAACTATGGTTTGTTTCTCCAAAGTTTGGTCTGTTTCCCATCTGCTCTAGCCTCATGCATTTGTGAGTATCTGGAGTGGAGTAGCCAAGCAAACTATGGCTAAGGAAAGTGCTGAGCACACATGTAATGCCAAGCCATAGCAAAAACGAAGACAAGCAACAAGCCATAGCTTCAAATCATGGATGACTGGCAATAAGGAAACAATAGATAAGCTGCTGGGAAGGGTTCACACGTAATGCTGAGCCATAGCCTAGCTACACAAGAACCAGGACAAATGTGAAGCAAGAGTTTTGTTCTTTTGCAGCTAACTTCTATGCTATTTTTCAATCACCAAAACAGTGTTAGTTCTGAACAGTTTCATCTCACTGAAGTTTCTTCACAGCAGTGGTAACTTAAAATTTAATCCTTAAACATTCATTTGCAACTACTGGAATAATTAGTTTGAATCCGAATGAAACTTCAATGTCATGTCGTTTTTTTCCTTTCTAATGATGTTATTCAAGACATTCAAGACAGGCAATATTAATACAATCACAACAATCACAACATCACAAATTAAAATTGAGACTCATTCTAGGCTGCAGTATTACCATTAACGGTAACTACAATAAATGTTATCTCCACTAGTTGAAAAATAACCAAGGCTTCTATTTAGTAATGGTTATAGCTATAAAAATCAGCCTTTGGACTTTATTATTAGTAAAAGTAAAACTTTAGCTTCTAGGTAAAATTGCACATAATGTTATTTTCAGCAATAAATCTTTGTTGTTATCACGGTCACATTATGCAACCCTGAGTGAAGCCACAATCAAAACCACTTTGTCAGACAAGCAAAATATGAGTGTTTACCCCTTCCCACCTCTATTATAAATTCCCTTTATTAAGAATTTTAAGTAATCAGAGCACATGTCAGAACAGCCTTTTTCTAGTGTAGTGGAGAGAGCAACTCTCATAGGAATCTCTCCACCTTTTGAAATTCTGTGTGTGCTAGCAACTAGGGAAAGGCAATTTAAGGTAAGAAGCTGGGACAGTGATAAGAGAAGTAAGATCTTCTCAGTGATGACCCCAATACTTCATAATTATTTGCTCATGAAAGACTACTGCAGCCCAAGTTTGTTTATTTTTCGAAAGCAAAGTTTTACTACAACAAAATTTTAATTGGGAAACTTAAAGGGGTATTTTAATGTGCTCCACTGTTTCAACAGTTTAATAGTGGAATATATAGGCTGTCGTGTTTACTTTTTTGTATTTGTGATTCTGTGATTTTATGTATGGAAACCATACATAAAGCCCTGCTGGATCTGATCAAAGGACTCCAGTTCAGTATTATGCTTCCCACAGTGGCTACTAGATGCCTATGGGAAGCCCATGAGCAGGACATAACTGCAGTAGCACTATCTTCCAACTCTACAATTTTAGGATTCTCTGATTCAATCCTATTATTATACCCAGCTGGCATTCAGAAGCATACATACTAGCTCTGATACTGGAGGAAATATAGCCAGCACAACAAAAAGCCATTGATATTCTTATATCCCAAGAAAACCTATGAAATAAGTATAAATATAATATAGAATGATATAGCAGGTCTCACCTTATGAATATGTGAAGTGTTTAAAAAGTATCTTTAATTCACAGAACTCTTAATATACATGACACTCCACAGTAACAATATAAAATCAAGGAGCTTATAATCTAAATTTCAGCAGCGAGGAGGAGTTGGGAGAACAGAAAAATACATGGGATGGAATAAAATACAGTTACACTAACATACAGAGGGCTGTAAGCACTCTGCACTTAAAAAATAAACCCTGAAAATCTGCACCAAGGTAACCCCAGATCTGCATCACACACACGAAAATATCTTGTGATCTGTGTGAGTTATGCAAGTGTACGAAAGTTGCTTATTTTCTTGTTTTAAATATCATTCAGTCACCACTTTAGGTTCTAAGATTCCAGAAGGCATTAACCATGCATTTTCATACCTATATTTGTAGTCAACAAGGGCTACAAACACTTTTTTAAAAAAATCTGGAAGCTAAATTCTGTATCCACTACCACGTACATGCCAGAGCCCTGAACTTAACTTCTTATAATCCATGCAGATTTGTTATTCCTGAAGTTGACTGCAACAGGGATAGCTCTCAATCATGGTCCCCCCCCCCCCCCTAGAGAAGAGACACACATTATGACCTTAGAAGGATGTTGGCTTAAGCAGAAGTCAGTGAGGAAGGTTAATCATGAAAATTACAGCTAAACAATCTATGTTCTCACTTAAAAACCCTCTCCTTTCAGGTGCAAACCAGTTTTCTTGTGAAATCCTTGCTTTCAGTTGTTCCATTTGAACCTATGCTTTTATAACTATCTGCATTTCATGGGTAAACAATGTTATAAAAATGAATAATTGCATCTTATAAAAATATAAAGATGCATATGCAAGAATATGATGGGGATGAATATTTACATGTTGAGCTTGAACATGTGTAAGACCCAGTTTCAAATTCCTGCTCAGCTTCGAAATTTATTGCACAGCCTTGGGCAAATCACCCTCTATCAGTTTAACCTGAATCATGACATTGTTTTGGTGCTAAAACACATTGCTATGAGCTTCCTGGAAGAAAGGATAGGGTGCAAATACAAGAAATGTCGATTTTCACCACTTTTTGAACTTAGTACGAGTACTCTACAAGTGTGAATGAGTTAAGAGAAACCATCTAGTGCGTTTACTGAAGAAAAGGGGGCATACATCAATCAAGTGATCTACAACTTGCTAGAGGGCCTTCTCAGCAACAGCACCCAGGTTATTTATTCAAATCATTTCTATATGTAATTTTTTGTTTTTGAAATCTCAATAAATATCATTTTAAAAAAAATCATTTTATTTAGGGAAAAAAAAAAAATAGAAGAACCTAGCTAGGAAAGAAAAATAGAACAACCAGAATCTGTCCCTTGTAACGGCATCTTATATATGCACATGTAAAGCCCCTCTAGTTGCCATATAAATCACTTTAAATGGCACAATCTCTTTAAGTTCCTCATTGTATTCATGTCCATTTGCCACAAAACACAATGTGAATACAAGGATAAACACATTTTCTGCAGTGATGAAATTTCTCTCTAATGAATGCCAAATCTTCTGTTTACTCAAAACAGGAGTACATCAGTGTGTTTATTCTTCATGCAATTTGTTTCCTGTAGAAATCCAAAACAAGATTTCGCAATTAAAGTAACTGCTTTTGGGATTTCTGGAGCAGAATCGCAGGCATTATTTTCCAAACCTACCAATCCAATTTCCTTTTTTCTTCAGGTGGGGTGGTGACGAGAGAATCAGGTCATTTCCCTAGCTTCAAAACTTCCTATTCATAAACATTAAACCTACAAAACACCTCAGATTAAGACTACATGCTTAGGTATCAACGAGCAGGGAGGTCATATTATTAGAAAACCAAATTAACACAGAAAAATGTGCGGCAGCAAACACAACAAAGACACCATAAAAGAAAGTGCTTTAAACAGCTTATTAGGCAGGAGAATGTGTCATTTCATTATTGCTCCATTAGTACAATAAAGGGAAAAAAATTTTTTATTGTAAACCACCAAGGTGTATACAAACAGACAGTAGAATACCACTGTGTTATTTTGTAAGGAAAAAAGCAAGCTTAAGTTCTGCATGGATTTCAAAAACCTGTAAATTCTACTTTTGAAAATCCATTTCAGAGCATCATTTTCAGCTGTCATATACAGTAACACACCCTGTCCTTCCTACACATATTGCTCAAGATGGCTTACAATTAACATGCCTATTTTTAATTAATACTATTGTTGCATAGAGCCACAGCCAGTAGTCTTTCTCAGGTGGGTTAAGGGGCTGGATTAGGGGAGCCTGGGAAGACCACTCAGCCATAAAATAAAAAGTCACTAGAAGACCTCAAAGCGGTCTCTCGCCGGATTGGGGCGGGGGGGGGGGGCGACGACAAAATTAAGCAACCCCACGCGTGCAAGGGACGTCTTGAATATTACACGGCTCAGAGAGAGGGCTGTCAGAAAGAGACGTAAGCAACCCCAGCGTATCACCCACAACATTAAGGACACACCGATGTCGTAAGTAAAAACAAAACTCGCCCTGGTATTATTATTTAACATTAGGGCACTGGATCCCACACACCAAAAACACGCACGCGCGTGCATAAACGTGCATATACACACACACTTGGAAACGTTGAGGGGAATAACACCCAAAGCAGAAAAAACCGGACTTTGGTTGCTTTGTATCCAGGTCCAAACCCACCCTAATTCCTGAGCGCAGACCCAAGGGACTTGGGTTGGGGGGTACCTGAGCAGCCCCACTTCCCTCCCGCCCCACTTCCCACTCCCTGCCGAAGGGGTGCAGGGGGGGGTCCCGGCTTCCTGCCTCCCCTAAGGACCCCCACCCACCCACCCACCCCAGGCCTGCCACTTACCGCCCTTATCCTTGCCGTACATGTGCCCAGCCACCTGGTGAGACAGCGGCACGCAGCCGTTGAGCAGCCGGGCGCTCCTCCCTCCTCCTCCTTCCTCTTCTCCCTCCGCCGCCGCCGACGACGCGGAGCCCGGAGGCACGTCTGCCTTGGCGCCCCGAAGAAGCCGCTCGGGCTCCCTGCTCGCCGCACAGCGCGGGGGCTCGGTGGCCATTTCCTCGGAGGCTCCCGCCGCCGCCGCCACGTCCTCCTTCTCCCCGCCTTCAAGGGCCTCCTCCGCCGTTGCCTCCACTGCCGCCGCCCGCCGTTCGCAGCCCAGGCCAGGCCCGCGGCTCCATGGCGTGCGCCCCCGCCCGCAGTGCTTCCACTCCCTCAGGCGAGCGGAGCGGAGGCTTCCCTCGGCCACCTCAACCGCTCGGGTCGACTGACTAAGCGGCACTGAGGAGAGAGAGAGAGAGGCAGCACCTCGGCGTTACTGGGCCTGCGCGGCTCGCAGCGAGCCTGCGCAGTAGCGGCGACTGAAGCCGCTCGTCCCTGGCTTGGGTGGGGGGCGGCTTCTGAATGGTTTTCCCTACGCGGCTATTCGGAACGCGAGGAAGAGGCAGCGCTGCTGTTATCAAGGGCACAGCGCTACCTGACAGCCGCGCCCTTCTGTGCGGTGGTAGACTTTCCCTCTAAGCTCAGAGGTCCAGGGCCGACCCAAGACCTTTTGGCACCTGAGAATGGTGCCCCCTTCTCCGCCAGGGAAGATCTACTACATCAGGAGCAATCAGGCGTGCCAACTTGGATAAAATATTGGTATTGAATAATTGGATATTGAATTGAATTGGTAGTGGATTGAATATTGAATAAAATATTGGCACAGGTAAGCTCTGCCCCACATCTGATGCAGTGCACAAACAGCACCTGAATGGCAATGCCCATCAACTTTGGGGGTGCCCGGCCCCCTCCAATATTTTATTGGGGGCAAAGGGACCTTGGCCCCTGGGAGTTGGTTCCTATGGGAGCAATGGAGAGATAAAGCTCTCAACCGGGATCTACTGATTAGCAGACCTTCCAAGTGTCCCTGTTTTCCAGGGACAGTCCCGGATTTACAGAAGCTGTCTCAGTTTCTGATTTGATCCCAGAAAGACCCACTTTTCCTTAAGATGTCCATGTTTTCATCGGAGAAATGTTGGAGGGCATGCACCCCATGAGTGGGCCAGTCCTACTGTTGTCTAGGGAGTGGTGAGAGGGAGAAAGCACTCTGTATGTGCTCTGTGGAAGAGAGGTCCCAGTACATATTATTTTTACGGGACTGAGCTCTAGTAATAAACCACAAGTTCTGCTACAAACTAAACTCTGCCATAGTGGACTCCAACTCCGCTCTCATCAGCCCAAGCCTATCATGGTCAATTGTTAGATATAATGGAAATTGAAGTTCAGCAACATCGAGGATCAAAGGTTCCCCACGCCTGGTCTGACAAAGCTCAGTTTTAAAATAAATAAATTTTAAATAAGGCTCAAAGTGAAGGCCATGAGTGAAGTCTCACTGTGAGCAAAGTTGCTCTCCTCACACTGGTAGCCTTTTTTTAGCCTTTAGACTTCTGCTAGATAGCTAGAGGATACATTTCTGGTAAGCACACTTAAAGGTAAAGGTAAAGGGACCCCTGACCATTAGGTCCAGTCGTGACCTACTCTGGAGTTGCAGCACTCATCTCGCTTTATTGGCTAAGGAAGCCGGCATACAGCTTCCAGGTCATGTGGCCAGCATGACTAAGCCACTTCTGGCGAACCAGAGCAGCACACGGAGACACCGTTTACCTTCCCGCCGGAGCGGTACCTATTTATCTACTTGCACTTTGACGTGCTTTCAAACTGCTAGGTTGGCAGGAGCAGGGACCGAGCAACGGGAGCTCACCCCGTTGCGCGGATTCGAACCACCGTCCTTCTGATTGGCAAGTCCTAGGCTTTGTGGTTTAACCCACAGCGCCACCCACGTCCCTGTAAGCACACTTACTAAGCTGTAAATGCCCCATTGGACTTACTTTGAGTAAATATGTTTAGTAACGCAGAGCATCCAAGTCACAGTCCTGAATTCACCATTTCCTACTTGACCCATTAAGCACCGTGATATTGCAAGAGAGCAGGGATTCTGCAGGTGGGATGGCAAGATGGAGGAAAGGTTCACACAACAGACCAAGGGACACTCTGAGAGAACAGTTAAGAGTGTTGAACTAGGAGTGATTAAAATCCCCACTCAGCTTTGAAACTCACTAGATAACCTTGGGCCAATCACTTCATCTCCATCTAATCTCCTTCACAGGGTTGTTGATCTGATAAAGGGGAGGGGAACCTGTGTGTTTCACTTAGCTCCTTGGAGGAACAGGGACAGAAATATAGCAAGTAAAATCAGTTTGAATGATATGTGAAACTATGCCACAAGTATGCATTTAAAATATGGCAATTGAAATATGGGTAGTTTCTTCCACCAGCTTTTGCTCCATATGTGTAATATATCTCCATTTCCTAATAAAGAGTTCAGTTCACAAGTCTGACACTATAAAATTCAGAGACTTTGTAGCTAGGAAACTGAACAGGACACCCTGAGCAGAAGACAGGAAGAGAAAAGGGCATTATCTTCTCTCAGTTTGAGAAGGAACCACGCCCCCACCCAAAAAAAATTGTCTGTCAACAGATTAAAATCTTCATATTTTCCTAATTAACAATTTCCTGTTTTGTGAGAGGCTTGGCCCAGCAGGATCTTTATAGGGTTAATGTCAATAACTTTGTTGCTCCAGTTGCAATGACTACCAATTAGTTTATTTGCATAAGTCAACATGCTACATATTATGTTTAAAACCATAAATGGCTTGGGACCAAAATACATAAAGAACCTGTCCTATCAAGATGGTGTATTTGACAGGAATACTGCCCTTCCCTTTAACTGCACCGAAGCTGTGGAACTCCCTGCCTGGACTCCACCTTACCATCTTTTCACCACTGAGAGCAATCTTAAAACACAAGAAGCTGGTATAAATTGAACCAACATAAACTAAGTCAGCAAACGTACACCAGATCCAAATGCCATTCAGGACTAGGCTGAACTGCCCTAACCTGGAAGAGGGAAAACAAGCATTTAAATTGAGTTACACCACTCTTTTCGTTGCCTTAATTTACTCCAGGTTACATAACCAACATGGATGTGATTAGGATTCAGCCTAGGTTTCACTCCCTTCTGTCCTGCCCCCCCACCCCTTTTTCAGAGTTTACATGGACACAGGTGGCGCTGTGGGTTAAACCACAGAGCCTAGGACTTGCCGATCAGAAGGTCGGCGGTTCGAATCTCCGCGACGGGGTTAGCTCCTGTTGCTCGGTCCCTGCTCCTGCCAACCTCGCAATTCGAAAGCACATCAAAGTGCAAGTAGATAAATAGGTACCGCTCTGGGGGAAGGTAAACGGCATTTCTGTGCGCTGCTCTGATTCACCAGAAGTGGCTTAGTCATGCTGGCCACATGACCCGGAAGCTGTACGCCAGCTCCCTTGGCCAATAAAGCAAGATGAGCGCACCAACCCCAGAGTCAGTCACGACTGGACCTAACAGTCAGGGGTCCCTTTACCTTTACCTTTTAAGATCCAATAGGGTCTGCTGAGCCAGGATTGAGGAGATATGCTTGCCTATCTCTGGCTGAGCCAGGTTAAGGGAGTTAAGCTGATCAGCTGGATCCTAACCCCACTCATCCTGGCAGATCTAGCCTTAGAATTGTGCCCCAAGCCTTGTTTAGGCAATTGTTTTGTTAGGTAAACCAATTTTTACTTTTTGCTCTTTTCTTGATTCTCTCTCGACTTTATTTGATTGCATTTGTATAATAACAGTTTCAATGTCTTTTAAAGTTTTCTGTAAGCGCCCCAGGATGCTACATAACAAAAAGACAGGACACAAATGCTTCTGCATGTAAAATATCTGAAATACAGTAGAAGCTGCAGCGTTACTAACAGACAACAAGGACTATCACAAATGTAAGTTGCTACAATGCTGAAACCCTGGCTGCTGCCAAATAGTAATGACTGCCTGCAACTATTTATTCACAAGATTTGCAGTACTAGAAGTGATTTAATTATTCAGCATCATAAATTTAACTCAAGGTTGTTAAAGGAGTCACACACTGGCAAGAAAAGGCTACATGTAATATCTGCCCAATAGCAGTGAACAAATTGTGCTGTAGACTCAGCAGTCTCATACTGACGCACACTATCTGTGGTACTCAGAGTTCTCAGTGTTTAATGCCTTCCTCTTATGCACTCAAAAAAAAAAAAAAAAATGCCTTTACTATTTCCTCCAGAGCATAGAGGGGCCCACAACTAAATGAAGGGTTAGAGTCAGGGCAAAACAAGAGCTCAGTCCCAGAAAAAATTTTTTTTACTAAACAGAATACTTTTTGTTAATGGTCTGCTGTATGTTGGGAGTGAAGCTTTCTTGCTGTTGAAACCTAATAGTCACAGGTAGGACTGAGAGCAATAGTTCAGAGTCCAAGGAATCTGGTTGGAGCCCTAGAGCAACTGTTAGGTAAATGGGCAGTGGGTGTTTCCCATTAGGCTGGGTAGACACCTTCTCAATGCGGAACGGATAACTTTAAAAACTGCATACCAAATAATGCCACCTTGTGCAAACAGAATTCTCTCGCCTGGAATGGTCTGCAACTTTTCTAGACTTAAATGTAAAAATCCTGCAAGCGACCTTGTTTTACTCAACCTGCTTTTTGTAATACATCAGTACATCATCGTCATTCTTGTGTAGCACATTTAATTGACCTCTGCCTAGGGGTACAGTTATCAGTTTATTCGTTTTTATTAAATTTCTACATTGCCCTTTATCAGAGGATCACAGGACGGTTTGCAATATAAAAACACAAAAATGCATACCATAGCAACAACCAAAAACAATTCCCCTGCCACACACACATTTCAAAAGCCATATATTGTTTAATTAGCCAAAGACCTGGGTGAAGAGGAATGTTTTTCATATATAATGAAAATGCCACGTGAGCCTCCCTGGGGAGAGTATTCCACAAGTGGGGAGCCACTACAGATAAAACCCATTCCCTTGTTGCCACCCTCCAGACGTCTTATGTAGGTGACACATGAAGAAGGGTCTCAGATGATGATTGTGGGGTCAGTTCATACGGGGAGAGGTGGTTCTTGGGGTATTGTATTCCTGGGCCTTTATAGGTCAAAACCAGCATTTTGAATTGGGCCCAGAAATTGGTAGTCAGTGCAGTCAGGCCAGGATTGGCGTTTTATGCTCCCTAAGTGGAGGCTTCTGCAGTGTGGCAGAGGAAATATCTTTTGTTGGCAAAGAGGCCAAAAATAAGTGTGCCAGGGGCAGAATGAAAAGCCACTTCATTTCCCCAACGCACCCCTGAAAGGGGGCAAAATCTATGCCAGCCCTGGAGCCAGTGTAATTTCCCTTCCTGTTGAAAAACAACAACCTGGGGGGCACAGGAAAAGCACCTCCTTCACCTTCTGCTGTAAAAGCAAGCAGAAGGGCTTTGAAATGGTAGTTCTTCTGCCATGCAGTCTCCCACCACTACCACTGTAGGATTACTCTGCATTATGGATCCAATGTTATACCCACCCATTGCGAAATAAGATGCAATTAATCAATGAATTTCTTAGCAGACGTGTATAGGATTATGCTTTAAGCTGACATAATTTTGCATGGGGGAAAATGCTCTCATATTATTTATGTCTTACGCAAAAGCATTCATAAGTAAATACCAACTATTAGTAGGTCAAAAATGCTTCCTTAAAATAAATTCCGTTTTTTTTTAATGCTTTCATTACATTTTGAGGCCCTATTCCTAGCGCACCATGTTTGAAGTAGGTGAAGAAATATGCCACTTGGTTAAAAAATAACAACTAAAATGAGTCATTTCATTGTTATATTGCTTGTGGATGTGAACAATAAAGACAGCTTACAACAGCTTATTTGAAAATAATTTAATGTATTATCTTCCCATACATAGTTCTGAGTACATTCGAAAGGTCTTTTTTTTTAATACACTTAATGAGAATGTACATTTTACAAGACAAAACAAAAGCAAGGTCACAAGTATTCATTCCTAACATACATTGTAGTGTTTAAGCAAGGCAAACACCATGAATTATATCAGTTGCAGCATACTGTATACCACACATCTAAAAATCTTCAGTGAAATGACTTAAGACCTCATTTTTACACCAATTACAAGTGAGCAGAAAACACTGCAATATGGTTGTTTGTGCGGTGTCCACATCATTCATCATTTATGCATCTTTTCTCTTGATGATCAGAGGTCCCACATTGTCTCCCGTTTCATCATTATGGTTTGTATGAGACCCATCACATAATGGAAACTAGGGAGGAAAAAATGCCTTAAATTTACTTTTTTATATACAGCAAATAGCAATTCACAAACAACAAGGAAACCTAAGAGTGGCCTGATTTATACCAAGTCATGGTTTGTTTAGCTTAAGTGTTGTTGACTTGAAAATCTGAATGCAGCCCAGTGGATAGCCATAATTTATTTTCTGGCAAGAAAATCAGAATGTAATGCTATGGTTTGTAGTTGGTTTATAAATCACTGATTTTAAAGACTATGGTTGGCATTATTTCTCAACCCAACGGCCTTGCTTAACCATGGTTTGTTTGACTATTCCTTCCCAGGTACCTGCCAAACTACAGGCCCACAAGATCAGCACAGGTGGAAAACAAGTTGCACTTTGGAGAACCAAGTCACAGTGTATTTTCTTAACTGTGAAACCAACACATGGTTGGCTAAGCAAACCATGATTAATACAAACCATGGTCTTGAGTTAAATGCTGTTTACAGCCAATGCTGAAGAAATTTGGCTATGCTACCATCTAGTAATTTAGTAGGCCATCAGAAGGTATCACAGTTCCTGTGCTGATATGACAGAAGACTTGTCCGTACTAAACTTAGACCTAGATTCAACTAACCCACTGCACTAGCAGAAGCCAGCAATGGGGCTTCTACCCTCTCCTCCCCCAAAATCTATTCTGGAGAGTCAGGAGAATCCCAAAAACAGCACATTGGGGTGGGGTGGGGCTGGGGGGGGGGGAAGAGCAGGGTCATTCTGCCTGGCTTGCAAAAATGCTTACATTCACAGGACCATCAAAAAAGTGCAATTTTCAATTCCTGCCATTATAAATAAAATACATTTGTCTGAGGACTAGTATCAACATTTGGCCTTGAAAACAAGGACAGGATCAAAGTATTTCAACATATTTGATCAACATTTCTGCTTTATTATACAACCACTGCTACAATTTACACTATAATAATTCCTTTTTTGCTTCTAACATTGAACAACCTATTCTCCTGTTGCAATATTTCTTTTCCCACTATAACCTACCCCTCTCAGTTGTCTTAAAATATGAATGCTTAAACATCAATATTCAATGGTGTTTACTCTTATGTTACATGCTCTCAAGAGGAAACCTTCCTCATATGGAAAATTGCTTTGATTCTAGAAATAGCCGATTATTGGACTTTCCTTCAATGGCTGCTTCTAATTCAGTTATTCCTTCTGATTCTTCATGATGAACTAAAAGTAAGTACTTTGGCTGTGGAGGGTTCAGCTAATTTGTAATTTAAAAGTTACAAGATATATGCCATTTTCTTCTCTTACCTTCTTAGACCTCCAACACCGGCAGTACACAGCTTTCTCCCCCAAATCTTCCATATCAAATGCATGAACTACCTTTGGGTTATCTTTCTGGATATGGAGATTTACCATCCCATTACAGCATCTGTCCTTGCTGATAAATTTTTTGTAAGCAAGATATCCAATGGCTGCCGCTCCAGCAGCAAACGTAACGGCTGCAATCCATTCAACTGAAACAGAAATATGGAGAAATTGTTAGAGAGCACTCACTAAGGCCTTTTGTGCGAACTGGTGCTGAGAAGTTACTGTCTGACAGAATTTTCATTTTCTCCTCATACAAACTTCATAGCATTTAGGAGGGTTTAATCTGCGTTCCCAAACTGCCAGAATATAAACTGAAAGCACTCTTTCCCATGCATGTCTACTCACTAAACACAGAAAGATTTTGCTTCCAAAGTGTGCACAGGATTAGCGCCTTAGGGTTACATCTAATGTTAGACCTATTCTGAATACAGATATTGAAATTAATGGACATAGTTAACATGAGTCCATTGATTTCAGTGGGTCTAGCTCCAAGTAAAACCTAGTTGGATTCAACCCCTAAAATGCTATTCTAAACCAAGTGGTGAGTTTGATCAAGTTCAAATATACGATTGTAGCTTTAGTTTTTGTTCTGACACTCATGGAAAGGAACCACCTCATTTCTTTTGTGTAGACCCAGTAGAAGGGGTAAATAAACTTTGGAATACTAGAAATCGTGTTTCCCTTCTCAAGGAAATGATTAACCCTCAAGACTTCTTCCCCCTCTCTATGCAACTTAGGGCACAACCATTTCCAAGTACGGTAAGTACTATTTTCAAAAGGTCAAAAATGTAGCTAACACAGGACTTTAAGGAATGCCAAAATGAGAAACAAGTAAGTTAGATCTAAAGAGTTACATAGAACTACATATTGAGACAAGAGATAACCTGGAAATGGTTCTAATAGGAAGAGAAGGAATTCCAATATTATCCGGCAGGTAAAAATAAGGTCACTAGTACATTTATTTATTATTAATCTAGTACTCTGTTGAGGAAAGAGAAGTCAACCTATTCATCAATCACAATCATTGACACAATACATGTTACTAGCTTCCAGGCTAACCAGAGGTGATTAACTTTGCAAACAAGCAAATATTTCCCAATTAAAAATTCTAAAAATCCCACTGACTGCATTGGGATTTATGTGTTTGGATTAGCAACCCTGAAGATGCAATCTTGTGCAATAATTCTTTATACCTTGTCCACACTGTTATTTCAACAGAAGGCATTACGTTGAATCAGGAGTTCCACTAAAGTAGGAGTAGGAACATTTTTAGCCCAGCAGGCCAGATTGTTATCTCCCCCATCTGTCAATCAGCTGATGTCACAATGAGGTCCACTGGCCTTTTTTGCTCAGAGGTGGTCTTCAGAACCCTTTCTCAAAACACTATTTTGTGCAGGGCTTTGAAAGGGGCTTCTGACAATCAGCCAATTATTGGATCTTCAGAAGTTCCTTTCAAAGTGCTGATCAGCAGTGCAAATAAACACACTTTCAGCTAAACCAGGTTTTCACCTGCCCTGACCTCATGCACAGCATCAGGTACAGAGAAAGTTACTGCAGCTTGGCCAAAACGGTCTCATAGGCCAAATGAGGATGCCTGGTAGGCCTAATCAGGCCTGCCAGCTGGAAGTTCTCCACCCCTGCACTAAAGCAAGGGGGGCAGTCAACACAACCAACATATTTACCCTAGAAGCTTCAGCAGGGCTTCCAGGCAGACCAAAAATATTCCAGAGTGTAGGAAGCTTAAGCTCCACCAACTGGTCCCTAACACCTATGTGCAAATCCATAACACTTTTATCTGGACCAGCTTAAGAACAAAAACCAGAAGTGGGCTGCTTTTGCAGAATCATCACAGAATTCTTCTCAAGCTCAGTATTAAATGAAGGGAGGTGGGAAGAGATAAAGTTGTTAGCGAAGACATGGTAGAAAGTTGTGTTTACAATGTGTGGTCGCAGTATGAAGGCAGTGTTTTAGAAAGACTGACTACCGTTAGAATCAAAATGTTTTGAGAACACCCAGTTCTTTTTCTGCAGAAAATGTTCCATTCCAGAAGCTCATTAGTAATACAGAATAGATGCCATTAGCCAGACTTGGAGGTTTCGGAGTTTTTAGCTTTGTCTACTAAAGAAAAGTAAGATAAGCATGTTGAATTAGGTTATTCTCTAGATCTGGGACATCAGAAAATTTACTAAAGCAAATGGAAGATTTTCTCATTTGCAAATTACCCTAATTTACAAAAGAATTTTCCCTATAAAAATTGTCTGGAAAAATCCTATCACACAACCGGAGATATTTTATGCTGAGCAGAGAATAAGACTAAGCTCTGCAAAAGGCTTCCTGGACAACCATCTTGGAAACTGCAACATATTGGAGGGCATGGCAGAAACTCCATCTGCACCAAAAGTATTCTATTTACTCCCTCTTCTTTATCTCTGCCTGCCTTGTATATCATATACAAAAGGAATGAGCTATATAACATATGATCCCGACAGGCACCTGCCAAAAATGCTGGACAGAGACACCTACAAAAAATTACAACTCTGGGTGTGCATCAGGTGTCCTTAGAGATGTGAATGCCCAGAAATTAAGGCCTGAAATTGGGAGACTTGACATGGAGTAGGGAATAACACAAATACTGAAAACAGCTATTACAGCAATAGTGCTTTATTTAGTGTTGTTGTACAGCACCCGGCTGCTTTATCCTGTTTTTCATCACAAGATGACAGTTTTGCTCTACATATCCTGGAACTTGAAAGATTGTTACTTATCCAGGATCAAAGAATAGTTAGGTCCCTTTAGATTCTGAACAAGCTTCCTCAAACTCAGCCCTCCATATGTTTTGAGACTACAATTCCCATCATCCCTGACCACTGGTCCTGCTAGCTAGGAATCATGGGAGTTGTAGGCCAAAAAAAAAAATAAATCTGGCGGGCCGAGTTTGAGGAATCCTGCTTTAGAATCTTTTCTTCTTTTCAAAGCTGGGCAATAGTTTTCCAAAATATGAATTAGCAATCAGCACCCTTAGTTGATGTTGGTTTGCTAAATCTTACAAGTAAAAACAGGAGAGAATCCCAGCCAGTTTCTGACTATGTGCCAAGTGCCCTCTGATCACTATTGACCAAAAAGCCAGCCCTCGCATCAAAGTGCGCCTTTTAGGCAAACGAAACCCTGAAGCCTCTCCCCTTAGGAGCAGGCGCCTGAATGCAACCTTTCTCAAACCGACACCTAGTTACATTTCCCCCAGCAGGAGCACTAAACTACCCCACTAATCCCCAAAGGTATTAGTTAAAGGCGCTTCAAGGGCGTCCACCACGAGCAGTTCAGAGGCCGAGCTTCACCACGCCCCCTTCCAAAAAGAGCCAAATTCCGGCTAGGAACGCGGGGCCTCAGCTTAAAGACCCGAGACAACAATTCCAGCAGCCGAAATGCTTGGCATTTGCAGCGCAGTCACGAGTTCCTTTGTTCTCGGCGCAGAAGCGAGCGGGAGAGGCAGAGGTCAGGCAGGGAAACCCGGCTGTCGGAAGTGCGCGGCGCCCGAGGGCTCCCGCGGAGCAAGCAGGTGCGGGGAGAAAGGCGAGCGCTTGGCCAACGCCTGCGAAGATGAGCCGAGGAGGGAAGGAGGAAGAAGCCTCGGGGCATCGCTGCTGCTGCGCAGCGCAACGCTCCACAGCGGCGACCGGAGCCCTGGAGGGGAAAGAACTGCTGAAGGTCACTGCAAATAAAAGCCTAGGGGAGCTGCAGAGGTCGCAGGTGCAAAACTGCTCGCCCCCTATACAGTCAGGCTGGGTCCACTTTATGAAAAAAAGACTATGCCCCGCCCGCCTCGTTGCAGGCGCCGCATTCCCGGAGCCTTTTCTCTTTCCCCGGCCGTGAAGATGCCTGTTTTTACGGGGAAAGAGAACTGCATGGCACACAGGGCCCCGCGCTAAGGTAACAGGTCTCTCTCTTTCGGTTGGCAACGCGGGTAAAAGGGAGGAAAGAATTGCTCGGGAACCACGGAGAAACCCACATAACCCGCCCCCTAAACGCCCCCCCTTGCAAGGGCGCCGCTGCAATCCCGCGACCTTGCACGCTCTTACCCCGCACGGAGGAATTCGACCCGAGCCCCATGACTGCAGCCCCGGACGCACGCCGCGCGGCCACCCTCTGAGGCTCCGGCGAAGGGCGCGCGAGGCGGGGCGAGGGAAGTGACACCCGGCGGCGACGCGCCTGCGCGCCAGGGCTTTTAACATGGCGCCGGCCGGCCGGGGGCGGCCTCTCTGCTTCAAGGGGCGGGGCAAGCGCTGCAAAACCACCCAGCGCGGCTCTAGCAGGAAGGGTGGAGGGAGGTCAGGGGTCGGGAGTGAAATCGCCTGCGGCTGGAGACTTAGAGACCTCGGGGGTGGTCGGGAGGATTAAAGGAGAAGGGGAGGAGGAAGAACAGTCAATGCCACCCTGAGCATAAATGCTACAAATGCGAGAAGCAGCTGAATAAATGAGCCGGGAAAGATTTGGGGGACAGATTTGCTTCAGGATGAGAACAGAAATCGTGCTCCTGCGGCGCGGCAGCAGCGGGAGGCCCCATTAGCTAAAGTGGTGCTTCAAGTTAAGAACAGTTTCAGGTTAAGTACGGCCCTCCGGAACCAATTAATTACTTAACCTAAGGCCACACTGTACCCAGATTATTTGGAAAAGTAGATCTACTATTATGTAACTGGTGAGGATGGGCTGAACAACCCCAACTTTCACACATATGCAGCAAAAAGAAAAATAAAGAAAATCAGTAGAATAGCCTATGCAGTCTTCCAATACCAGTTGTGTAGTGTGCAGGATAGTGGTATCTATGGTTTCACTGTTGTGGTGAACTAATGCCAATTTGCATATATTAAGAATGAAATCTCATATTTATTATTTTGTCTTCACCGCATGTTCCAAGTAGCCCTGCTACCTCTTTCTTGTAAAAGGTTCTGCTTTGCAGATACATGACACACAAATTCCATAGCAGACTTCCTCAGCCTTGTGTCTTCCAGATTTTTGGATTACTACTCCCATCATCCCTCACCATCAAGCTATGCTGGCTGGTGCTGATGAATTATCAAGTCCAAAACATCTGGATAGTACCAGGATGGGAAAGGCTGCTTAATGGAGATGTTGATTGTCTGTCTGCCATGCAATACTGTTGATTATTAGGCAGCTATTTAAAGGTACAGAAAGTCAAGCAGGAAAAATAAGTAAATATTGCTTTCAGAGATTCAAGGATGCAATTTCAGAACCCATAGGTGCATTTCCACTCACTGTACTGCTTGCTTCAAGACAACTGAGTTACTTTCACAGCGTCAAACAAACTATTTTCTAAGCCAACATCAACTTTTAAATAAAAGCATCACACAGCTCTCTTTGTCTCTGAGGCCTCTGTCTTTTTAGACCAAAAGAATTGTGCCTTGCTCTTTACCAGTTGCTGGTTTCTCTCATGAAGCACAACAAAATTCAAGCTCCATCTAATGGCTTCCACCGTGTTTCCCTGTTGACCTACCTCTTCTCGGAATATATGCAATAATTACTTATGGAGCTTCAAATCATATTTTGCTGAGGAGGGATGCCTATGATGCCATGTAGCAGCAAATCAGCCCTAATGCTCTTAACCTTTAAAGTCACCCCTCCCACCAGTATTTTGCCGCGTGGGGGGCTGCTCCCGACCAATTCCGGGTCCTGCCGTCATCACCCACCTCCCCGGAGCAGAACCGCGCGGGGGTCGCCGCAGCCGCCGGGGCGCCTCTGGAACTACACGCCCCAGAATGCAGCGCGGGGGCGTCAGGAGGCGGTGGGCGGGGCGTGGAAGTCTATTAGTAGAAGCGGAAACAAAAGACCCTTCGATTGGGAGCGGAGAGGCACCTCGGCCTCGGCCTTAACACGCCCCGTGAGAGCCCGGCCCCCTCCTGGAGCAGCCAACGCCGTCGCCGCCTCCTCCTCCTCTCTCTTCCCCCCTCTCGCAGCTTCCCCAGACCGGCCCGCCCGCATCCCCGGCTCCCCATGGCGCTGAAACGGATACAGAAGGTGAGAGCACCCGAGTGGGCCGGGCCGGGCTGGGCTGCTGGCCGTCCGTTGGGAACTGGGTGAGCTTCGAGCCGCCCGGGCCTCGGGGGGTTAGTAATAGACAGGCGAGGAGCGCGCTTTGGGGCTGAGGGGATGCGCAGGTCTCGCGAGGGGCCGGAGGAGGTGGGGGGAGTGATGGCTGAGGGGGGGAATGTGGGCCTATATGGAGGGGCTTAAGGGCGGGGGGGGGGCTCGGTTGAGACCACCCTCCGCCCCCTTTTTTTAAATATAGAAGATGGCATGTATATTTTCACGGACACCTTCAGGGAAGCCGTAAGGGTCCCGTCTTATTTCTGCAATGGTTTAGGCAAGCGCTTGGGGGTCACTGAAAAATCCTTCGTTAAGCTGACAGCCCCCCCCCCCCCCATAGGCAAGCCTTATATATTCGCGTTTGTACCAATACAATGGTATAGCAGCTTTTTTTTCCTGGACTGTACCACTTCGGATGGGAGGGAGGCAGAGGGGTACAGCGTGTGCTTATTACCTACCCTCCGCACACAACACACACGCATCACATCAGAACAGGAAAACAAGGGTTACCGTATCTAGTTAGGCCATCGAAATGCTTTAGCATCCAGGATTGCTCTTTGCATTTGCGTTTATGTCATGGTCATAATCAGCCGCCTTGTGCCACCAGTTAGTGGAAAGGTGAGATATAAATTCAACAAATAATAATAAATCCCCAGGAGAACATTTGCACATACAGAGGCTTCCAATCCACCAGCAATCTGAATTAATGTAGCCCAGGAACAAGAAGTAAGGTCTTAGTGAATTGTCTTATTCCAGGCTGCCAAGTGTGGAAATGGGTGCAAAAGAATGCTTGGGGAAATGCATACTGAGACGTCATTATGTTGCTCCACAGGCATGGAATAGATTTTTGTGTGTGTGTGGCTGGGATAGTTTGAGAAGTTCATTCTGCAGCTTCTCCCCACACCATGGTCAGCATTTGGGAAATTGGGCCAATGCTGGCAAGGGGAGTTCAGTGCGAGTTCTTCCAGCTATGTTCTGGACTTCTTCCATTACAAAGCAGGAATAAATATTGATGCAGTAGTTAGCATGCAGCTAGAACAGTATGATATTTAAACCTCACTAGTTCACATTCAAGCCAATTGTCCTGGAAGGTTTGGAGGACTCACACCAGTGAGGAAACTAGATAAGAACTCAATTGTCTCCAAAACAACAAGAAGCTCCAGATTTCACCCAAACATAACTAAGTTCAGTGCCACCTACTGAGTAGACCATATAACGACACAATCCACACATTAATTAAAAATGTGTTAAGTGGGTGGGCTCCTGCTCTACCATTTAGCTTGTAGCTTTGTTGAAACACTAATCCTTAGTAGCAATTGGGAGTGTACATGGATACCGTGCTGGCAATGCTTTCTGGTTGATGTAATGAGGGCAGAGAGAGACTTGTGGCTTGGGATAACAGGGTGTAATTTTGTGTATTCCCCTAAAATGGATGGAGACAGATGACAGTTCCCATCATCCTGACCATACTGGCTGGGACTGATGAGAGTTGGGAGTCTAACATAATCTCCACCTCTTGCCCCCAAATATTAGGGGTCTAAAACCTGCCTCACTGAAAGAGCATTCTGTGGTCCATTTGCTTTGAAATGTCCCTGTGTTCTACCTTTTCCCTTGGTAGTCATCATTGCTGCTAATGCCATTTATGGAGGGAGGATTTCTTGTTTCTAACTTGTTTTCCACATGAATGATATGCTTCAGTACTTGCTAATAGTCTAAAAAAAGAAAGGGATATTCAAATGTTGTCCTCGTCAAGTGAATGTTAATAGTGAAAAGCTAGGGAAGGTGAAGGACTGAGAAACTGAAGGTTTGCCAAAAAGGAGGCAAGCTCTATAGATGTTACAGCTATCAGTAATTGGTGTCACTTAACACAGTTTCTTTGTGAATGTAGATAAGGGGAACTACTTAACACCATTTCTGAAATTGTGTTCAACGTGCAAGAAGAATTGACATCTCTGACTCATTGTCTACCCAAGGTGATGTCTCATTGCAACAGACGCAGTCAGTTGACTTTTGGGAGATTCTCTTTGACAGGAGATCTAGGACAGGAAAAAGTACTTTGTCATACACTGCATAGCTAATTTATGGAACTCACTGCCATAAGATGCGCTGATGACCACCAACTTAGATAGCCATACGTTTGTCTCTAATCTCTTTTGACAGCTATCAATGCCACCTAGTTATGAAGGCTATATGCTGTTTCTAGGATCAAATGTAATAGGCCTCTGAATAAGAGTTGCTGGGGAACAACAGTGGGAGAGGCCTTTTGCCCTGTTTGTGGGCATCCTACAGGCTTCTAGCTGGCCACTGTGGGAAACAGGATAGGGCTTGGCTTGATCCAGCAGGGCTGTTTTTATAACTCTTCAGCTTTACTTTGTTGTTCTGGGAGCAGCTTACTGCTTAGGGCATTTTACAAATGTGCCAAGGCTGCAATCCTAACTACATTTACTTGGAAGTAAGCCCCACTGAAATCAGGACTCACTTCAAAGATACAGTAGTTAGGAATGGGCATTTAGAATACTTTGGGTATAGGAAATATTCCCTTGCAGACGTTCTTAATGCATAGAGCAGGAGTTCCCAAACTGTGGTCTGCAGACAAGCTTCATTCAGGTAGTCTGCAGCATGTCTGTAAAAATACAATTTAAACTTGTACAACAACATCTGGCACAATGCACTACAATTGCTATGATAGGCAGGAAAAAAAGTAAGTGGTTCACCAAGACCTTCAACAATTTTCAAGTAGTCCATGGGAGAAAAGTTTTGAACCACTGGCATAGAGAGTGAAATAGGTATTTTTAATTCAGTTGCACATTTTAACAAGGTATGAGCAGAACTACCTGAGTAAATTTTGGGTGCTGGTATGATTTCTACAGTTCACCTATATTGAGGGGTGCTGTGTCTACTAGCTTCATTGCCTTTCAGACTCTCCCTTAAGAGATTTGTGGTACACTTTAAAGACCCACAGTCCAACCAAGGTAAATACCAACCAACACTGGATTGAGGGGCATCCATCATGTGTGTCTAGCACAGATGGAGTAGCTCTTATTCCAAGGCATCTGATCAACAAAGGAATAGTAGTATTTCCACCCTATGCTGGATTTGAAATGTTCATCACAAGGGAGGCAAACACCACCCTTTGCTTCCCTGTATTCTGGAATGAGCCTGGATAGTTTTAGTCAGTATCATAAGATTATTCATGATTGGTCTGTAGTATTCTCTTCTGTTGTATTCTCAGCACTTTTCCCATCTTGGTCAGCTGAACTTTAGGGCCTTAGGCAGAAATCCTTGTCATTGTAAGATACTTTCTCTTGTTACGCTTCTGATAGATTTGTATTTGACCAATAACTGATGACACTTGATCAGTCAAACTTCAATCCTACTACCTGGTCAGTGACAAGGAGCAAACTATATGTGACTGCAACTCTCCATTATAATTTCAGTGATAGGCTATGGCTGTCATTTTTTACACAACCTCAGGGTAAGTCTAACTGAGACTTAATTCTGAGTACTATGCATAGGACTGTGCTGCAAGACTATCTTAGTTACCCAAGCTTTTAATTAAAAGCAAATTCTTTTACTATAATATAAAGGGTTTTATAAAATAGTATGCTGCATTTTGATATTTGACATGTTGTTGTTGTAATGCTGGTTGTAAATAGCCCTGAGGCCTTTTCATAGTGGAAAAGTAGAGTAGGAATCTTACAAGCATGTATTTAAATGGATTTGTATTAAAAGTTGCATCTTTTAATCTGCTTCGCTGTTGGCCTTATGCCTTTTACGCTATTAAGCTAGATTAGAGAGTTTGGTTAATGTATTGGTTCTTAAACTGTGGTCTGGGAAGTGTGAGTAGTTCCTTGTGCTTCTTTAGTTGTCCTTCAAAATACCAGAATAGAGTAAGATTTTGGAAGCTTTCTTTGAAATGGCCTCTCTGCTGAAGAGGCAACTCTTTTAAATTAATACCGTATATATTTAAAGTTCAATTTCCGTTTTGAATATGCATCACCCACATTCTTTGGTAAGCATCTATTCCTGCCATTTTCTTGTCCCTCTGTTTTTCTAGTTGTATTCTTTGGGGTGGGTACCTATCAGTTTTTGCCTATGTTGCTCTCTAAGGCACCGTGTGTGCTAATAGCATAGTCGAAATAATAATGAATACAGCTGTAGCTTAAGACAAGGTTGCTTTTTGAGTAGTGCAGGTACCTGAAGAGGATGCTTCAGCAGAACTACCATTGTGTGCCTTGCTTGCCCCCCAATTGCATGCAGAACTTCACTGCATTGTGTGACCAGAAATATAGTTAAGTTTCAGTTTGAAAGCTTTTCATTTATCTCCCCATGACATAGCTAGAAGGTAAGAAAATGTGGTGGTCTGTGAAGAACAAGCATATTCTGAATGGTGTTCTTCAGTACAGCAAAGGAACCACCAGCTAGCTTCTTTAGTGCTGAAATAAACAAGATGGATAATATAAAAATCTTGCACAGTCTGCAGCTTGAATGACAAATGGCGGGGCAAATCATTGCTGTTCACTCTGTTGCTTGTAAGACCATGGCAGCTACCGCAGTGTCAGCAATGTTAAATAAATAAGTGTCCTGCTAAAGCAGGAAGGGAGATGACTGGAATAGATAGTGGATGACATCATCAGGTCCAAAAATGGGCCCCTTTCTGCCTCTCCTCAGCCAGCATCCCCAGTGGTGAGGGAGCTGCTGCAGCACTTCTCCTTTATTCACCATGGTGTAAGGTGAGAAGTCCCATGTTGCAGATCTTCTTTTTCCAGGTCTGGCCCACTTTCAGAAGGACTGACTATGGCATGGGCAGGTTGTTGCAGGGTAAGCTTCTCACCTGTGGACCAGGACCAGCCATTTACCTAAGCAGTAGAGGAAGGCTCAGTGATTCACTGGCTCCGGGTAACAGAAGAACCTACTCTGAAAACACTGTTGCTAAGCATCATCTTGACTTCCATTCTTTTCTCACCCCCAAAGCCCTCCTAAACAGGCAGGGCAAGTGACTGCAAGCCAGACTCCCAAGTGATAAAATACTAATGAGGAATGCAGTAAATCGGGCTGTAAAAGAGCAGTGATTTAGACAAAGGTTGTAAAGTGGGGGGGGGGGGGGAGAGACATTTGGAGAGCTATTGTCGATGCAGCTGCCCTTCAGGGTTACGGAATCTTACACTTTCCGGGACAGAATCTTACAAGGCAACACAAGCATCCCTACTAATTGTAGATGACGTTATGCTTTAACACTTGCAGTAAGGCTGACATGCTGCTATCATAAATGGCAAATGCGGCTTGTGTTCAGCCTCCAATGCTTAACTATGGTTATGTTCTAGAGCTGGAAGTAATATAATAATTAGCGCACTTCACCCTCCACCCAGCTGTCAGCTGGTGCTTGAGAAGCTTTGCAAAACAAAATACACTCGGTACCCTCTGCGCCTACATAAACTAATAACAAATTAAAACACACTTTTACAAGCGATGGGAAGGGGAGCTATACCAAAGAGTAATTTGACAGTGAATCCCTAAAAGCATGTGGGGAATGATTTATATCTGAAGGTACGTTCCACGTTAAGGTGCCCGTCAACTTAAAATGAAGTGGTAGGATTTCTGAAAGTGGGAGGTGTCTCAGCACAGCCATAAGGATAACGGTTGGAATATCAGGAGGGGTTGGAATATCTGCTTGATAACCAAAAAAGCAGGCTTATGTTCTCTTATCTGCTGCCTTAAAGGCAGCCATCATAAGGAATTTGCGGTAAGTTTAATAGAAATACATTTGTCTTGAACCAGTGCTTTCTATCTTCCACAAAGCCTTTCCCTATCTGATGAGGAATGCCAATGTGAAAGGTATAGAACCTCTTCTGCAGTGCAGAGGATACCAGAACCATGTTTTAGGGCGCCCTTTCAGAAAGGCATTGGCCAATCCAGTTGGCCTCACCATCAAATTGTACGTGCAGAAAATTCCTTTTTAACAAGAGGCTTAAGAGAAACTGAGCACCGTGGTTGTCGAAGTATGGGCCACATTTGCAAGGGCAGCGTACGATAAGCAAACATGTAAGTTGTGTGAATTATATAGCCAAACAAAATGACTTTGAATGATTGCATACAAGTCAGAATAATACCTGGGTTTCTAAATAAAGCACATGGCTTTTAAAAACAAGGTGGTTGGAAAAAATGTATAGATTCATGTTAAGTCTGGATTGAAGTGTTTAACAAGTGCAGAATCTAATAGTTCCAAATTCCATCTTGTGAAGTTACTGGAACCAAGTTAAATAATGACTTACACCAGTGTTGGTTGTAAATATTTTTAATTAAGAAGGGAAGAGATGTAGCAGGGAGATGTAGCCAGTTGAGATGTCACGGACAGTGTATTGGATTTGGTCTGAGGAGAGCCAGGTTCAAATCTTTGCTCAGCTGTTCACTAGGCAGCCTTAGGCAAGCCACTGAGTCTTGGTCTAAAAAGGTGGTGGTGAGGGTAAAATTAGATAACTATTTATATACTCTCCTGGGTTCCTTGGAGGAACAGTGACATACAATTTTAAAGTATAACTGTGGCTCCTCGAATGTCTCACTGTCAAAGAGATGTCCATTCACAATTTGTTTTTACGTTCTATGGGGAAACTTTGTAGAATTCTGGTGTAACAAAACTGCCAAATAAACAGCTCCTAGTCATGGAGACGAAACTGAAAAACATAATGCTAAAATACTAAAGGATCTCATAATCAGAGGGTAAGAAAGGACAACTCAAAAAGTTCAAATATCGAGAAGTTTTTCAAGCCATGGTAAAAAAAAATATGCTGGAAGTGAATGATTTTGAGTAATATGTAAAACAGCTGAACATGACTAACAAGTGCGGTTTGGCATCTGCTTCATTTTAAAAAAACACAATGCATATTATGGTTATTCACCAAACCTCTGCAGATTAGCAGCTGCCCTCTGGCACTTGTTACTGAAAATGTATATGCAACTCTGTTCAACATGTTCCATCTCAGAGTTATAAAAACAATTAATCTTGGAGGAGTTCTGTATTTTAAAAATAGCTGGGGGCATTATAGAGTACATGGAGCTCAAGTCCCTGCTGAGATTAATATTTCTACTAATGTACACGTCTTAACGTGAAGTGCCTGCTGAGAGGTAAAGCTGCAAAGTTATGCTGAACGTTAATCTTTCATATTGTGTTTTGTGTGAGATTGCATTATAGTAAGTTTTTATGTTTAATGAGTATTGTCAGAATACTTTCAAAAATTGTATTATAGGTTTCTATCTCAGATAGCCCTGTATGAGGTCCTTTTCCAGAAATAGGTTTTCTGTCATAAAAGCACAGCTTTAATACTAATTTGATCCACCTAGTGATATATGGTGTATTCAAGAAAGTCATTATTTAGAAGAGTGAGCTAATATGTGAGAGAAGGTGTGCTGATAATTTGATAGGACCCTGTGCAACTGGCAGCTGGTGACTGACTTGATGAGGAAATGAAGTAGACTTGTCAGCAAACGAATGCACTAGATAGAGCAGGGCATTGTAATCAGCATGATGGCCTACAGAGGTTGGACTCCCAACTCCCATCAGCCTCCGCAAGCATGGCCACGAGTCAGGAATGATAGGACTTGTTGTGACTATAAATTGGAAGCTCCTGTGTGGAACCAATGCAGACCAAAAGCAGCACAGCTTGCATTTGGCACCAAATTTAAACAATGCCCAATGGAAGTCAAGCTTACAAAGGAACAATCAAGAGCGCACTTTTAAACTCTCAGTTGGTGCTTTCCAGCTGTGGCTTTTACCTTGCCCATGCTGGATGCCATATGACATCCAGATTGGGAGGCCTAGCAAGGCTAATGCCCTCTAACTTAACGTGCTTCTGGCAGTTGTATTCTAGACTGGTTTCTCCTTCCTGTGTAACATAGGTAAAGAGTGTATGAAACCAGGATCTTGGATTTAGACCAGCTAGCTTAATTGATTTTAGAATGCAGGCCTTCATGGAAGCCTACTGCTTGCCCAGTTAAATAAACTATTACTGATGTCGCTATTGCAGAGTCTTGAGGGCCAAAGATGATTTGATGTTAAATACATGAATACATTGAACAAGTATGTGTTTTCCTATGACAACATCCCTAGGGGCCCCAATCACAATCAGAACTGCAGGGATTACTGGTTTAACTACACGCATACTGTGATTTGATTGAAAAATCTCTTGCCTGCCCAAGATCCTGTTAGCCATGGAAGTAATGCTTTCCACTGCCACCAATGGTAGCGTTCCTCCTAAAGTTAATAGCAGTTTAAGGGGCATGTCAGAGGGGAGCATTGAACCCTGTCTCTGCATGCCCCAGTCCTGCTTCCCCCCTGCTTGTGGCTGTTGTTAAAATATAAGCTACACATTAAATACACCAAAATACACTGGAAAAGTGTGTGAAAAGGGTACATCCCATGGATTCCATGCATCATTCTTACACATGGATGAATTGTTCATGCCGATTAATAACAACATTAAGCTTTTCTATAACATCCCTCAAGTAGTCAAAGCACTTTGCTTTGACTAATATTTTCCATAGGTCTGTATCTGGTCAGAGAGGAAGGTGTAGTTTGTTCATGAGTGTCCAGTGGCTGGGAATTTGATGTGTTGAATCTACATTGGAGGTCTGGGGGAGTGGCAAGGAAAATGATTGAAAAGTAAGGAACTATAACATTATTGAAGCAGAATCTGTCTAAACAATTTGCAGCCCGGCAGTACCATATATGTTCTCAATCCCATCTCCCTACCTTGGGTACACTGGAAGTATTTTGTGGTGTAATTTGAAAAAGCACTGTTGTGTTTTCTCAACTGTACTGAAGTGCCAGGTTGTTCAGTAAACCTCTGGAAACTTTGGAGAGGTTATTAGGGTGCTAATTTTAAACTTTGCAGGCTCTATTTGTGGTTGGCAACTCAGTGAATCATTCACACAGCTCATCTGCAGAACCACTGTCTAGGACTCGGTGGGCAGTACACATTCACATTTCCATTACAACTTCTCTTGTTGAAAATGCTACAGCAGAGAAGATGCTTTGGCCATAAGGAGTTATTTCCTTTCTGCTGGAAAGAAGAAAGGAATTAATTTGCTCGTAGCTCAAATTTTACTCAGAAATACGGTACTTCTTTAAAAATTTCATTCTAGCTATTCTTATCAGGATTATGGGGGAATATTTGAATCCATGAAATATTTCTGGAAAGTATATTTGCAAATAATTATTCATGCTAGAAGTCACTTATTATAGGGAAATGCATTTGATTCTTAGGTGTGAAATAGTCCTGATTTTCTTTCTTAGGACCCACCACTGGGTATGTCATTTGCAACACAAAATCCCATCCTTGTGACACAAAACCATCACAAAACTTTGGCATAGGTTTTGAGGTTTGCAGATAACACAGATGATGACATAAGAAGAACCCAGCTTGATACGGCCAAAGGCCCATCTAGTCTATTATCCTTTTCTCATGGTTGCCAGTCAGAGATGCCTATGGGAAGCCCCTAAGCAGCACCTAAGTGCAGGATCACTCTCCCTGCTTGTGATTCCCAACAACTGGCATTCAGAGGCATTCTGTACAACATGGAGATTGAGAGCCTCATCCTCCATGAATTTGTCTAATTCTCTTTTAAAGCCATCCAAGGTGATGTCCATCACTTCAGCTTGTAGGAGCAAAATAGCCATTACTTGTTTTCAGGGCACTGCAGAGAGGGCTCCTTGCTTGTGTCAGACAGACCGACTCCAGTGTCAGATAAGAGGATTCTGAGCAGGAATTATAGCTAACCCAGGCACAAGTAGCAGCACTAACATGGTGACAAAACAAACACCACTGCTGTCATTTTTATCAAAAGTGTATGCATGGGGAGATAGAAACTGAAGCCCTTGGTGATGAGAATTCAGCTGAAAGTGTTACACCATTTCCTCCAAAGAAAGCATCCAGTTTGGATTCAAATGTGGGTCAAGAAGACAGCTGTAGTATGGGCAAGGGAGCAAAGAAGTGATAGGTATAGACTTAGACCATTTTTTAAATACTGCTTTTCATATTGTGAGTGGTTAGAAGCAGGCAAGGACCAGAACACACTCATATGCAAGAATGATCCTACTCATGATAAGTCATCTAAATCAGCTGCTGTGTCATCCTTTTAAAAAAACAGACTCTCAAGCATTATGAAACTAGACAAACTCATCCTCCGTCTGTGAAAGCATAAGAAGATCTCACCAGTGCTCTTCTATGAATGTATATAACAAAATTACCTGGTAATTCATTAAGCAGAGAACATCTTTTCAATGTGGCTTATTTCTTCATTGTGAACCACTCAATGGCTTTGAAAGCATAATTGAAACAGGAGTCATGATAAAGAAAAATAAACAAATACCACTTTGCAGCGTTAGGCCACAATTTCCCAGTGAATCCCCTGGTGATCATTTTGCAAGAGCACCTGAAACGTTGGAAAAACTGAATATCCAGTATAGAAAACCCCTTGGTTAGTTGGCATAAACAGATCATACAACCAATAGAATGGAATGTAGAGTTTGTCTTGTTAAGTTCCAGGATACTGTATCAGTGCTGATCTCAGTTCATTGGTTTGATTATGAGGTTGAATCCAAAGTTGTGCTTAGGTGCCAAGGCAGGTTTCAACAATTTAAATAACTTACAGTCACAAAAATAGGGTGGGTTCCAACAATATACATCTGAGGAGTCAAAGGCCAGGGGAAAGAGGTGTGTCTTCAACATTTGCAGAAAGCTTTATACTGAAGTTGTCAGATGCACCTCAGTGGAGAGGGAGGCATATGACCTGGACCTAGACAATGCTTCTGAGGGGGCTTGAACTACAAAGAGGCCTTCTTCTGCTGATCTTAACACCAGAGAGTGTCTTAAGGGAAGGACATGGTCTTTCCTCCATTTGGGGCCTAAATTTAGGGCTTTAAACAATAATGTGAGCACTTTGAATTTGGCCCAGAAACAAACTGGCAGCTAACACAGCTGTTTTAAAACAGGGGTTATGTGATACCTAAATCTGGCTGCTGCATTTTGGACCAGTTGAAGTTTGAGTTTTCTTCAAGGAACGACCACAGAGAGAGTGCATTACAGTAGTTCAGTCTGGAAGATACCTGAACATGGAGTACAGTAAGCAAGTCATTCCTCTCCGAAAGGAGCCGTAGCTGGCGATCTGGTTGGAGTTTAAAAAAAGCACTCCTAGCCATCAAGACTACCTGAGCATCCATTGGCAGTGTTGAATTCAGGAGTATTTGCGATGCTGCACTCCAGGGGAGTGCAGGCCTGGCCAGAATAGGCTGTCTCCCCACCTCCCGGACGTGAGAACTTGGGACACACAACACTTCGGTCTTCTCAGGATTCCACTTCAGTTTATTGTCCCATATACAGCTTATCAACCACCTCTCCCGCTTCAGATGGAACACAGAGACAGAGCTGAGCGTCGTCTGCATATTGTTGGCACTTCATTCAAAATCTGATGACAACTCCCAGCAGCTTTGCCTAGACGTAGCATGGGTGACACAAGACAGCTCTCGTCATACAAAACTGTCTTCCGTGGCTACAATCTGGAAAGGTTCCTGGGGCAACTTTGCAGGGTGCTTAAGGGACAAGATGGCTCAGATGTTTGGATAGTTTTGAGTGCCACAGTTAGAGCACGTCCAATCAAGGCATCCAGAGCCTTGTCTCTTCCATTTGTACTGGATCAGCTTGGATTATTGCAGCCTGAGGATCTGAGCAAGCTGCTTGAAGAAGTGCAGCTAACCGCCTGCCCCCTTGAGCTTTGCCTGCCTTGGCTTCTTAAAGCTAACCATAGAGAGTTGATTGGGTGGGTCTTAGGGGTGATGAATGATTCCCTGGAAAAGGGGCAAGTACCATCTGGCCTTAAGGAGGGAACATGACAACCCCCCAGAGGAGAAGACAAATACAGCACATAAAACCTATAAAACGATTAAAAGAGGGTGAACCCTTGTCCTCAACCTGTCCTAAAGATGCAACCCAAAGAGGGGGGAAAGTGCTTTGGTATCACCCCTTCAGGGCAGCTTGCACCAGCACCAGTGCAAGGTGTGATGGTTTGGGGCCCTGAGCACCTGCAGGCACTCAGGCAGGTGGTAGAAAGCCTCAACAAGGCCTTATCCTCCCAGAACAATAGCCTCTTGGAACCAGCTGCTTCTGTAGGGAGCCTGCTGGCAGACTCTGTGCCTCTCCCTAACTCTGCTAGCTGCCTCCTTTCCGCTCGCATCTCTAAGCTCATGAAACATCACAGGAGCTATTTCCTTGAATAGGCATTTTGATTCTCAAAATCCATTACTTTCCCTCATGACAAATTGTTCATGCCCATCGGCTACTCAAAAATAAATGGTTAATTTCAATGTACAAATCAGTCTTCGGCTGAAAAGTGCTTCTGAGTGTATATTAACTGTTAAGCCCAATGCAGAAAAAAATTATGAGTTTATTCAGGTTCCGATTAGAATTGGCCAGTTGCCTTTGTATATAGTCTTGTTTTCAAGTTCGTGTACCATTATGAATGAGCACTATTTTTCTATAATTATATAAAGGAGCAATTTCTCCTAGCAGTGTATTAGTCAAAATTTACATCTTCACTGTTTAGCATTACATTTTCCCACAATCTGTGTGGTATCCTACTCAGAGGAGGCCCATTGAAATCAATGGTTTATCCACAGCTAAAGTCTACGAGCCTACTTTAAGTAGAACTTAGTAGGACACCACCTTTTGTCTGTTAGGCTAAAAATAGTTTTGTTGTTACTTGGTGCAACCTTTATGTACCTGCTCTTCTGAAAAGGGTCACAACAAAAATGTTTAACAAACCCTTTTTTCAAATTTACTGTTCGTGATGTTAAATGGAAAATGATACGATCCATCAGTTTTTATTTATAGTTTCTGTACTCACCTTGATGCAAACTAGTTTCCTCTTTGCTATGTCCCAATATGCAGCAGCTGGGAATTATTTTTTTAATTAACAGAACCCATTTAAAGAGCTGTACCGCCAGTAGTTAAAGCCTTTCTTGCCTGAAAGGCAGTGCTAAATTTGGAACCAAAAGTCATGACTAGAGTTTATAAGATGAGCATAATTTGTAACAAACAGCATCAAGACTGAGTTTCAGGCAGTTCTATAATTACAAAAGATAACAGCGCTGTCATCGCCAGCAACATTAGTGAATAGTTATTTAAACTATTTTAAAGGTTTCCCAACCCCCTAATTCTCCCTTCCTCCCCTTCTAGTCAGATTCAGTTCAAAAGGCAGTACATTTGCTATCACAAGGCACATTCAGCAATTACAGTGAACGAAAGTTAAGTATTTCTGTTGATTTAAACTAGAGACTATCATTGGAATAAAAGAAAATAAAGTACTCAGCTTTGGCTATATCATACCCAGTTTGTAAAAGCTTCCCTGTTTGGTCACCTGGGAATGATGCTTAATTACCATAGGTGAGCAGGACATGTATAAGCCTGACAAAATTTGCACTTCTCTCATACTTATTTAAATTATTTTGAAGAATCCTGTTTTTCCAAATGGCAGCCAGAAAAACATCAGTTTGCCCTTCTCCAAACAATCTTGGGGAAACTATTGGCTCTGTTATCTGAATATAGTAGCCGGCGTGTTACTCTCACATAATAATTTCCTTGACCTTCAGAAAAGAGCTCTCACCTATCTACTTGCAACTAATTTTATTCAGAGAAACGAGTTGCATGCCAGTCCACTGAGGTCATTCGAGTGTACACTTGTCCGAATAAACCAATGGCAAAATCTTTTGGAAGTGCAGTTCCCTTTTTAATCTAAGTGGCTCAGGTTTCACTGAGAGGGGAGAACAAGTTATATGTGCAAAGCCAGATATTACCAGTTCGAGAGAGGATCCACTAGTGTCAGATTTCCAAGCACCATGAGTCATGAACATTGAAGCCAGCAAGCTCTTAAACAAAGCAGGAGAACTCGAGGCAGAGGAAGACATCTTTACAGTTTCCAGCTTCAGATGAAACCAAACATCCCTAAAATTGTTCACTTCTCTAAAAACTTAACTGTACTTGGTTGAAGCCCAGAAACATCTCAATTATTCAGGGGTGGCAAGATTCTTTTCACCTACTGGAGCTCAATACCTGTGCAAGCAATGCTACGAAAAGCTTCCACTCCTATGGGGTTCTCTGCTCCAAATCCTGCATGTTCCACATTATACCATTAGTTATTCAGCAGAGTCCCATGTGAGTCCTACATATGCCAGTGAGTCCAATGCAAACAGTTCCAGGATACTGTTACCACTCCCATCCATGCCTTCTATATGCTCTGGTTGAATGAATATTCCCAGAAGAAATGTTCATGTGAATAATCCTGAACGGTGATTTTTCCTCAAGCATAGCTGGAAATCTATTTTGTACCAATAAGGATGAACCCCTGGATGGCATGGTGTTATGTTTGCTCATCTTCCTGCTGCTCATCAACCGCTGGTTGGTGAACCACATAACCAAACCAACTATTTTGCATGCCACCAGTAACTCATTTGCAGTGGGTGAGCAAAATGTCCAGAGCAGTATTCTGGAGAATTGAAGTCAGCTACAACATCCCTACGAATGGCACCTTCAAAAATGATGTGCAGAGAATTCAGCTAATTGAAAATTGCCCATCTAAGTGATCAGCAAATAACATTGAGAACTTAAAAACCTAAAGTGATGAGGCTAAATGTACTCAAGAAACTGCCTCTTCCCTATATTCCACTGAGAACACAAAAACCTGATTGGTGCTCTTTTGAATATCTATGAGGGCAGACATTTGCCAATGGCCCTAACTAGGTTGGGGTGAGGAATCTTTTTCAATCCAAACACTGAATTCCTTGTGGAAGCAAAAGTGAGCAGAGCAGTTAATTTGACTCTCGTAGCCGATCCTTCATACAGTAGGCTACATTTGAGCTGTGCAAAAATGAGGTTTCTGCAGATGCGCACACATGCAAGCAAGCAAACACACACACACACACACCCCAAACTTCTTTATCTAGGCTAGCAAGATGCAGTTAAAGGACATACTCCAACTAGGGAAAAGTACCTGTGGGTGCAGTGGAGGACCAGAGAGAGATGTGGCCAGAGGAGAGGGTGTGCGCTCAGATATAGGTGCCTGGAGGTTTGCATTTGGCCTCTGGGCCTGAGGTTCCCCATGTTTGTGCTAGACCAGGGCTCATCAGTGTGGTGCCCTCCAGATGTTGCTGGACAACAGCTGCCATCATCATTGATCATGGTGCCTGGTGCTGATGGTAGTTAGAAGGGCACCCACATTAGACCTCAACAGACATGGTTAGTGAGGAGAGAGCTGAACCACAGTGTTTCAAGCATCATTTGGTAAATCGCAATTAAGCAGAAGTTTGAAAGGGGAAATTCATATTGTGGAAAAGAAATGTAGGTTATTGTTTGGGCTATGAAATGGAATGATACATTACACACAGAGAAGGAACCCCCAGAACAGCACATGGAGGAAGGAGGGGAGGGATCATTTTGTCTGGCATTCGGCACCATTTATTGCAAGCCATTCTGGGAATCTTTTTGGCTGAATAGCAGAATAAAAATGCTTTAATAACGATGCATTGTGTGTTCCTGTTTGCAAGTCACAGACTAGATCAAGCTACAATATTGTGGTCAACTTGAGTTTCAAGTCCACTTACCAATGTCCTACATCAGGTTTTTCCTATTTGAGAACTAAAATATTGTGGAATGCATACTTTCTTGTTGAATAGCATGTTAATGGAAATGAAGTGTAAATTATATGCAGTAAAGTATGGTGATCAGCTGCCTAATTTAATTGTAGCGCTTAATACTGAATTGGTTGTCATTGTATTTGGAAAACTCTGTCTTCATTGAAATTTTTCTTTCCTTTTTGTTGTAAATTGTGGGAGCACTTGATCAAACCTAAAGAGGATCCACATTTGGATAATTAATCTTGGGTTTGTTTAAGTAACATTGCAAATGTTTTCATGTTTCCTGTAGGAGCTAAGTGATCTGCAACGTGACCCACCTGCACACTGTTCAGCAGGACCTGTTGGAGATGACTGTAAGATCTTTATAGTTGATGGCAAGATACTTTTGCCTATTTTGTTATGCTTAAACACTTAATAAAGTGAATAATATTTTGTGTTTTTCAGTGTTCCATTGGCAAGCAACAATTATGGGACCTGTAAGTATGCAATTTATACATAACTGATCTTGATTCCTCTTCTGTAATAAGCTTTAATGGATTTCTGTATTCTAGACAATAGATGTCAATGTTTTCTAGATCGTAGAATCATTTGTGAAGAGGAAATAGACTGTGATTATTTGTGGACTAGAGATGTACTTTATACACAACGAGAGAGACACTATCACACTTTATACACGTTGGCCAACATAGGGAATTAAAAAATAAACTCCAGAGCTGGGCTGGAGATTAAGCCATTCAAGAAGTCTGAGCCAAGATACTGTTTGCTTTTAAAGCCAGAATCATGTTTTTCATATAAGAGATAAGTGCAAAGACTGTAATAAATAGGACCAACAGATGGGACTGCAGAGACCTATGGTAGTGGAGAGCTATGTGAAATAACAAGTGAGCTAACAAAGATGGGTTCAAGGACCACTGGTGTTTTTATTTGTGATCAATCTACTACTAGGTTTATATCCAGCTGTGGCAGAGTAATCCCTATTTCAGAATTCCCTAATTCACATTCCTGTACTATGAAGTCATACATTGTTTTACATAAATGTACTACTTTCCCAGTCCATCAGCTGCCTTCAGACAAGTGTTCTTTTAGTAAAGCAAAGGCATGCAGAAATTGTGCATAAAAATCAATTTATAAAATCAGACTGATGAAAGGTTATTTTAGTTATGGAATACATATAACCACATATTATAGATTGTATTTCTATTGCTAAGTTGGTACATAATCACATAGTATCATAACATTGGTTATATTTTAATAGCAAGGCTTATAATTATGGCTTATAGAAATAATTAATTTGCCCTTTTTATATTCCTTTGTAGCAAGAAGTACAGTATATTTCTAATCATTATAACCTTTCTCTTTCAAGTTTCAGCTTGATTACAGTTTATTTTGATTAAGCTTGTATTTTATTGTATTATCTTCAACACAAAAATGGTATTGATATCATGATAGGTCAAATATGAACAAATAGAGCCATACCTGGATAGGAATTACATAGGCATGTTTTCAAAACCTAATTTGCTAATTAATATATACTTTCTGGTATGTGCCTTCATAATAAAATGGGCTGTTATTCCTATTTGCTTTTAAAAACCTCAAGTTAAAAAGATGCATATAGTCAGAAATTTGTGTGTGGTCTAAGGTGTGCAGAGAGGGAAGTGGCCTAAAAACAACATATTGAGGAGTTGTTTTTTTAAGTGATACAATTGTTTCTCTATGGTTAAAAGTGAGTTCATTTCTCTCTCTCTCTCTCTCTCTCTCTCACACACACACACACACACACACACACACATATATATTCCTCAGTAATTTGAGCTGCATCCTCCTGATCAAAAGGAAGTGGGGAAAGATACGTACTTTAAATCTGCCCCTCAAATGTGCATCACATTGTGGTATTCTTCAGTTTCTATGTATTCAATGCTCTGCCTTTTGAACTTCATTAACTTGTTTTTCTCAGGTAGGGGGGATTTCTGCAAAATATACTTTGAAACCTCTTCTGGGTTATGCTTCTATACACACTAGATCTGAGCCTGCAAACGCTTTCTTTTAAAAAAAAAAAGAATGAGCAGAATTTGCAAAAATTCCATGATGACCTAGTACTACATTTTAGTTTTTGCATCATGCCCTGAATGGTGTGGGTTCCTGTAACATAGAGTGTGGCGGCCACAGATTATGTCTGTTGAACTTGGGCAAAGTGTACTAGGGAGACACTGGTGAAGAATGAAAGCATTACCTTGTTAATTTGCTTGCTTTCCAGCCTGATAGTGCATATCAAGGGGGAGTCTTTTTTCTCACAGTACATTTTCCAACAGACTACCCATTCAAACCACCAAAGGTAATCTTTTAAATGTGATATGTGCTTTTCAGAATTAAGTGTAATGTGCAAGTACAAATGAAAATTAAATGTAGCATGCGCTTTTTAGAATAGGGTTTGACATCTGTTTTGATGTATTTGTTGTTTTGAGGCTAAATACATTGGAAGGATCAGTATAGAATAGCATAGATAACTAACTTATTGAAGCAAGAGAGAATTAAAGAGGGCCTAGCCAAGAGCTTTGTGAAACTCTTAAAATGAGTTATTTATTCCAGGAACTCTTTCCACACACAGCTTATTGGACCATGGAAGGTAAAAGGTAAAGTAACCATGATGCAGGAAATTCTGTGACGTGTACAAAGTGCACACTTGGTTTTTGCAGAATACCAATCTGGCCTATTGTTCTGTTAAAACACATTTCTAACCATGCTTGTGATTTTACTATTTTATTTTACTTTGGATGTAAATCACTTTGGGGCTTCTTTAGTTGGAAGTGATGTATAAATTTAATAAACCTAAACCTATTGGTCTCTACGCAGAGTTTCTCTGACATTATTGATCTTGGTATGTTTCCAACGAACCCCATTTTCCTCAAATGCATTTTTTAAAACTATTGGTCTGTAACTCCTTTAATAAGCAAATTGCTTTAATGCAGCTTTGCGCTATCCCATTGCTAATCTTAATTTTTGACATTCTTAACTTTGCTAGAATTGTATATATAAAGGTAAAATAGGAATTACCGCTTAAATCTGTTTAAGTGGTTGTATGTTTTCTGTGGAGCTTGCATTTAGGTGCTGCTAGATGAATTGGATCGTCATGTTCTACATAGCCCATAAGGCACTTTTTATATCATCTTACCCAGGGAACAGCTATAGCTAATACTCCTTGTGCATTCGTAACAGATTGTGTAACAGAACGTATCACTACTTGTGATCAAGCCAAGGTATTCAGCTTTTAGAGATGTCAGATGGAGAAATAAAATACAGAGTAAGAAAAGGACAGTGTGTGTGATTAGAACTCTGTAAAAATATGTAACCATTCTTCTGTTGCAGATTGCATTCACAACAAAAATATACCATCCAAACATAAATAGTAATGGGAGTATTTGTCTTGATATCCTGAGGTCACAGTGGTCACCTGCTCTGACTGTATCTAAAGGTAACTATTTGGAGAAATACTATGCCCAATTTAACGCCACCATCCCTGTTTCTGATTATGATTTATAGCTGAAAATGCATCTAGTTTAAAGGAAGGCATTATCTAGACCAGGGGTCTGCAACCTTTAAGACAAAAAGAGCCACTTGGACCCGTTTCCGAAGGGAAAAAAATCCTGGGAGCCGCAAAACCATTGCGACATTTAAAACAAATATAACACTGTATATATTGTTTCTTACCTTAATGTCCGATCTGACAGCGGGCAGGAAGGTGACGTTGGGACGGTTGGTGACTAACGCACGCACCGCCCCCATGCGACGTCACAGCCAGTACAGCGCCCGCCACAGTGGGGAGTGTCGGGGCGCACAATGCGCCTCCTCCCCTCGCTAGTATCCGCCCCGGAGCCACGGCAAAGGTGTAAAAGAGCCACATGCGGCTCCGGAGCCATGGGTTGCAGACCCCTGATCTAGACAGAGGTGTTTGATCTTCAAAGTTTTCCACAGGATCTTATACCCAGATGCATTGGCTGTGTGACCATGTACATCATCTACTATTTTGGAAGACATATTCAATAAAGTTTGAAAATCTGCATTACTATAAAGGAGAAAAACTTTGCATCTACCTCTTGACCTTTACTATCACATTCATGTCATAAACACTCTTTAACTTATCTTTTTTCTTTTTAATATAGTTCTTTTGTCCATATGCTCTTTACTTTGTGATCCTAATCCAGATGACCCTTTAGTACCAGATATTGCACAAATCTACAAGTCAGACAAGGAAAAGTAAGTATGGATATATTTTTTAAAAATCTGAATCAGTTGGTTTTTATATTCTTAGCCTCTCACCTCACTTACGATTTGACTACTCTGATAGGGTGATACGCAACAGAGGAGCTGCGTTGATTTCAGCGGGTGTACTCTTGAATAGGACTTACATTGGATATCACCCATAAGGTTTTTTTTAACATAAAAATGGATTTTTAAAAAAGCTTACAAACAATTGTACTACTTCAGAATGTTTACAGTGTTCCATTTTGACATCTTGCATACTTGGGCCACTAAGGACATAAGTAGAAAATTTTAAATTTGCATTCCTCAGTTTGAAGGAGCAGTTAGTCTGTAGAATTATTTAACTTGTATACCATGTCAGCCTTGTTCCTTCCTTTTTTCTGATGTATTACTTATCCTAAAGTTCACTGATCTGCCAGCTTGGCTTTAATGTTTGAGCCGATTTCTAGATAACAAACTGCTTTGCAAAGTTCTGGACACCCACCTTTGTGTCCCTACAAATGTTTGGAAGAGAACCTCATTGAACTTTTTGGGGTGTCATCAAACTGACCTTGTGTTCAGTCATATCATCTTTAGTCTGTGGTTCAGCATACTTCCCTTGCTTTGAGCTAGACTTTAAGCTAATTTAGACTAGCTAAGAGGTTCACTGTCTTTACCTGTGTGGCATCCTAGTTTGTGAGCAGATTGAGATGGTTGTTATTATAGGTGCTTGTTTGACAGGCTGTAAGTATCGTACTCAGCCTAATGAAGGTAACTAGGCTAATTCGTGTACACGTTTGATTCAGGAAGATGGCAACAATCCTGCACGTGTTGGATAATATTTGTTGTAATTCAGTTTGTAAACGTCTGTCTCTTAAATTGTAAGGTTGAGAAAGGGGAAAAGATGTTGAGGTGTAGCAATATGAAGGCATTGTAAAGGTTACAGATTGCCACTCCAAAGTCTGTACTTCACAAAGGTTACAGATTGCCACTCCAAAGTCTGTACTGTACTGTTGTAATCTCTGTGTAGCCCTGTCTGTATCCTGCATAGTGGTGCTGCCCATTATCAGGTTACTGTCCATCAGTTGCAATTCATGTCTTGTAGTCAACTAAATCCAACTCAGAGTAGACCCATTGAAATTAATGAATCTAAATTAGTCATACCCATTAAATTCCATTAGCATTGGATAACATCACACATCACCATGTTCAGTCTGTGACTTTATCTGTACACAGCTTTTCAGCTGGACTAGCAAACTCTATTCAGCTTGTATCCTAAGCTCTGACGGACCAGGAAGGATGCAAATGTACACACTGATTGTGTGCAGACAGCCATGATATTATACAATGGAAGCAATAGGTGTGCATCATGGGGTTCTCTTGCCTTGGAAAATCATTAATTATTAGCTGCATTTCCAAATCACCCTTCCTTCCAAAGACTTCAGGATGATATACAAATAATAATAATATTAAAACACAAAATAGAAAATAATAAATAAGACATAACAGTAATCAACACACTTTAAAATACTGTATCTATAAAATGCAGAACCATTAAAATGCACCAAAACCATCTGCTACTCTTAGGTGTTAAGACTTTGCATCGTCCAAGACTGTTTTGCTTTCTGCTCAGCACCTGCTCTTTTGCCCAAGTGTGGGCATGGGTGCAACATATAACCGAATAAGATTGTTAAATAAGCCCTTGAATAAATTTGTTGGCAACACTGTGAATCCTAAGCTTGTGTGTTTTCACTTTTGTTTTCTTTTACAGATACAACAGACATGCAAGAGAATGGACACAGAAATATGCAATGTAAACTTTGAAGACTTTTTCATATATACCAGAGTACTGTAAATTCTAGGGTTTTTTCAAAATTAGAAGTAAATGGAGCACAGTTTACTGTTTCAGTGTACCATGAAGCCCTTTTTTGATTTTCACCCATATAAGTGTGTTTCTGGAACAAGGAAATAACTACGAAAATTAACCTGAAGACTGTGATGAGAGTATTTATCCTTTTTGTATGCTTTGCAAAAGACATTTATTATGTTTTTTAAAGATACGTGGACATCTCTGTCTCCAGCCTACAAGATCCATAATGCAGTTGTAGAGCAACCAAATTATTTTTGCTGAAAAACTAGGTGTTACATGAGAGATATTCTGTGTGTCTTTGAGATGTCAGTCCTGTAAGTCTGTGTTTGAATTTCATTCTTTGTTAGTTCATTGTATAATTTGTATTTTTTTACTGTATAGACTATATTTTATTTACCATGCAAGTCAACTCACTTTAGACTTTCTGCACAGTATTGAAAAAAAAATACAACTGCTATTAAATGAGTGAACTATTCCTCCCCAGAGGAATGCTCTATAAACTGATAAACTTCTTAAAACAAACTTTGCACTCTAATTCTCAGTATACTGATTATGGAGAAACACTTGGTTTTGATTCTGTTGCATACTTAATTTTATTGCAATGTGAACTAATTGCACTACTCTGTAGAAAGAAATGTAACTAATTTTGTTCTATTCACAGCTGACTTTTTTATCCCATAAGGGCAGTATAATCTCTGACCTTTTAACAAAATTGACTTGAAGCTTTTCCATATAAATAAAATGTGTTTTTTACTACTTGTCTTGGCTGTTCTTTAACTCTTGCACATCCTTTACATGTGCTTGCTCTGAAAAGATCAAGTTATTGTTAAATGTGTGACTTGCTATTGGGAGGAATTGGCCTGTGTGTTTGAAATTGCTGTGAACTGATATTATGGTAGCTGTTGCATAACTTTACATGCAAATTCATTGTGTTGTGTATATGATCTAAGTTCTTGGATCTTGTACCCACTACAAAAACTTCTCTCTGATCTCCAAATCTTGCTTAAATTGATAACAACGAATGTTGAAATGTCACTGATGCTTCTTCTTTCCCTCACGTGTATAACAATATATTGATGTTATACTTCCACACACTAAGCTGATGCCTCTAAACCTTTATATGTATACTTCACCTTGCATGTAAGGAGAAAAACAGCCTTAGGGACTTTACAAATAAGAGTGCTTTAATTTTTTTTAAAGTATGTTGCTTCTGAGGTAGTAAATGCTTATTGAATGCATTTATTTTGTGGCTGTAGCAATTCTAACTAAACACAACTTACTTGACTAGAAGGTTTTGCCACCATAGAGTCCTAGTGTTTGGCTACACCAAGGAACAATTAAACAAAAAGCTCACAACTGGAATAGGTAGAAATGTGGCAAGCATCCCAGTGGCTATTTTTTTGTATTACTGGACTTAAATAAAAAAAAAAAACCTGTTCAGCATTTTAATCTTGAAACTCTTGGATAGTTCTGACAGCCTAGGCAATAAGTCTCTACTTATCGTAATGGTCACCTAGGCTTCAGTTGTTTACCTCAATCTGTATAATCGTAAGATGGAATCTTTCTGAAATAAGCACTGAAAAAAATTCATTGCATTCTGTAAGTGACTTTGCTTGCTGTGAAAAAACCAATTTCTACAAATAGCCAATAAGTGTTTCAATTTAGTATATGATTGCTTCAATGTACTTGAAAAAGGGGATGCCATAGCTTGAAAAGCAAAACTATTCACGACATTTTGACATGAATACTAAAAAATTACCCCTTGGTAAAATATTCTGATGGAGTGATTTCCCAAACTTTTTTGCCCCTATCTGTCTTAGATGTTTATGATAGGCTTGTCCCGGATTAAATAATTTATAGTCCTTTAATCCCTTACAATAAACTCTTGTGTAATTTGGTAGTTTGATTTGCATGCCTGTTAAGTGAAAGAACATTTAATCTTCTGCTTTGCTAAAATTATATGGAGGCTGGTTTGAAACTGTTTAGATGTTACTATGCTTTGAAGTATGCATCATACAAAAAGGAATTTACTTACCATAATGCAAAGTCTTCAGGCTGAGCAAAAGGTGCAGATCAGCAAGCCTCTTATTCTTGCTTCATAAGAGTTATTTGTGAACAAATGTGTTGAGCCCATACTTGTCTCTCTTCAGTGACATTTAAACCTGAAGTTCAGAGACTTATTTTACATACTGTCAGGCCAATCGTAGCGCCTTTAAGAAGACAAGAACTCCATTCTCTTGGCTTTCTTTAAACCACAGCTTCTGAGGGTGTTAAGCATTCCCTCTTAAGTATTTTTGTATTTCCTGGTAAATGTTCTTTTGCTGTTTAAATGATCCATTGTGAAGGTTCCTTCCCCGCCCCGCTCCTTGTATCAAACATTTGCTCAGTCCTGGTGCTTCCATTATGGTGGCATAAATGTTGTCTGTGCTTCAGTCCCCTCCACCAAATACCAGTTTATACTGTACAATGCCTTAGCGAGGGCACTAACTGAGCCATCTCATTCTCTGTATATTCCTCACTTGGCACTATTGGCATGACTAAAGCAAAGGATCTCTGTATCACTGAAATTCTTGAAGTGTAATCTTTAGTCATTCTAGTTGTTAAATAAGGCGTACTTTCTAGCTACTTCTGATGTGGTATTTTTTCTGCCTAAAGATGTCAGCTGAGGCTTGAATGAAAATAAAGATTTGATTTGAAATCTGAGTGTGTCAAGTTTTATTCTTACCTTCACCCTTTTGAGTGAGAAAAGGAGTGGTAGCACTTTAAACTTGCAAGTGACAGTTGTCTGGTGGAGGGTAGGTGTGGTTTTGCTATCCAAGCTGTTAGAGGAGGCTCCAAGTTCTTTTGGAGCCGTGTACTAGAGTGCTGGCAAAACAAAACATTACTGAAAGTGCCAGGTTCTAAATATGTAAGATGTGACTCAATAGCTGTGTTGAACTCTCTTGTATTCCCATGGTTCTTTCCTTAAGGGTATAGCGTGTTCTCACAGAAGCAAACCAGGACATAGCTGTCAACATTGCCCCTTATTTAAGGGAAATTCCCTTATTCCGAATAGGATCCTCGCAAGAAAAGGGAAAAGTTGACAGCTATGAACCAGGAGCGTGTCACCTAAGGCGGAAACAGCTTAATATATTGGATGCAATTATCTTAAAGTAATGAAGACTTCCTGTTACATGCTTGTGGAATTGGGATTAAAGCCTTTCCTACTATATAAGAACACTACTAGTTTAATGTGAAAGTGCATGTGTAGCCAGCATTAATAATGCTGTTGTGCAAATCTATGGTGCAGCCATATTTGGAGTACTGTGCCCAGTTCTGGTCGCCTCAGCTCAAAAGGGATATTGTAGAGTTGGAAAAAATTAGAAAAGGGCAACCAAAGTGATCAAGGGATAGAGCGATTCCACTGCAAAGAAAGGTTGCAACATTTGGGACATTTTAGCGTAGAGAAAAGGAGAGCGAGTGGCGACATGATAGAAGCTTATAAAATTATGCACGGCATGGAGAATTATTTTTCTCCCTCAGAACACTTGAACTCGTGGACATCCAAGGAAGGGAAATGCTGGAAGATTTAGGACAGATTTTTTTTAAAAGTACTTATTCACACACAGCATAGTCAAACAATGGAACTTGCTCCCTCAGGAGGAGGCAGTGATGGCCACCAACTTGCAGGGCTTTAGAAGCTGGTTAGGCCAATTCAATCAATACCTGTCACTGGAAACCACTGGAGGGGGAGAATGGGCCCTTGTGCTCATGTTCTGCTTGCTAGATTCCCAGACATCTGGCTGGTCACTGTGAGAACAGCTTGCTGGACTAAATAGGCCATTGGCCTGATCCAGCAGGCTCTTACATTCTTATGCAAAGAAGAGCTTTGAACCACCCTGATCTTTTCTAAAAACTGCCTGAGACCGCTGGGTATAGGGTGGAATATAAATTCAATTAATAATGTTGTTTAGTCGTTTAGTCGTGTCCGACTCTTCGTGACCCCATGGACCAGAGCACGCCAGGCACTCCTGTCTTCCACTGCCTCCCGCAGTTTGGTCAAACTCATGCTGGTAGCTTCGAGAACACTGTCCAACCATCTCGTCCTCTGCCGTCCCCTTCTCCTTGTGCCCTCCATCTTTCCCAACATCAGGGTCTTTTCCAGGGAGTCTTCTCTTCTCATGAGGTGGCCAAAGTATTGGAGCCTCAGCTTCACAATCTGTCCTTCCAATGAGCACTCAGGACTGATTTCCTTAAGAATGGATAGGTTTGATCTTCTTGCAGTCCATGGGACTCTCAAGAGTCTCCTCCAGCACCATAATTCAAAAGCATCAATTCTTCGGCGATCAGCCTTCTTTAAGGTCCAGCTCTCGCTTCCATACATCACTACTGGGAAAACCATAGCTTTAACTATACCTTTGTTGGCAAGGTGATGTCTCTGCTTTTTAAGATGCTGTCTAGGTTTGTCATTGCTTTCCTCCCAAGCAGCAGGCGTCTTTTAATTCCGTGACTGCTGTCACCATCTGCAGTGATCATGGAGCCCAAGAAAGTAAAATCTCTCACTGCCTCCATTTCTTCCCCTTCTATTTGCCAGGAGGTGATGGGTCAATTAATAATAATAATTAATAATTTGCAAAAGCAAACTTCCTGGGACATCATCCATTTGTCCGGCTTTGCTTCGTACTGGCTGCCCAGGGTCTCCTACCTTAAGAGAATAGCCAGGCTGGGTGAGGAGTGGGGTCAGGAAAGGCACGAGGTTGCTGTCAGTTACTTTAGAGCAGGGATGGGGAGCTTGGGCTGCAGCTCCCACCAAGCTGCGAGAGAAGGGGGTGTCCGGGTTTACAAATGGCAATGGGCAATATATATTTTTCCCGGAAGAGAGCGAGCTGAGAGGGTGCTTAGTTTTCTCCTGACGCAGCTATTAACGTGCCCAGAGCTGCAACCTGCAGCGCGCAGACACCATCCTTGAGCATCATCGTTATATTACTGCAGATAAGCAGGATTTCCCTCCTTTTTTGCTCTCCCTGCCGCGAATCCATATTGATCCAATACTGCCTTTATTTCTCCCCTTCGCCTCCTATTAGCAGCGAGGAATGAGAAGCGCTCCGACCTCTCATCTGACTCCACCAACCAAACCCTCCTCCCTCCGCAACTAGCGAAAGGCGCGCAACTAAACCCGCCTTTTCCTCACAGCCGGCGAAGGGCACGCTGGCTCCGCCCACCGACCGCGCTCCAATCAAAAACTACCTTCCCACCCGGATTTCCCGCCCTCCCCTCCGCTCCTCAAAACATTCCTCCCCGCCGACGGGATGGACGCGCACGCGCAGAAAAGCATCCGAGCCCGCGTCTGCCGCTTCCCCAAGAGAAGCGGCGTAACGAGAGAATTAAAACACCCGCGGTTCCTGAACTGAGCGGAACAAAGGTTCCAAGCCCTGACTAACTAACCAGTTGCGTCGCAGATAACTCTGTTCTGCTCCCCCACCCCAACATAATGCCTGCCCCACACTAACATAAATCCTGGCTATGCCCAAGCACACCATCCCTATGTTTATATATTTATACCCGATGCTCTCGTCCCCGCATATGGTGGCGCGCCGATAGAGAACCGGAAGTGAGGTCTTGCATAGTTGTGTCGCACCCCCTCCTGCTCGAGGTTCGCGAGCGCACGCACTCGCAGGTGCCTGTCATTCTCCCCCCAGTCCTCGCCCCTCCCCCCTCCCGGCTGCGACGGCGCGGATTGCAGATAAGCAGAGCGTGGGGTCGTTTCCTCGGCTTGCCCACAATGCCCCGCGCCAGTGGCGCGCGATGGTTCTGAGGCTCGAGGGCTGAGGGGAGTCGAGCGGAGTCGGCGCTACTATGGCGGCGGCGCTGCTGTCCCGCGTGTGGTCGTCGTCTGTCTCTGGACCGCGTTATTTCCTCAGGTAACACAGCCCGCGGCGGGGCGGCATCCTCTCCTGGCATCTCCCCACTCGCTTTTCTCGATGAAAGAAAAAGCCATTTTGCGTCCTACCCGGTGCCCGCTGACCTGTGAGGTAAAGGGAGCTTAGTCGATGGGCACAGAATTGCTCTGTGTCCTTCGCTGCTGCTGCTCCTCATGCCGTTGCCAGATCTCGAGGTTCGAGCTCGGGGTGTCTGGAGACTGAAGTCTCCCTGTGGATGTTTCCAGGGGAAGGAGTTGAAATAGGAAGGAGGGGAAGCTGTCAAGGCGGAGTTAGGATACTTAAAAATACAATCTGATATTCAATAAATCGTAGAACTCTAGAGATGGAAGGGGGTCCAAAGGGTCATCTAGTCCAGCCCCCTGCAATGCTGCTGCCCCGTATGGGGGGGGATCGAACCTGCATCCTTGGCGTTATCATCACCATGGGCACCCTGGTTTGCTGTGGTGGTTTTATTCGGCAACTCTGTATTACTTTGTCTCTGCTACCTGGTTTTCTTGTTGGGTGTCTACATGCTCTTGTACAATAAAAAAATTATTTTTAAAAAATTTGAACCACCCTTTGTTTCTCTCCGTTGTGTTCTTACCAGGCTTAGTACCTTGGAAACACTTGTGAAAGTTGGCAGGCAAGGGAGATAGTAACTTCGTACTTGATGTGCATATGAATGAGATCTTCAAAAATCATTCTCTGACCTGATACACACAATCATGGGCATTTCCAGTGGGGGCCAGCTGCCCCCCCAATCAATTAAATAAAAATAACTAACCAATTGTGTCAGATAACTCAGTTCTGCTCCCCCCCCCCCAACATTATGCATGCCCCCCCAACATAAATCTTGGCTAATACCCAGGCACACCATCCCTATATTTATGTATTTACATAATCTATATCCCATGCCTTCAGTGTAATTGTATCCTCCTTGGGAAGAACCCACACAACCAGACATAAATTTGTTTTCAGCCTTAAGTGTCAGAGTCTCAAGAGGCTTGGTGACTCTTACCTATTTGAAAATTGACTTGAATTTCTGAGTGCTATGGAGCAGAAATGTATTTCATCTTCCCTGCTCAGAATATGAGCCAGAATTAGCTACTGCCCACCTTGTGGTTATATCTTTTGATTAGAAAGGATTTTTGTTTTAGACTTGGTTCTTGACTGGAGGGGAATCAAAGTGAAACCCATATTTTCCTCATCATTTCAGCTGGAATTTCTCACCTATTTTCTTCTAGCTTAATTCTCCACCAATATGCTTCAGCTGAATAAGTTGGTTCTAACTTTTATTAAGAAAAAGAAGCCTTCAACAACACAAAGTAATGCTGTGGTTTTTATTAAGGGAGCATGGTAATAGGGTTTTATATTTAGTTAATACAGTGGTACCTCAAGTTAAGAACTTAATTCGTTCCAGAGATCCGTTCTTAACCTGAAACTGTTCTTAACCTGAAGCACCACTTTAGCTAGTGGGGCCTCCCGCTGCCGCCGCGCCGCTGGAGCACAATTTCTGTTCTCATCCTGAAGCAAAGTTCTTAACTCGAGGTACTATTTCTGGGTTAATGGAGTCTGTAACCTGAAGCATCTGTAACCTGTAGCGTCTGTAACCCAAGGTACCACTGTACCTTTTTATCTGGTCCAAACTGTACATTTCTCTTGTTCACCTTCAAAGCTGTTGGTCTGCTGAAATTAATGGCATCCAAACAAAAATTATTTTATTTCATAAAATTTATACACTGCTTTAAAAACACACACCTCAAAGCGGTTTACATCATCATTAGCTAACTCTAATTAAGTGTGTGTGATTGCATCTGATCTCTAAACTGAGCTTGATCCTATGATAATTTGTTACAGAGGATAGAGGTGAAAGCAGAGCTAGCATTAGCTGGTCTGCTGTACAAACCAAAATCACAGAGGTAACTTTGTGGCAGGTTTTTCTGTTTGTGTCCACTTGACGCATTTGGGCTTGGTCATACAATTCTTAGGTGAGTCTAGGAAAAGTTCAAGTTCAAAATGTGCCCTTGGAAGTCTGCTAAATGTGGGATTGGGTAGAAGATAGATTGATTGCATTTATATCCCATCTTTTTCTCCCAATGAATTCAGAGTGACATAGTTCTCCTCAACCTTATTTAATAACAACAACCCAAGTGGAAATTTGAACCCTGCTCTCCCATGTCCAACACTCTAACCACTATACCACATCAGGCTGTTATTTTTTATATTTGTGAATGTAGCTGCATTATTCATTTCCACTAGATTTCAGGCTATTCTTTTTTCCTTGGAGTAATGTCTGATTTTATCTGAAGCTTCTGTTCTATTAATAGGTATCAATTTTGCTTTTTTAAAGGTGCAGTGCGACTTGTTCAGTAGAGAAATGGTTTTCAAAACAAAGTAGTTCAGATAACCGTCCAAAGCAGCCACTGACAGCATACATTCGCTTTTATAAAGAACAGCAACCCTTTTATAAGAAACAAAATCCAGGTAAGGAATTCACTAAGAATGAGACTTCACTGTAATAAAAGTTTTTGTTGTTTTGTAAAATATGTTAAAAGACTGACTGGCCTTTTATTTTTTTTGCCAGGATTCTCCTAACTTGCTTGAATCGTTGGTTTTCTGTGTGCAGCAAATTAATCCCCAAAGCCTCTTTTTTCATTACATTTATAGCCATTGTGTACACTTGTATTTAGATAATCTGTGAGCTCACATTCTGCAAAAACCGATAGGTTGTACTGTATTTAGAATGCTGAAAGGAAAGAGCCAAGTGGAAATGGTATGTTCCTAAATTTGGCTAGGTAATCATAAGTATACCACAAAATCAGTATGTATATCACTTTGCTGAGTAATATACTCAAAAACAATTCTGAAATTTTACTTTACCCTGTGAATCAGCAGAGAAGAGGAGAGAATGAATGCAAGCAAATAGATAACACGCCTCACTTATTTAGGCTTCATTTCAGTTTCGGGTGAAACAGCCCAGAAATGGCAGGTTTTGAGGAATTGTTTGAAGGAATAGAGTGGTGTCACTGTGCAGCAGTTCTGGGAATAAGCAATATAATGGACATATATATTTAGGGAACCAGAGACTTGCATCCAGAAGTATGGAGAATTTGCACGAGTTGATTAGCTGCTGATATTATGAGACTTCGTGTTGCATGTAGACACATTGAGAGTGGAAGTATGGCCTGTTCTAGGTGTGATTCCACTCCTTCTAAAGGACCAGGTTAGCAGTTTAGGGGTGCTGCTGGATATCCAGGTAGCCTTGCTGTGGCTAAGACTGCTTTTGCCCAGCTTCAGCTGAAGTGAGACTTTTTTGGTCACAGCCCAGTTATTAAGGTATCTACTGGGGGGATTTCATCAGCCCCCTGGCTTTGGTAGGTGGCCAAGATGATGTTATTTTGCCAAGATTTTGATAGTATTTGATTGATTAATCTTTTTTGAGACTGTCTTCTAAAGTATTGTTTTCACTATTTTTATTGCTCTCTTTCTGTTGTATTAAAATGTATGTTCATAATTGTAAACCACACTTTTGAGAACTCTAAGGCATTATATAAATATTTTTATAAATTTTGTGTTTTGACTTCTGAGTAACAATGGTGTTTAGTACAATGCACACCAAATTTTAGCTTTGTTTCAAATAGTTTGGCTATATGTCTGTCAAACCCAACTTGTATATCAGTGATGAAGTTAATTTGAATTTGTTTATTCCTTAAATTTGTTTTTGAAATTTGACACTAAATTTGACAGGATCTTCATCCTTGTAGCTGTTTTTTTTACTCTGCAGACGTAAGTGTTGTGGACATCACAAAAAAGATAGCACACGCTTGGAGGGAGCTCCCAGCATCTGACAAACAAGTAAGCATGGATTTTGGTGTTCGTGTGAACAGAATGTTATTCTATTTTACTAAGAAAATTGCTTCCTTGGTTTGAAAATACCTCCTTAATGTCTAGGGTTCTGTGTTATTTGAAACAGATACATATGCTTTTCACAAGTTTTAGTAAAATTGTGTTTGCTCGTATTCTAGCCATATGAAGCAGCCGCCAAGACTGACAGACAGATCTACAAAGAACAAATGATCAAATACAAAGCACAACTAACTCCTGCCCAGGAGGCAGCTTTGAAAGAGGAAAAGAGAAGGAAAGTGGAAAAAAGAAGAGCAGCAAGAAAAAAGAGGGTTAGTACCTAAATAATCTTTATAATTTTATTATCCACCCTTCACCACTAGGTTCCAGGGCAGGTTACATTTTAAAATTTAGAAATAAAAACAGTTAAAACAAATTAGTCACAGTAACAGGATAGGTCATGAAGTATGATCTCATTGTCCAAGTACCTGAAAACGCTTGCCACCTTATACTAAGGTTTCAGTACAAAATACATGATGCTCTCACACCAGTTACCCATGAAGGTGGTGTGTCTTTTGATGTTACAACTTTTTTCCTTTTGTATACTTACAACTGGTACCTAATATTTTATGATTGCTGCTTACGAATAGTGTAAAGGGAAAAGCTTTAAATTATTCTATTTTTTTATTCCAGAATTTATAAACCACTCTACATTCAGGAAGTACACAAGTGGTGTACAGAAACAGAGTTTCAAACAATACAAATAATAAAATGGTATTAAAGCATAAAACCTAAGTGTTTGAACTTGCTTCACTTCTAAGGGAACATATTTTTTTTTACTGTACATCTACCAATTTAAACTTTGATTTGATTGTGGCTTTGGGGTGATCTGTGTAAAATCATGCAGATTCTATAACATCTATTTTTATTCTGCTGGGTCTGAATTTTACCCAAAGCCTCTGGAAAAGCAAAATAAAAACAAAAAGCACCTTTGCATGTGTACACCTGTGCTTTTTCTGTCTGGAGCGGGGAAGTGGGTAGAAAAGCAACCAGAGCAGGTGGTACGTACAGCATTCCAAATGTGCTCAAGAGACTCAAAAAGGTTGGGGGCCCCTGATTTAGGGCTTTAAAGATTAAAACTACCTGTTTGAATTGAACATGGAAACACACAGCCACCGGTGCTGTTGGCACAGAATTGGTGCTGTGTGCTCCAATCATAGAATGATAAGAGTTGGAAGGGACCCAAGGGTCATCTAGTCCAACCCCCTGCAATTCAGGAATCTCAGCTAAAACATCCCTGACAGATCTCCGTGTCATCATGTCAGCAGCTTGGCTGGCCTTTCCCTTTCCCTACTGTGGCCTTACAGGACTCAACATAAAGCACCTCAGCACTATACACAGAAATGGCAATGGTTTTCTAACTTAAGCCAGTTTTAATAGGAATCTTTGGATTTTAACAATATATTCTTTTTAATGTGACTTGAAGAACTCTGATTTCAATTCTATCTGTCTTGGAAATTGTATGTCTGGTACGGCTGGGATTCAGAAGTGTCTGGTGTTCTCGCATGCATGGGGCTTTTCAGCCTCCCCTTCCTTGTGGTGCCCTCTCATATCCCTCCTTCAAAAAGCTTCCACCTGAAAGGTCAGAGGGTCCTTCAGAGCAGCACTTCATAGGGTACAAGTCTAAGTCTTGGTCTGCTGAATGTCCAAGTCTGCCATTCCCTAAATCCTAGACATAAAGGGGTGTGTGGGTGTTTTCTATGGCTGAACTTAATAACACCTGAGAGAACTGCTCACTGATATCCTTTTGTCATTTTAGCAACTAACAATGCTTGGAAAACCTAAAAGACCTCGGAGTGCCTTCAACATTTTTATGTCTGAACACTTTCAAGAAGCTAAAGGAATCTCAATTCAGGTAAACCAAGGGAGGCTGTTCATTTTAACAGCTACAAGGATGAAGATTCTGTCTTTCGTATTGAGAATGAAAATTAGAACTGATTTAATGGCTATTTCCCATTATTGCCATAATCTGTCGAAGGTCCAGTTGGAGTTTTACGGTATTTTGAGTGCCTCGCGGGTTTTCATAGCAGTGTCCCTGACCATGAGTTTCCACACAAGAGCTGTTGAACAGCTTGTCAAAGATCTGGCATTATCAGGCTACATATACTGAAATTCCAAGCTAGCTTGATAGCTGTAGCTAATGGATATGGAAACTTTAAATGTTGCCTATGAATAAGGGCCCAATTCGTTGGGACAATGGGAGATCCATGGCCAGCTCTCCTGCAGGTATTTTAAAAATAAAACAAGTGCAGCTGTAAGGGGGGGGGGTTAAGTCTTTCTCAATTGACTTAAATTGTTTAATAGTAGATTTTGATTGGTTTATTCTGAGTAAGACTGACTTTATGTAGCACCCATATTTTGCATATCTTGCATTATAAATATGACAGGTGGGTGGGTGTAGGGAGATTTCTGCTACAGAACTTCAGCAAATATCATTGTATGTTTTTGTTTCTCTTGTAGGCAAAGATGAAAAATTTATTTGACGAATGGCAAAAAATGAGCAGTTCCCAAAAGAAGGTATTGTCATAAAAGTGACTTTGAATTCCAGTAAATTGACATTTAAATTTAGGAATTTGAATCTGTCATGCTTAAATGTGCAGCCAAGTGTTCTAGTAGTGACAGTCAAGGTGCAGTACAGGTGTGAAATAATTCAATACATGCCATTCACCTATAGTAAGAACTGGCCGTGGAGACCAACCACTTGTGTCCAGATAACAGTTCATTTTAAAATTAAAAGCAAAGTTTGCAAACTCCTCTGGCTCAATAATGTAAGCCCAGTACATTGAAGGACGACACCATTGTTTCCTGTTAAGTCTGAATCAAGTCAGTGTATGAATGTGTGTGTGTAGCTGTAGATATGTTTAGAAATCTAAGCCAAATCTTAATACTTAACGTATGGCTGAATCACTGTTTCAAATTCTGATTCAAATTATAATATTTGAAATACAAATCAGAATGTCAGTTACCTGTTTGGCATTTTGTGCCACCAAAAGTTGAAATGCCTCAGGTTGTGTTCCTGAAGGAACTGTATGAGTAATCATGCTTTCAGGGACTGATCCTGGCATCACTTTAAGCCATACATGAAACTGCGTCTTAAAATGCATGCAGTTGTCGTAAGGAAGATTATGCTCTGGCTATCTCCCGCTTGGACTACTGCAATGCGCTCTACGTGGGGCTACCTTTGAAGGTGACCCGGAAACTACAATTAATCCAGAATGCGGCAGCTAGACTGGTGACTGGGGGCGGCCGCCGAGACCACATAACACCGGTCTTGAAAGACCTACATTGGCTCCCAGTAAGTTTCTGAGCACAATTCAAAGTGTTGGTGTTGACCTTTAAAACCCTAAACGGCCTCGGCCCAGTATACCTGAAGGAGCGTCTCCACCCCCATCGTTCTGCCCGGACGCTGAGGTCCAGCGCCGAGGGCCTTCTGGCGGTTCCCTCATTGCGAGAAGCAAAGCTACAGGGAACCAGGCAGAGGGCCTTCTCGGTAGTGGCGCCCGCCCTGTGGAACGCCCTCCCATCAGATGTCAAAGCAATAAACAACTACCTGACATTTAGAGGGCATCTTAAGGCAGCCCTGTTCAGGGAAGCTTTTAATCTGTGATATTTTACTGTATTTTTTTGTTTCTATGGAAGCCGCCCAGAGTGGCTGGGGAAACCCAGCCAGATGGGCGGGGTACAAATAATAAATTATTATTATTATTATTATTATTATTATTATTATTATTATTATCATAGCAAAACAAGGGGTCATAATAACCAGCTTGTGGTGTTTTGCTGCATGAAACAAACATGTGTAAATCCTTTTCACATGAAATATTAGTCCTTAGATGTTTCAGAGATGTCTCTAGTAGTGGAAAGTAAATATCCTGACATTTCTGTAGTACCTTTTAACACAAGCAACTTTTCAGTATGTGAATTCCATTTCTTTCTGCATATCCAGACATATCAGCAACTTGCTGAGGATGATAAGATCCGTTATGAAAATGAAATGAAATCATGGGAGGAGCAAATGGCAGAAATTGGACGCGAAGATCTTATACGTTTTAAAAACAGAAGGAAACTATCAAAAAGAAAGAAAACTGAAAAAAAAGTTGCTTCAAAAAAGAGAGCTACAACATTAAAGAAGCCTTCGGGAAGCAAAGTTGCCTCAGCTGCAGCGAAAAAGACAGTAAAGGCAAGGCAGTCTGAGGAGTAAGTTGGATTATACTTGGATTTCATAATTTCTGATTGCAAGTGGAAAGAGACTGAAGTGAAGTCTATTCATTAAAGGAAAGACTCCCAAATCAGAGGTTAGACTTATTTTGGAAATTGTCAAGTAAGTAGAGTAAATCAAGATTGAGAGAATTTAAGCAGTGATTAATCACGAGAGAAGAGGTGCTTTTTCCATAAATGTGTATATAAGCATTCTCTTATAAATTTTCTTTTTGCAGATCCTGTGATCTGTATAAATTCATAATGTCTAGTTGCTAATTAGAAATAGAAATTTAATGTAGGCTGCAAGTTTATTTTGTGTGTAAATGCATGTAATCACTGGAGAAAGCATGTATATTTGCTGATTTCAGCCTTGTAATTAAAGAACTACTGAACTTACAGATTTTCAATAGTGTTTTTCAATTTTTATACGTACCGACAATGCATACTATTATTTATATTGCTTAGAAAAAATAAAACTAGCAAGTTTGATATAAAACACTTTTTCCTCTCATTTTATTCAAATTAGAACAAGGTCATTTCTGTCTAAGATTGTTTTCAAAATGCATTTTATTGTATCAAATAAACCCTTATTTTAAACATAAACAAGTTAAAAAACCCAACTGGCATATTGATCCAAACACTTGCACCGGCATTCTTGCTGCAGTCTTGCAGGCATATCCAACTCCCAAGAGACACTGATCTACTCCCAGTATAAAAAACTGGCAGTGATCTACCCATTGTCATTGGAGGGAGGAGCGTGCGTAGGGTGGGTGGATTGCCCAGAGCTGTTGAGCTTTTTTGGGGAGGATTTATTAGCTTTCCCCCCATAGCTTTTTGTACACGATAAGGATCCCATGATCTACCAGGATCAGCTGGGGATCTACCAGTAGAGCACGATCTACATCCCTCTGCTATAGTATCAGGAACAAAAAAAGGAAGCTACATAGATCCTGGTATTGTCTACTCTGATGGCAGTGATTCTCCTGAAGTTCAGACAGGAGTTTTTTTCCAGCACTAGCTGGAGAAACCAGGAACCATTGGATCAATGAAGATTCATTCATAGAATCAGAGAATTTTAGAGTTGGGAAAGGACCCAAAGGGGCATCTTGTCCAACCCCCTGCAATGCAAGAATCTCAGCAAAAGAATGTTTAACAGATGGTCATCCAACCTCTGTTTAAGTACCTACAATTAAGGAGAGCCCACCACCTTCTGAAGTAGTCTATATTCCATTGTCAAAAGTTCTTCCTAATGTTTAGTTGGAATCTTTATTGTACTTACTGTTGTTTGAATCCGTTCATTAGAGGTTCTGTGCCAAAAACATCATAAAAAGCAGGTAGCAAGAAAATTAGAAGAATGTCAGCAACATATTTAAAAGCAAAAATATATATGGGGGAACTAAACACCTCTGCAAACAAGATACATTTTCAGTACTTACACTCTTCAACCTCAAGTGGAGGAGCATTTCAAAAGTGGCAAGGCAGATTTACATATTAAATCAAGAAGGAAATAAGCCTGTTTTAAATTATGAAAAATAAATATTTATGGGCGACATCCAGTAAGAGTCCGTAGTCTGTACAGACCCACTGAAATATAGGCTTAAATAAATCCAGCCCGTTTGAGTAAAGTGTATCTACTCAGAATATGACTCAGATGGATATCGCCGTTATTGAGATAAAGTATACCTGCAATTTACATACATTTAATTTGTGTGCGTTCAGCTTTACGCACTTGACAAAATTTTTTTAAAAGGGCTGGAGTCTGGGGAAAAAGACTTTGGCTGTCCCACCTGCCATTGAACCCAGTGTGTTTGGACTACACCCGATTTTAGCTTTAGACGTGGTCTCCGGAACGTAACCCCGCGGAACTTGCGGTCTTAGTGTATTTCTCAAGCAAAAACATGACAACTCGTTGCTTTAACCACAATCGCAACGAGTGAGATCTACTGTAATGCTATCTGCCAATAGGTTTACCCGTTGGACTTGGCCGCCGCGCAATGGATCGCCTGGGCAACCCACGAGCACCGCGCGCCACTGCTGCTTTTGAAGCGGTAGACTCTACAGGTAGAGATAGCAAAAATGAAGAGTCACGCATCCATGAGAGAAATGCGAACACGCCATGTCTCAAATGGAGTTTTCCACTGTAAGCTTCCTAGCTTTAGAGTATATAAAATAACGCGTGTGGGTTACATAGGCTCCATCTTCATTATGAGATATAATAATAATAATCAATAATAATTTATTATTTTTACCCCGCCAATCTGGCTGGGTTTCCCCAGCCACTCTGGGCAGCTCCCAACGGAGGATTAAAAACATAATACAGCATCAAACATTAAAAACTTCCCAAAACAGGGCTGTCTTCAGATGTCTTCTAAAAGTAAGATAGTTGCTCATTTCCTTGAGATCTGATGGGCGGGCGCCACTACTGAGAAGGCCCTCTGCCTGGTTCCCTGTAAGCTCACTTCTCGCATAGGAACATGGGCGTAGGCAGGTGTTTTGTTGTTTTTTTTAAGGGAGACAAAACCTCAAATTTGCATTGATTTGTATTGCTTTTTACTGATGAGGGGCAGCTGCCTCCGCTTGGCTACGTCCCTGTATGGGAGAATCCCGGCCAAGCATCTCTCTTCATTTTCTTACGGGTACTGCAGCCTATGTGTCACTCTTCACCTTTTTGTATATCTAGGGTTAGTCCCTCCACTTTCCTCCTCCTCTCTGCCCCCACCTTCTCTTTAATTCTTGGCCTTTCAAGTTCGCGACATCTCGCGGGACGGCCGTAAAGCAGCGCGGGGAGGCAGGAGTGGGCGGGGCGGGCGGGAAAACGGACGGGCGGACGCGGCTGAGAAACAGCAGCCCGCGCAGCAGCAGCAGCAGTAGTAGTAGTAGGTTGTGTCGGCGGTTCCCTTCGCCGAGAGCGGGAGAGAGCGCGCGAGCGTGCGCAGGCGCGGTGGTGGTCTCTCCGCGCGCTTGGGCTCGGGGATGGGGCTGCTGGAGCTTTGCCGCGGGGCCTTCGGCGCCGCCGACCTGTACCAGGTGCTGGGCGTGAGGCGCGAGGCTTCGGCCGACGAGATCCGCCGCGGCTACCACAAGGTCTCACTGCGGGTGCACCCGGACCGCGCCGACCCGGACGGGAAGGAGGCGGCCACCCGGCATTTCCAGGTGAGGGGAGGCGCCGGGAAACCTGCCTCGGACTCGCCGGATGGAGGTTCTCCTTTCCCCGTCCTCAGCAGGCAGGAATCAAACCGGGGAAGTTCTGCGAGTTGGTTAGCCGCGGGACCCGGGTTCAAATCCTGCTCTGACTCGCTTGGCCCCAAGCTCGACTTCATCATAATATAATACAGTAATAATAATTTATTATTCATACCCCGCCCATCTGGCTGGGTTTCCCTACCCACTCTGGGCGGCTCCCAACAGAATATTAAAAACACCATCAAACATTAGAAACTTCCCTAAACTTCAGGTGCCTTCTAAAAGTCAGGTAGTGACATAGGCCACTTGCACCCTCCGCCTCATTTTGCAAAATTGTGTACCGCCCTGGGTTCCTAGGGTGGAAATGCGACCAAAGTGGGATCCACCAAATAATAAGAATAATTTTTTTATATATAATAATAATGATGGTGGTGGTGATGATCTTATTATTTGTACTGCACAGATCTGATTGGGTCACTCCAGCCACTCTAGCATCTTCCAGTACAGTGGTACCTCAGGTTACATATGCTTCAGGTTACATACACTTCACGTTACAGACTACTTCAGGTTACATACACTTCACTAACCCAGAAATAGTACCCCAGGTTAAGAACTTTGCTTCAGGATGAGAACAGAAATTGCACAGCAGCAGGAGGCCCCATTAGCTAAAGTGGTACCTCAGGTTAAGAACAGTTTCAGGTTAAGAACAGACCTCCAGAACGAATTAAGTACGTAACCAGAGGTACCACTGTATATAATTTCATCCATAGATCTCAGGCCGGTTCACAGCTTAAGATAAAAAACAAAAAATGTTTTTAAAAAACGAGAACAAAGCACAGCTCCATGAGGGTCCTCTTGTTCTAGGCAGGCCTGCAATAGGAGCCCTGCCCTTCCTTGGCCCCAGTAGTCCACCTGCCTGCCTCCTTGCTTACAACCAGTCCAGGGGCTGGTTCTGCCTGTCAACTTCCTCCTCAGCAGGGAGGAGAATGGGACAAAACTAGAAAGAGTTGCCTCTGCCTGCCCCCACCTACTGTTGGTGTCCCTGCCTTCCACCCTATCAGTCTCAAATGGCATCGATTAACAAGCGTAATTTACAAGCGTATATCTACATACTTAAGAAGTCCCCCTCCCCAACTTGTGTCTTTATTGATGGGATGGGTGTTCTGCTTCCAGTCTGAGAAACCACTTCACCTTCGTGTTTAGAGGGGGAGCGTAGAACCTGCCACATTGTGTTGCAGTGCTCCAGTTCAGGCCTGGTGGGAAATGCATGAGCCAAGAGGACCATTTCTCCCTTTTTTCCAGCCCATGCCCTGCTCTGTGGCCTAGCACAAGATGGGTGAGGATTGGGCACACTGCTAATTCTGAACCTGAGTATTTTATAGCTATATAACAGGGGTGGGGTGGTTAATGGTTATGCATGGTAGAAAAGGGAAAGGTTTACCCAGTGGTATTATTCTAGAAAAAGAGGAGCCGGAACTCACCACAAACGCCTCCATTTTTCTAGCAATTGTGCAAATCCTGAGAAGTGCTGGAACATCCTGTGTTTGCCTTTTCTTTGAAAATTTGGATGTATGGCAGCTCATGTCGGAAGTATAGATTTTGGCAAATTCCCTTAAAAACACCTCAAAAACTTACTTATTTTCTTGAGATTTTGCAGAAAAAGCTCAACAACTTTTGTGTCTGGATTTTCACTTTTTGAAATATGGCAGCCTTACTTCAACCTAAATCCCACTTACTATAAGCTGTTAGGCCTTGATAAGTCCAGTTTCCTCTTGTGTCCTACCAGTTTTGGTTCTCTCTAATGTTTGGTGTTATTTTGGGGTTTTATAATTTTACCCTTCTGTTTGCCTACGGAGTCCCTCGAGTATGTTGAAACCACTGTACAATTTTGGGGTAGTCCCATTTTGTTTGTAAACTTACTGGCACCCAACTACTTGGAAATTCCACTGTTAGAGGGAATGCTAACATAACCTGAATAAGAAAGAAGCCAGTTGTGAGGCAAGTGGGATGGCATGGGTTGTGTCTTACTGGAGTAGTGAGGTGGTTTGTCTTGTCTCCTCTTAGATCCTGGGCAAGGTGTATGCAGTACTGAGTGACCAGGAACTGCGGGCTCTGTATGACCAGCAGGGGATTGTGGATGAGGAGTCAACTGTGCTGACTCAGGACCGCAACTGGGAAGAATACTGGAGGCTGCTGTTCAAAAAAGTAGGTAGTCTTCTTCAATGTGATGATGGTCCTTATCTCACAACTGGAATGATAATATCTGTAAAGAAAGTGCTATTTCTTTTACCTGTAGGGCAAATGTAACTTCTATGGGACTTTTGCCCTCATCCCCTTTATTTTATTTTCATCTGCGGGATGGGTTGTTATTTGTGATGCCAAATTTTTCTCTGGCTGCAAAAATCAATTTTTGCAAACCTGAACCTTATGTGATTTTTTTTGTGTAATATCAAAATACGACATTCTGTTTTCACAGCTCAAGAAGTTCAGTGCCCTTTCATTATTTCTTTAATTCCTGGATAAATTTCCTTAATGCTGTTGTAGTAAATGGAGTGCAGCTAAAAAAATTTTGGAGATGGCATGGCAAGGAATGATAGCTCTGAAATGCTTTAGTGCTGAAATATCCTTTCAAGTTTGTACACCATGAAATACTGAAGGGTGGACCTATTCAAATCAATACACTTGAGTTAGTCAAGCCCATCGATTTCCCTAGGTCTAAGTATGACTTATGGATCCTTAATCCCCCACCCCCATTTGCAGGCCAACTTTGACAGGTGGGCAGGACCCTTTGGGTGTCAATGACAAGTGGCTGACACCTGCCAAAGTTCAAAGGAGCTCATTGTAACCAGATTGATGGTTTTGGAGATGTTCTTTCAGCGCCAGTCTGATGATTGGTGCTGGGAGCTTGCCTTCGAAGGGGCTCCCAGTACCCACCGATCAGCAATTACAGGGAGCCCCCTTGAAGACCAATTGGAGAAAGCAGATTGGATTCAAGCTATTTTCTCCAAATGAAGCATGTTTCCTCTGCAGATGAATACAACCTGTGTGTGTCCCAATCTGCTTCATCTTGCTTTGCCTCGCTTTGGATACACTTCCTTCCATTAAAAAGGCCCTGTACAGATGAACTTGAATTACAGAAAAGTAAAATTTTGAAGTAACAATGAATTTGGGATGGAAAAGTGTGTGTGTGTGTAACTTGAGTGTGGTAAAAAGGATTGTCGTTCATGGAATTCAACTCTTTTTGTTGTTGTTTTAAAATTAGATAACGGTAAAAGACATTGAAGACTTTGAGAAGAAGTACAAAGGTTCTGCAGAAGAGCTGGTGGACATTAAAGCAGCATATGAGGATTTTAAAGGCGATATGGACAAAATTATGGAATCCGTACTGTGTGTTGATTATACAGATGAGCCGAGAATAAGAGAGATTATCCAACATGCCATTGATTCTGGAGAACTTCCATCTTACAAAGCCTTTACAAAAGAGTCTAAGCAAAAGATGAATTCAAGAAAAAGGAAGGTAGGTTTGCAAGAGGCAAAAGACTGTGACAAAATGTGTAATTCTTACCATCAACTAGAGTTATGAATGTTTCACTGTCCGTAAACATATTTCCTATTTCACGTAATGTACATTTTCAAATGTAACATCCTTTCAGTGGTTGAACCAGTGCTTGAGTTGCAGAGAGAACACAGCCTGTTTTCTTCAGCTACTGGTTTCTGGAAGTTTTATGAAGGGGAAACCACCCCCATCCCCCATTTCAACCCAGTTCTTTGAGAGAAGAGAAAGCCTGTATTTCTTTATCTTGATGCATTGAGTGAACACGCCAAATTCAGAACATCCTTATGGAACAGAATCCTATTGGTTTTTGATCCTTCTTTTATAGTAGCTAGGTATTAAATGAGTATCATCTAGGATTTTATGATATACTCCCATTTATTTACTATTTATGATGTGGTAATAATCCTTTAATGTAAAACACTAGAATCTACCTACAATGCAGCAAAACATTTGCTGGCCTTTCTTCTCTCTGGGACTCATAAGCAAATTTTCCTAACATTGCTCAAGCCATCCTGCAAATTTGTTGAAAATGGCCGGGTAGAAATGCTTACAATATAATATTAACAAATAAATTGCTTGCTGCTGCAGTAGGTTAAGAAAATTTAGCATTCGCTTCAACAACTGTGTCATTGTTTCAGGCTCGACAAGAAGCTAAAGAGGCAGAAAAATCCAGAGAAGAACTGGGTCTTGGTGAAGGGGAAGATGACCTAAAAGCACTAATTCAAGTAAGAGTGGAGTAAGCTACAAATCATTCTAACAAGTTAGATAGCATTACCTTTTGTTAGGTTAGAGGCAGCCTTTAACTCTAAATGATTTAAGCCTCCAGCATTGCAGAGCTAATTTTAATGTTCAGGATAGCAAAAAGCAGTGAGGTCCCCTTGGGATTTTTTTTTACAGAGACTAGTGTTATTTAATTTATTCCAAAATGATCAGGAGTCGCAGGTGAGCAATGAGACAGCCAGATTTACAGATGACACTAAATTGTTCATGATAGTGGTATCCAAAGGCGACAGAACTGCAAGTGAGATTTAGTGTGTATAATAAGTTGTAAAGTGATGCATGTTGGGACAAAATAATAACAACTGTAATTTCACATACACGCTGATGAGGTTTGAATAGGGCTGTGACTAAGGGGTTGAATATTTAAGGGAATTTGCGCATCAAGGAGAGGCAATGTGTGATCTGATTTCTTCATCATAGTTAACTGCCAGCCAACAGTTGTCCTTAGAGTTGCATTTTTAAATAGTTCGTCTTGAACAGTATTATTCATACTTCACAACAATCTGATCTCTTTCAAATATTCTGCAGATACACTATTTTAAAATATTAATATATATTTTCTTATGTATACCACCTTATTAGTAACTTGAATAAATGCCAAACCTTTTGTAGTCAAAACATGAGAAATACTTGTAAGCTCGTTTAACCATCTTGTTTTTGTCATTTAACAGAGCAAAAATGAGAATCGAAAAAAGGAAATGGATGGTTTTCTGGCTCAGATGGAAGCAAAGTATGGAACCAAATCCAAAAAAGGAGGAAAGAAAACAGCACCCAAGAAAGGAATGAAATGACTTTATTAATTTTCTGGTTTCATTTCATTTCTTCCATTAGCATTAATCTTGCTTTGAGACAGCCAAGGAAAGCAAGATGCTTTCATCAATTCATTGAAACTCACATTGGGTAGAAGACATTCTGAAGAGGCAAGCTGCAGAACTGAAGCTGCTATTAAATGCTTCAAGATGCCACAGAGGATTCAAGGTGGCGTTTCGGACTGCAGCAGTACAGCAAGATTGCTGTGAACAAAAAAGAAACTGGTAAAATGAAAAAACATCAATATTAAAAAAAAACTTCCCCTTGGAATTAATGTAAAATGGTATCGTATGTTGCAGGAATATGTTTGGGCAAGGACTGTCAGTTTGATTTTATAAAGGCATTTATTAAACTTAATAAAGTATGTTTTTGAAAAGTGTGTGAAAAGTCAGAACTTGCCCATGATGGGCTCTAGCTAAAATGCATCAGTTGGAGAAGGAAGGTAGGAGGCAGACAGGGGGAAATGGTAAACTTAGGTGTTTGTTGGGCTCTGTAGTATGCTATCTAAAACCTTGCTTCACTGTTGCTGGTATGTGTGGTCTGGGAGTCCGTCCAACAGTAGAAGCAAATTAGCAAGCTGGTCCTGCCTTCTAACTGTGCAGGAGGGGCAGCCTGAATGGTGGAGAATATCCCCCCGACTTTAAAAAACAAGAGGACAATATTCATGCAGTGAGTGAAAAAACAGTGTGTGCTCCGGGTATGAAATGTCTTGCCAACAGTGTGCCACTTATGCCTTTAACTATGAACATACATACAAACTTTTCAGGGCCAGAAGCTATAGTGATAGAATTGGACTAATGCTGGGAAGATCCAAGTTAAAATCCCTGCTGTGCCATGAAGCTTGCTTGGGTCAGTTACTCTTGACTGTACCATTCTCAAAGCCAAGATCTACCCATTGGGATTTAATAACAATTCAAATGCATTTTAGAAAATATTTTTTTATTTGTATATAAAAGTTATTCTGTATTACAATTTAATTAGAATCTGTTCCCACCAGTTTTTTTACAACTTTCACATGGTATCTAGAATATAATGCAAAGCTATCTTTAATTTACATAACTTCATACAATTGTCATCTGGCACTTACTTTGTCTAGTAAGACCTAGAACTATTTTTTTATGTTACATTAAAATTACAGCAGACATTAAATGCAACATTCAATGTAGGCAATGCTTTTTCTAAATATTTCCATCTTAACAAAGTGTTCTCTCCCCAATGAGAGAACATTAAAACTGAACCTTCCTGCTGTACATTATGTGTGTACCAAACATCTTGCTTCATTTTAAACAAGGGAAAGTATGTACTGAAAGTATAGATGGTAGTACACAAAACTGTTGCACTCCCAAGTTTTAATCTTGGCCACCTTTCAGACATCATCACCTGCAGCTTTTTCTAAGTATGCAAACAACTGGCACTCAGAACATTTTATACAGTTAAGACAAAATACTGGAAGTGTGCCCAAGCACACTTATTTAATTTTACTAAATATATTGCCATCAAGTGCCAATAACTGGCAAGTCAATTGGTGTTACAACATTATCACTGCTAGAGGAATCCCAATTCTTTAGGCAGACATTCTTTGTAATAGATTGTATTAACAATACTAGAGGTTAGCAGATTTCTTGAACACATGCTTTCAGCACCCAACAGAATACCATAGCTGATTTACAGGAACAAAAATAAGAGAGAACCTTGTAGTCTTTGGCATTTGTTTTAAGTCAATACAAAAATAAGACTTTTGTAAAGAAAGTTTTAAGACTTCTTCTGTAAACAGGTTTGATATTGCTACAGTTGAATACTGATTGTAAAAGCTTCTACAGGCATTCCCTCATCTTGGAAATAGATGGTTTATTGCCACAACATTATAGTCCCTGTCTGCTTCTCGATCCACCTCGGCTGTGAGTTCTCACAGAGCCATGTAACTGAAGACCTACTGAGCAAAAACCAGATAAAAGCTGTGAAAGCAACGGTACTAAAAGCAAACTTCATGCATGCAGTAATGGGCTGTATCCAGCACTGCAGCTTTGCTAGTGCAGGGGCCTTCAAATGCAGAACAGAACTTCCTCTTCTGTCCCCTCCAGCTCCCCATGCACACTCAAAATCAGTTCCAGAGGGTTGGGAGACCCTCCAGGGGAGATTGGGGGGGGCATGCTGGGGAAGGAGAGGAAACCTAAGTCCCACTGTACAAGTGCCACCCTGCTGGCACATCACTGGATACAACCCAAAATTATGACCACAAGTGTTCATGCCACAATAAACCTGTTGATGATTCAGAACAGCAAATGCTTTTGTGGTGTGATCCTCTCGTGCCAGTGTACATCATAATGCATATGGGGCCCTCAATGACACGTACGTTTCCAAACAAATTTTGACTGGGATGCATTCTAAGATGCCCCAGGCATGTGAAAAGACTGTACCATTTGAGTTTGCTCTCAGGCCCACTTTATACAAGGGTATAGTTGCTTTTCAGGAGTTCTCATGTGGCTTCCTTTACAACATTGTGATGAGAGGGACCAATGACAGTAATGACATCCTTCAGCAGTACAGAGAGCCTGGCACAGGAAATAGCCACATCATCAGTCCACCCCATGTAATCTCAACATTACCCAAAAGGCATCAAAGTCACCAGGAGAATAGCAACCCCCCTACTCCTGCAATGGAGGTACTAGACCTCAATTGGAAAAGAAAATTAACAATGCTCTGCCCTAAATTTGGTTCATATTGCTGGATTAAAATACAGAACAAGACTTCTGTGTCTTTAAAACAGCAAGCACAGCTCCTTCACATGGGGTGTGATCGAAGAAGCTTCATCTTTCCATACAAGTATTTGAAAAGACATGGAAGCCCTATATCAATTTCAGCCTCAATTCAAAGCTACCGCTATCAAAAGGCACTGTCTATTAATATACATTTGGAATGTGAAATTCACATTTGTAGGGCTGAAGAAGTGTGAACCTGGAAGACTTCCGTGGCTGTCATGTATGAGGGCGTGAGCCATGGGTACTTGGTTAGACTGAAAGAACATAGCTGGAACCCTGGTTTGTATACTCGACAGCAGAAACGACAGGAATATAACCTAAATGCACTATTCCAGGTGCAAAATTACACGTTTGACAAAATGGCCAACAACTTCAAAGAGAATGCTAAGTATTTTATGATTTGCAACCAAATAAAGGGCATCGGTTGCCTCTTACTCCTTACCCAGCGGAGGTTGGTCTTCTTTGTCCTCCTCGTCCTCATTCAGAAAATTACCAAGAGCCTGGTGGTGGAAGGAATTAATATAGGAAGAGCTGGATATCCCTAAACTGACTCCCATCACTCCAACATTTATAGCATCTGCAATGTAATACGAGATTTCAATCTTAAACTGTGGCATATTATTAATATAGTTAGCGTACCAAAGCCATTTTAAGCAATACATGCTCCACTTTGCACGTACCTGTGCCAGCAGATCCTTTACTATTTCGTGGTTGATTAGCATAATCAATAACAGTGCAAGAGCGACGATACTGCGAGTCTGGCTAAAAGTGCAAAAAAAAAAAGTTAAAGAATCATAGAGTTGGAAGGGAGCCTGAGGATCAATTAGTCCAACCCCATACAATGAAAGAATCCTGCCCCCAGCTGGTCCTGGGTAGACTTCAGCCACCACCAACCAGATGCACTGACCCATTGCACCACTAGAGGTACCATGTTTTGGATCAGGCTATTGCAAAATCAAAATACTCAAAGCACACAATCCTTCCCCATGTCTGGTTCTTCCCTACCCCAAAGCCGAGCAGCACTTTATGGGGAACAGGCTGTACTCTTTCCACATCCCCATCTACTCTTCCTTCTCTGCACTATAAAGTTTCTCGAAATCTCAAGTAACTTAAGCATGGAGAGAGAGGGTGTAATGTCTTGGTATGTTGCTGCTTCCACATACTGAGAGGCAGAGAGTAATCATTGTGTAAAGCTACTATCATGAATCTGAAAGCCACTCTGAAGGCTCTCATATCTATTCTCAGGGGGAAGTCAGTCACACACACACAAACAAACAAACACACACACACATATTTGTTTCTCTTTTCCTTCTCCCCCATAGTCCTGAAACTAAGCCAAGGTACATGGAACTGAAGCAATCCCATTTTCTACCTCTGCCGACCTACCCATGTTTCCATTCCTTGCTTCCTCTTGTTTCCCTCTGCCTATTTTAGATGGGAAGTCCTTGTCATAGGAATTTGTCAAGTTACATGCACGCAATGGTGTTCTATAAATTAATTAATATTCATGTGGGAGCCACACAACCTGGGACAATTAGAAGGGACCTGTGCAGATCCTAATTCATTTCCTTAAAATCTACCATTGAGTGCCGAAGGATTTTGTACCCACACTTAAAATAACAGGGAAACCTGCAAGCATAGGCCTATGGATTTTGATACTGGCCACAGATAATGGCAAGATGAATAGCTACTCTTTCCAGGTTTGAATGTAATTTGAACACACCTTACCCAAAATGCATGCGATGTGTTGGGCCTGGAGAAACTATCAGGTAATAAAAACCTCTCATGCACTGGTTGATGGTTAATTTCATCTGCTATTGCACTGCGAGCCCGGCTAGCATTCCCCCGAGATTTCTGCATGGTGAAGAGAAAAAAGCCATGGGTTTTAGATACAAATTTACACTAAAAGAAATGCAAAAGCTTGGAAATACTGGTATCACACCCTCTGCATTAAGGCAGTAACAGACAGTGGTGCAGTTGATTAATCTGATGAATAACAGAGAGAGACGAACCTTTTCACTCTCCTGGTAAACACACTGCATGAAGCATTCTGCTTCAAGGTTGATAGTCTCAAGAAGTAAAAACAGATCACTCACAACCCAGAAATTAGATATAACTACTTAAGAATTAATAGTTGCTTTGAGGGTTGGTGTGGGTTTTAGTTTTAAAAAACGCACAACAATTATTTTTATAATTTTCTCTTGTAAATCATAAACATTCATTCAAACAAAACAAAACAAAAACCGATTCTTACTATCTTACAGTAAGGACCACAAGGCGAGGCTTGAAGAATCCCCTGTCATTCTAAGACCAGAATTGTTTCAACAGAAGAGGTGGCTTACCATTTGCTTTTGAGATCCCAAATGATCTGCTATATCTACAGTACTAATTGGAGGCAGAAGGTTATTTCTGCTCAGTGGCATTGGGGAAGGTGATGACAGTTGCTCATTTGCAGTGGACCTGGAAAAGACCAATGACAATTACTAAAAACAACATTTGCACTGGAAATTACAAGACTGATGTGAATTCAAGGTAAATAACAAAAAGAAGTGTCCATGCAAGTTGATGAAAAATACTGGGTTTCAGTGTGGAGAGTCGATGAGATTGTGGCTTAAATGGTGAGCTCCACGTTGGGAGAAACTCCAGCAGAGATGAGAAATGGAGGAATCGGCATGCATTTTGTAGACATTTCTCTCCAATACTGAACCATCACCAGTGAGGAATACAAAGTGATTGCAGCTATTTCAAGCTTCAACACTTTTCCTAGTTTAAGGCTAAAGGAGGAAAATAACTGTCTTCCACAGGTAACCTGGCACCCTTCAAAGCTGATTTATTTAAATTATTTCATCGCAATTAACTGCAACACAATTTCAGGACTGCTTTCAGTCTATGAAATGCCTTCCTTGTTGAGTCCTTTCAAAACGCTGCTTCTCTTTTACCTCTAAAAATCAATGGCCAACGTGACCTAACGGACGGATTTGCCTCAAGCTTAACATGTACCTGCAATGATAGCCTAATAAGTCTTATCAAAGGCTTAGACTTCAGGAATGGATTGAGGCAAAATACTCGCTTGCCATCCATTATTCAATCACGAGAGAAGAGAGTGATATGTGTGAGCTGAAATACAAGAAACATACCAATGGAACAAGGCAAGCTTTTACTAGCATCTGAAGCAGATATCATCACACAGTGAAGCTAAGTGTCTGACATAATATGCATCTTGATATATGACTGAAATGGATGAGACAAGTTGTGTTAAACTCAACTCAAGTAAGACAGATGCTTGAGGGCAAAGGGAAGCTTTTTGCAGATTCTGTATCAACCTCTTTAGTTGTCAGCACCTGTCCATTGATTGTGTAGGTGGGGCACACTTTGGGACCAATCCATCTTGTGTCCAAGTTTCAACTGTGGTCACATTTACTTCTTCTAGGTCTATACCTTGGTTACCTTGTGGGATGAATACTGCAGGGCTCTCTACCTGGGGCTGTAGAATGGAAAATACACAGTAGGTGCAACTGGTCCAAGCTCAAGTAGCCAATCTCTTTCAGCACCGCTATACTGCCTCTCAATTTTATACTGGACTCAAAGGAAATCCTTGTTCTGCCTATAACTTGGCCCTCTCACTGCTCAGCAAGCACCCCTCTGTGGCAGAGCTTCTGTAATATTTGTCCATTATATTTATGAGCCACTCTGTAACAATGTTCTTTGAGCAATGAACAAATAAAACAGCTTCACAAAATCAAAGAACACAACGAAACAAAGACTAAAAGCCAACAGCCAAGGGAGCATGATGCAACTCTAAACTTATCTGCTACCATAAAAGGGGGCGAGGGGAAATTTCCCGAAGAGACAAAACTCTAAACTTTCAAGTAAACCTAGAAGGTTTCAATAATGCATTTGGCTGGCATGCATATTTGTGGTACGATAAGGTAAAAGTACATAAAGCGTTTAAAAATCATATAGTTAGAAAAGCATTGTTTAATGTTTGGATAAGATATAAAGATTTGCTAGAAAAGAAAACCCCAAGATGGGTGTCACCAATGGAAGCGAAGGCACAGAAAAAACTCAATATGGAGGCCAAATGGCCGAAATATTGGGAAATTCTGGAACAAGATGGAGACAGACTAAAATTGCAGAGTTTTGAAAAATTGAAAAATAAAGTGCGAGATTGGCTCCATTATTACCAAATAATGGAGGCATACAATTTGGACAAAAAAGTTGGTTTCCAGGTGGAAAATCAAAATTGGAAACAGAACTGTTAGATCCAAAAATCAAGAATTTGTCAAGAATGTATAACTTGCTGTTGAAATGGAACACTCAGGATGAAACGGTGAAATCAGCTATGATTAAATGGGCACAGGATGTTGGACATAATATAATGATGGCTGACTGGGAACAGTTATGGACCACAGGTATGAAATTCACGGCATGTAATGCCTTAAGAGAAAATTTAATGAAAATGATTTATAGGTGGTACATGACACCAGTCAAGCTTGCAAAAATCTACCATTTGCCCGACAATAAATGTTGGAAATGTAATGAGACTGAAGGTACATTCTTTCACCTTTGGTGGACATGCCCAAGGATGAAGACATACTGGGAGATGATTTATAATGAAATGAAAAAGGTACTTAAATATACCTGCTTGAAGAAAGCGAGGCCTTTCTCCTGGGCATGGTCGGCCAATTGGTGCCAAAGAAGGACAGAACTTTTTTTATGTATGCTACAACAGCAGCAAGAATACTTATTGCAAAGTATTGGAAGACACAAGATCTACCCACTTTGGAAGAATGGCAGATGAAGTTGATGGACTATATGGAATTGGCGGAAATGACTGGCAGAATCCGAGACCAGGGAGAAGAGTTGGTGGAAGAAGACTGGAAAAAGTTTATAGACTATTTACAGAAATATTGTAAAATTAATGAATGTTAGAAAAATGTTGGAATGAAATTATATGGCTTTAGTAGAAATGTTATAAGGAATTAAGTATAAATAGATTAATAGAGTATTAAAGGAAAAAATAAGGTTAGAATGTGTTAAGATAATTATAGGATAGAAAACAGAGGAAGATGGAAAAGAATTGCTGAAACAATTAACTGAAGTGGAATACACAAAGGGAGGTGTGAGGAGGTCGTGGAAATAAGTGAATGAAAGATAAGATATTGAAATTGTTTGATTTATTTTAAACTGTTTTTGTTTTGCTTTGTTAGTTTAATGTGTTTATGTTATGTAGTGTTTTTGTACTGTATTGTTTTTGTAGTGTTTAAATTGTTGGAAAAGTAATAAATATTAATTTAAAAAAAATAGAATAGGTCACACGTAAAAATGAAAAGAAAAAAAAAACTTCCAAGTAAACAACAAGAACAGAAGGACTGCGGAGAGAGAATCAAATACAGTGGTGCCTCGCAAGACGAAAAGAATCCGTTCTGTGAGTCTCTTCGTCTAGCGGTTTTTTCGTCTTGCGAAGCAAGCCCATTGACGGATTAGCGGATTAGCGCTATTAGAGCTATTAGCGGCTTATCAGCTTATCGGATAATCAGATAAGCGGCTTAGCGGCTTAGAAAAAGGGGGGGGAGGGAAAAAACGCAGGAACTCGCAAGACATTTTCGTCTTGCGAAGCAAGCCCATAGCAGATTCGTTTTGCGAAGCACCTCCAAAACGGAAAACTCTTTCGTCTAGCGAGTTTTCCGTCTTGCGAGGCATTCGTCTTGCGGGGCACCACTGTATGTGTTTACAAAGAACTGAAACTATTGCAGATTCTGTTCTTAATGGTATACTGGTGCTAGTCCTCATTCAGCATTAATGGCATAGTGTGGCTATCCACATGCAATGCATGCAGGATAAACTCGCTCTGGAGGTGGAAGTGCTGTTCCTGGGCTCCTTTGGGAGGAAGGGTAGGATATATAAATTTAATAAATAAAGGTCCCTCTGCGGCTTTTGAAAAATGTACCATGCCCCAGAGGAACAGAGCCTCCACAAACCTGTGTGTTTTTAAAGAAGAATACATTTTAAAGGCTTATGTAAAGTAGAGGTTCCACTCAATAGTTACCCTTCTTGTCCTTATTTTAAAGGGTTTCATAAACATTCCTGCTCTTGAGCAGGACAATGGTGAAATGCTTTACCTCAAAAATAGTAGATCATAAAATAGCACAGATGTGAAGAACTGGATCGGAAGGGGAATTGTGTTGCCCAGCACTAAAGATATAATGGGCACTATCTTTCAGATGGCTATAATAAGCAGCCACATTTTATGTAGTACAGTGGTACCTTGGTTCCCAATCGGCTTAGTAGTCGAATAAATCGGCTCCAAAACTCCGCAAACCCAGAAGTAAATGTTCTTGTTTTTGAATGTTTTTCAGAAGCTGAATGTCCAAAAGGAGGTTTCCAATTGAGTGCAGGAAGCTCTTGCAGACAATCGGAAGCCGTGCCTTGGTTTTTGAACAGTTTCGGGAGTCGAACAGACTCCCAAAACGGATTAAGTTTGAGAACCAAGGTACCACTGTACTCTATTGCTGGAGAAAGTCTGCATTTTCCTTGCAACAGTCTATCGTGACTTGGGTGATAGGGAAATGGTGATTCCCTACAGAAGAGGTATAAGCTGGAGAAGCGGATGTTTTGATTCTCTACATCATCAAATAATAAAAAGGTAAAGGTAAAGGACCCCTGACAGTTAAGCCCAGTCGAGAATGACTCTGGAGTTGCGGCACTCATCTCGCTTTACTGGCCGAGGGAGCCGACGTTTGTCTGCAGACAGTTTTTCCAGGTCATTTGGCCAGCATGACTAAGCTGCTTCTGGTGAAACCAGAGCAGCGCACGAAAACGGCATTTACATTCCTGCCGGAGTGGTACCTATTTATCTACTTGCACTTTGACGTGCTTTCGAACTGCTAGGTTGGCAGGAGTTGGGACCGAACAACGGGAGCTCACTCCGTTGTGGGGATTTGAACCGCCGACCTTCCAATTGGCAAGCCCAAGGCTCAGTGGTTTACACCACAGCACCTCCCCCGTCCCAACATCAAATAATAACTGCACAAATAAAGTGATAACCAGGAAAGGCTTCAGCTCATACATGAAATCTTACAAAAGAACAGCTCAGAACACAGTCACAATTTTCACAGGCAGTGTCTAGTGTCTCCTTTTGCAAAATAGAACAGATTAGATAACAAATATTAGTTATCCGACTGCCTGTTTCACCCACCCCACCCTCGACATCCATAAGATCTGATCCTGTCACGCTGAACATTTCAAAAGGCAGAGATTTAAGCCAGAAGTACGTATCAACCTACAGCCGTGTTCCCCTGATGACATCCTCCATGGATCTCGGTGTCCCTGAGCGAGAATGGCTCGTGTTGATGGGGTGCAGAGTACGTGGTGGAGGGTTGCGCCTTCTAGCAGACTGTGCAGAATAGGACAGAGAAGATGTACTGAGCTCAAGTGGGCGATTTGGCCGAGCTCTGGTTGACAGGATAGAAGTGGAGCCTGGCCTCATAAGCAATCTGTCATCCAAGTCTCTGGCACCAAGTGGGGGAAAGCATAGAGGCAAAATGAAATATTCATAAACTGAGATTGCACCATCCGCATCAATTAACGAGGCACAATACCACTACAAAGGCAGCTACTGCACAGCTATTCTGCTCTATAAAGCCCATGTGTATCCCGGTAAGATGGTCTGAAGGCACATGAGGTCAAAGCTAAGCAGGTTCAGTTCATGCCTGGGTGTGTGAACCACAAGTCCACCACCTTTGGCTCCATGACAGAAGAAAGGCACAGTATAAAATGAGTTTTTAAACATGTGCAAGGAAAACAGATTCCATCCTAACATTATTACCCTTAGCATTTGCATTTCAATGAAAAGGGGATGCTAAAAACCTATTGTGCTGTAGGAGCCACTAGACTGAGCAAATCCACTAGCATATTAAGTATGAATTTTACATCTTGTGCATGTTGAGAGGTGTAATTGATTTCTATGTGGGGGTTTTGATAGTAACCTGAGCTAGTTTGTTCTTTAGCCTAGCTCAGTTTTAGACAAGCCAAAATGGACTAGAGTAGAAGCATTCAATGGTTCCTCCACAGCTGTGGGTGCACAGAGGAAGAAGGAGTTTAAAAGTCAATATAAACTTAGAAAAACTTGAATCCCAACACTACTGCTTCCTTATATCTCTAACTCGCAGGGCAGCTTTCATACACAACAAATAAAAGATGGCTACTCTTACAATATTTTATCCATCAGAGGCAAGTTCCTTTGGTGTAAGGGGATGCCATGAATAACCATCAAACCATTCAAATTACGTTGTGGACCACCGCTCGTTCCTTGTGAGAGATTTGCCTGCAGGTTACAAGAAATTAAATTTGCCCTCAGCATTAAATGAAAGATATGCATTTGTTAATTTCCAATCTCGGCTCTTACTGAAAAAAGGATTGGAAAAGAGTAAATGTCAATGGACTCAAGAAAAGCAGTGCATACCCTCAATTTGTTCATAAGTAACACGTAACAAGGCATTAATGGTCTTATAAGCAGTTCTTATATCTTTTTAAATTACACACTATTTATTATATAACATGGCTTCGTAACCAAGATAATTAAATTGTTTAAGCTTAGCATAAATTAATCTGGATGAAATACTTTCAGCAGAGAAAAGAATGTTTACGTCACACGCATAAACAAACATAGTTAGATTTCTACTTTGTGTATATGCTACCAACTAACTACTCAGTCCTTGTACATCTGCATGACTGCATGATAGATTAATTTCAGTGGCCCTTGTCACCAGCTACACGTGTACGACTGCTGAAATTCTCATTGTTGACAAAGCATGCATTATCTTGAGGTAAATCTTAGGAAACAGGGAGAGGGGGCACTTGCTGTTCTCAACTGCTGAACTGGTCCCTGCTGCACATATTGGTAGCCACATCCTGACCCAACGGCAGAGAAATCAAACTTGAGCATCAGTAAGTCAGCTGGGCTTACAACTGTGTTTCACAACCACCTCTCTTATCAGGTTAAGAGAAAGGGCATGGTCCCTTAATCCCCCCTTCTTTGTGGCAGGCCTCCCCCAGCCTTGTAAGAATTTTCTCACCTAAAGTATATCTGGTTACAGCAGCTTCTGTACTGAAAATACACAGTGTCTGTCATAGCTCGCTGCAGCCTTCCCTCACTTATAACTTCCAATGCAATATAATACCACTCTAGAGTTAGCTGACCTTTAGGAGTAGGTTTTTGAAAGGTCAAAAGGGGGACTAGGAAAAGTCCTACTTAGTACTGGGGTGCCAAATCTATAATCCTAAAAAAATGTAAGCACAAATCTCATTGACGTTTGTTACTGAATTTATTCAGGATCAGCCTAAACTTGCTAAGATGGGATATTATTAATGTTTGACTAAATTGCTTAACAAACTAGTGAATGAGGTTCTCCCTTCCCCAGACACTGCATCATATGTCCCATTGCTTCCTTAATAACAAAGGAATCCAAGAAACAGTGTGACCCAAAGCTGTCTAATTTGGAAGTAAGTTCTGCTGAAATTAATGTACAATACTTCTGTGGTAATGAATTTTGACTCAAAATAGTTCTGCATTATCTGGGAAAACGCAAAATCATCATCATCATCATCATCCACCCGCCATATTACACTGGTAGGAGAAAGAAAAGAGCTATACCCCCTGCATCATACATACTTCCGGTGTTTTTCTCTTCTTTTTGCTTTTGCGGACACATCGGTGTTTTGAGTACTATGCATACAATAAGGTGTACATGAGGAAGACAGAGGATTATACAGGGAAGTGAAAGGGGGAAAATAAAAAAGGAAAGAAACCGAGTTAAAATGGATCAAACACTAGTTAAACCTTGGGTTCTTATCTTTATTATGGAGAGTATGCAGAGCAAGAACTAGTACACATTTTAAAAAACAAAGGTAATTAACAGAGATGCTTTATACATCCAAGCAGCAAAATAAGAGTGCTCTCTGTTGCCAACTAAGCTGGGTAATGATTGAGTTGGTATCTCCCATACCAGTCCTCTAACTCTGGATACCTCTTATTTCATCAAAGCGCAAAGAAAGAAAATATTTTCAAAATAAGGTAGATAGAATTTTAAGAGTTGTGACAGTACGTGATAAAGTGAAAGTTTTGCAAGGACAGATATAGTCAAGCCATTGCAATGTCTAATTTTCAGGCAAGTTAACATGATGAATTTCCTTGCCTAAACACCGTCTCAACCTGATCTGTCTTCTTAAACTTACCAGATTTGAAGGGATGGAGGGCATCTTAGTTTGCGGCATTCGAGGTAATAACAGTGGCAAAGGCTCAAACTGCATAAAAGGACTTCCTGAATCTGTCCGGTTTGTTTCAACAGTTATGACATTCTTCTCATCATCTACCAGAAATAGGACAAACATAAATCACTATGCACTGTTCAATTTGGATTCTTATAAAGCAAAATTTTAAGAAAGCTGGCTTTTATCTCCTTGAAAAGTACATAAATGGGCTTCATACTCTTTTGATTTTAATCAGAGACATTTAAAAGAGCTAGAATACATGGAGTTCACTGCATGTCAGTGGACCAAAATATCTGGTCATTAAAATCCACACAGGATAAGACTTCCCAATGCAATTTATAGCAAACTGCAAAAGTCTTCAACTATGACTCACTGGACTGAAACTGTTTCTAGGCATAAGGCGTATTTCGGCAGGGGGGCGGGGGCGGAATATAGCTTGCTAAGTATTTAACACTACATTTTGAAGTGAGCAGGGAAAACTTTGGAGAATGATATCCACTGCATGTTAGCCTTGAAACTTACCTGAGACTGACCCTTCCCAGTGTCTACAGATTAATTGCTCCATATGGCCCAAGACTTCACTCCAGACATCATCAAACACATAGGAAAGGACAGCATCTCTCATGCAGTAGGATGGCGAGATAGGAGGGAAACCTAATTTCCGTCTGTCAGGTGAGAGACCCATTTTCCAATCATGCAACTCTTCTTCCCTTTGAATGAAACAAGATAATGTTACAGTTCTGTTTTAATTTTATATAATCAAAGCCAGAAGTGACTTTGTGCCTACCTGACAAATTTAGAGCTGATGGGTGGAATTCAATGCTGAACTCTTCTAATTGTTCTGTCTGAGCAATCCCTGCAGCTTACCAGATGCAATGAGCCCCCCTCCCCCGCCACTGCTCTGGGGGGCTTTCCCAATGACCCTAAGAGGTGGGGAGAGGAAAACCTGTTGTGAAAGTCCTTGCACAGGGCTTCTGCTGACAGAGATGGTTAGGTGACTCCTGCCCTTAAGAGTGGTAGTCAACAAAGTTTTACTCAGAGCAGACCCACTGAAATTAATGGTCTTAACTTAGTCATGTTCATTCATTTCAATGGTTTAATTATAAACCAATAATTATTTTTTGTACATATCCAATTGTATTAAGTTGCTTTACATAAAATTATGCACAAGTTGCTTTAAGCTGCCTCATTTTAAAATATTCCACCTTATGTGTTTTCTGCAACTTCTGTAAGCTTTCGTATTACCATGTCATAATACCATTCAGCTTTGTCCACTAATAAGCCAAGTGATTTGTTTCAGCTATAATCCTGAGTCTGTGGTTTTCCCTAGTTAAGATATACTCCCCATCGCAATGGGTTCCTGCTGAGCAACTGAAAACTTTGAGGGATTCAGTGACTAGCCAGGATTTGGCACAGGACTCAGTGGCCATGACTGGATCACAGAATTAACACTCCCTACCTCCATTCCAAAGACAAACAATCAAGACAGCTAGAAGGAAATACTACAGTAAAGATGAATAACTGTTCTAGAAGGCAGCATTTACTAAATGCTGATCATATCCCCAGTCAGTCCAGTGGCTGAAAAACTCTATGCACATATTATTATTATTTTTTGGAACTTTGTGAATCATAAATAGCAAGCACTACATTTCCACTAGTTATGCTAGTAAAACGGCATTGGATCTACCATGTTAATAGACATTTTATTCAAATGAGACATAAATAAAATGTGCAGCTTGAGTTCAGGTCCTTTGGCTCACAAGTTTCCAGTGTGTCCTCTGCCATTCAGCAACTTGCCCACCTAGTACTATATGCATTGCATGATAATCAGCATTAAGAACAACATCATGATGCTGGGGAGGAATAAAGTTGCAATTTTAAACTCAACAGCTATTTAGTGAGACAATCACCAAATCTATAGTGTGGCACCACCGACGAGGATTTACAAAACTACGGTATTATTTCAGTGGAAGAACAACAACAACAAAATCACTGTGTGATTTATTATTTTCTACTGTTAGGAACAAATTACATTTTAGCAATTAATTCCAAGTCACTAGGAGCAAATATCAGTGCAGACTAGGTTAAACAAATATTCAATACCTACACATCTCTGCGATCAAATGCTAAATATTCCTCCATTACACCTTCAGAGACAATCACTCCACCGTCTCCTTCTTCACTCTCCAATAAACACAATTCAGGTGGTTCTGAAATGTTGTCTTCTTTACATATAGGAGTAACAGAAAGAGGAACCTTTTTGCCCAAAATACTAAACCTGAAAAAAACGGCAGTAAACAAGAAGGATTACTTTTATATCTCAATGGTACAGTTATGGTATTGGTGACATGGGCAGATTTTCCCGCTCACCCATGGAGGCTCTTAAGCTCTCCCAACAGCAATGGACAAATATCAAAACCCAACCATAAAATGAAAGCTGGAAAAATTATTCAGTTTTAATAATAATGATGATGATGATGTTAGGCTTTTGAGTTGACTTATTTCATTTTAGACAACAAACCCAAAAAACAGACCTAATTATCCTGAATGCAATTATACCCACTCTCTTCTTTTTAAGCACTAAGAGTAAATAAATAATCTCAGAAACAGTTTTCTTAAATATTCCAGAAAGTAGTTGTGGAGAAATTATCTTATGAGCCCTCTGACATTGTAGGAGCTAGTACAACTAGCAGTAGAATGCTAAGATTGTTTAGACATTCATTTAATTCCTTTATTATACTTGGTATGTGATCACCTTCTGACATGGGATCAACTACCATCCTACCAATACCATACAAGCTATCCTTACTATAAAGCCGCCCCCCTTGAAATGACGAATCCTATATGATATCATAAACAGCTACTGAAGCTCACCAAGTTTCAGAAGCAGTTTGCCATATGGCATGGAGGGCAGATGTCTAAGGAAACAATAGTAAAGTCTCCATTTGCTCACTTCTTTGAATCCTAGCCAATTACACCAGTGTTTGCTAGGCATGTGGACAATATCTGAAACGTATTAACGCTGCTTGCAATATATTACCGATGCTATAGCTACATTCAAAAAGCATGGTTTGTTCTGAACGGCAAATACATTTCATAAACAAAAATAGTTACAAAGAAGACTAATTTCTTCTTCCAATGAAAATAAGGTGGTTATAGTGATGCTATTTTTTAAAAGTCATTTTATGCTTCATCTGACAGCAGCTGACGGTGCAATCCCATGTATGTATATAAGTGTAAAAGTATATAAGGTAAAGTGTATAGACTGCAGTCCTAAAGTGCAATCCCATGGTCCTGCAGGGGCGGGGCGAGGGGAAAGCATTCAAAGGGTGATAGGATTTAGCAGGTTTCCCTCTTCACAGAAGCTTCATGAGTGGGACATGAGGTCCACCTCCCCGAGGCCTCCTTGATGCAAAATGTGGGGTGGGGAGCTTTAAAAAAAAAAGCTCAAAAGGTGAAAGCTCACCACAAACATTCCCCATACCTTGCCCCAGTAGGTTTGCTCTGCCAATCATTCATTGATAATGGAACACTTCTGCAGAATTAGAGATCACTGATACTTACTCACTCGGATCTTTCTCTAGTGATGGGGTCATATCTGATGAACCTAAGGTGCTGCAAGTTGAACTCAAGTACCAGCCATAACCTTCGTCTGTGGGAATCACTACCTGTTTCCCTACAATCCTGATATTAAAGAGAGAATTATTTTTAAAATTACAAATGGCTTTGGAGAAACTGGCAAAGTATGCCTAATCCACAAAACAAGACCTAAAGCATTCAGCAGGTATACAAAACCTACAACTCAAGGAAGGAATTTACTTGTGAGGGAAGGACGGTGCAAGCAACAACTACTCTTGAAGAGCACTTACTTTGCAACATCAAGATAAAATTATCATCTCCTGCAACATTATGTTAGTATGTTCCAACAAAGCACTTCTTACAGTTGAGTCATTCAGCATCAAAGAAGAGATTTGGAAAGAAACAGCGGAATCAGCCACTGTGTTGGTCCATAATGATTCACTCAGGAACAAGAGCAGAGAGGGCGGCACATTTAGAACAAAAACTGAGCCTCTACAGCAGTCGTGAAGAAGCTGAAAAGTACAGCTTTGTGCTGTTTTCTAGTACTGTGAAATACATCACTAACACATCATGAAAATACCTGAGATGGGGAAAGCTTGACATCCATTGTTGGCACTCCTCCTCTAGGCCTTCAACATACATGCTTGTTTTCTGTTCATACAAGAGCTCATCAATATATCTAAATATTTGTTGTACTTGCCGCGTGGCAGCTTTATCAAATTCCTGAACAGAAATTAGGGAAGAAATAAAAATAGGAAACAAAATTACATCTTTAGGGTATTATGTGGACTAACTAGCTAGTTTCACAATTTAGCAGGATACTCAGGACTTTCTTCGTAAAGCAAATATAAAATTAACCTTGTAGCACACACTCGCATGAGAAGAGATGGGGGGATTTAGAATTCATTTTTCACCATGCCTCCTCCAGGCACCACGCCTGAAGGGTTAAGGGGTCCTCGGGGGATACTCAAAGCTTTAAATCCAGGTCATATGCTCAGTGGCCAGAGAATACTGACTGTGTGCTAAGAGTGTGTTTTTTCCCTAAGGAAACCTAGGAGGGAGAAACAATGGAATATCTATCTATTTTTAAAAAATAAATACATAAACAAAGATATTGGGATGTTATGACTGACACACTGAATAGAAGCACTCTTTGTTGCAGGGCCCACTAGGAAAGAATAAATGAGTAAGCTGAATGAAGAATTGCTAATACAACTCAAAATGTAGTTCAAGGCCAAAAGGGAAAGGGGCTGCACCAAGTACATTGCTATAGGATGGGACCCAAGTCTTCTAGAATCTTATCAGGATGGCTTAAATTTGAATGTCATTTGTTTCCAAGGTTTATTTAAAATAGTAATATGTCAGACTTGAGTATTGTCCTAAGCCATGAAAGTTTTACTGATTGATTTGCAAGAAACTTTTTACATTTTAATCGGCAATACAATAACAAAACTAACAAAGATGAAGAGCAGAAGAGGGAGGAATGGGGAAGGATCAGATAAGAGATGGAGTTCTTGAGCCCCAGGTACAATCCAGGTAATAAGATGATTTAAGTATTTGAAACAATGCGCCAGATTGCAATTCTAATTTTCGAAGGATCTTGTTTGTTAAATTATCCAAAACAGGGTCACTGACTTCTAAAGAGGAACTACAATAATAATTTTTATCAGAAACCTAAAGTTATTGGACTCTGAAACCTGCAAATATTTTTAAGATAAAGACTGTTCTTAAGGATGCTGAATTCTGAACCAACTTCCAAGAATGAATACACACAACTCTATTAGGACTACAATATTTTTGCAGCATTCACTGCAAAAAAAACATGTGCATGAGTGTAACTGAAATATGTCAAAGCTTGTACCGGCCTGCCTACTGACTCATAAGAGTATTTGTTAGGACCAATGTGCGAAATTATGTGAAGGACAGAGGTCTAAACTTATCAATAATATTTTTCAAAGGATTATTCTCATTTTAACTGAAGGATTATAATCTACTCACATCATAGCCCCAAGAAAAGACTGAGCTGTCTTCTGTAGAGGTGCCTGTGAAGCTCTGACTAGCTGACCATGAGTTTCCATCGTCTACTGAAGTGACAGATTGGTAGTTTGAATCTTTTGTACTTTCAGACTCACTAAAATGTACAGGGAGAGTGGAGAGAGAAGAGAGAAATGGAATCTTAATATAAGAAAAGTCATATGAGTTAAGCTTTCCAAAGTGAATAGGAAGTATATGGGGAACAGTTTAGATTCTAGTGGGGAAGATATCTTTCAAATAATGTAATTCTGTGGCTACACGTTAAAGGTACCATAAAATAGACACACATATGAAGTTCTGCTAACGATAAAATATGTTTTAGTCCAATTTATTACTACTGGACTGAAGAAGGAAGCTAAAGTTACACCACCAAATGAAGTTTAGTAACAATGAAATCAAATTATATTGTAACTAACAATATTATATAAACATCATGAAATGAAGATTGGTAACAATGAAATCACATTATATTGTTTCTAACAACATTATTTAAACATCAATGTATGTGAACAATACTTAAGAACAGTTGTTGTTTCTGGAGCCCCAAGTTGCAATTATACAACTAAAAATGAAACATGCATATCAACTAGAAAATAAAGACTTGTTTTTAAAAGCAGCTATGATCTAGTGCAAGAAAATTTTAAAAGCAGCTATGATCTTCTTAAATGGGGTTTCCGTGTATTACCATGTCCCCATTCTAGAACACTGGAAAAAAGAATGACTTTATTTATTTTCAATAAAGTTTGTAATTAAAAAAAGGAGAGAGAAAGACTATCTCTTGCCTTTGGTATCTGATGACACCATGTTGCAAATTAAAGCAATAGGTTACGCCTTTCCAAAAAGGCATTGCTGGCTTCATAGGATTAACATTTGACCATGACCAAACAACAGACAGTCACTATTTGACTGGATGTTTAACAAGTGTCCCAGACCTACTAAAAGTGGAGGGGGAAATAGCCATAGGAATGAAAAATGAAAGCAGTCAACAGAAATGTATTTTCCAACCTCTTCTCACAAACCTCCCCCCAAAAATATTTACACTATCTGAATACCTTGAAATGTCTTCCTGACTTTCAGTAGATGGATAACTGTCATCCAGTGAGTCTGGCAGGGGATGATGTTCTAAGGAACTTTTTGTAAGTCCTCGGCTAAAAAAAGAGCGGGGGAAGAAAAGTAAAAATGTGATTCAAGTAAAGGTAAAGGGACCCCTGACCATTAGGTCCAGTCGTGTCCAACTCTGGGGTTGCAGCGCTCATCTCACTTTATTGGCCAAGAGAGCCGGCGTACAGCCTCCGGGTCATGTGGCCAGCATGACTAAGCCGCTTATGGCGAACCAGAGCAGCGCACGGAAACTCCGTTTACCTTCAGTGGAAATAAATTACAGCCTCTAACAGTGACTTTAATGTCTTCTTATCAACAAGCAATCAGCATTAAAAATTGTTGGGAACTGTTTCTTATTAACATAAATATGTTAAGTTTTTAAAATATACATTCAAGCCTGTCACACCAGAAGAACGCAAAAGGTTTTCGTATGACATTGATTGGTTCTGTAGCACGTTACACTTCTGCTTGAGGGCCACACTTCCATTTTGAGCATTACACTGACAATTTGAGTGTTACACTGAGGTCTATCTGTTTTTGCTATTTATTTTGTGTTTTTGCTTTGCGGCTTTTTTGTTTTGTTTTTGTGACTGTGTGAAACCCAGCTCAGGTACTGACTGATTGTGTGACTACAGTACAGTCTTTATTGCTTTCATTTTATGGATCAATGGTCTCGTTTGATAGTAAAATTCATGTTAAATTGCTGTTTTAGGGGTTGTTTTTCAAAGCCTGGAACGGATTAATCCATTCTGCATTACTTTCTACTGTATGGGAAAGCGCGCCTTGGTTTTGGAACAGACTTCCGGAATGGATTTACCAGTTTTGAGAACCAAGGTACCACTGTAAAGCTGAATTACTGTGTTGTGAAATGATGCCTGTCTCCAAAGCAGAAAGTTTGGGAAGCTCTGCCCTAGGTGGTAGCAGTGGCAAGATTTTATTGATATCGCTGTTATCTCAGCCTTGGTTTTCAGGGAGGTGGTAAATCAACTCCTGTGGGTTAGTATGACAGATTGTTCCTCCACCAATGAAAAAAACAACAACACTCAAGCCACGCATAGGCAAACTCAGCCCTCCAGATGTTTTGGGACTACAATCCCATCATCCCTGACCACTGGTCCTGTTAGCTAGGGATGATGGGAGTTGTAGTCCCAAAACATCTGGAGGGCCGGGTTTGCCTATGCCTGCTCTGAGCCTAGAAAACAGGGTGAAAGTTAGGCTGGGACCTTTCTCTCCAGCAAGGCGGCTTTCCACGTGGAGGGGCCTGTTTTGGTGGGCTCGAGGGCATCCCGTCAGGGGAGCCCGCTTTCCCCCGAGGCACTCCGGAAAGATACAGCCCGGACCCGCCCCCTCCCGAGGCCTCCGTCTCCTCCGGGACGCCCCACCAGGCCGCGGCGGCAGGGTCGCCGTCGGGGAGTCGGAAGGGTCCCCCGCCCGGACGGAAGGCGCCTCAGGGTCGCGACGCCAGCAAGGAAAGGCCACTCACATCCCCTGGGCGTCGGGGGCCACCGGCTTCCGTGTGTATCGCGAGATCATCCTCCCGCCTCAGCGCTGCATCTCGGTCCCTGTCGGCGCTGCCGGCTGGCCGCCTCGGCCCTAGGCCGCCATGGCGACGCCCCGCCCCGCCTGCCCTTCCGGTCCGCTCTAGGCCAGCGGAAGCCTCCACTCGGTGGTGGTGGTGGAGGAGGGGAAGGGCGCGACGCGGCCGGCGGCGCGCGGCGATGACGTAATAGGGCGCGTGCTGCGGCGTTGTTGTTGTCAGTGGCAGCTCAGGTGAGCGGTGGGTCGCCCGATGGGTCAGAGAGTGTGGGGTGTGTGTGTTTTCGTGTACACAAATATAAATATTCTATTGATTATACATGAGCAGCTACGTGTATACATTTCAATATTTTAATGTTTCAATATTTTAATTGTTGAATTTTAATCTTGTTTTTAAGTTGTATTCATTCAACTTGTTTTTATTATTGCTTGTTAGCCGCCCTGAGCCCGGCCTTGGCTGGGGCGGAGGGACTCTTCTTGCTGTTTTGGAAGTCAGGGAAAAATTGATTAAAAAGTGATCGTTATGAAATTTCTGGATATACCTGTCCATTACCTAGTCAGGAAAATTAGGAGCATGCATGTTCTCTCAGTAAAAGCTTGACTTGTTAGAAACTGAGATATGAAAGCTAGGAGCTAAATGGCACCTTAAACCTAGGTTATGGGTGCAACAATGTTTAGGCACACTTTATAATAAGACTACAAAGCTGAAAATAAATGAACTGCTGCTAAAATATTATGTTCTTTTTTCACATGGTCTAGCTCTTCCCCTGCCCACCCCCCTAATATTCTTAAGCAAGTCTCTTATCCAGTCTTAAGAGAGTAGCTGGAAGTGGGAAAGCAGAAAAAGGTCCTCTTTTCCTTCCATTTTGCAGTTTTTACCTGAAATCTTAGGTGCATTACTACTCCCAGAGCTCAGAAACTGTTCACCCTAATGAAATTCCTTGTTGTAAAATGCGCCTAGAACAATGGGAGTTTTGAACACTTCTTGAAGGTGCTGCCAGCATTTTCAGTGTGGTGTGTGTTGGAGGAGTTCTTATTGTGCTTGTGTAAATGGTCTTGAAAGATTTATTTCTAAATGGTGCTTTTTCAGGAAGTACAGAATGGAGAAACTGAACCTTGCAGCAACAGAAGATGCAGTGCAGTACCAGTTGTTCTTAACACATAAACCAGAAGACCCTGCACACTGTCAAAAAATTCTTCAACAATACATTGAAAGAATATTAGCACACCTTGCACCCATGCTGGTTTCCTATATTTGGCAAAGCCAACCATTTAATCTGAATTACAGACCTGCCAAAGGTAAAGCTATTATATTTGCTTCCATTCTGTTTTGATGTTTGTGAATCTAGAGCAAGGTCTCCCAATTCTGTAAGAAACAATAGAAGATGCAGGTAGTGATTCTGTAGCATTATACAGGCTGTCTTGAGCTTTTATACTGAATTATCATGATTTATGCTGACCCAATTGGACACTAAACAGTTATTCTTTGCAACATTCTGAGCAGCAGAGTAAATTTTTGTTCTGATCATAATTTTATAATGAATATTGGATTACCTGAAAATTGTCGAATTTTTGCCATACTGGATATTTCTGTATGGTTTTTGAGGCCCTTATTTAAATGTTTCCTATGCTCTTAAAACTATGCTTATATTTCTATTATTATTCAGAAACAGCAAAGTCTAGTTTCAATTATTCAGAAAAAAATGCAAATGAACATAAATCTCTTAGCCGAATCATCAGCCTTGTTGTAAGAGGAAACGGAGCTCCTCCAGCCTTCTCTTATTGCAGCCTTCTCTTGATTACATTTCTATTTACTTCTAAAATAGAATACAAATTGGTTTTGTTAGAGTTACCATCTATTATTTACATTGTGTTTTGCAAAGAGCAGTTTTGACAGAGCCCTGTCCCAAGGAGTTTACAGTTTTAAAATAGACACTTGGGGGAGGGAGGAGATGGAGGCGATGGCAGCATAGGATAAGATCATACTATGAACTTCAATGAGTATACTTTGGCTGGATTGCTATAAGGTATTGGGAACAGACGGTAATTTCAAAGACTATCTGGAAAATAGTCTGGTGGTAATATACTGTAGTCTCATTTCCCCTTCTCTTTTTTAGAACATATTCCTGCTCATATTGGTGGTCTCACAAAGTTTGGGGATAATATTGAAGATGAATGGTTTATTGTATACCTTATCAAGGAAATTACAAAAGAGTTTCCAGAATTAGCAGCCAGGTACCTTTTCATTACCAATTTTTACATTCAGAATTTGACACTTGCTGATTAAGGTGTCACTTGTGGAAGCAGCCTAAGCCAAAATTGTGCATGTTTTCTATATGTTAAACCATTAGATTTATATTATACTAGTGTCCAATGGAGGGGGGTATTCAGTTAAGAATGGGCCATAGTTTGATTACATCCAAGTAATTTATAGATTTTCTTTCATTCTTGCTAAATCAGGACGAGAATGTTTTATGTTTACATAGGAGTAAAGCTGCAGTCCTGTACACATGTGCCTGCGTAAGCCCCATTGAGTTCTGTCATTATTTTCCATTTCAATAGGGTGGACGATAATGATGGTGAATTCCTTCTCATAGAAGCAGCTGACTTCCTTCCCAAGTGGTTGAATCCTGAAAACAGCTGCAATCGGGTAAGAGAGATTTAAGTGTGCTAGCTACCAAACCAGTGCTAAACCTATGCCTGTGTTTATATGGGCTATGCTTATTTAACCTGTTCAAAATGGTGGGGTTTTTTCCTGTGCTACCTCGGAAGTGCCCCCCCCCAAGTGGCTCAAAATGCTTTCAATGTTTATCTTACAGAAATACAATGTTGAAGACTTTTAACATTGTGGGATTTCTGTTTCGTTTTCTTGTTTCTTATGATAAATTGTGAATCTGTAACTTGGATGAAGTACTTTCAGACTTAGCAAAGAAATGTATGTTTTTGTCAGGTGTTCTTTCATTGTGGGGAATTATGCATAATTCCACTGCCAAAAACTCCTGAAGAAGAGACCTTATTACCTGCTATCAGTCCTACAATTCCTCAGGCGCTGAAGTTGCTATCTGCCCATTCTGGTGGCTTTGTGGCTGCAAAATCTATTAGAACAGCAGTATACAAACGCATCAGTGGGTAAGTGACCTGATCTGAAAAAAATGTTTCTATTAGCTTGTCTGGAATGCTTCACATACTGCTTAGGTGTCCATGTTATGGTGTGTTTTCTATGATAAAGGCATGGGAGTTTTTTCTAGGCTTCCTCTCAGTGTTGCTGTTGGTTGCATGTTCTGAACAGATTTCTAAACAATATTGTAATGAAAGGACTGTGTAACCATTGACATCCAAGGCTATGCTCACACCTGGCTTGTGCAAAAAAAAGGAGAGGTAGAGAAATACATTGCTAAAATCTGGCAGCTCCAGTCTTTTAGTCATTTGTCTATGAGAAAATAGCGTTAGCAGATTTTAACACAGACTAGTGGCTCCCCCTCCCCCCCCCCCGCCTTCAAGAACAGACAAATTACAAATGATACTGAAGCAAGAGTCTCTTTGGATAGAAAAAAATTTCAAGTCACATGCGTTGCAGCCCAATACTAACTTGGGAGTAAGCCCCATTAGACTCACCTGGGTAAATTGTAGGGTTTGTGGAAGTCTGGGAGAAAACAGTTTTTCTTTGACTCTGTCCAGACTTTGAATATATCCAACACTGTAGATAGGCTTTTATAAATATATTTTGCTACCTTAAATCTGACATACAGATGTATGTTGCTAGACCAAAGGAGAGAAATTACTTTCATATAAACAAGGTTTATACTGTACGCTCAAACTATGTGTCTTAATCAGCATCTTGTTACAATTTTGTGCCACAGGTATCCTGAGCGAATCCAGACTTTCCTTCACCGAGCTCACTGTTACCTTCCAGCTGGTATTGCAGCAGTACTGAAACAATGTCCTGCATTAGTATCTGCAGCAGTCCAAGCTTTTTATCTGCGAGACCCCATTGACTTAAAAGCATGCCGCATTTTCAAAATTTTCCCTCCAGATACACGCATAATGACTTCAGTAAGTGATGATTCTACAAGTCCCATCATGTGTGCTTTACTTAAGGTTTTAAATGGGCTTTCATGCCATCTTTTTCCTGTGTATGAGACGAGCAGAAATGCAAAAATGATTGAAACCCCACCTATTGAAATCTACTTTTGTGAGAAGCATTAATTTTCTGCCATGGTGTAATAGAACAAAGAAAATGTATGAAAATAGAACATGAAAACACGAAGTAGGCATGGCCCAGGATCAAAAGAGTCCTGTGGTTTTTTCACATCTGAAGCTTTCACATCAGATTTTTCTTCTCTGTGTCTAGTCAGGCTATGCTTAATGATACTCAGGGCAATGAGTCATTTTGTTAATGTGTGCGAGGGGCTGGAATGGAAAGGGAGGGCCTGAGCAGAAATCTGCATGCAGCTCTTTTGATGCTGGCCATAACATTTTATCGCATTAAGAGAGCGTGATGCTGATGCTGAATAATAATATTATTTATTAATGAATTTATATAACATTTTGTGACAAAATGGGCTTTTGAGCAGTTTTCGAAATATAAAAACCAGTTACACAAACATAAAAATATCTGTAATTCAAGTTAAAACAATTCCATTAAAACACAGCAATTAAAATGGGAAACTCAGGTTGCATGATCAAGGGAATCCCTGTGTAAGCAGTTGTGTCTTCAGAAGTCAGCAGAATGCCATTACAGATCAGGTCTCATATTTTAGCAGGGAGTACATTCCGTAACACCAGTACCACCAATGAAAAAGCCTGTCTCTGTGTTACCATCAGCTGATCATAATCAGACCTCAGCATCTAACTGATGTACAGTACTGTGGCATAAGCTTTACAGGCTCATGTTACTCAAATTCATCTTAGTGCATCTGATGAATCAAGCTGTGGGTTATCAAACATCATGAGTCATTAGACAGGAAGTCCCCAATGTGTCAAACAGTATATATTTGGAAAACCTTGTGTGTATTTTTCCAGTTTCCATAATGCCTGAAATACTAGTCAAGGTACATTCAAATGAAGCAGCTGCAAATTTAATAAAATGTTGTGATCATTTCAGGTTACTTTTACGAAGTGTCTGTATGCACAGTTGGTTAAACAGACGTTTGTACCAGACAGACGAAGTGGATATTCATTGCCTCCTCGTTCACATCCTCAGTACAAAGCATATGAACTAGGCATGAAATTGGTAAGCCTGTACTTGATATTTCCACACACAAAACTTTTGTTTGGCTTCATTAAGAACTCTCTGGAGACAGTTTTCTGAAGATTTGGTATTGTTTAGTTTGAGAGATTTTCTACCCGTGTTACCAAGAGGGTTGCAAATATGTTCCTGATTTCAGTGAACGCTTGTCAGTTTCTTATATATATATAAAAACTTTTTTTCATTTGTTTTTAATTGTTTTAGCTAGTTGTATGTTTTATTAATGTATCTAACTTTAAAAGTCTGTGACTGTAATAAATCACTCATTTTACTCTGTATCTCTTACAGGCTCATGGTTTTGAAATTCTGTGTTCCAAGTGCAGATCACCTTCTGATGATTCCAAGGAACGCACGTTGAATGTTCCACTGTGGGATACCTTTCTCAACAGTCTCAAGAAAAACAATTATTTTAAGGTGAGATTCTGCAAAAACCACTTTATCATTTAACTTTGTGAATTGCAGGTCACGTGTTTCAGCTATAATGTCACCATAATTGCCTTGGGCCAGAAACGTCCAACTCCCAAGAGACAGAGATCTACTCACAGTAGAAAAAGATCAGCTGTGGTCTACCCATTGTCATTGCCAGTTGTTGAGCTTTTTTTAGAGATCACGCGATCACGAAACTTCATACTGCGATCTACCTGGGACACCCCTGCAATCTACCTGTTGGACATGCGCTGCTGTGCCATGGACCAAATTTGCATTAAGTGCTTTGAAGATGAAACAAGATTTGTTCCCGCCCAGAGTCATAGACCAAAAGGAATTGTACCTTTTTCTTCACTTATGCAAAGTCAACCGAAACAGGATTTTTCAGGGTCTTGGAGGGTGAATATAAGAGCTCAACTAGAAGGTTCAGTTTCTCGTAATTAATCTGTTTCTGGACTTCAGGCTATAGATTAGGAATTTGGTGAGGTGTTTAGAAATCATTTCCCAATCCGGAGTGTTATTATGCATTAGAGAGTTCATGAACCTCCCCACACATACGTTGCATCGTGGACGTTTCCTTGTATACCTGTATCAGAGCAGAATGTATTGACCTATTATATTTGAATTTCGTAGGGAGAGCTGGAAGGTTCTGTGCAGTATCTCAATCTGTTGCACAGAGCAGAAAATTATTTCCGACATACTGTAATCAGCCCACAAAGGTAAGAACGCCAAGATGGCTTATATAAATTTTGCTGTGCTTAGCTTTTCTAGTTACCTTAAATTCTGTGTATTTTCCTTACACTGGCACTTAATGTGTATGTATACTGCAAATGTAGATTATTAATTGCTGTGAAATATTTATTTCTAACATACAGTTCCCACTAGATTATACAGTCATGGAATGATAGAATGGTAGACTTGGAAGGGTCCCTGAGGGTCATCTAGTTCAGCCCCCTACAATGCAGGAATCTCAACAAGATTATACATGACAGATGGCCATCCATCCTTTGCTTAAAAACCTCCAAGGAAGGAGAGTTCACCACCTTTGGGGAAGTCTGCTTCACTGTCAAATAGCTTTTATTGTGTTTCCCCTTATTTTGACTTGGTGAACATACATCCACAAAAAGAAATTGTGCCATATGGAATTGTTGACAAATATTTTTTCTAAGAATGTACCAACACTGTGTCAAAAGTTTTCTGTTAGTCGGATTAAGACTGCCTAAACATAGTTTATAAACACTGAACCTTAAAAATACGTACTACAAACGTACTGGAAAAATAAGTATAGTAAACTAGTACAGTGGATAATGTTCTGCAGAGAGACTTCAACCCTTTCTAGATTTTTCGCTACTGCTGGCTTCCAGACACATGTATACATACCAAAATACTCAAGATTTTCACACCCGTACACAGTTTTTCCTACACCTGTGTATGTGAAACATAGCATGTAGTAATTGTGAATGTAGTGAGCTATACAACTAGAAAAGTGGTTGTAAATTGTGTGTGCCCAGCAAGTTTTATTTGCATTTTTAGAATTGTGTTGTCTTCTTTGGTAGTTCAGTTGCCGATAGCCCAGGTGAAGAAATTCTGAACATATTGAAAGCAACTTCCTTTAATTTGGAGGATTTTGGAAAAGAAACCACCAGCCTTCCTCCAGAAGATGGTAAGAAGAGTGAATGAAAGAACAAAGTCACAACCCGAACATCCTGAAGATTTAGTGCCTTTTTACCATGTCTCTTTTTTTTTGCTTTGATTGTCAGATGCAGCAACTAACAGAGTGGCCACATTTTAAGCAGCATGTATTGTGTCCTTCTCTTTCAGATGACAGTTGGTTGGAGATCTCTCCAGACACACTGGATCAAATTCTTAAGGAGGCAGTGGGCACATACAAATCCACTCATACCTCAGACGAGGAGGAAGAGAACTATGACTTGTCGCAGATCACTGAAAACATGAAGGCTTTTATATCTAAAGTCTCAACTCATGAAGGAGCAGAAATGCCATGGTATGCTTTTAAGTACCTAATCAAGTTTCTGTGTAGTGGGAGTCATTTCATTTGTTTAGTAGTTCAGCTTTCCACGCAGACATAGTGAAGTCAGAGAGCCTGAATTTTGCATCATGGAAAAACTTTTAAGCATTTACAAAATTGCCAACCATGTCCTTTAGTTGCTTTGTTAAATTGGCTCATCCGGAACTAGTTAACTGTGGCAAAAATAGGAAATGGAAAAACTCCAGAAATGCAAAACCTATTCAGAGATGGTATAGAATCTATGGATAATACGGGGCCTGTACAATTTGGTTGCTCTGTACAAGTTGTTTGGTCTCCTACACACACACACACACACACACACACACACCATTTCTCCATGAGTTTGGCAGTGGCAGCAGCAGCAGCAAACAAAGCTTTCACACACTCAGCAGTTGATCCACCAGGTAAGGCAGATGGATTGTGTGGTGTGACTGGCATGTTGGCTGCAATAAGCTGGAGAAATTGACGCCAGCTCCCCTAAGCCCCCAGAGAGAGGGAAAGTACTATGGATGTGATGAGCGCAGACATTTTTCACTCATATATTTGATGGATTGGGTGGGCTTGAACACTCCCAAAAGATGTGGCAGAAAGATACAACCAGCAGGTATTTGGAATTCCCTCAAAAGGCCAGAAATACACAGGGAGAAGACAATTAGTCAGTGGACTTTATATGATACATGTCTGTCTGGTCAATGTGCATGACTTTAAAAATATGCAGGCCCGATAAGTTAATGTTTAGGTGATGGCTGTCTTTAGTCAAAAGTCTTACTTTGAAAGACTTTGAACCATCCTGGTCATACATAGCAAATTCTGCCAACCTTCATAGGCAGACTGGATCGAAACATGTTTTTTTCTTGAATAGTAATGTTACTGTGCTGCAACAAAAACAGGAGTTAGTATAAGCTTTAGACCGTACAACTGAAGTATCATTTATGCTGATTCTACCACTGTATTTGTAATTATTTCTGTGCTTTTCTGTTAATATACAATGGGCTGGGTCCAACGGTCCCTGAGTAAATCTCTGCTCCCAGAAAAGGGGAGCTGATGTGATTTTTCCAGATTCCTTCTGAAGACCCACCACCACTACCCCCCCCCCAAAAAAAAATGTCTGGGCAGGTTGGATGACATCTTAACAGAGTGGGAGGTGGCACAAGGGACTGCAGTGGGGGAAATCTGCAAATTTTGCTTTGCTGTTCCTGTTTGCAGAAGCTTCCACTGGATTAAAGCTCCTTCTGCAAATAGGACTCCTTCCATTCATGGCAGGGCTCTGCTGAATCCGGACCAATATATTCTTTCTCAAATACCAAACACCAGATGTACAAAAAAAATGCAATTATGAACTTTTTACTTTCAGGTCTTCTGCTGAGGCCTCTGTCACTTTTGATGTGGACTCATTCACAAATGCATTAGATAAAATACTGGGTGAGTTTACTGCTGGTGGTGGAAATTGAGAGATAGAAGTATCTTGAAATATAAATCATGTTATCCTTTTGCCTGAATCTCTTTGTTTATTACCTGCCTTTTATCCTAGATCCCCAGATCAGGATATATAAACTACAATCCAATCTCAAAATAAAGTATAATCAGCAAAAAGTAAAACAGCAATAATAAACGCATAAAGCAGATATAACATTCTTCCCAAAGTATTAGCAAGCAGTTTTATTGGTTATTCAAATATATTCTCATTCTCTCTTTCTCCCTGGGGGCATTGATTCTATTATATTTCTAGGAGCAAATTCAGAAGAGTTGGACTCTGATGATTTAGAAGAGGAAGAAGAGTTTGAATTCCTAGACAGTGATGAAGAATCTGAGCTAAAAGCTGAAAGTCATGGGGAAACAGTATCACAGAGTAAAACACCTGGAAGTCTCAGATCATACATGGATGAAATGGACTCTGAACTGGCATCCACCAATATTGGGAAAAGCTTTACTAGTCGGCCCAAAGTGGTATGTTTAACTTAGATTTCCTATCTAGGGACCATTAGGGAGAAGAAAGAAGTATGCAATCATTATGTTGTTCCAAAAAACCCTACAATTTAACCTTGCATAGTGCTTCTAACATTTGGCTGTCTCTGCCAACAGCTATGTGATTTCATTAAATATCTCTGCATGCAACATAAATAAAAACATAATTGAAATTTCACTGTTTACCTTTTTCTACAGGTTGGGTCTGGTAAAGGATCTTCGTCCCAAGACCCTGACAGTGATTTTGAAGACAACATTGGTGCAGAAGACACTGACTTGGCACCTGTGGATATAGACTTGAACCTTGTGACTAATCTGCTGGAATCATATAATGCTCAAGCTGGACTAGCAGGACCTGCCTCTAATCTCCTACAAAGCATGGGAGTACATTTGCCTGAAAATACGGACAAAAAATCTCACTAGCGGTTCAAATGGAGAAATCTGGTTACATGTCATAACAGAAGCCCAAGAGCTGTTCTTGGGTTTTTATTTTTTTAGTGAGGGATGAAAGCTTTTCAGAACCCAGGAGACCTAGTATGCAAACTACTTTAAATACATGTGAGCAGCATACAGTATTCAGTTTCACTTGCTATCCTTGCGGAACCAACTTTTTTTAAAAAAAAAAAGTCATGGGTGTATACAGTATAAGAAATTAAGATGGAGGATTGAAAATATTTTTCTATAAGACTTTTTATATTCAATAAAAGGCACGTAAATGTACATTTTTTCACGTTGTCATTTTAGTACTAAAAATATTAGAAAGGCGCAGAGTGCTTCTGCAAAGACAGTGCAAAAAATCAAAACACCAACTCTACCCTTTTTTTCTTTTTTTGCTTACTAGTTGTAATAACTGGAAATCTGATTATCTTTCAGTGCAGCTTCTTTATATTTATCTCCAATATTAGATAATTAGGCATTCAGTGATTATGCAGGAAAAGCTTTCTGCATATATTGGTGTGGTTAAGCAGTTCAGAGAAGGCAACATTAATCTGCTGAGCTGATCGCGGCTGTTAAGGGTTTCTTTGTGTTCTTTGTACAGATATATTTTCTGTTTTTTTGAACAGCACTTGCACTAGGATTGACCTTGCTTGCCAACATTTAGGCTGTCAGTAGCCTATTTTACGTAAGGAGTCAACTGTAGGTTGAAGTCCTGTTGCATCTGAGTCAGATCTGACTTCTGTCTCAAGTCCTAAGTATATCCCTTTGAACTGGCTTTCATCTTCCCCATCTGCAATATGAACAAGTTGATTTAATAAGTTGCCAAATGATGTCATAATCTCTCCAGCTTGTGAAAGTAAACTAATTTCAAATGAAATAACTCACTGTCTGTTAAAAGTAAAACCAAGCCAGATTACTGCCTTTTCTTCAAGCTCTTTTTTCCCCCATACAAAATTAAATAATTGTAATGGGGAAAATGTTTTTCTTTTCTCCCTTCATTATAGTTTGCATTAAGATTGTTTTTATTGTCTTTCCAACACCCCTTACGGTTAAAACTCAACTTTGACGTAGCTAAACATTCAAAAACAGCTGTAGGCAAAAAAAAAGATGGTTCTAGAACAGCGGTTCTCAACCTGTGGGTCCCCAGATGTTGTTGGACTACAGCTCCCATCATCCCTGAGCTCTGGCCTTGCTAGCTTGGGGTGATGGGAGTTGTGGTTCAGCAACATCTGGGGACCCACAGGTTGAGAAAAGCTGTTCTAGAATGCTCTTATCGTCTTTCTGTTCTCAAGTAGTGACTGGAAGTATATTTTAATTTTGATACTGCTTTTTCATATCCGTAAGTTATACATGATGAAAGTTTACAGCTGAAGAACAAACTGCATCCTGAAGTGGGGGGGGGGGTGTCTCAAGTGCAGTGCTGCTTCCTGCCTTCACATGGTTCCATGTCACAACTCATTTGTGTTTGTGGGAACAGTGGAGAACTTAAATCTTCAACTGTTTTGTCCAGGAGTAGACTCTTGATTCCCAGCAGCCCCAGTCACTATGGACAATGGTCAGGCATGATGTTGCAAGCCATGAACAATGAGTGGACTACAAGTTACTCACTCCAATTTAGCAGCTTTCTGAAGTGTAAGGTTGCCACCAACTATTAGTAGCTTCAGTAGTTGCTACTGAAAACGGGTGGGTGAAAGGAGAAATTACTTTTCCCACTAAAGAATGAGTAGCTTTCAGTTGTCCCATGGAAGCCAAAAGCCTTGGCTCCCAAACAAATCGGCTCCCGAATGATCGAAACCCAGAAATGAGTGTCCCGGTTTTCGAACGATTTTTGGAAGCCAGACGTCCTGCAGCCAATCGGAAGCCATGCTTTGGTTTTCGGGCGGTTCCAGGAGTTGAACTGACTCCCAGAACGCATTCTGTTTGAAAACCAAACCACTGCATTTCCTTTTGTAAAATGGAATGTAGGGGTCTGTTTACAAGGTTCAAGTTTTACTGTAAATATGACCACCCTGCCTGAAGTATTTTCTTCTGACTTTTCTATTAAGTACCAATAAGTATCTGCTTCTGGCCTTTCTCAAAAGAAGGAATATAGCAAAACATTTTACCACAATAGGAGGAAGTACTGACATTCATTTCTAAGCTTCAAATCCACCCTTCTCTTGGAACTGAATACATCCCTAGAGAGAGGGGGTGTTATGCAAAAACAAAAAAATAGGAGTATTACAGCTGCTCATAACGACTCTCAAGATAGCTAAAATACTTGCAGAGTCATTTGCTAGTCTTTCAACATGCATGGAAAATTAGGACATGCTCTACCTTAAACATGAATATCAATTAAAATAAATCTTAACAGTTCATTTATCAAGCATCCTCCCCAACATAAGTATAGGAGGTCGTGGATGAAAAGTGTAACATTTGTTGAGGCCAAAAGAAGCCCTCCACTCCACTTTGGTTCCAAGAATCTCATAAGGTCTTTTTCTCGGAGAGTGGCAGGCCCCAATACAGTGTTCTGCTGGGCTGAAACATCTACTGATCTTTCCTGAGGAAAGGGCAGTTGCTGTGCCTTCCACATTTTGACTGATAAGCAGGCTCCTGAACTGAAAGTGACCTCTATATAACTGATCTGAGTTTCCATCTGGAACATTTAATTAAATAAGCTGTCGAACGAAATGGGTGCTTCAACCGCATTTATCACTGCAACCTTATTCCAGCTATATTTTTGCAGCATTTTCGAACAAGAAAACAGTTGAGCACTCTGGCTCGGAAGCAGTGTATGGGCAATATTCCCAGAAAGAAGAAATCTGGACTGATGGAATCCTTTTTATTTGCAGGATGAGAATGTTATACACAGACAACGCCCAGGACAGGAAAAATTGTGAACTACCATAGAGAAACAATGAAGCAAATAATAATAATAATAATATAATAATAATTCTGGTTTGGTATATCAGTTCCTTAAAAGAAGTAGGAAACAGTTCAAACCTCAGTGAGCTTATAGCAATAGCAGTAAATACCAAGAGCTGCATTCTAAAGGCAAGTCTAACTACTTTCTGCCAGGAAGATGGAATTCAGTTGCAGGCTGTCACAGAGGAAGTGAAATAGAAGATGAGAGCTGAACGCCTTTACTAACGTGAACTTTACAAATAACTAGAGTATTCGTTTTTCAGCTGCCGGCTGGCTTCAAACTGTTTAGAAGTTTGTACAATTAAGTAGCATATAAATGTCACTAAATAAAATAAATAAATCACATTTCTGGTGGCGTAAGCTTTTGAGAGGCTTTTGTTTTTAATTGGAACTTTGGCATTGTATCTAGCAACATCGTGAGAGTCTTTAGACCAGAGCTTGCCAACATGTCACTGGCCATGGGATCCATGCCCCTCGCTCTTTTTCCCAATGAATTTGGGCCTGAAATACTCATTTTATTGTTGCCAACAGCAGAGGCCGTGGGGTGGGTGGGTGCGGTGCCCACAACAATTGCAAATCATAGAATCAAATGTGCTCATGAGCCCGAAAAGGCCGGCAACCATTGCTTTAAACTTAGGGTCAACTCTGATTTACCAGTTACACTATAGAAAAGCACTTGGGAATGATTTCCATCAAGAACTGAAACACTGGAAGTGGCAGGGAGGAGCCACTGACCCTTAGCATCCCTTCCCCCCTTACAAAACCCATCCAGGTGATATATATATATATACACCTTCAGGATTTGATGGACAAATTCTTTAGCCTCAGGCAAAAGTGTGAAATGGAACCACCCTCTCTACCTATAAATGTCCTGCAGAAAATCTTAACATATGGAGTCATTGAAATTCGGAGGCCAACTGGCACTCAGATTTTTACCTGGAGCAGTAAATGATTGAATAAGTGTCTCTAAGTAGGCACAGGACCTTGCTTTTTGACCCATTCCTGAATCAGCTGATGGGCTATGGCTTGCTTAGGTGGCACCCAAAATGAGAGGTTGTCATCCTTGTCTCTGGAAGGTTTTGGGTTCCGCCCAAGAGCCTTCACCACTTCCCCATGGCTGAACCACTCGGCAGCTTCTAGCTCTTTGTTGATATTAATCTGCAAATGAAAAGTTTTAAAAATAAAAACAGCAGCGTCATAATGAGAGCTTAGAGTAGTGTTGTAGTTAACAGACAGAAAGCCTCAAGTACCAATCTCACCCCTGTCACGCAATCACCTGCTGGCTAGACAATGGACTCCTGCCTCTCCCCCCAATCAATGTGAAGTTAATAACAATAACCTATCTTAACAGCAACTCCTGCAGCCTAGCTGGTGCCAAACATATTTCTCTGCTTTCCTTTGGACCACATCAGTGAGACCGGGGGGGGGCAGGGGGGCTTGTCATCTGAGCAGCCCAGGACCTTCATACACACTGCCCAGGCATGCACCCCAGAAAGGTCACTTCAATGCTGCTAACACAGCAAGTTGATCTCACCCCCAGAGGCACACTCCATTGTCTCTCGAGCCAGACAGATGCCAACAATGACAAATATGCATGTGTGTGTGTGTGTTTGTGTGCATACACACGTATCTCTTACAGTCGGCTATTTACGACAGTGAAAATAACTTCTGCTTGCCAGGCTGCTTGGATAGACAAGCAGGGCTGGGAATACGAATGCACCTTCCTGCTCTCCAGAACTGTTTTCAGTAGTCAAAACCACAGAAGAACCAAGACAGTGAAGGATTTTACGTCACTGATCATATACATTTAGATAAGCCAAATCAATAAAGTTTGGTTTGGTAACTTTGGGTCCCCAGATGTTGTTGGACTACAACTCCCATCATCTCCACTGGTCAGCGGTGATAGGAATTGTAGTCCAACAAGGTAAGTGGATGAAATGAAAGATTCCACCACCACCTCCTTACCTTGCTCCGTTGCGGGTTCACCAGGGCATGGCAGCCAATCATTAGCGTGCTGCTTGGGAATGGCCAATGCTGAGATGCAGAATAGCTGACAGACTCCACCTCTAACCCCACCTCTTCAGCCACTTCTCGCCGGAGTGTCTCTTCCAGAGTTTCACCTTGGGAGTAGAAAGGGTCTCTAAGGGCAGCATTGTATCCTGAGAGAAGGCTTACAAGTTTTCTTTTGAGTAGGCATGAGGATATACCTCACGATAAGCATTTCTTGTTTATGCTTAATGGATTTCCAGCCCACCTTTTAGGTTAAATGCCCTATTTTAACACAGTTCAAGCAGGGTTGGTCAAGCATAGTCAGTCGACCAACTTTTTTTTATCATGAAGGCTTGATGCTGGTGGTGTCTGAAGAGGTGGCTTGCTACCTGGTGGTACAACTGCCTTTGAAAACCCAGCATTTAATAGTTGCTTACTGTTACGTTTTCTTCCTAAATGAAATCCTAACCCTGTTGAGTTAGGATAAAAACCAATGACAAGAACTGTTCACATCTTTGAAAAGCCTACCTAACATTGTTAAGTCATAATAATTTATTGCACGTCTTTAAAAAGTTAATTCACTATTTCACAATAGCAGTTAACTTACTTGTTTTTGACAAATAAACACAATGATTAAACTTGGTAATAATAAAGATAAATAAAAAATGCTTGATGGGACAGCTGACCAATTTATTTATTTTTTACTGGTCAAGTGCCCAACTAAGTTGGAAGAGTTGAGACTTGATCTTAACTATGTATTCTGACAAGTGGAGAATTTACTTGGCTGGTGGATTGCTGGAGAGCCACTGTAAAAAGTGCCTTTGGTGTTTTGGATCAAGCGAACCAACAGAACAGGGGACTACCAATGGAGATACACATGTTTCCTTTACAGGCTGCTTTCCCTCAGTACTTTAACAGAGCTCCTTTCTTCAGCTAATCTTTATCACCACCAGCACTAACTGCTAAATGCTAAACACGGGAATGTAAAATGGCAGAATATGGCTTCCTTCTCATATCTACTTGCACCTTTTTCAGACTTCATCTTCAGCAGGAAAAATGCAAGAGTAATGAAGTTCCTTCCAGAAATCCATTTTGCTTTTATGGTATTAATCCACTTTACCTTTGAGCTGCAGCTCTTACAGTACTGTGCTATTTGGACCAATGGTGTGACAGTACAAGACAGCTGTTTTCATGAGTCCTAAAGCAGGACTCAGTCCAAACACCAAGTTAGGCCAAGCAAGGAACCCAATTTGGCCTACAAAGCTGTTTTCCCCAAACCAAGGCAATGTACCCCACACCTGACATCATACGTGACATTGAGGGGCAGGTAGAGACACGGTTGGATTGCCTGTGCAACCAAGTTTCTCAAGGAGAACTCAATCACATAACCACTCCCTGAAGAAAGCAGGCTTTAAATCACTGCCCATCCAGCACTGATGCTGAAAATATAATTGCAAAAAGCCTAACACAAGTGTTTTTCAATTTGCAAAATGTCTAAGTCCATCAAGGTACTTCAAGAGCTGACTCAATTATTGTTAGTTTCAGCGTAAGTGCAATATAGCCATTAATTGTTGCTTCCCCAGGTTCGTAAGTTACATGCCAGACAATGAGCAAATTCTTGTTAGGTTCCCCACTACTCATCATATATCATCTCTGAAGTGAGCAAGTTTTCTACCACATGCTATGAGGTAGCAGGCCTCTAATTAGAATACTGTGCATGCAAACTTAACAGTCTGGTGTCACATGTTTCCTTACCTATATCACAGAAGCCAGACAGAGCACTGTACATCCCTTTAGGAAACGATGCTTGCCGTACGAGAAGGCATCGACTCCCATCAGACACCAAAGTAATAACAACTGGAGACATCTTTTTATGTTAAAAAAAAAAAGCCAAAATGGACAAGAAATTAAGAGAGGGATCAGACCTGCTGATTCCAATATGGAGTACAAACTGCAACCACAGGAGTGGGATGTGTGAAAAATGCAAGCGACCACTACAAAGGCCCCCACACTTACACTTTCCTGGCTGTTATGGACAGACCCTAAAGGTAAAGGTAAAGGGACCCCTGACCATTAGGTCCAGTCGTGACCGACTCTGGGGTTGCAGCGCTCATCTCGCTTTATTGGCCAAGGGAGCCGGCATACAGCTTCCGGGTCATGTGTCTAGCATGACTAAGCTGCTTCTGGCGAACCAGAGCAGCGCACGGAAACGCCGTTTACCTTCCCGCCGGGGCGGTACCTATTTATCTACTTGCACTTTGATGTGCTTTCAAACTGCTAGGTTGGCAGGAGCAGGGACCGAGCAACGGAAGCTCACCCCATCGTGGGGATTCGAACTGCCGACCTTCTGATCGGCAAGTCCTAGGCTCTGTGGTTTAACCCACAGTGCCACCCGTGTCCCATGGGCAGACCCTAGAGCAAAAATAATTGGCAGTTCAGAACACAGGATCCTGCTGCGGACTTTGGCACCATCCCGACTATCAGGGTCCACCTTGGTGCTTTTGCGGGAACAAGAGATGTGGAATGCATCTCTGTCTCTTTAAAACTTTTTCAAATAGCAGCTATGCAGGTGGGGTGGGGGGCTGGGTATGTTTGAAGAAGCTAGGATTGGGATCCAATCCATGGTACTGGGGAATTCTGAAGGAGGGGGCTTTGATGGTTCCCCTGTTACACAATGCTTCCCTAGAGAAGCTTGTCTGATACCTTCACCAACATCTTTCAGGCACCAGACAAAGACTTCTCTGTTCTCTCAGGCCTTTGAACACCATCTTAATCCTTTAAAAATATTGAGAGTGACACTTTTATAGCTTTTATGATGGTCAGAAGGTGCTTTGTCCTTTTAGATTATTTTAGCTGTTTGTGATCAACTTTCTCTGTACAGTTTTGGCTTCCATATTATTTGACAACAAACAACAACAACAATGCATACTATGATTACAATTAATTGATTACTTTGTTTTTGTTTTAATCACGGTAAATGGTTCAATTCTACATCGCCCAGAGAGCCCAGGTAACTGGGTGTCCAGTGAATATAATAAATTCCTGCTCCTTTCTTGGCAACCTTTCAAGGACCATGTGCCACCGGTGAGGGGAACCAAAAGGAGGTGGAGCACTGGATGCAAATTTTACATTTGTACAGTTGGCTAGTTTCTAGATACACCCACACACCCTTCTCTGTCCCCCATCCAGACAAGCAAGAGGCATGATCAGAGTTCAAAGACACATGCCAGCTGGACAAAAATATTTGAGGGTGCCCACCTGTGGGTAATAGATTATTTCACTGCTCTGACAAACCCGTTTGCTTCCAGCCAGGTTCTTCACTGTGAGCTGTCCTGTTTTCCCACAATACTGGTTGTTATCATGCCATCGAAGGAGAGCCTGAGCCTATAAACATCAATCAGGTTATGAAGAACGCTGAGAGGATACAAACTGCAACCCATTTGTTAACCCGCTCCCCCACCCATCAAAACTTGGTTTATAAAATAAGAACTAATTGCTCCAGGAAATGCATATTTTCTTTCCATATGGCACAGGTGTGAGGAATCTTTGGCCTGCCAGATGTTACTGAACCACAAATTCCATCATCCCTAGTCATTGGCCATCTTGGGGGGCTGAGGGAAGTTGTAGTTCAACAACATCTGAAGGGCCCAAGGTTCCCCACACATCCTCTAACAGTAGCATAACCTCTAACAGAAAAACCCTCAGGTCAATTAGGCTAGGCAGAGGCTTGCCCAAGAATAACCACTGAGCTTCATGGATGAGAAACAGATTTGAAATTCCCACAACCAAACACAACACTCTAGACAATACACCATGCTAGCCCTGAAACAAAAGGAGCCACCCACCATCTCCTTTGGCCTCCGCATCCACTTGCTCTCAGGAGCGGGCTTCTCAAGTATTGCTGGGGGTTTATAAGATCAGAATAAATTACTCCCCAATGGATTGCTTTCCTTAATCACCACTGCAGCCCTTTGAGGGCTTTATTGTCTTCAAGAGCCCACTTTGATGCCCCTCAAGTAAGAGCATCACAACTGTGGAGTGTATGCACATCTTTGGTCCTGGACAACCCAATTGCCAGCTCTGGTAAGAGTTGGTTCTCCCACAGTGTGGTGAATAAACAACAGCCGACAGTGCCATGGGCTGGGCACACTTCAACCAAAAAGATAAAACCATTTCTTGAGGACTTTGATGTGGTAAAGGGAAATGTGGGAACCAGCCCCAAACCGCAAAAAGCATAAGAAGCAGTTCAGTTTCTTACATCAATGTGTTCTACATAGGAAGCTGCAGCATAGTGAATCAGGTCCGTCTAGCTCAGTATTTTGTATACACTGACTGGCAGGAGGTCTCTAGAATTTCAGGTAGGGTTCTCTTCAGCCCTGCCTGGAGATGCCAGGAAGTGCTCCTAGGATGCTAAGCCAATGTTCAACCACCTAAGGCAGGGGTCAGCAACCTTTTTCAGCCGTGGGCCGATTCACTGTCCCTCAGACCATGTGGTGGGCCAGACTATATTTTTTGGGGGGGGGGGGAATGAACGAATTTCTATGCCCCAGAGATGCATTTTAAATAAAAGCACACATTCTACTCATCTAAAAACACGCTGATTCCCGCACCATCTGCGGGCCGGATTGAGAAGGCGATTGGGCCGCATCCGGCCCAAGGGCCTTAGGTTGCCTACCCCTGACCTAAGGGATTGTGTGGTGGAGCCTCTAGCAGCAAGTGGCAGCGCTGTCTCAATATCACAGAGGGGCAAGGCATGGCAGGCCCCAGGTTCTTTGGCTAAAAATATTCGGCCCACTCTGGTCAGGGTCTCTGAATGTCATTGGCTCAGCTGGGCTGTCCTGACAGCAGAAAAATGGGCCTATGGTGATGGAAGGAGGGTTGGAGGAATGAGGCAGAGAGGATAAGGCTGGAAGGACATTTGTGAGGAGAATAAAAGTGGGAGAGAAAATTAGTTCACAGGGCCAGAATCTGCAGAGGTAAGAACATCTGGATTTTAAAAACAATGATTTGAATTAACAGCCCCATCTTGGTCTTCAGCTTTCTAACACTAGTATAATATCCAACACAAGCAGTCTCTGTGTTTACACGTAAAATCATACCGTGGAAATCAAACTGGCATCTTCTTCTTCTAACTGGAAGAAAGCTTTCCTCATTTCCCCAAATGATCCATTGAGTTCAGCTTCAAGGGCAGATCTTTCCAAGGATCCTGGAATTCAATAAATCTGTGGGAATTGGATATCTCAGTTACTACCCCTACCCCCACGCCCTTTGATCTATATCAATAGCACATGATTATGGCACTGTAGCTGATAATAATAATAACAACAACAACAATAATAATAAAATTTAGTATTTACACCCCGCCCATCTGGCTGGGTTTCCCCAGCCACTCTGGGCGGCTCCCAGATGAGACTGCTGCTGTCACACAGGCGTCAGCGTCATCTCAAAAGCAGTATGTTCTTACAAAATGAAGACACATTAGGACAAATCGACTTCAGTGAAAAGCGGGTGTGAAAAGTATAGGCCTGTATACAAGTTTGAAGGTGACACCATATTATTCAGGATGGTGAAAGGCCAACTTTTCTGCGAAGTGTTCCACAAGGATGGCTCCAAATTGAGTGAGTGAATGGGCACCAAAATAAGAAATCAAATTCAATACAATTAAGCATAAAGGGATGCACATTGGGGCACATTACTGGGAGCTGAAGAACTGGCTATCTCCCACCTCGGGATTAGAGCAGGATATATATGTATTGTTATGAGCTGGGGGGGCAGTCTGGATGATATCCTTGGATCCCTTCCAGGCCTTTGATCCTGTATCCAGTGAGGCTTAGAATCTAGTAGTAGAACAGGCTGCTGAACTTCTCAGACAAGTTTCCTTGCCTTCAGTGTTTCTCAAACTTGGGTCACCAGCTGTTGCTGGACTACAACTCCCATCATCCCTAGCTAGAAGGACCAATGATGAGGGATGATGGGAGTTGTGCTCTCATCAGCATCTCAACTAAGCAATGGCACTCTCCAAGAAGGGACGTGGATAGGCTTCCTTGCTCCCTGCACTTGGCTAGATGCCACCTCATCCTAGGTTAGAAGAACAATAGCTAGAGTTGTGTCTGGGAGTTTGCTGGCTGGTGCTGGAAGCTGGATGCAGAGACATGTCAGTTCTGTACAGGACTTGGCAATTCCCTGGAAACCTAATCAAGAAGCAAGATCTGTTGGGTTGTTAATGCTGTGAGCCCCTCCATCCTATGTTCTTTCTGTGTGTGTAAACAAAGCCACATATCCTAAAAATACCACAGTCGCCACTGAACTTCATTCCAAGGAAACTGAACCCTGGGTAAGTGCAGGAACCCCTGCAGTCTTTCGCTGCTTGAAGATTCGGGTTGCATGCAACAGTATACAAAAGGTCATTCTAACCTAGGTCCAAAGCAAAATACGGCCTGCACTCATTTGAACATCCAACCAGCATGGAATCCTCTATCTTTTCTTCACTCTGTCTGAACTTCTCTAGAATCCTCTTAATTTCTGAAAACCAGACAAACAGAGGAAGAGGCAGTTTAGAGGCACATCAGCACAACATTGGTTAACATTTCTGTAATCTGGGACTGGGCGATGTCCACTTTTCAACATTGCGATGTATCACCAGCCAAACATATGACGATATGACGATATATCGCTATGTTGAAATGGAGGAGATGGAAAACACACACACCAAGCTAGGAGAGGGGAAGGACGAGCACCGTCTCCTTGCTCACTAGCTTCCCCGGCACCACAGTCCCTTCCTCTCAGGGCAGCCTATTCTCCAAGGAGCTCATTTGTCCTCTGGGCTTCAGTGCATTTCTGCCCAGTCTGAAGTCTCCTTCACCACCCACCCGATTCTCCACACTCCTTCACCGCACGCCCAATCTCACAGCTCTTTCCTTCACACACTCACACCCTGATTTCAAGCATCCTTCACCACATGCCTGATTCTCCCTGTGCCTTCCTTCTCTCACACACACCCTGATTTCAAGCATCCTTCATCGCTGATGTATCAGCACATCGCCCAGACCGCTGTCCTAAAACAAAAGCCACAGGTATATTTTATAAATCCTACCACAAAACCTGAAGTCGTTTTGAAATTTGTTTCACAGTTGAAAATTTCATAGAAACATAAGCACAGCCTTGCTAGTGCTTGTGGCGCCTCTAGTCCAGAGGTTTTCAACCTTTTTGAGTCCATGGCTCTCTTGACCTACTACATTCTTTCTGCGGCATGCCTGTGGGGCTCAGAAACCCAGTTATGTCACCCCTTGCCATCATGCTTAAAAGTTTACTGAAGAAACACCAGGAATTGAAGTTTTATTAGAGTGCTGATACCTTCCTGCTAAAAATTTCTAACCCCCTGCCTTCTCTCCCCCCCACCCCACCATTTAAACTCAGTGATACAGAAGCCAACCGCAGGAGGAAAAACCAATGAAAGGCAGAGACAACAAATTCTAGGTTTATCCCTGTCCTCTCTCATCCTTCTCCCTGTTGAGTTCTCCAAGGGCAACACTGAGGCTGAGGTGGAAGGAAGTGGACAGGCAGTGCTTCCCGCTGGCCTGCTTGTAAGTAATAAGGCTGGCAGGTGGGGGCTGGCTGGGGGCAGACTGAGGTTAGTGGGGCAATGCCTTTTTCCCCTTAACGGACCACCTTACACTGCTTAACCTGCTGTTCTCCCAGGTTCTTTGGGAGCAGGCACTAAAAGCATCTTTAACACCTTAACTGATAGGACATTTCACGTGAAAAGGAAGGATTGTTGCAGAATAAACTTGTTACCTGCTGCATTTAACTTTGGCGCCAGGAGCATGTTTCCTTTCTCTTGCAGTAAGGGAGAGTAGTTGTGAAACAGGAAGAAAGTTCCCAAGTTAGAGGCTTTCCTGCAAGCGTCATCATTGTCTTTTAGCTCGCACATATACCTGCAGGTGGAAAAGGATTAGAAAGTGAGGCACGTGAAGAAGACTAACTGTGCAAGCCTACGCATCTGTTCCTACGGTATTTTCTCCGGGTGAGTTTCCTACTGCAGCCCAACATGTAATTTCCTTACTTACTTCTACACAGAAGTAAGTCCATCTCAGATCAATGGGGGTTATTCTGTGGTAGAATCTGTTGTTGCATTCTCCATCTTTGTGCTCCAGATACTTGAAAAAATACTGATAACACAAGGTCTATTATTGACTGATTGATTGAATTTATATCTTACCTTTCCTCCCAAATGAGCCCATGCTAGCAAACGGATCCATAATTTAGTAACAACAGCAACAAAACTCAATGTTCTAAAACCTTCTAAAAACAATTACAGTGAAAACGAAAAACAGTTACAATTAAAAACACGATCCTATCCAGAGATTGCTACGAACAGTAGTCTTCAGCCACCGAATGTCTGGGTAATTAAAACAGTTAAGCCGTAAAAACATACTGGAGTAATTCTAGCTTTATCCCATTAACAACAAATTCTAGCATATTGGGCTCAACAAAGGGAAACCCCAAATTCCCCACAGGTTAAGCATTTACCTCATTCTCTTGACATAGGTTGAATGCAGCCTGGAATATAGAGAAGAAGCTCTTCTATATCCCACTCGATAGACCAAAGTGATTACCATCTTGTGTGCCATAGCTTAAAAACAAGAAAAATACCATATTATTATTAATAAGTCATACATATGCACAGATATACATCTTCAAGGATATATATCCGCACGTGGACGCGCACACACACACACGACTTATAATAACCCTGATGGTTCCTCTAATTCATTTATAAATGAGGAAAATCAACACTGTGAACCCATATTGCATTTTTGGGAAAATCAAGTTCTTTCAATATTCAATAAAAATGAAGACCGATTTACCACAAGCATGCCTTACTGCCTTTTTTCTCTCCTGTTCTTGTAAAAAGTGTAAGTTGAACCATTAATGCAAACACCCACATTTTCTGTCTGTTCACCTACAGAAGGTATCATTTACAGTTTCCATTTTTTTGCCAGTACTGTAAAACTCTTGCTACTGTAACTATGCATGAAATGAATTCCTTATGTTCCACCTTAACTGCACCATCCAAACAGAACAGGAAAAAACAAACAGGGTGCCAAAGGATCCTGTAGTATCCTCAGATCTTTGTCTGACATCAGACATTTGAGAAGAAACTGTACTTTGCCCTAAAAGTCACAGACAGAAAAGAGTTCAGAAACAGCTGCAGAAGGTCCAGCTCTTCCTACTTACCAGGAAAAAAGTCCTTATTTTCTGGTAGCTCTCCCTCCCCGTGGAATGTATTTTAAAAAGCACAAAGGTACATTAACTTTCCTTCCATTCTATCCGCCAATAATAGCTGCTGCCTGCATTACAGTTGCAGCTATTCTATCAAGCAGGAAACTAAAATGCATTCCTATGCATGTTTACTCAGTAGAAAGTCCTTGACTCCCACTAAATTTGATGGGATGTATTTATTATTTCTGTTTCTATACCATTCACCATTCAAAATTGCAAAGCGGATCACAGATAAAAGTATATAAAGATATTAAAAAGTATAAAATACGCAATAACAATGGAAATACTGTAACTTCAGTTGCAAGATGATTTACTGACATGGTGCAGAGTTAAGAGTATCTGATTTGGGAGAAACCCAGAATGAACTCTCTACTCAGTCTACTCAGTCATGTGACTCACCGGATCAGTCACAGCCTCTGAGCTTACTCAGTACTTTTACAGTAGTACTACAGTAGGCAAACAAAAGTCTTCAGGCATATGCAAAAGTGGAAAGGGAGAAGCACTCAGAAAGTAATTTTTAGTTTTGAAAACAAGATGTGTTCCTTATTACAAATGTCCTATTTCTATCTGTGCAATGTCAAAGAGCATGAAGCTCTGCTCCCCAGAAAGAGTTGTACGTAAGCGGGATTTCTGTCATCAGTGAAGAAATTCAAAGTCCCAGTAAGGCTGTGTGGCGGGTTCTTCCATACCGTAAATGCTAAATCAATCACAGAGAAGTTGAACGTCAGATCTCAAAAGTGCAGATTTGCTTTTTCCTCCAAGCTGCTTCTCAGTTTTAAATCCCTGCAGGGTCAGACAGTAGTCAAGAACGACAAATGAAAGCTTTTCACTTACTGTTATATAAAAGCACACGGCAGTTTCCGTCAGCAGGAAGCATTTAGCAAACACTCCACACTGATTGGTTCAGGTTGTCTATTAATCCGAACTACACTACCCATAATCCTTTGACTCAAAATGGGCCCCTGGAAAGTGTAGTTCAACAGGTACAATTCTATTAACATAACCAAGAGTGGAGGTACTGTACCTATGCTGAAAGTGCTCTAAAGTGCTTACCAATGTTAGTAGGATTTGGACAGCCCCTTCCTCATTTTCCTCCACGTTGGTTTAAATCAGGGGTCAGCAAACTTTTTCAGCAGGGGGCCGGTCCACTGTCCCGCAGACCTTGTTGGGGGCCAGACTATATGTTGCCATGATTATGACCCACATTTTTTGCAAAAACCTTTATTGGGACCAACCCCAATTTGCAGAAATGTGTTTTTTTGGGGGGGTGTTTCCTCATACACACACGCTGCTTCCTTTGCGTTTTACGCGTTGACAGTTATTATTTCTCTCGTAAGGCGGGGTGGGGGGGCTGAGGTAAGTGCGCCACTCCTGTCAGCCCTGGAGAGCATGTGCACATGCATGGGTGAAAGGAAAAGCCGTTGGCCACGCTAAGTCAAGCCGGTGCTGCTCAAGCAAAAACATTCTTTTACCCACGTGAGGGAAGACGAGGTGGCGGCTATTTACCTTTCCATGGCTCACACCGTGTAGCTAACAAGCAGCCTCCCCAGCAGAGCGCTGAACTGTTCTGGAGTGCAGCCGCCCAGGCGCTCCCCGCTTCCTGTAGCGGGGAGCACCGCCGCCACAGACACCAGTGGGCGTCGCTCCCGAGACGCCTCCGAGCCCCTGCCGCCACAACTGCCCTTCCTGAGGTCAGTCGCCGGCAGCTCCAGGGTGGAAATCCGAACTGTGGCTCCTTTTCACTCTTCCCCACCCCGGAAGAAAATACTGCTGCATGCACGCGACGAACGGTGAAGGGGCTTGTCTCAAGCAGCCGCCCGCCTCACTTTTGACCCCAAGCCTGGCTGAGTCGCAAAAACCATCACACACGCACGCACTATGTTGGCTGCCTGGATTCCTGGACCATCTGTAGGCCGGATCTAGAAGGCAATTGGGCCTGATCCGGCCCACGGACCTTAGTTTGCCAACCCATGGTTTAAATTTATGCAATGCTTCACATAGCCAAAAGGAGTCCTGAAAGGCAATAGTACACAAAAAATAAAGCTAAGAGTAGAAAATGTGTTAAAGCAATGCAAATGTACTAAAAGTGTTTCTCCCCAAAAATTATCTACCATATAAAAAAACACCTTCATCAAACACAATAATGAACACCAAAAATTATTATAACAGGAAATTATTATTAGTAATTACAACACAAAAATAAACGAGCAAGCCGCTTTTTAAAAGCAACAACAACAACATATTTGTCAACCTGTGGCTTTCCCAGAGGCATCTAGTTGGGGAAAAGGATGATGAACTAGATCTGATCTTCCTCTGCCCTTACGTTAGTAGTGTTTACGTAGAATGCTATACTATTGTTTTCTATTTTCCCAAATAATACTGCCAACTCAAATTTCTGGTTTCTGTACTGGGACTGCAGGTGACCTTTCTAGTTGTGACAGTGGAATTCAGAGCCAGGCCCTGGGCAGAACCAGCTATTTATTTATGGATCCAGCTTTTGGTGTGGTTTGGAGCAGAAGCCAGAATAAATGCGTAAGATGTCATGCAAATCTTTTTGTATTCATCTGAGGTGAACCATTAAGGGAGGGTGGGGGGGGAAACCAGCCTTAATTGCCTCTTGCTTCTCTGGCAACTGGCCCAGCAGCAAAACCACATTTGCAGGAACAAATGTACCTGCTTTGTACCAAGCCAGGTAATTGGTCTTTCTACCTCAATGTTGGAGACCTGCTACGGCGGGCAGCAGCTCTCCAGAATTTTAGACAGAGAATTTCCTCAGTTCTACCCAGGGCTTTTTTTCAGCCAGAACTCCTCAGAGCCTGGAGCTGTTTGAGTACTGCAGCCAACACTGATCTTACTGAATGAGGAGTCAGTAACAATATTCAATCTATAGGGGGGGGGGGGAGAGTTAAACGAAGTCTCTGAAGCTGTGTAGATTAAAACAACCACTTTGAGGATGCCATTTGTATGCTTAAGGCACTCTGGCTGATGAATTCATAAACTGAAAATAAAAATAAATAAATGGGAGTATTTACAAAGTATATTGATAGTGCCATCCTTTTTGTTCTGTTCTCAAAGACAGTAATAAAGGTTGCCAGGCATTTAACTGGAAGATATATATCCATACACAATTTTAAAAATGAGCCGTTACGGGGATACGGCACACTTGTTCTTCGAATGATATACAGCACTGCCGAGTTATGCTTGAGTGTTTCTCACGAGCTTCTTGAACATAGCACACGCTATCCAGTTAATCCACAAGGCTAATAGGATTAACTGAGAAAACAGCTCACATAAATCTCTTTATAACAAGCAAGACTAGAGTAGTGTCTATGATAAAGGAAATGTCTAGCTTGCTTGGCAGAAAGATAGATGGAGCTTTCGTCTATTAACATATAATGCTTCTAACACAGTTTACTTGAAAAATTACTTACTGTGCTATACTGTGGGTAAGGAGACTGGTTTTATAAGCCATTATGGTCACATTGGCACTATGCATTTAACTCAGTATGATGCCCCATTAACAGTCATGGCTTTCACCAAAGAATTCTGGAACTATAATTTTTTAAGGGTGGTGGGGGTTGTTGGTGTTAGTCTGGTAAAAGAAAAAAATAAAATATATTAAAATAAAAAGGAGAATTCCCTGGCTGCCTAAGATCCAGTTTTTTGGGTGAGTACTCTTTGGTGAGGAAGCCCCAGCAGAGATTTAAAATCTCAAAAATGCACCAAAGTAAAGTGTGGAAATATAGGTTGTTAGACCTTTAACCCTTACAAGTTGCTTCCAGAGTTCCCCACTTCCCTTAGCATAGAAAGAGACTACACATTTGGGAAGTTAAAAAATGCTTTACTTACAAACTCTCCAAAGGTCATATTCATGTGCTTTCCCACACAGCACTACAAAACACAGGCAGTTTAACTGAGGTTCCAAAAAGAGGTAAATTATTTGTATAGAAACACAAAGATGGTTTGCTTAAACCAAGCGGTCTAAGCCTGGAGCATCCAGCTTTGACCTCGTCACTTGGTGCAAGTGGGAGCACAAAGGACAGGCTACTCTATGGCTTTAACCCCTTCGTGCATTAATTAGAGTTAAGCATACTGGCTACCGGTATATGAGGCTGATTTATCAGTTACATGACCTCTATTCCCTTCAGACCATTGTAGCTCTGTGAGGAGAACAGCAGTCTCCTAGCACTGCTTATAAACCTTAAACCACAGTTCTTACGATTCTTTGGGGGAAACCAAGTAGTATCATAGTGCCTTAAAATATAGTGCAGATGTGGACTATATGTGTGAAGTTCTTCCATAAGCTGGGCCCCGCAGATGGTCCTGACCCCAACATGTGATTTCCCTCCTACCGCACCATAACATCCACCTGTTGAGTGTGGCTTTCTGAGCAGGGGAAGCCTATGCACATAGGGTTCCATGGGAACTGTGACCCCAGTCATTGCTGAGATGTCCTATGCTCAGTGTGCAGACACTGAGGACAGGGCCAGCTATGCAGCTCCACTGCCACTTCCAGTGTGGACCATGTGTGCACATATAATATCTAAAGTAGCTACTGTTGGGCTAAAGGTAGGTCCTGGCCTAAGAATGTTAATGACTACCGTTCTAGGTCATACTATGGGGAACATCCCCGTGGAGCATCCTCCTAAAGGAAAAACAAATACGCCTTTTCGTTATTTAAAAAACCCCAAAGTAAGAGTTGCTTCCGTGTAGCTAAGTCCCACACCACACTGGTAATATCAGAAGGATTTATATGGACTGAGCAAATTACATGGTTCTTACTGTTGTTGTTACAGTGGTACCTCAGCTTACATACGCTTCAGGTTACATACGCTTCAGGTTACATACGCTTCAGGTTGCAGACTCCGCTAATCCAGAAATAGTGCTTCAGGTTAAGAACTTTGCTTCAGGATGAGAACAGAAATCGCGCGGCAGCAGCAGGAGGCCCCATTAGCTAAAGTGGTGCTTCAGGTTAAGAACAGTTTCAGGTTAAGAACGGACCTCCAGAACGAATTAAGTTCTTAACCAGAGGTACTACTGTACTACTACTACTAACACAACCATGAAAGCAAAGTTACTGCTGGAGTCAGTCCCAATGTAATGTCCTGAATATACAAAACAGGCATTAAGATACCAGCACACCATCATTATTATTATTATTATTATTATTATTATTGATGGGTGCCGATTGTGGGGTGGGTACTCCTCATGCCTGCAAGCTTCAGCATCAGAATGCCAGCCCTTTATTCCAGATTAATTCTAGTTCATCTAGACTGAACTTTTCAGGGAAGGGGGCGGGAATCCAAAACAAAACCCTGTTGCCAATAACCCATAATTGGCAGTACTGTATCTGAACAACCCGCTTACGGTATTAATCTTGAACAACCCTTCACCCCTACAGCAATCCATGAAACCATGAAATGATCAGTCCGTTTTGAGCTACCCAGTAATGCCCTACAGTACACTTTCTTGTCTGCAGAAGCCTGGCGACGTAGGAGCGTTTTCAGCGCTATTGATGAATAATAATAATAATAATAATAATAATAATAATAATAAAAATTAAAGCTCTTTCCCCCACTCTACTCGCCCCGTTACGTAGCATCACACCCCTGGACATGTTTCCTCCTGCATAAGGAGCCCTGCTGTGTTCAATGGGCAATTCCGCCGCGCGCGCGCCCCCGGAAAAAAACCCTTTCCCAATTAATTCAAGGCGCTAATTGTCCCCCAAGAGAAGAGGAGAGAGGAGGGGATGGAGCCGGGTCTCGCGCCTGCGCATTCGCCTGGGGCGCCGCCGCTGCTGCTGCTGCTGCTGCTGCTGCTGCTGTGCCCGGCCTCACGTACAGCTCGGGCGGCCGCTTCCCTGGCCGCGCTCCGAAGGGGCCGCCTCCCAGGGCCGGCGGTGGGCGGGATCCCGGCCCGCATAAGCATTCCGAAAGGGGCCTTGCTGCGTGCAGTCCCGGACCGGGCGGAGAGGCGGACAGGGCTCAGCAGCGGCAGCAGGAGCAGCAGCTTGGGCGGCTTTCCTCCGAGGTGCGTGCAGGGGCTTTTCTTCCCATTTCCCACCCACTTCCCCCAACTCCTGGCCGCGTGCATGGAAGGATCTTTTCCCATTCCTTTTCCCACGGGAAGGGAAATAGCTGGCATGCCTGGCTTTGCAGCAGCAGCAGCCGCAGCAACCGCAGCAGCTAACTTCCCCATAAAGTATGTCGTACTTTTTATTTTATTTTAGGCATCGATTTTTATTTTTTTTAAAAGCACACAATCCCCATAAGTGTGCTTTTAACAAACAGCCCTCCTTTGTGGCTGCTTTGCTGGGCTCCCCTCTTTGCTTCCCCCACCACACCACCAAAGGCATGTTGCCGGGATAAGTCCCCTTTCGCCCTCTTGCTGGGGAATCTGCCCGGCTCCCTTTCCACCAGGCACTTTCTCTTCCCTTTCTTTTACGCTGCTGAAGAGTGCGATGGACTTGGCATAGCGCTCTCTGCCCCCTCCCCTCAAAATAAAATTGAATTTTTTCTTTTTTAAAAAAAGTTCCTGGAAATATTTGCCTAGTAGCAACTCGCCCAGGGCAGCCCAGTCTTGTCAAAATTCTTGCACAGATCCGCCCACGTCTGTGCCCCAAGGGTTTGGGGCTGACGTGGATGTGGGTCTTTCCCCCCCTCTCCCTCTTCACCCTTAAGATTGCTCTTAAGTCTCTTCAGCCACTGAGCTTCAGAGGCTGTTCATTTTGCCCTACAATGAGTGGCATGAGTTTCTTTAATCAGTAGCATATCCTGAGAGTAGTATATGAGAGAAACCTGATTCCTTCCTTCCTTCCTTCTAGAATCTCCATCTCTGGCTGTTACTCATTGAGCGGATGATATTCATCCAAGTTTGCATGCGGTGCTTCTTCTTCTGATATCAGTATTCATGCAAGGCCTAACAGTTGAAACTTTAAAAAAAACAAAATACATGACTTAACCAGAGAATAAGTTTTATTTAGCCAAACATGCCTTAGTTTCCAGTTATTTCTTAAGCATGTTATACAACTTGTCCAGCAGGATTGGTTTGTGCGGAAATTCCTCAGCAAGCAATGGTTACCTCTCTCCCTTCCCCTTTGTAAATTGATCCCTTTGCAAATAATAGGGTACAAAACTGCAAGAAGGGACTGAAGAGCCAATAAGAAAGAGGGCTGTTTACACAGAAAGTTGACTGTTTCGATAAGGCTCTGGTACTTTCTGTTAGACTTCACTTGGGAAGATTTTTGAGATGAACGAGTGTCTGTTACGTGAGTGGGGGAGGGTGAAATACGTGGCAGTAGCATTTTTTTCATCAACCTTTTGCTCGCTTCACAAACTTTTGGAGAGAAGCTATTTACGCTGACTGGTTGCTCATGCTTGCTAAGTATGAATAGAATGCATTTCTAAGCAGCTCACACAGACATGAAAAAATCTGTGTAGGGGATATGCAGAGTCGGGGTTTTTTTCGCTAATTTTATCAGGGACTGCGCTACTTGATCAGCATTCAAATGTTTTTGAGTGTCTGAGGAGTATTGCATCACACTTGGGTCATTCAAAAGTTTGTCGAAGTTACTCGAAGTGTAAATATGAGACTTCAGCAGTGAAGTAAAAGTGGGTTTCCTGAAACTCGTGTGGCATAAGAGGCTTTATGGACAAGAGATCCCGCATCGACGTACACAATATTCTCTTAGCAGCCAAGCTGATTTAAATTGCTAGAGGCAAGCTGTATAACTTTTTTTCCTTGCATAAAATAATCTAAAAAGACCACCTAGCAAAGGCTGTGCTACGCTCATGCCACCCAATCACTTCCATACTGGAACGGGGTGCAACTCTTGAAACAGTTTTAAAATACAAAGGTAGGTAGTTAGGTGAAGAAGACACTCCGTGTCTTCTCTAGTTGAACTGTCCTGGGAGAAGTTTCATGAGAATGAAGGAAGCATGTGAAGAAAACATCAGTGACTGCTTCATCTGAACTCTCTCCTACTCTCCCACAGGCCCTATACTGGAAGGGTCCTAATCGCTTGCTGCATTTTGGTATTAACTTATTGCAGGTGTGGAGAACCTTGGGCCCTCCAGATGTTACTGAGCTACAGCTCCCATTAGCCCCAGCAAACTTGGCCAATGGCCAGGGGGGTTACGGGAGTTTTAGTTGTTCCCCCGTACCTGATTTATTGTGATTACATTAATGTATTTTGATTTCCCTTGTAAGAGTTTTGAAAGGATTTGTACGCTTAAAGTAAACAAGCAATGTTGCAATTTCTGTTTACAACAGGGGCTTAATCTCTTTGGGAGGCCCAGAAAATAAAAATAAAAACCCTATGTAACCCACGTGTGCTGTTTTACAACTACTATGTGTTTTATCCAGCTAAGTTTGATTCACAGTGGATCATTGAAATTAAAGGACCGAGGTTCGTCACGTTTAGTAACTTCAGTGGGTCTACTACTCTGAGTAGGACTAGCATTGGCCACAAACCCTGTATGTTCAGTTTAGAAAAGTTCAAAGTGTGAAGCAGGATGTGATAGGTCTGCTACAGACTGTGCTAAAGCAAACACTAATGATGCTCCAAGAATTTTATTTTATTCTCTGCTAATGAATGGGAGGCATGTCCAGCTTCTAATTGTCCAGTAGCAATGATGTAAATGATTGGGAACATTCCATGTGCTTCATTGTCCAGCTGTTTAATACTGTATGCCTGTGCTGTTCTTAAAAACGTGAGTATCCGTTGTATAAGTGTGATGCGGATTCAGATGGGATTTACGGTATGTCTGAGACCAAACAATATAACAGACATTTTGACTGATAGCCCATTGCTATGAATGCACAAATGTTTCTCCCTGTTTTTTTAAAGGGAAGCTTCCAGTGCCCTGACATTCCTGAAATTATTTCATCTCTAAGAGCTGGATAGTTAACGGTAGCGTCAGCTTCCAACTTCAACATAACTGAGGCCTTCTTCTAAATATAAAATACTACTGGGAAGTTGTATTACCCTGAAACTCTGCTGCCTGACAAATTATCAGCCTACTTATTGCCTGTCACAAATACACTAATGTATTTGTGGGTTTTATTCTTACTTCTGAGGTGAATTTTCGCAATGGGTTATGTGGCTGAGATTCGCATGAATCCCAGTTTTGTGAAATTACTCTCCACAAGCCTTGGTAATACATTAGAAAACTATTTTCTGTTTGTTTACTGGCATGGCAGTAATGCCACCTTACCTTGAAAGGCCACATTATCTGTCCATGTGATTTTCAAACCACTTGGGGATTATAAACTCACAGACTTGAGTAAAACATGTACTCTGGGGCTGAGGCGGGCTTCCCAGTTGGTTGTCAGCTACCCTTCTGTGCCTCTGTGGATGGAAGAAAATTGACCTCTTAGCTTTGTCTTGATGCACAAGCTCAGAAGGGGTATATTAAGGCAGGGATAGAGTAGGCAGTAGAGAGCTAAGTGCCTGAACCAAACAAGGGCTCACTAATATTAACCAGGCAAGGATGTGGATGAGCAACACTCACTCATAAAGAGGTTCGGGTAGAGAGGATAAAGGTAAACCAGGGGACATTGACAAAAGCAGTTGGATGGGAATATGGATGTGGTTGACAGGAATCTATCTGGCCCTAAAGTTCCAGACAGATATGTATTCTAATTAAGAGACTTTCTCATTGTATCTTTCATATTAGTTGGTAGAACTCAACATCTCCTTCCCTCCAGACACTGACATGTTGTTTTTATTCTGTCGGTACCTAAAAGAAAATTTTCAGGAATGGCTTTGCATGTGTGGGAAAGCATATCAGCACCCTTCTGGTCTTGAATTGCACATTTAACACAATGCAGTTGTACCATTTATTGTAATGCAATTGTTGCACTGGAGGTCATCTTGTCCCAACGCCCTGACAAATAGACATTGTGTTGCGGCAACAGAATGACCTCTCCTCTCTGCCTGCTGTGCACTGTTCTGGGGGTTCTGCTTATGCCACAGAGCCAATTTCGGGGGGGGGCATGGGAGCACATTGGGGAAGGAGAGGGGATAAGCTGGCTCCTGCTAGTGGAACTACTTAGTTGAACCCAGCCACCAGGGTCCTTGTCTGGTTATTTCACAACATTTATTTACCACCGGTTTGTAATAAAGCATCAACACTACAGAACTTGACTTTAAAAAGGACAGAGGCAGTACGTTGCTTTTACCTTTAGCACTCCTAAGATTAAACTCCAGGATGCTTTGGAAACAACCTCCATGCTCTCTTCTTGATTTACAGAAGTAGTGCAAGCACAGCCGGTACAATCAGTAGCTCTGGGAAAGAGCTGGTACTCAAGTCCTGCAGGGGAGATGATGCTCATTTATGCTTGAAATGTTACAAGCCCAGTTTGCTTGGTGACAATCCAGAGGTGCTATTTGCACATCTGCCAAGAGGCTTGGCTGCCCAGGTGGTTTCTTGTGTGCATGGTTCTGTTAGAAGCATGTAAATGGCTCCTTTGGTTTGTTCTCAAGAGCCTCGTAATTGTTCAAGCTATGCCGTATTTTTAAAAGTGCTGTTTTATTTCTCTTTCAGGCGTTTGTTAAGGCAAGAGCAGAGCAGTAGAAAAATGATGCCCACAAAATCATGTTGCCTTCTAGTCCTCTGTGTTGTGCTTCCCTCTTCATATGCCCATACAGATTTCTTCACTTCCATTGGTGAGAATACTTTTGAGCAGAACTGTCAAGCATTTTTTAAACAGTTCAGCAATAATGATGCACAAGTGGTTCGTTCAGTTGCGTTGTTCATTTATAACATTTATGAGTTGCCCTTCCTAGTGAAGACAATGGAGCTATAATGTGGCCAACAATAAAGTCTAAAAATTTAATAAAAATCAGAAAAATGCCCACAGATAACTTTGAAATGTGGCAGCAAAAAGTACCCAGGTATCAGTAAATAGGTACAGTGGTACCTCGGGTTAAGACCTTAATTCGTTCTGGAGGTCTGTTCTTAACCTGAAACTGTTCTTAACCTGAAGCACCACTTTAGCTAATGGGACCTCCCACTGCCGCTGCGCCACCAGAGCACGATTTCTGTTCTCATCCTGAAGCAAAGTTCTTAACCCGAGGTACTATTTCTGGGTTAGCGGAGTCTGTAACCTGAAGCATATGTAACCCGAGGTACCACTGTATTCAAAAGCACTGAAACAGTGCTGTGCTTAGCAAAAGAAGAAGTTAGTAGTACTGAACATTTCGGAGAATAATATTTGTATTTTATTTATGAAACTATTTATTAATAATACATACTCATGTATTCAGATCTGCTGGTCATGCACTCAAATTGGTTAAACGTATAATATTTAATTTTATTTGAGACCTTAGAATTCTTAGAATCATAGAGTTGGAAGAGACCACAAGGGCCATCGAGTCCAACCCCCTGCCAAGCAGGAAACACCATCAGAGCACTCCTGACATATGGTTGTCAAGCCTCTGCTTAAAGACCTCCAAAGAAGGAGACTCCACCACACTCCTTGGCAGCAAATTCCACTGTCGAACAGCTCTTACTGTCAGGAAGTTCTTCCTAATGTTTAGGTGGAATCTTCTTTCTTGTAGTTTGGATCCATTGCTCCGTGTCCGCTTCTCTGGAGCAGCAGAAAACAACCTTTCTCCCTCCTCTATGTGACATCCTTTTATATATTTGAACATGGCTATCATATCACCCTTAACCTCCTCTTCTCCAGGCTAAACATGCCCAGCTCCATTAGCCGTTCCTCGTAAGGCGTCGTTTCCAGGCCTTTGACCATTTTGGTTGCCCTCCTCTGGACACGTTCCAGTTTGTCAGTGTCCTTCTTGAACTGTGGTTTATCTCACCTAACTTAACCTTGCCAATATATTGGGGAAACCCTTTTGCCTGCCACGTGTGGCAATTGTTACAAGTTTACTTGGGTCACGATTCTAGCCTGAAGAGAGGAAGAATTCATAAGAATAATATTTATTTGTTTATTTATTTATACCCCGCCCATCCGGCTGGGTTTCCCCAGCCACTTGGGCGAGCCGCAACAGCAAATGGCCAACTATACGGTTGCTCTTAGAAATTAGTAGTCCTATTGACTTAGAATAGCAATTCTACTGACTTTTCAAAAAGTAAAGTGGCCCCAGGGAAAGGTAATTTGCACTGTTTATATAATATAATTGAAAGGAAGATTTTTTTGCATAATAGCTAATAAATGGAATGTGACAAATATTTGACGCTTGAAAACATAATTCCAAACCCAACCCTTCTCAGTTTCCTAAGCCTATGTGAAACTAGTAAATGGCAAGGATATTTCAGTTGGATGTTTGCTTTATGGTGTTATATTCATGATTTGTTGTTTTATCAGTTGGGGGGACAACTTGGGTTTCAAAGTGGGGAGGTGACTTGCTTTTCCAAAAGAGTGGGAAAGGTTATTAGTCTTCTTACCATCTCAGTATCCACTTCTGAATTCCCTTTTCCTTGGCTATTCATATCAATATTGTGTGCTACAGAAAGCAATTTGGGGAGGAAGGGAATCCTTGATAGCATAAACTTACCAGTAATTCTTAATGTGTTGTAAAACTGCCATTGAGAAATTCTCTAATGTGGAAAAATCACAATCCACAGGGAGAGAGTATAGAGTGATTTTGCAATATTTGCAAGACATTAGTTCAGAGAAACAGACTGCTGCCTCTCAGCTTACATTCTACTTGAGACATATTGGTTAACTTACTGTCAATATATTCTGATTACATGGCAAAACTAATTAAGAATAGCAGGGAGAAATATTTCCCTTGCACCTTTTTTGTAAGAATTAGAAAGTATAAAGTAATTGCAAACTCCTTGTGCATTTGGGTTTGTTGGTTGTTGTTGTTTTTTAAAGCATATTGTTAAGATTTTGTAATTGATCATAGACATAATGAGGGAATTAAACTATCTTTTTAGGTCACATGACAGACTTAATTAATACGGAGAAAGACCTGGTGACTTCGCTAAAAGACTATATCAAGGCAGAAGAGAGCAAGCTGGAACAGATTAAGAAGTATGTACAGGCTTTAATACTAATATTTAGTGGGTGACAAAAAATTTGCCCCAGGCCAAATAATATATGGCTTTTTGTGGGCAGAGGAATATTTGCTATTTCTGCAAAATGTTGGCTGTAAGCCATCCAGAGTTTAAATATGGGCTGTGGATAATAAAAAGAACTTTACTTCCTTTACTTCAAACCTTTGGGGAAAGTACAGAAATGTATGTATACATGCATGTATGTATGTATGTATGTATGTATGAATAAATAAATAAATGTACCATATTTTTTGCTCTATAAGACTCACTTTTTCCCTCCTGAAAAGTAAGGGGAAATGTGTGTGCGTCTTATGGAGCGAATGCAGGCTGCGCGGCTATCACAGAAGCCAGAACAGCAAGAGGAATTGTTGCTTTCACTGCACAGTGATCCCTCTTGCTGTTCTGGCTTCTGAGATTCAGAATATTTTTTTTCTTGTTTTCCTCCTCCAAAAACTAGGTACGTCTTGTGGTCTGGTATGTCTTATAGAGCGAAAAATACAGTACATTATTTATTCAGTTCATTAGTCACTTGATACACTGGGAATCTCCAAGTGACTTGCAACATTTAGAATGTAGAGAAGAAACTATTAAAAACTAGTCGCATTATGAGCTAGCTTTGAAAATCTGTGCTTTTTATTTATCTTTAGACCGTGCAATTTATTTATCTTTTAGATCATGAAACAATACAAGGTATCCGATGTCAATTCACAGCATTAACGTTGGCACACGGAAAGTGACTTAGTAAACATATTTAGGTTGCATTTTGTCTCTCTAGATGGGCAGAGAAACTGGATAAGCTGACAGACACTGCAACGAAAGACCCAGAGGGGTTCTTGGGGCATCCTGTGAATGCATTCAAATTGATGAAGCGACTTAACACAGAGTGGAGTGAGCTGGAGAACCTAGTCCTGAAGGATATGTCTGATGGTAGGCTTTTAAAAAGCCGTTGTAAAGGCTCGCTTGCATGCTGAGAGCTGTGTGGGTAGTGGATAATTCAGTGAGCGGTGGGCCAGAAAATCCCTGGTTTCCGTTCTCTTTAGCCACTTTAGTCTCCTAAAAGGTCAATAACTTCATACTGAGGAGACCTGAAATCTCAGTGAGATTTGGGATTTTGTATCAGCAGTAACTCATCTTAGTGTTGTGATACCTGCTAGAAGCCAGACGTCTTTGTGATGAATAGGAATAGAGTTTCAACTCTGTGCTGTGTGTTTTTATGACAAGAGAGAGAGGAGGGGAAAACCAAAAATTCAGGTGTAATTCACTTCTGCACCACCTTGTTTGTTACCCAGGTGAGGGGGCCACCTTTTAAATAAACCACGGAACCAAAGACACTAATTCAAGTCCAGTATCCAGGAGAGACCCAGTATTTATTAAAACTATTGCCTTGCTAGCCAGCTGTTCAGCTGCTAGTTGGAAGGACTGCCCCATGGTATATCAGAGCAAAGCTTATATAGGCTACTAACACACAGCACACAGAGTCATCAAAGCATCCTTAAACATCCTCCTACATACATCAAGAAAGGTTACAGGTCATGGTATGTAAAATACACATGGCTTCATATTGGTGTCTTTGACCCTGCGATCACCTTGGAGTGGCCCAAATATGCCCAGGCCATTTGCTCTCAAATGTCGCACTTCTATCACCGTTGCCCTAGCAACCAGGCCTTCAACAGGCTGTGTGTGTGTACACACACACACTCTCTCTCTCTCACTCACACATATGAAGGTTTACTTGATTTTTTTGCTGTATTCAGAGATGTGGAGAGACAGCTGATGGGTAACATTATCAGTTATTGAGGGATGTTATCTAGAGATTAATTGAGAACATAAGCAGCAATGGGTTCATCTTGGACATATCTTATAAGGGGAGTGGGAAGCTGGTTTTGGAAAATCGTATTAAATTGAATTAATTTGGCAAGATTTGTAATAATTTGGAAAATCAGTGAAAATAATTGGCGTAAAAAATAATAATCAAGGAGATGCCGGGTTTCACCCTGGTGCTTCACCTCATGCCTTATTCTCCCTGCTCCTTCCTTCACACATACACACACCCTAATTTCAAGCATCCTTCACCACACGCCCAATTCTTCCTGCTCCTTCACACACATCCTGATTGCATGCATCCTTCACCACATGCTCTATTTCCCTGCTCCTTCCTTCAAACACACCCACCCACCCCCTGATTTCAAGCATCCCTCGCCGCACTTGAGAATTCTATGATTCTAAGAGCTTCTTTCTTTAGGGTTCATTTCTAACATGACTATTCAACGCCAGTATTTCCCAAATGATGAAGATCAGACAGGTGCTGCCAAAGCTCTCTTACGGCTCCAGGATACGTATAATTTGGATACAGACACTATATCGAAGGGAAATCTCCCAGGTAAAATTTTGGTAATTTTTGTAAGTATTTGGGGAAAACCTTTTAAGAAAACTACTTTGCAGAAACCAATTGAGGGTGTGGGTGATTAGGGAGGGAGAGTTTGTTTCACATACCATATTAAACCATGGTTTGTTGCTGAAAGACTGACCCTTACGCCCACCTGTACCACTATTTTCCTTCCTCTTCCCCTCCCTTTGCTTGCATGTTGTTTTTTTTTAATTACTGGCTTACTCTTTCGCTCAAACCATAGCTATGATTTGTGTTCAACTTCCGAATCACTGCAGAGGGCAGGCAGTTAAAGTCTATATTACTCCCATGCCAGGATCCCAATGCCAGGTCCCCTGCAATTTGTGTTGTCAAAAAAGGGTCCATTAAAATTGTTTAGGCAATGCATATTGCAGGTTCTGGATTGTGAAACAGTAGGGGACAAAACGTTACAGCCCTTCTTTAACCCCCTTTTAGGGTCCGAATCCAGATTTGGCCCTTAGTGCCTGTTTTTTGCATTGGACCGTGGCAAACACTCCTATTGGAGCAATTGGGATTAGTTTCCCACAGTACAAATAGCAATAGTGTGTTGTTGTTGACTGAAAGTGTGAGGTGCCCCACCTGTGTTTGGTTCTATTACCCCTGGGGGAATGTGGCCCTCTCAGGGCAGGCGGAGGCAGATTCCACACCCTAGGACTTAGGAAACACAACAGTTTAGTAGGGCACACTCTTTGGACTGATTGTCTTGGTGGTCTTTAGGATCCCTATCTAAAAACCACTGTCATTATAACATTAAATGGTAAATGCACTAATTTACAGTAAATTGCAGCCTATACAAAAATTAAGTAGCTATAGTTAGCACAAATTTTGTGCAACTTTTGTTTTTTCCGTCATAGGCTTTGTAAGGTGTCATTAATCACATAATAAAAATAGAAAAATGCAGCTTCAGAAGAAGAAGAAAATCAGTGCAAATGATTCAGTAATGCAACCTTGATTCAACATTATTGGCTTCTTGTTTCCTACAGGAGTGAAACATAAGACATTTCTAACAGCTGAGGATTGCTTTGAGCTGGGCAAGATTGCATACACGGAAGCAGACTACTACCACACTGAACTGTGGATGGAGCAAGCTCTAAAACAGCTGGATGATGGAGAGGTTTCTCCTTCCATTGGCAAGGTTTCTGTCCTAGACTACTTGAGTTATGCTGTGTACCAGCAGGGGGATCTGGAGAAAGCCGTGATGCTTACCAAGCGTCTTCTTGAGTTGGGTATGTTAAAGAACTTGTATATTTCCTTTGGGTTGCAATAACTAATTTTGTGCACTAATTTTCCTGTGCACCAAAGATCTGTTTGCTGATTAGTGCAATTTCTGCTTCCTATCTCCGCCCCCCCCCTTTTCTCCTGGATGGTTTGGAAATCTTCCTGAGCAGTGTGGGATGGGAGGGGGCTTCTGAAGGAGAGAGGAATTGCTACCAAAACAGGTTTTGTCCCTGCAATTTGTTAACTTAAGGAAGTCCCTAGAAGGACTTCCCATTCCCTCTCGTCTCTCCAGCGAAGTTTTGAAGAGGTACAAATGGCCACAGGTGGGGAGTGGGAAACTTGCCTTCCTTTTTTAAAAAAGTTAATTTATCTCGGGGTTAAAGGCATTGTTGTGAACTTCTTAAATAGGAAGGTAAAGGTAAAGGGACCCCTGACCATTAGGTCCAGTCGTGACCGACTCTGGGGTTGCTGCGCTCATCTCGCTTTACTGGCCAAGGGAGCTGGCATACAGCTTCCAGGTCATGTGGCCAGCATGACTAAGCAGCTTCTGGTGAACCAGAGTAGCGCACGGAAACACCGTTTACCTTCCCGCCGGGGCGGTACCTATTTATCTACTTGCACTTTGACGTGCTTTCGAACTGCTAGGTTGGCAGGAGCAGGGACTGAGCAACAGGAGCTCACCCCATTGTGGGGATTCGAACCGCCGACCTTCTGATCGGCAAGTCCTAGGCTCTGTGGTTTAACCCACAGTGCCACCCGCGTCCCCTCTTAAATAGTAGTTGTCTTCAAAACAATAGCTTTTCCTAGTACCAACAGCAGTGGTGTTCTGTATTGGGCAACCGGGAGCAAGATAATCCGGCTCTGCTTCCATTAGCTGATAGCTTTTGTGCATTCAAAACAAGTCTGAACATAAATCAGATCAATTCTGAATAGGTGAGGGTTGCATACGTCTGTATGCTCCTGATGGCATAAACGGGAATGCAGCAGGGCTTAGAAACCTCCCTGCAGCTTGCTGCTCCTGTTTGCTCTCCCCATTTTTTCCAGACATACTGAGACTGCAATAGACCCATTTCAGATTGTCATTGCGATTCTGGAAGGGACTAATGTATTCTCATTGGAATCTGATTCAGATGTGGGGAGCCTTCCAAAAGCCAATCCCCCCATGTCAGTTCCTGCTCAAGCACAAGTTTTAGATTCCACATCTTCTATTCTAATTTATATTACTACTATTGGTTTATATGCACAAAGACTTATTTACCCAGGCGTTTAGCCATTAATTAATCTATGGCTTGCTAAAGCTGGGGTGGGGGGGTCTGTTATTATGATTATTTTATTATGTTGTCTGATACTATGATTTTTATTACATTTTTATTATTAATGCTCTGTAATGTGTTCTTAATGTTGTACACTGTCCTGAGATCTTTTGATAAAAGGTGGTATATAAACTGAAATAATAATAATAATAATATAATAATAATAATAATAATAATACTTTATTCTTTGCTTGGGATTGTAAAAAGACAAAGTGACACATCTCTTAACGTTCATTCTGATAGTAGCAACTCCTGTTTTTCTAGCATCTTTTCCTAAAACACCCGGATTGCCACGTTGGCCTGCAATACATTCTTGTTATGCTATCATAAAATACTTGTTGGAAATGGTGCATTAATTCATGCAAGACTTTGTAAATGTATATCTGCTATTGCACCGTGCTTTGAGTAGGATCAGGTCTTTACTGCTGCTTGGTGCATAATGACCTTCTGTTCAACGTGTTAGTGGTGGTTTTTTTGTTTTGTTTTTGTCAATTGTAATAGTGTGTAAGTGTCTAAAGTTTCACTTTTTTGTTACAGAGTTAAACTACCAGAGGGGTCTTAAACAATATGATAGTACACCAAGTGTTTTCTATTGAGATTTTCACCTCAATCTTCGTGTCTGCTTAGGTCCTTTTTGTTGTTGTAAACTTTCAGAGGTAGCATATGTGGTGACGTCCAATCACTGTTGGACTCCCATTACCCCTGGGCATTGGCTATTCTTGTATCCAACAACAAATAGAGAAATGCACATCAACTACATTTCTAGCCTTGTCTGTGCTAGTGTAGTGTTACAGTTTCACAAAAAGTGTATCTGCTGGAAGAGTGTTTCTTGCAAACATCTAGAGCTCAACAAACATTTTTCCTAGTAGTTTAAAATTTCTACGAGCATAGCTGTAATACAGCCCTAGTTTACAAGGATTGGAGCGATTTAAAGAAGCATTCATTCATTCTGAGTTGTTTCATGGAAAGATTCACAACTACTGTGAAAATACCACTCTGTCATTTGTTTCTTTGACTTAGGAACTTCTCCCTTTAATGGGAATATGCAACTAAAACAGCTGGCAGAATATGAGTGAGTTAGATGTTGGCAATATTCAGATTTAAGCGTATGCTTAAAAAGAAAATGAAAGTTAACCATGAAAAGCAAGTTTGTTGAACGGTTAGCCTTTCACAAAGGGGCTCATTTCTTTTCCAATAGATTCAGAACACCAGAGAGCTAATGGCAATATGAAATACTTTGAGTACATCATGGAAAAAGAAAAAGAAAAAGAAGCAAACAAGTCTATTGCCCAAACCGATGGACAGACTGACAAGGAAAACAAAACTCAGAAAAGGGGACCTGCCAAAGATTATCTTCCAGAGAGACAGAAGTATGAAATGCTGTGCCGTGGGGAGGGTCTCAAAATGGTAATTAACATCTTTTATGTACAGTTTATAAAAATGGCTTTAAAATAGATGGTGAAAATCTGCTGGTACAGCTAGACAGCTATATCGTTTCAGATATTTATGCATTTGTTTACAAACCTTTAAAAAACATTTTGCTTCTTGCAGACCCCCAGAAGACAAAAGAAGCTTTTTTGCCGCTATTACGATGGGAATGGGAATCCCAGGTACATACTGGGCCCTGTTAAACAAGAGGATGAATGGGACCGCCCTCGGATTGTTCGCTTTGTTGAAATAATCTCTGACGAAGAAATAGAAACGGTCAAAGAGCTTGCAAAACCGAGGGTAAATAAAGAATCTCCATCTGTCCATGATAACTTAAACGATGCTACAAATGCATGAGCTCTTCCGGCCAGCCTTGTTTTCATGATGGCACGCTTTGCTTTGGATAAGTCTGTAATAAAATATTCCCTCTGTATGGCATTAGGAACTGACACTTTAGAATAACTCTGCGTTAGAGCACATGCTGCAGCATAAGGAATTCCCTGTTCAATCCCTGGCATTTTAAGGTTTTTAAAAAGGATTGTTGTTTTTAAAAGGTGAGCCACTGGCTATCAAAGTTGGCTTAGGTTCACAAACAGTCTGACCTAACTTCCTCTGCAGGTCTCAGCAATTAAGCTGGGGAGGACTTTTTGTGGCTGGCTGTGAAAGACAATCCTGAAAAACTATAGTGCGGGACTTGACAATCTTTGCAGCATGCATGAACTGCCTCTGGATAGAAATAACTCCTTTGGATTAATATACTACTACCACTACTCTTTTAATTGTTTTAATTCTGTCCTCAAAGTCCATTAGAAGTATTGATTCAGCTGCAGTTGTAAGTGACAATACCTACGATGATAGATCACCAACTTTCTTGTTACTCTGCAATTATGAAGTTACAACAGTGTGTGTAAGCTGAATGGAGTTTTACTTTGCCCAGGTTTGCACATGGCCATTTTGCACATAGTCTGGACTCCCAAATAAACTTAAGGGAAGACAAGAGTTTTAAGTGTAGGATTGAGTGCAGGGCATAATTTCTCAACCGGCCACCCAGTGCAGATTTTCATTCTTTTAAAAACGGCCCCAACAATGGCCTTTCCTTGGAAAAATAAAAAACTTATGACTGATCCATTTTAGACCTATATGTAAAATCTTGTTTATACTTTGTATGTGGACACGATTAATTATTTGGTTTGGTTTTTAGGAAAAGATGACTTATTCCCCCAGGTCAAATAGTTTGGCAAAAGATTTTCTCAGCCATGGCACAAACCTCCCCCCACAAGCCTAGTCACCAGGGCGTGTCTGTCCCCTTAGTCAAAAGATTGATTTCAGGCACCCCATCTGAGAAATGAGAAGTTGCGCCAAAGAGCTAGCTATTAGATGCAAGTGCCTTCAGGGGTGACCTCTCATCTTCTAAAGAAGGAGATGCCTGCTGTGTTGAAAGAGCATGTGCGTCTCTCATGCTCTGTTTTTGCCTCGTCAGCACCAGTCCATCAACAATTTGTGAATAGGTGCTGCCTTGGCTGGTAGAAGCATGTGAGTTGCAAGCTTTTTTTTAACCTAACTCGCACCATCTCTTTGGGAAAGGAGAGGTTGTTCCTTGTTGCCTTGATCAGAGGAGTGCTTAAGAGGTAAGTGGCACATGCCAGCACTCTGTAACTCTTCCCCACTTCAGATTAGGAGTACCAGTACCCATTAGGAGTACCAGGAGCCTGCCTGGTAAGAAGCGTGGTCACATCTTGCATTTCAAAGCTGTACCAGCCCCTGGGAAACAGTCTAGAGTGAAGCCAGATGTGAGTTGTTTGTAGACCAGCTTGGTTCAGTATACCTGATCCAACAAAAAACTTCATAAAGATGCATAGCCTATAGCGCACATAGGTTGCTTGACTACAACTCCCATCACCCATGATCATTGGCCATGCTGGCTGCGGCTGATGAGACTTGGGAGTCCAGCAACATCTGGAGGACCACAGGTTCCCCATCCCTGTAGGTATGCCAAATACCTACAGTAAACTATCCTGTTTGGTCGTAATTGTACAAGCCAAGCTGATAAAGTACTGTAACCAAAGTAAAAAGCTGGGTATAAGGCAATTGGGAGTGCCCTGTTACCCCAAGCTAGTTGAAGGTGAGTCGTGTTCTTACACGTTACTAAAAGAGAAGTACCTGCTTGGTAATGGGTCTCCTCCATACAGTATTGTGCATGATATTATACTGTTGCTATACATAGCTATGAGAACCAACCTACTTTAGCCTGTGCTCCATAATTGGGTTCTGAATGGTCGGATTGATGTGATGCGATAATATACATTGTAATGCAACTATTCTGATTGGTTCGCTTCACAGCTGAGGCGAGCCACCATTTCAAACCCCATAACAGGCGTTTTGGAGACTGCACATTACAGAATTAGCAAAAGGTAAGATTTCACTTGCCGTATATTCTTTCCCTTTAATGAGTGCCTCTGCGGTGCTCATTAGGGGAGAAAATGACCAGAAAACACAAGAGTTTGATTATTATTTTTCTGGTCCGTTTCTTTGCTCTCTGCAGATATTGTAACAAACTGTTACTGCTGAGTTTCTCAGATTCTTCCTCTAACCAGAAGTTCTGTCCTTGTATGCCTATTTAGGATGTATTCCTAGTTTGTTCCAATCTGCCTCAGTGTTTTCTTGGGTAGAGATTTCAGTTTTTCCTTCTTCAATACAGAGTGCCATTATCTCCATCAAAGTCTTCCATGTCTTGGTTTTTAAAGGATAGCCTCCCACAGAACTGTCAAGAGGCATGCAGAGTTATTAAGTTCACTAGTAAAATGAGCTCTCTGCTTCCTGTCTGTGAAATTTACAGAAAAGTGATCTTGGCAAGACAGCTCTTCAGCTATTTGTATTTAGGGATATTGAAGCACTTCTGCAAATCTATCGCAACAGAAACTATCATTTTATCTTGCTTGATTGCTAATTCCAGTTTTGTTTTGCTAGAGCCAGGTGACACATTCCCAGAGAGACTTCTACTAGTTGTGGGAAGTGATTAACAGACTTAATTAACCTAAACTACTGGCTTGATAACTTTTAAACGAGTTTTCTCCTGGCAATTGCTCACACTTACTAAAAAAGCTGTGCGGTTTCCCCATTTATCGTGACACAATATTAATAGTAATTAATCGCAGCTTAATATTTATTTACACCTAGGTCTCATGTAAAGCTCTTGTGCATGGCAGTGATCAGTTCCCCCTCTGTTTAGCTTTAGCTGCTCCCAGATCATTCACTGACCACTACAAAAAATTATGAATTACAGTATTTAGACTCTGGGCAGTTCATGCACCAGTTAACTGAAATAACCCTATTGCAATACCTTGTGAGGTAGGTTAGATGGTGAATGGCCCAGGGTTGCTACAGTGAGTTTAATGACATCTTTAAATATATATGTATATCTCCTGAGTCTCGTGCAAAAGCTTTATCTTTTCTTAAAAAGCAAAACTGAGGCAGCAATGCAAAACAATAAACTTCTGGGTACCGAGAAGTTCTCTGTGAAACTCTGCAAACAATTGGCTTGCATAAACTTTCCATTTGGAGGGAAAAAGTGAAAGGACAATCTAACCAAATTTACTGAACCAATTGAGATTAATTGGGGAGTAACGGTAGCAGCAGCTACTGTAATCCTTTTAAATGTTCTTGCTGATCTGAGCATTACATTCCATCCAGACCAATCGGAACCCTTCTAATTGCCTGTGGCTTGGCCCAGAAGAAGCTTGCTACTAGAGTAAGCCCCTTGTCCTTTCTCTTTTTGTAGCTGAGCCGAGCTACTGTGCATGACCCCCAGACTGGGAAACTGACCACAGCACATTACAGAGTCTCTAAGAGGTAAGGGGACGCTGGTATGTCGATAAGTTGCTACAGAAATTCTCTTTGCAGTGGCTTGTGTCAAACTTGGTGTGGGATTCTTTACCTCCTTCCCCCTTCAACTAATTGCTAACTAGATGAAAAGGATGGAGCCTTAAAATAGAACACTAACCTCTGTGGCTCTGGAAGTTTGGAAGGCTTAAAGGGGAAAATCCTCAAATTTAAACTCTGTGGGTAAAGAACCAGTCAAAGTTAAACACTTCAGGAATGTCCTTGTTTCTCCCACGCTCAAATCAGTGAGTCTTAGGTTGCAATCCCATACATGCTTACCTGGAATAAATCCTGTTTTAAGTCAGTGAGCTTACTTCTGGGTAGACATGTATTGGATTGCTTTGTTAAACACTTCTGTATATGTGTCAATGCATGAACCTTACTTTCTTACCTGCATGATCCCACCAGAATTAACACAACATTGTTTTATTTTAGAAAGAATCCTTGTAAACGACATGCTATATAGCATCTGCTTGCTTTTACTTCTATGTCAGGATGCCTGTGTTAATCTTAAGCACTTCCTAGGAGGCACATGGTAAACAGGAAACACATTCTATGTTAATGGTAGCTTGAGATTCCTAGTTCGGATTCTATTTTTAAATAGTTAGTGTACTAAATATAGTAGTTGTCTTTTCCCATCCTTTTAAATGTGTATTATTAAAAGTTACTGTTTATGGCAAAAAAAAAAAAATTCCTTACTGGCTTAAGGGGATATTTCAGTGAGGCACTTATAAATACTGTTAATAGTTTGTAAATCATTCAATTTCATGGGTTTTTCTTCTTATAAAAAAAGTATGGCATAAGCAGCCTCAAAAATTATTTGCTATTATAATATGCCTGTCCACAAAAAATGCCCAGGGGAAAAAAATCTAGCTTTTACATCAAATGTGTGTAAATCAGGATTTGTGCAATATGTCCAGTACTTCCTGAAAACATAACATGAGATTTTCAAGATGGGAACTAGCATGCAAGAGCACGCTTGTGTCGCAAATTTAGTGGAGAAAGTGGTCTTGAGCTGTTTAATGGATCAGTAGTTGACCCTCATATACACCTGTTGCAAAACATGGGGAATAATTGTTCAGAGGAAATGAATGTCTCCTCTTAAGGTGCTATCCAACACTTTTGTACAAGAGCCAAGCTGATTTCTAAAGCAAAGGCCACTCGTTAATATTAAACACCTTCTTGAAGCTTGCATCGTGTGTGTTGATTCGAGGAAAGAGAAGCTGCCTTGACCTTCAGGGATTTGTTACATTAAAAGCCACAATTCAGGAGCAGGCAAAAATGTAGACTGCTTTCCTTTAGTAATTAATTGTTACACCTGCTGTTTCATATGTGTGGTTTTAGTAGTGATAAAGTGTAGGAACTAATGTGTGAGTTGTTAGGTATAATTTGTGCCTCTGTAACCTCCTTTTAGAGAGAGCTGTTCTTCTCCTGGTGGTTTAAATCACAGTAGAACCTATTGTGGACATTCAAAATATTTACGTCAGCTGCAGTTAATATCTGCCAGTGGGCTGTGCATTCTGACTATCCAGTTTGAATCTGTTTTTGCCTTGTGCAGTTCTGTGAAAAGTTTCACACACCAGGCAATATTAAGAAGACAGATTTTTTTCAATACCGAAATCTGTATTGCCGAAGGAGTAGGTTTTCGTTCCTGTCAAGGATATTAGTATTTTTTTATAAAAAAACAACAAACTAGTAAAGCCACATTTACAGGGAACCCAAAAACTCTCTCGTGTATTTTTAATAGAAGTTTGCTTCCTCCTCCCAAACATTCCAAGCACTCTTTCCTAGCTAACACATTTCTATATTAACGGCATGCCTCTGCTTATGACAGGACTACTGTTTGTGCTGAAGTACGTGGCAGGCTGCATGACGGTGGCATTTTGCCAGCAGTGGAAAGCAGCATTTAGAGCCAAGCCATGTGTATGTAGTACCGTAATATTTCGGCCAGTCTGACTTTCAGGAAACTGCTGGTCGTGATGTATGCCTGTGAAATAGCCAATTACTCTACGATATAGTTTCCTCTCTAGAAAGAAAGTGTGGGGGGGGGGGGACTTCTTTAAAGGAATTTATTTAGCCCATGACAGTGGAGTCTCCACCAGACAAATGCATGCCTTTCGACATTACTTTTTAAAGTTTTAGGAACAGTCCTTCCTAGTAGTGCCGTTTTTAAAAGCTTCAGTGGAAAGATGCGGAATCTTTTAAGGAATCAAAGTAAATGTTGATGGAAGTGAAGGTACCTTTCTTGAGTATTAGTTTATTTCAAAAGGAGAGAACCTCAGAAATATTGTTATGCCCAATAAATTTAACTTTTAACAACATTCAACATGGAAAAGCTTTTTTGATGCTGTCGAGAGCAATAAGAGCACATTGCAGTGTTCAGAGAGCACAATTTCCCTCACAAATGATACAGAGGCATTGCAGGATTATTTTAGCTTCCACATGACTGTGAGCTGAAATGAAAAGTGTTGACAAGTGATCTTCCTGGGAAAGGAAATGGGAGGATATGCTTGTTCCTCTTGCAAGATAACGTCTCTCTCTCTGCCCCCCACTCCATTTCTGATGGATACGCAATTGATGGGTATATGTTGACTGAGTTGAAGTAGAAAAAAGGCATTGAAACAATTGAAAGTTGACATTTTTACGAATTAGGCTACAGGAGAAGGAGAAGGCTGAAACATTACATCAGGCACAGTAATAGAGAAGCAGCATTGGAACCCCTTCTGCAAGTCCGTTTGACTCCCAGAATGGTTCAAAAACCAAAGCGCGGCTTCCGATTGGCTGCAGGAGCTTCCTGTACTTAATCGGAAGCTGCGTCGGATGTTCAGCTTCCAAAAAAAGTTCGCAAACTGGAACACATCCAGGTTTGCGGCGTTCGGGAGCTAAAATGTACTGTGTTTATTTAGCTTCATCCTTACTGAAAGAAAACTCAGGGTGGTCTACATTACAGCAGAATATAAGAATTAGAACACAATATAAAATTGCTGTTAAAAAGAAGGAGCTGAACAACCTTATTCTGCCAAGCTTTCATTCAGAATCTAAAACGCAATTTAGAGCTTGCCTCATACCTAACAGCTCTCTATTCTGGCTGGGCCTGACAGAAGCTGAGGCAACTGTCCCCAATCGAAAACCACGGAATAATGTATGCCCATCAACCCTGCCTACCCGGAAGAGTTCCAGAGCAGCTTTGTATAGTCGCTGGAACAAGTAACAGGAGATGAGGTGTTCCATAAGAAATGCTGGGCTAGGCCACAGACGGCTTTGCAAGTAAAAACCAGCACCTTCATTCAATTGAGTCCTGGAACAACTTGCTGCCACTACAATGGTGGCTTCATAATCGGGCAGAAGGGGAGAAGCAAGCTTAGTGGCTGCAATGTGTGGAAGGAGGAAGATGCAGGAAGTTACTGTGGGGGTGGTTTGTGTGCAACCGGGGGGGGGGGAGTGTTGGACAAATGGAGGTAGGAAGAGACATGGACATAAGGGTGAAGGTGAAAACAGGTACAAAGCTGAGCTGCAGAGCAGAAAAGAGGAATCGCTTCAGAAAGTAGCTGCATGGGATGAGATGGGGAAGCCAGCGGGTTAATGTAGGGGTAATGAAAGAGGGGTTATTAAGTGGTGCAAATACTAGTTTTTCATTGTAACTAACTTCGCTTGCTGTAATACGAATTTTCTTCTTTAGGAAATAAGTCTCGCTATGGGTAATGCTTTATGTGACATGACCTTTTTTTTTGTTATAAGAAATACATTCTCTGTCTATATTTCTTATGCTTGCAATTGCTCTGTATCCTAACAGTCGTTCTGATAGTTTCCCCCCTAAACCTCCTTGCCTACTAACTTCGGACAAACATTCAGCTCTCCCTTCTCCGTACCTTTTGAGATTCTGTAACCTGTGTGGTGTCATATTTTACCGCTCTTGATTAGAGATTTGCTGTGATCCTTTTGAAAAGGAGGGTACTAAACAAACTCGAGTGGTAGTGAAAATACAGTTTAATCCTTTCAAACTGGTATACATACATGATGTGTTTCTGCAAGTGATCTTTGACCATCGATGGTGCATAAAAATCACGTTTGCTAATCGAACAACTAGCTTTTGATTACTGTTTGGTTTTTAAGGTGTACAAACTGTGAAACTAGGGTCTTTAATGTTGTCCAAGCTTCTAGAATATGTGGGGAGTAGACACCTTAACAGAAAATTCAGGTTTGAATAGAAAGAGGCAGAAACTGAGTGGGCCTGTATGTGTCTGGTAGGGCAAAGAATTTTGGCAGGGAGAGAGCCAAACACTTAACAGCTTCTCCAGTTTCAGATAAGATTGTGCTATTCCTCTGCCCCCAGCCCTCAGCCCACATTTAAATGAACGCTTCTTCTGGACACTACTTTTTACTTGGGAGTAGTCCATGTACTTTACTGCTTCAAACAGTCCACCCCATCATTACAGTCCCTGGTAGGAATGGAAATAAGTTCTTGTGACTAATCTAGTCTTGAATCCAACTCTCATCCATGAAAGCTTATTCCACAATAAAATGTGTTTGCCTGTAAAGGTGCCACAAGACTCATTGTTGGTTTTTTGTTGGAAAAACATGGCTAGCCCTCTGGAAACTAGTCTCGTACAGTGAATTGTAACCTTGTAAAATGGTCACAATCATAAGCATCACTTATCGGCTATCCTGCTGCTAGCTCAGTAAAACGGTTTTCAGGATAATTAGTAATATATATAGGAGAGCCCACATCCCATGTGGAGCAAGGGGGGCAGGTGGAATTTTTGCTACACTTGGGGGTGAGAGTGGGAAGTAATCTTCTTAAGCCACCAGTTGCTTATTAAAATACAGTTAGACAATACAGGGTTTAGTCCATTCATCCTTAGCTGTTTGTTGGACAGTTTCTAGGGCAATTGTTTCTGCCAGCTTGTTAGTGGAGAGGTGGGAATTTTGAGTGCAGTTCTGGCATGGAGAGGCTTCCTGTTTTTCACATATATCAGCATCAACAGCTGAATCGGTGTAGGTAGGGTTCAAGTATACACCATGATGTGGATGCATATATAAGAAAGCAAGATAGAGCTTTTTTCACAGTCAGGCTCACTGGTTGGACAGGAGAGAGTGGGTGGTATTTAAGTTTAACTAAGAGGAGACCCATTGATATCAGTGGACCTAACTTATTAGCTAATGGACCTGTATTAATTTCAGTGGGTTTATTATGCGAGTTAATTTCCACGGGTTTATTATGTGAACTGCAATGTGCACCACTGTAGCATTTCCTTCACAATCGTGGTGAGTCAAAGAGGGTCTGGCATACATTGCAATATTGTGTATATCATGCTCTCCCAAGTGTTCTTTTGGGTCACAACTTACTTACTTGATGGTGGCCAGCCAAAGGGGATTGCTTTGAAGAAATACAGCAGAGCTGCAATATATGCCAATAGGGCTAAAGTTGTTCATTAAGTGGAGCTACTGAGATGTCGGCTATCACATTTAGTGTCGGCATTTGCCTGTAGGCATTTTTGCACAGTTAAAAAGTTGTTTCTTACTGGTCTTGAAAAGTGATGCTCTGATCATACTGGTCAGGAATAATATCTGTTTCCATGTTTAGTGCCTGGCTGTCTGGATATGAAAACCCTGTAGTAGCACGTATTAATGCAAGAATACAAGATCTTACAGGACTAGATGTTTCCACAGCAGAGGAGCTCCAGGTGAGCCGAGGAGATATTGAAAAACCCAAATGCCACCCCCAAACCCCACGCTACCCTGAGTATTAAGAATCTTGCTGGCATCAACTCATCTCGTACTGGTTTAAATAAAATATTTGAATATGTTGTTTGTGTTACCCTCCCCATTTCTTAAAAAAAGGAGAAGACTTCAAGAGCGTTGGTTCAAATTTTCTTCTTCACATTTGATTTTTGCTTGTTTTGCTGTTGTCTGCTGTGTTAGCAGATTATAAAGTGGCAAACATGTAACTGAACCCCAAAAGTCCACTTTCAGAGAAGCAAATTTAGAGGAGAAAAGCAATTCTGTCTGCATGTTTGCTTAGCCCTGGCTCCGTTTCGGAAGGGTGGGAGGGGGCAGTGTGGCTCATGCAGCTCTGTTTCACTCTAAAGTCATGGCTTTTCATTGAAAAAAAAAATTTGAGCTCTGTTACCTGTGTTTGTGTGTGGAATGCAGTTAGCCACAATATTTAAGTGTATGGTGGAAAATTTAAAAATGCAAACTCCAGTTCAGAATTTCCTTGGGTGAGTTCAGTTGAGCAAAACAGGGAAAAGATTTTTTTAAAGGAAAAGAAAAATGTTATATTAGGGTGGGAGCTACATTGTTGACATACATTGTTTTAATACTTTGAAAATCATTTTTTAATGGAAAATGAAGTTGGTGAATCTTCAGTAAAGGCAAATGAAAGGGAAACCTCAGGCCGTTGCTTAATTTAGTTCCTTATTTGGGAGAGTAGACTCAAGTTGGTGGCACTACTAAAGAGGGCATAGTTCAGCCTTTATTGGTTTGTTAATTATTTGTACAGTGGAACCTCGGCTCCCGAATGCCTTGGGAGCCAGAACGTTCAGGCTCCCAAACGATCAAAAACTGGAAGTGATTGTTCCGGTTTTTGAACGTTGTTTGGAAGCCAAACGTTTGACATGGCTTCTCAATGGCTGCAGGAAGCTCCTGCAGCCAATCAGAAGCTGTGCCTTGGTTCCCGAACCATCAAACGGACTCCTGGAACAAATTAAGTTTGGGAACCAAGGTTCCACTGTACTTACAACCTGTCCATCACCAGATGGCAGGGTGGCAGTGAGGTTGGGACCATGTGATTGCAGTGGGTGGGACCTGCCAGTCAGGTGTTCCTGATGGTACACCTTCATAGCGCCAGCCTTGCCACTGCCTTGCAGAATCGGTGCCAGTGCTGGGAGGGAAGCTGTGCCCCACCACACACATTGCTCCTGGGCCTGATTTTATGACACTCCTTGTTAGCAAAGCATTAGCGTACATATGAAGCAGATACTTCATCTCTCACCCTGGGTAGTTCATTGGTTGTTTGTTCTTCTTCTGCTCTAGGTCGCCAACTACGGCGTAGGAGGCCAGTACGAGCCTCATTTTGATTTTGGAAGGGTAAGTCTTTTTCTGTCCTGCCTTTGTGCTTTACATGCACTGTGTTTCTTTCTTCCAGGTAGCAAATTATGGAGTGGGAGGACAATATGAGCCCCACTATGACTTTGCTCGGGCAAGTAAAGAGATGGGTGAAAAATGAAATAGTCTGAAGCCTAGGCCTTTCGGCCTGTGGCACAAATGTTTAATTGAGTGTTTGTGTTACATTCAAGTCTTCTAATCCGTGTGAAATGATTAAAGTCCTCTAAACCACCATTTGAACAACAGAGAATAACAAATATTACCAAAATGTTAAAGTGAAATGTTGTTAAGTGAATGAAAGGATTAAAGGGGGAAACTGCAGGAAATGGTGGCTGGTACATTTAAGGTGATGGTATTAAAAAACCCCCAGAGCTCTTATGTCATAGTGATATATCTGCAACCAACCATAGGGTGAAGGGCTTTTTAAAAAAAATCCAAATGGGTTTAGGCAGGCTTGGATATTTATGGGTTTCAGATCACTGAAACTGTTAACAGGTTTATACACCTGTTTTAAGTTGTTGCACAAATTAGAGGAACCAAGTGATCTTGATGGGATAACATCTCTGTTTCTCTTAATGTTAGCTTATATTTACTTCTGGGTGGGCTGCCAGATTTTTATTTTTTTTAATACTATCTTTTATTTTATATTGGGACAAGGCTGCAAGAAATAGGACAAATGATCTCAAATGGTGGTTTACAGGGCATTTATGTGTTAAATAACACCGTCAATTAACATTTTTGTTTGAGCCCACCATACATTTATTAAAATTATTGCCTTAACATAAATCTTGATTTCCCTCCCCCCTTAAAAAATTATATACAGTAAGTCTATATTGGCTTATATGATGCATGTTGTTAATCGTTTTTTCCTCCCATGCATGCGTTTAGAAAAAAACCTGCTTTTGAAAGAATATCTTTGCTGTGCAATCCTGTTCAGTAAATCTCACTTTACTAAATGGAGCTTCCTCCCAGATACATATGTCTAATAATGCACCCTTCCAGCATAATTGCAGAAGTAAAACCCATTGACTTAAAGTAAGTGTGTATAAGAGTGCCGCCTTAATATACTAAAATAGCATCCAATAATATAATGTGTGGGAAACACTGGATTCTTCCCAAGCATGTACATGTGAAAGCAATTAGGGTTGAGCAGTGGGAAAAAAAATCCCTTCTAATTCTAGGGGTGAAAAGCACATTGTTTGCTTTGACATAAATCATTTAAATTGCCAAGTATATTTTAAACTTCTGGTTGCCTTGAGCTGCAGTTGGTGGTCAGCATACAATTTCTTGTTGCCTGGTTGTTCTATGTGATTTTTAGACCAATTCCTCTAATCTGCAGATGTAGGAGAGAGCAATGGAAACTTGTTCAGCCTAAAAAGATTATGTACCTTCAAAAGTCATGTTACTTTTCTAGATTGTGATGGCTATCTTCATGGGATTTCTGAGAGGTCCCCAAAGATCATGTTCCCCAGAACTTCACGTATTTATTTTTAAAAAGCATACTTACTCTGTATATGCGTGCAACTGCAGGTGGAAGACATCTTACACCAGGCATAGGCAACCTTCGGCCCTCCAGATGTTTTGGACTACAATTCCCATCATCCCTGACCACTGGTCCTGTTAGCTAGGGATCATGGGAGTTGTAGGCCAAAACATCTGGAGGGCCAAAGGTTGCCCATGCCTGTCTTACAGTATTTACTATATTGCCCACTATACATTGGACCCAGGAGGCAATTTCTCACCTTACAGGAAAGATGTCTCTTCCCAGCAGAGAAGGTTCTTAGCAATGTAAACACTTCAGTGACTCATAAAGTCACCCTTTTTCCTTTAGCAGCCAAAAAGATCAGAAAGAAGACCCTGGACAGGCAGTGAACTGTAAGGGAGACGCAGAGATCTAAATAGAGACCATTATTTGTGGCACGATATGCCTTTTGCTTGTATTTATTTTTGATTCAGATTTGTCATGGCCAATGGCTACCACATTAAAGTTATTTGGATTGTATTGGATTTACACTGCTTTTCATCCAAAAAGGCTCCCAGAGCAGCTTACAGATCAATTTTTTTAAAAAGATAGCCCTTGCCCTCAGGCTTACAACCAAAAAGTCATGACACACAACGAAAAACGAATGGGGAGGGAGGAGGAAACATGTAAGCTTAGGCATCCGTCCTTAAAGTTACAGTTCTTATATTGATCAGCTAGGATCAGAACTGTTCAGATAGCCTGATAGAAGGGCTGCTTTCTAGGTGACAGTTGAGGGAGAGCAGCTGAACTCATAGCAGAACGAATGGAATAGCTCTGCTTCCCTTCTCTCCCTTTGCTCTGCAGCCTAATGAAATTACACAACTGTCAGTGATATCTTAAGCATCAGCAATACATCAACAATAACTTACAGTGTCCAAATCTCATTCCTGTTGGCTCATTCCATTCTCTCTCTCTGTTATCCATCACTGGAAGGAGTTCTCAGTCTCAGCATCAGAGAGATGCCATGTTGGGATAACCTAGTAAGTAAAGTCTAGCCAGGTCCCAGAACACCAGAAGCATACCTTATGCTTTAAGAACTTTGTATGCTGATAGTGTAAAACTCAAATGCTGAAATGACAGCTTATTTGAACCTTTAACTTCTGGGTGAAATGCTTGATAATTTTTCAGGTAACTACTACTAATTTTCCCTTACTTACTTTGTGCATTCTAAAAATTAATATTTGTAAATGTCTACCCTAGCGCTAACATTGTGTGCCATTGTTGGGTTTCGCTTGTACACTAAGACCTTGTACTGCATGTTTTTCTACACAGAAAGATGAGCCGGATGCCTTTAAAGAATTGGGTACAGGCAACAGAATCGCAACATGGTTATTCTATGTAAGTAAGATACTTTGGAGGCAAGATTCAACCATGTCACCAAAAGAGCTTATCTCACGCAGTGAAAATTATGAGGAAATGTGTGGTTCTTTTCATAATTCTCCTGTTTGTGTTATGGCAGCATAGCAAGTAGCCTTGCATCAACACTCACTGTTTCCCATGTTGATGCTGCTTCCTAGGAGGTGGGGAAGGAGGGAGGAGAGTGACAGTGAGGTCAGCATGGTGCATTTTCCCTGCACCAACCTCACCTTTATCTCCCAGTATGCAGCAGTAATGTGGGGGCCATGGGAGGTCAGGCGAGTATCACTGGATTGCCTGCTGCTAGGGACCATAGTGCTTCAATTGTTTTGTTTTTAAAATAGAAAACTACACTGTACCACATCTTGAGAATTGAAAGAAAGGGTCACAAACCTAAATGAATGAATGTCTGTGTCTAGCTAGGTATCTTTGTCACAAATATCCTCTGTCTCTCAAGGCTTTTAATGCAATCTGTACCTGCCCAGGTATCATTCCAGCATCCGCAGCGTATTCCCATAGATGATGGGGTTTCCTTTCATGTACAGGTTGGTGATTCCTGTACTAGAATGTAGTGCTGTGTGCTTCTAGTGGAGTACTTTAGATATCCATGTGGTACAGGCATACCCCTTTAAAAAAAATTCAATCTGCCTTATTGTTCAAAACGTCAATGGCGAAAAATATCCCTACAATGTGCTGCAGTGCCCTTGAGATCAGATCAGTAGTGAAATCTGTGGGATTACTTTTTGGAGTGGCTAGCTTAATGGCTCACACCATTTCTTTTGTCAGATGAGTGATGTGGCAGCAGGAGGAGCGACAGTATTTCCTGAAGTAGGAGCTAGCGTTTGGCCTAGAAAGGTAGGTGAAATACCTGTATATCATAGCCGACAGTCTCCATACTATTCCTTCCACTTAAAAGCCATCTATGCTGCATCATATAATGAAGCTGTGTGAAATGTTCTGAATGAGAAGATTGGTACTTACGCATATCCTGGCTTAGACATAAAGTATGCATTAGGCTCCCAGTACGTTTCCGAGCACAATTCAAAGTGTTGGTGCTGACCTTTAAAGCCCTAAACGGCCTCGGTCCAGTATATCTGAAGGAGCATCTCCACCCCCATCGTTCAGCCCGGACACTGAGGTCCAGCACCGAGGGCCTTCTGGTGTTTCCCTCACTGCGAGAAACCAAGTTACAGGGAACCAGGTGGAGGGCCTTCTCAGTAGTGGCACCTGCCCTGTGGAACTCCCTCCCACCAGATGTCAAAGAGAAGAACAACTACCAGATTTTTAGAAGACATCTTAAGGCAGCCCTGTTTAGGGAAGCTTTTAATGTTTGATGCATTACTGTATTTTAATATTTTGTTGGAAGCCGCCCAGAGTGGCTGGGGAAGCCCAGCCAGATGGGCGGGGTATAAATAATAAATTATTATTATTATTATTATTATTATTATTATTATTAAATTATATGATGCAAACTGATTTTTTTTTTATGCGAAACACCCTGTGCAGATTAATTCAAAATTTTACGGAAAACTCGCATCGCTGCCAGGGGCTCAATAGGTGATGTGTGAGCATAGCGCTGAGGAGCACTTAGAAATCACAGGGGGGAGTAATGATCAGTACATTTCCCACACTTTTGCTGTTGCCTGTGGTTCTGCCTGTTTTTAGCCTGCCTTAGCTTTTCATTTTCCAGAAGTTAAACTGAAGGCAGTTTAATGAGTCAACTCCGCTTTATATCTTCCCAGGGGACAGCTGTATTTTGGTACAATCTTTTTCCAAGCGGTGAAGGGGACTACAGCACAAGGCATGCTGCCTGTCCAGTATTAGTCGGAAACAAATGGGGTAAGTATGAAACCAGAGAATTTACGCAGACATCATAGCTGCCACATTTTGAACCATTTGCACATAGCCGAAAGATAAGAACAACAAAAATATCATTCTTAAATGAAATGTGAGAGCGATGGGTAGGGAGATGAAACCTAAGCAAGTCCAGTTTGCCGGCTACTGTATAATTCATTGTAGGTAGGTGGGGTTTTCCACTGCAAGTTCAGTATTGATCTTTTCAGATCAATATTGCCAGGTATTAAATCACCTCACAGGGTTGTTAGTAATGGTAAACAATAAATAAATCTCATTGTTCAACAATAAATAGGAAGTAATTTGTCATACGATGTTTTTAGTTAGACTTTGGGAAGTTGCCATTCTGAACCCAGAGCAGTCTTTTACAAACTAGTATGTATTCACTGAGTTTAGCCAGGTGTGAGTAACCGTATGTAAATGTGCCTCTTCTCTCTTCCTTTTCCTGTAGTATCCAATAAGTGGATCCATGAACGTGGGCAAGAATTTCGAAGACCGTGTAGTTTATCAGAGTCGGACTGATCCAAACCTCTCCCTTTTCTCTTCCTTTTTGTGCAACTTCCTCCCACGTTTTCCTTGATTAACACTGATAGTTTTACACTAACACTCCCCTACAACTTTTGTCTCCAGTGCCAACCAGTTCTTCATCTCTGGACCTTCTTTTACATAAGGACAAATGTCTTTGCTAATATACCGTTTTAAATTTTTTATAGAGAGAGTGTAATTGATTTTGAATGTTTTGAGTTTCCATGGCCAAAATAACTTCTGCCAGAGACACTATAAACTACATTCTGCTGAGGGTAGAATGGATATGGACAGTCTGTCCTCAGACAATGACTTTGTTTGCTTGGAGGGTAAGATGCTATACATGTCTTCCACTTCTGTTCCTTGTTTTTAAGAATGCCTGACCATGGCTATAGAACTGTAGACAAGGGCTGTGAGCTGCATCCCATTGACATCTGTAGCAAAACTCCCCCACCGAATGCAAAAGATCAAGGGCTGTGTCCATGAGCCTTAACTTTCTGGGTGACTTTTCCAGCGTTGTGAAAGTTCAAACACAGAAAGTCTTCCTTTTTTATATTTAAAAAAATGCCTCTTGGATGAACCTGGCCGGTGATCCTAAAAAAAGTGAGCCAGCAGTTATGCACATAACTATATAGTTGCTCAAGCAGTTCTGTTCTTTTTGCAACTTTCCAAGAACAGTTTTGTGGGAGGGACAGGACTTGCTTTCCAAGTATGAATCTTCTTCTGAACCATATCACAATTCAGCTTCTTCCTTTTAAAAATCGATTGCTGCTTTTATCATTTTGTAACTAGCGAAAAAACACTATGGATCCGTAGAGACAAGAACATTGTGGGCTTAAAACACAGCATTGTGCCTTAGTCTCGGATTTTGATTTGTATAAAAACAATTTGTATGATGAGAAGACGCACACTTCCATTCCCAAAATGCCAAACTTTTCCCCCAGCCGAGGTGTTTTGTGACAAAGATGATATATTTATAATACTAAATCTTTTTGAAAGCTTTCTGTTTCGTGTACTTTGGTATGTTGTGGACCCTGAATGTGTTCTGTTTCAGTTTACTCGCCTTTTACCTAAACTAGGGCTGCGTTTACACAGGATGTTAATTTGAACTCTGCAGCATACACAGTTCTGAAGAGGTTAGTCATAGCTGTCTTCTTTATTCTTCTGAGTAAGGGTTTTCATTATTATAGGCTCTGATCAGAGCCTTTTAGCATGCCTGGTGTATCTTTGATGCTTGCCAAAGTTGTGCCTGAACAAAGATGGATGATTTGGAATCCACTGTGTACACATTTACTCCTGGCAATAGTTGGATCAGTATTTTGGGACAGAAATGGCTGGTTCCTGTACAGAATCTCTTCTGACAAGGTAGGTAAGTGTTTCTGATGCAGCTGAACCTACTAATCGAAAGACCTTGCTTCAGCCTAAAATTCCTGTGGTAGCAGTAAATGACATCTTGATTCTGTGGTGTCATAAACAGACACTGGCTTTCCAAAATTGCTGCAAGCTGTGGAGAGACAGAGAGTATAGAAATGGTATGCTAAATCTGAAGCAAAGAGAACCATTTAGTCCTGTACTTTCACACTTTAATACTGGCCAGGTTTTGTGGTGAAGACAGGCATACAGTGGTACCTCGGTTTTTGAACCTCTCTGTTGACGAATGTTTCGGAACTCGAATGCCATAAACCCAGAAATAAACTGCCAAGCAGTTTCCTGCTTGGCAGGGGGTTGGACTCAATGGCCCTTGTGGTCTCTTCCAACTCTATGATTCTATGGTTCTATGAAATACTTTTGTTTTCGAACACGCCTCAGAACATGCCACACAGCTTCTGTATTGAGTTTTCCGTATTGGGTTTTTGAATGTTTTGGAACTCAAACGGTCTTCCAGAACGGATTACGTTTGAAAACCGAGATACCACTGTAATACAAAGAGAGAGCTCAAAGCTTGTACCTCAGTGATGGAGCAAGTCCTACGAGCTTTACAGTAAGAATAACTGATGTGCATAATAGTGTATTGAATGTTAGCTAGGAAAACCGTTTCCCTTATAATAAAAAAGCAAAAGCAAAGCTTGCTCTAGGAATTAGAAGAGGGGATCCTTTAGTGACAGGGTGCAGGGGCAAAGGAAAGACAACTAGCACAATGTACAGCTCACTTCTGCGACAAACATGCAAAACTAGTTTTATTAAGAACTCAGCCCTGGAGAGCAGTAGGTATGTTCCTCTGACTGCAGTGCAGCTATTTCTAAAATGGCCCCACTGCCTTAAAATGTTAGCGCCTGTCTTCACAATTTTTGGTGGAAGATTTTGAGTGCACAGGGGGTTTGGGGTTTGTCTGATTTTAAACAAAAGTTAATTTTGCACCATAGCTCCTTGGTGCATTTTGTTTCATTGGGAAAGTATGCCTCTTCCATTCCAAGTTCCTCATTGTGCCTTATTTGTGCCTTTCTGTGGTGCATAAGCACAAAGATCATTACAGGAATAATAAGGAACTTGAGTTAAAATGGGAGTCTACTTGAAACATAGTACAGTGGTACCTCGGGTTACAGACGCTTCAGGTTACAGACTGCTAACCCAGAAATAGTATCTCGGGTTAAGAACTTTGCTTCAAGGTGAGAACAGAAATCGTGTGGTGGCAGCACGGCGGCAGCAAGAGGCCCCATTAGCTAAAGTGGTACCTCAGGTTAAGAACAGTTTTAAGTTAAGAACAGACCTCCAGAACGAATTAAGTTCTTAACCTGAGGCACCACTGTACCATGCCACCTATTCAGAAATAGGTTTGCCTGTGGATAGGCTCTGCAGCTTGCAGTTAAAAACAACAAACCTTTGGAGTGAAACTGTAACTGCAGACACAATCCAGAATGAAGAGAACCCCAGTGTTGAAAACATGAAGCTGCTATGTACTAAGTCAGAAAACTTTGCCATTTGGAAACCTTGAACTGGAGATTACACACATTGCCTGGGTGAATTGTAATAATCTAAAGACGGAATCCACATATAAGAGAATAACTTTAATTAGTTCGTTTAAAAGGCCAGTCCTTTGATTATGTAAAGGCTGTAGTTCCCATGCCCATTTACTTTATGGTAACTCCCGTTGAACTCTTGCCACTCAATTTGGATGTAACTCTTAACTATAGCACAGTGTATGTACACAAACCTTAGTTTCAAAAACTTCCTCCCCACCACCAAGACCACAGCACAGTCATAAGGAGGAGATGGCACACTTTCATGTTTGTTTTTATTTCTGTTTACAACCGACTGCAGTTTACCATTTACATCCAAACCCAGACAAACTGTAGTTAGCCTCAGCTATGGTTTAGGGAGGATGCCAACCTTGTAAACCATGGTTTGAAGTTGGCTTTTTCCTTTAACCACAGTTAAGAGTAACCACAGTTTGTCCGAGTCTATATGTTACGGTAAACTGCAGCTGATTGGAATGATTAGCAAAACACCCCAAATTCCTTGTTGCAGCTGTCTCGGTGCCTCAGGTTACTTAAAAAGAATCAATTGATTTAATTTAAGAACATCTGTAAGCAGTGTGCGACAGTGACAATTTTAAGGTAAAGCAGTAAACATTGCAATGTACTTCAAACTGAAGCACTTATTTTGCTCTCATTGCTTTTAGTGCCTATTACTTCCAAGTGTAAAATACATCAGCTTAATTATATTGTGGAGTGCGCTGCCAAAAGGGCATGCGTAAATTGAGAAGTATTGCAGGAGGGATGATTGTGACAATGAGCCTCTTGGAAAATGCTATAGACATGAATTCACGATCGATCAGGATACTTTTATCCTTGAGGAAAATGTTGATGGGCTGACGGTGCCAACTTCATTAATCCTTTTAGGTATTTAAAATGTTCTATATTAGAGCTGCTCTGATACAGAAGTTCAACCATTTCTTCTTCTTGGCAAGTTAAAATTCAGCAGCAGTTCTTATCCTTGGCTTTTCTCTCCATGGTAGAGAAACAGTACTGCCAATCAGTTGGCACTCCATTCCTAAATACTCTGCCAAATGAGTCAGGATACACTTGGACTTCCATTGAAAAGGGGTCTTCAGTGATTTACCTCCATTTGGCACATTTTCCAACAGTGAAGTTGGAAAACAACTAGCTTTGGGGAGTTTTGGATTTCAAAACTTATTGGGGTGGGGGAAATGTGGAACACCTGATTTCACCAAAGGGTGTTCCGTCTCTCATTACTTTTATATGACTGTTTAAAGGCCGCCAATCAAAGCTGAACCCTCTTAGCCTGGGGGAGAAACTAACATTGGTCCCATATGTTTGTTCAAAACAGGATAGGTGTTTCTTTGAACGCTATATTCAAACACTCTCCACTTTCTTGGTACAGTGAACATAGAATACAGAACAGTCTTCTTTGTGTGCAAAAGTAATGCACTTTCTTTCCATAAAAAAACCAACCCATGAATTGTAAAGGGTCATGGAGAACACAAAGGAACACACTCGATTTAGGAGCACTGCTCCTGTCAAGTTTAAACTGCATAGTAGCACTCCATTCCCTCAAACAAGTAAGAATGATTTTTTTTATTTTCATTTAAAAGAAGCAAGAGTTACTGCACAGTGTGATTGACTTATGAACTGCAGAGAAATCTCGGGAGCTAAGCAGTGGGGCATCTTGATAGTGGATGGAAGCTTAAAATCTTGGTTTGGATTTTGCTAAAGCAAAACGAGCCATATAAGATGGAGAACATGCCAAAACAATAGAGATCTCTTGTTGATTAACTAGAGGTGTGATACATAAGGAAATCCATTTGTGTTAAAAGAGTTTTTTCTGGAGTTTGTACTTAAAAGTACCAGTAGTTTTTTAAAAATTATATAAGGCTGTATTTCTATGCCACACACTTAACATGCATCACGGAAACATCTAAATATTTTTGGATGTTTGGATAAGAAATGTTGCGTCATCCATGAGGTTGTTTTTGCAATCTACCCTAATATTTTGGATTTCTAGGCGGTCGCGTAAGATTTTAGGAGGCTAGGCACTTAGGAGGTTTGCGTTTTGGTTCTTACTGGTTTATCAGCTCACTTGTTACAAAGTGAATCACCACGATGTTTGAATAAGTGAAACGTAAGAGAATACTTCTTTTTCTGGAAAAAGTTTGCTTTTATGCTTCCCCTTTCCTAAGGGGGGGGGGAACACTTCACTTTTGCAAATGGATAGGATCATTCCTCATGGTGGAAGAAGAACAAGTACTAAACCTACTTTTCACTCCCATGACTAGACTGAGCTTAACTCTTATGTGAATGCATTTCTGTGTGAAGTATGAATGACAACTGTTTTGGCTTACAATGATGATATTTTGAGAAATTGCGTTATTGTATTTTTTTTTTGTAATAATAATAATAATAATAATGTGTGTGTGTGTGTGTGTGTGTGTGTGTGTGTAAAAATACCAGGCTGTGAATAAAAAGCTCTGCCATTAATAGGGACAATCAATCCTTCACATTGAAGTGTGGTGTGACTTTGCTTTCCACTGCATTTCATCCACAGAAACCAGTTCTTCTTTAGTGTCTCATGACTTAAATTATGGACAATGCCAGATAGTTAAATAGTTTTGGCTACTTCCCACAGGTACAGAGCAATGATAACATTCACCAGAACTAGATACGGCCTGCAGGAATGGGGGGCTCTGTTTAATTCACAGGATTTTTCAGTGAAATGGACCAGACATGGGATCTTTGAGTAAGATAGTTTTAACATGTTACACAAGCCTGTTGCCCTGTGATTTTGGAGTGGCTCGAAAGCAAATGGAGAGCTCCTTTTCCCGTTGAGACAAATGAAGCGTTCTGGTTGGTTAGATAAGAGCTACGTCTGAGCAAAAATGGCTTGCTGCCATTGAATGGGAAGTTGCTTCACTACTTCATTTCAAACTGAGCTGGGAAGGAAGCTGAAAATTTAAAAATGTCTGCCATTAGCTTTTCTGTGGCCTGAAGGAAGACTTAAGCAGAAGATGAGGCATCAGACCTGTTTCTTAGCTGGCCAGCTCAGTAGTTCGCATGCCCAGAGATTTAAACTCCTGAGCAGCCACCTGCAGGTTGCAATGGGTACAAGCAAATTTAGTTCCTGTTGAATGAATGAATGAACTTTATTACGGTCACAGACCAGGATTAAACAACAACATATAAATAAAATAGCAGGATTTTTTTTTTTAACTGATAAATGTTGGAGCAAATAAGGGCAAAGAAACAAGCATAGGATAAAACATCTGACTAAAATACAAGATTAAACACAGATCAGATAATGGATGGATAAAAACTGATAAAACAGATAAGAACTAAAAACATGCAGTTAAAACAACTATAAGAGGCTGCAGAGTAGAGTTCCTGTTAGAAACTAGATCTGTGACATCATCAACTGCCAAAAAAAAAAAAAAAAGGTACCAAGAGTGCCCTAAATATACAGCTAACCTTGGTCTGGCTTAGTTCGTTTTGATCTTTTACAACTGACCCTATCCTGTTTTTCATGGCATATAGGGATGCTGTTGCAAGCCTGTGGTTAAAAACGCTTCTACAAATATGTCCCTATAACCTAGATTCTGAACACATATACAATGAATATAGGCGTCAATCCTTCCATTCTGCAATGTGAGAGTGGAGGCAGCTGCATTAAGGAAAAGCATAAGATGGGAGGCAGCCGAGTCCCCTGGAAGTTTCTACTTTTCACTTGAAAACCTATTTTAAGTGTTGGCTGGTACTTAAAAAGTTCTTCAGTCAAGTGGCATGAAGCTGTGGTGAAGTGGTTTGTCTGGATTCTCAATAAAAGTGAAGACTTTCCTGTATGTTCTGTTACCCAGTTTCTGGAACTGCCACGTTCAAAGAGAGATGTTTGTGTAAGTGTAGCTTCTGGGCAGAGGGTAGTTAGGCCCTGATCCTATGAACTCAAGTTACAAGTTGCATCTTATATAGGCCTTTTATCAATCAATCAGATTTCAGTATCAAAAACTTCCTAAAATTCAGTTTAATTAAAGCAAGGTCATGGAAGAAAAGTTTGCCATTCCTTCCACCTTCAGCTACTTGCTTTCTCCAGAAAACTCTGGAAAGTTGGGGAAGCGCTCTTGACTAATCTGGTTTGGAGGCAGTGCTGGGGTAAGAGGTGGTAAACTTTCCTTCTGTTAACTTCTGTAATTTATATTTGGATCCATACCTTATATGGGATGATTCCTCCCGCCCCTTCACCCATCTTACATTGTTCAGAAAGGCCTCCCACATCATCCACATAAGCTTTTTATTGAGGGGGGTGTAGATGTCTAGTGATCTGGGGGCAGAAGGGCCACACAACTCTTAGTCTGTGAATTTAATTTTTTTTGCAAGTTATCTTCAGAGCCAAGCTTGAGCCATAAGGTTTTGCTCTGGTGGCCAGCTGCTCAAAAGTCATCTAGAGATCTCGAACAGTTCGTTTGCAAATGTTATCGCTGTGAAGCCTAAATTTCTGTAGCAACCGTTTCTTTAGGCTATATGGTATCAATAACAGTTATCTGGTTTAGCAAATCTATCAGGCCTCAGGCACTTTCCTCCCCCTCTGCTTTCATATGATGTATTCAGCAGTGAGATCATTCCTTGTGCTGCTGCGCACCTAAAGAGATTTTGTATCAACATGTTTAGAAATGACAGAGCCTGACTAATTCAAGGACACATGAAAGAGATTCTCCATGCAATTGTGGGTGCATGGCCAGCTGAGGGAGCTGGTGGACTGAGATTTTCATGTCTGCTAGTCTCTTTGCTCGCTCTATGTATATTTATCAGCAATGGAGCTGCAAATTACAAGCCTTTTAATTCCTCCAAAGGAACTGTATCAGTCATCTTGGTTCTAGAGCAAGCTGAATATCTGTACCTTTTGCCTATCCCAGAGCATATCAGCAAAACTTACCTTCTAGCAGAAGCTTGTGCCTTAGGCCAAATGGGGCACTAGCCCCACCCTATCCCTCCCCAAGCTATACTGCAGTCCCTTCTCGGTTCCTTACATTCATATTCAATACATTAGAGACACACTGACTTGTTTCTGTCCATCTCTTCTATTGGCCAGTCATCTCTGGGCAGCACAACCAATCACAATCATCCCTATGCGGTCACCCCTGTCCCCAGGGGATTTTAAATAATAACGGGGGACCCCTTGGGGCCTCCATTTTGATTATGTCCCCCACTTTCCCCAGGGGACTGATCAGGACTCCCTCAGAAATGCCGTTGAAAGTTCCAGATAATTATGGCAGCGCTTAGGAAGAGCTTCTGCAACCAATCAGATGCAAGCATTTCAGTCTGAGCCAATCTGAAGTATGCATTTGCAATCTGTTCTTGCTTCCCCCCAACCCCACAGTTTACGTTTCCATCTTCTCACTCTTGTGAGCAGCAGGCTAAAGCACCTTGAAGCACTATCCTCTCTGAAGCCAGCCTGCCAGCCATTGAAAACCATAGCAATACAATGGTACCTCGGGTTAAGAACTTAATTCGTTCTGGAGGTCTGTTCTTAACCTGAAACTGTTCTTAACATGAGGTACCACTTTAGCTAATGGGGCTTCCCGCTGCTGCTGCCGCGCAATTTCTGTTCTCATCCTGAAGCAAAGTTCTTAACCCAAGGTACTATTTCTGGGTTAGTGGAGTCTGTAACCTGAAGCGTCTGTAACCTGAAGCATCTGTAACCCGAGGTACCACTGTATGTCTTTGTGAGTTCAGTTCGTTGTTCAAATGGGCAGTGAGGGGCAGGTAAGTTTCTGGCCTGGAGGGGATGAGAGAGAAGGAAAAAGCTGTGGTGGGGTATTTTGTGTCTTTGCTGACATTGAAGTGGGGGAGAGGAGAAAAGCAGAGCTGTCCAGGAAGGGTGACCCATAAGCCTTTGACACTGGGTCAGGGAGTTACGCAAAGCACTTTGCCAATCTGATACCAGATTTGATAAAATGTCAAAGGGGAAAAAAATAAAACAGCCTGATCCTATGCATATGCTATATTCCCATACATATTTAGCTAAGAAAAAATCTCATTGAAATCTCTGAGTAAAGATTATGATCAGGCTGTGCAACTGAAACCCCAACACACACACAAACCTGGAAAGGAATTCCTTTGAAATCAGTTGATTTGCCACCACTTAAATGTAAGATTTGAACTGAAAGTATCCGGATTAGGCTGCAACAATCTCAACTGATTAGGAGATAGTTCTGATTTTTTGTTCCTAGGCCATTTTTTAATTCCGTCCTCTAAAGCAAGTAGTGGTTATAGGGGCAGGTGCTAATGAGCTGCCTGTCTTTGGTCTACAACAACCATCTTGCATCATTTAAGCTTTATCACAACAACCACGAGCTCACACAACAGCCAGTCTGTTTTTTCAAAGTGCAGGTGACATCTGCAGAGAAAAGCAGAGGAGCTGGCAGAGCTGACTGGGAATTTCCCAAGCTTCGGTTCACCTTCTGTTGACATTCGTCTGTCCTGAGAGAGAATGAAGTGCGCCTCATGTTGAACTTCTGGAGAATCACAGCACCTGCTATGGCTGCAGAGACCAGGAACACAGAACTGCTGCCTCCTGTATCATTTCTGCTGCATTAACAACACCAAAGTGACTTCTTCAGGGCAGTGTGTGTGGAACTCGTGGGCTGCCCAGGCGACACAACCCTCCTCTGAGCCTTGCTGATGTAATCCAAAGGAAAGCAAAATATGTTTGGCACTTACTTGGCTGAAGGAGTTGTTGGAAGTAGTCAAAGAAGGCACCATCCTACCTTCTTAGGGAGTCCACTCTGGATTTGTGTAGGGTTGACTCCTTAGCCTTTTCTTCTCCCAAAGATGTCCCACAAGGCATCAGATCCAGATTTTTCCCTCAGGGTTTACTCCCCAAACCTTTCTCACAAATGAGTACTGTTAAGTTGTGGGTGAACATATCAGACGACACAGCGATTCTTCAAACAGCTCTTGTTTATTCAGAGGCCAGAACAGAACTGAACTGAAGGGCTCAGTCAGCCTGCTTATATAGAGCTCCAGTACAACGTTACTGTAGCAACTTTCTAAAACTATCCAATCACTGAACGTCACTTTCGATCCGTTATTTGCATAACTATCTACAGTATCCCCCTGCTGGCCCAGGGGGAGAACTTCAGTACATAACAAGTACAGCCACAAGAAGGCAGAAGTTTAGGATCGGGTCCATGCAGAGGTGTTAATTCAGGGACAAGGCTATCCAGCCACTGATAACACACTCAACAGGTCTGCATTTGGCACTGCAATGCACAAAATTGAGATGTGAAGCTTTCATGAGCCAGACATGTTCCAGTTTTGACAAATCTGTATTCTGGATATGGAAAGCTGACAGGTTGTTGCCGTTGTTTCTGCCTGCACCCCCTTCTCAGAGGATGCCTTGCAGCATTGAATGTTTATCTCTCCTGCACTCATTGTTCATCCCAATGTAAGGAGGAAAGCTTTTAATCGGAAGCAATCATTATGGTACAGCACACTCTTTATTAAAAGCCATACTGGATTAACTTGTTAAACACGACTGCACAAATCATTTTATTAGTTGCGTTCGTAGCTGGAACTGAACTGCTAGATGTGATATCTGAATATTTCTTTAATTGAATTTGGGCCCACAAGTGTTAACTATATAAACATTAGACATGGCAATACAGCTGGAACTTTTTGAACCAGTTTATCATCATTTCGCTTCCCGCTGTTATTTTTAAAAAGATGGTTTAAAGGAGCAAACATTGTGAGCAAAATAATACTGCTCAGGTCATCATTTGATAATGAGGATTGGCCAATTGACCCACCCATTTCTCTGAACCTGCGTTTTTTTCCTGCTGCCAAATGAAACCAGTTGCCTGTGAAACTACAAAGCTGAAGCTTATCCGCATGTCTTATTCCTGGCTCCCACTTACTCTGCAAAGACTGCAAAGGCAAATTTGTCTTCTAGGAATCCAAATGGGAAAATTCATTTTGTCCTATATTTGGTGGTGTTCAACTAAGCTTTACTCAGAGAATACCTGCCGTAATCAATGGAACTGACTTAGCCATGTTTGTTCATTTCAATGGGTATACCCTGAGTAATGCATAATTGGCTACCACTCCATCTCATTTCTTCTCTAAGTTAGAAACAAACTTCTCTTTTAGAGTAATCATACAGATGTGGTGTTGTTTTTAAATCCATACAGTGGATGCATCTTAGAGTAAGATACCCACACTCATGTATTACTGAAGATATGACTGAGGTGCAGCTGTTTATAGGAACGCAGGAAGTTGCCTTCCACAAAGTCAAGTCATTGGTCCATTTAGCTTGGTGCTGTCAATGCAGGCAGCCAGCAGCTGTCAGGATTTCAGACACGAGGCTATGCCAATACTTTGCAGGAAGTGCTTCACTCTGTGAAATGGGCCACATAGCTCATCAGCACCTTCAACTGGCAATTTGGCCACTCCCTGGTGCCACAGGCACTCTTGAATCGAGAGTCTTCACAAAAACCTAGACTGGAAAATTGGTGTTCAGATCCCACCTGGCCTCAAAAAAGCAGCATACTAGGGGATCATGGGCTGTCCACAGTTCCTCATCCTACCTTACAGGATTGTTGTAAGGACAAAATGGAGGGCCTTAACATTGGGTTCACTCTCCAGAGGAAGGGTGTGATACAAACGTGATTCTCCATCATTCCTCGTAAGGCTGAAGAGTAACTGTGGTGCTATTATTAACACAACAAAGTACCACCCCTTGCATTTAAAGCACATTCCACACACATGTCTCCCCCCCAAAGAATCCTGGGAACTGTAGGCTGTTAAAAGATGCTGGGGATTGTAGCTCTTTGAGGGGGAAACTACATCTTAACTACATTAAGATTCCACCTAAACATTAGGAAGAACTTCCTGACAGTAAGAGCTGTTCGACAGTGGAATTTGCTGCCAAGGAGTGTGGTGGAGTCTCCTTCTTTGGAGGTCTTTAAGCAGAGGCTTGACAACCATATGTCAGGAGTGCTCTGATGGTGTTCCTGCTTGGCAGGGGGTTGGACTCGATGGCCCTTGTGGTCTCTTCCAACTCTTCTATGATTCTATGATTCTATGATCTCCCAGGATCCTATAGGGGAAAGCCAAGGGCTTTAAATGTGCACAGAATGTACTTTAAATGTGTGCTAAAGGAAGCAGCAGAAAAGCATGGCTGGTGATGGATTGCAAGACTCTGTTCGTACTGTTCTCATTTAACGGGAGAAAAGAGCGAGCAAGCCCTGTTCTAATCATGGTTTAGTGTTAAGAGGAGAGCCATGCAAAGAGACATGTTAAATATGCATTGAATGTATTAAATTGTGTTAAATAGATGCACATTTGATATTTGGGGCTTACAGGCAGATCCATATAAAGCAAAAGTGTCAACCTGTATATAAGGATTCTGAAAGCAGTGCTGTTGTAGCTCCCTCCTGAATGCAGAGAGATGATTCAGCTCAGAGGTACTTTAATTGCTCCTTCAAATGAAGCAGGCTGGGCATCATGACTCTTGAACCTGCTTTTTTCCTCTGCCTCAGCACTTCCTGATAACAGATACTCAAAATTAAAAAAAAAGGAAAACCAGAGGGCATTCATAATCTGCTCTGGATAGGTCACGTCAATCTGATAACTGCTTTAACTGGAAAATATATGTGAATAAGCAGGAGATACGAAGAGGTTCTTCACAGAATATACAACGGCTTTTTTTTTTTTTATCATGCCACCTCTAATGTTACGCTTCTTGCAAGCTTTCATGACGAGATCTAAATGCGTGACTTTGCAGAAAATTGGAAGCTTGGGTCAGTCCATTAAAAGATACCATCTTTTTTTCTTGCCTTCATCCTGGAGACAAGGGAGAAGCACCGCAGCAGTGTCTCTCCTTAGCGCTAGGCAGACTGAGGGATCGCAGAATGAAGGTATCCACTTAGCAGCAAATTTGTCCCTGATTTTTGGGGCTATTGCTGACTCTGTGGTATTGGGCAAGTTTTCCATATAATGCCGTTTGCCGGACTCACCCGGACTCCTTTCACAGTAAAAATATGTGTTGTTTCACATCATATTTTCTCAAACTGCTGCCTTCTTATTGGCTGCTCCCAGACACTTGAAGTCCCTCCCTAGAGAGGTTAGACTGGCTCTCCTTGTTGTCCTTCTGCTGGCAGGTGAAGACTTTCATCTATTAAAACAGCCTTTTGGGAATGGACTCTTTTAAAGGAAAGGGCTGGTGTTGTGATGTTTTTATTGCAATTATATGTCTGTTTTAATATATTGTATCTATCAGCTATCATCTGTCAAGCTATCTAGCTATATCTCTCTCTCTCTATATCTCTCTCTCTCTATCATCTATCTATCATCTATCTATCTATCTATCTATCTATCTATCTATCATCTATCATCTATCATCTATCTTCTATCTATATAGCATCTATCTATCTATCTGTTATCTATCTATCATCTATCATCTATCATCTATCATCTATCTGTCTATCTATCTATCTATCTATATCTATCTATCTATCTATCTATCTATCTATCATCTATCTATCTATCTATCTATCTCTATCATCTATCTATCTATCATCTATCTATATCTATCATCTATCTAATGTTTATTTGACTTTTAAATTATTGCTTCCCCTCCCTTATGTTTTTAGCTGTTTCTATTTTAGCTATAAGCCTCCATGAGTCCCAGTTGGTGGAAAAGGCATCATCATCATCATCATCATCACCATCATCATCTATGTGTGCTAATTCTCCCTTTTGAGTCTTTAAAACAGAAAATAAAGTCAATGCTGGGTCAGGAACTCTCTGAATAAATCTGGTATCAGCCAGCAGCTATTATGACCCAAGGCTGATGAAGTTCACTGATATGTATCTGGGTTGCCCCATGCCTTACAGAGAGAGAGAGAGAGAGAGATAAGACTGATTTTGTTTCCTTCCTAACCAGTCCTGAGCAAGGAGAGCAGTAAGAGTCACCTTCAAACACTAACAGATGTATTGTGGCATAAGCTTTAAATTCTAACCTACACTAACTTTACATACTGCTTTATGCTGCAACAAATCTGTTAGGCTACAATCCTATATGCGCTTCCCTGTGAGTAAGTCCCATTGAACTCAGGTACAGGAGACAGAAGACTCTTGCAGCTCTGCCGTTTATGATGCTATAGCTGCTGTTCGTTCCAACCCTTTTTGAAGCAAAATTGTAGCAGGCTCTTCACACCACCGGTTGCATGTTGATGTTATCATGCTTTCCCCATCCACATACAACTGTTCAGATTGAGGACAGTTCTGTGACTGTAGTCACACCCCTTCCCTTTGACTGGTGTATGTCAGCATTACGAGCGCGCACATGCGTCTGTAATTACCGTAACTTGAAATACCTGCACATAGCAGAGCTACCGTTCCCGGGGTGATTTAGCAATCAACACCTCTCCTCAGGGAACTCTGGGAATTGTAGCTCTGTGAGTGGAAGAAGGGCCTCCTAACAATTCTCAGCTCCCTTAACCCTTACAGGTCCCATAATTCTTTGGGGGAACCATCGCCAAGCAGTATCATAGCTCTTTAAATGTGAGAATGTGGCCTGAGACTGAGGAGAAGGAAGTTGGCAAGCAGTACCACCACTAGAATGGTTGCAGGTAGGAAGGAAGGCAAGTGAAGACCGAAAGAGGGCAAACTGAGGTAGACTAGGCTCCACTGATCACAACCTCATCTCCCTGCTTCATATTTCACTTGAGAAGTGCTGGAGTAAGGGAATAGAAACCACAACAAGGGGAGAGTGAGGTGGGTTGATGGGAGATGTTCAAGGAGCTTTGGAAGCAGATGTGTTTTCTGCTGTTGGAGTTCTTCTGGGGTTACAGGACCTGGCCTGTGCCATCTTCTGAGCCAGGGTGATCCTGGGAGCAAATAAAAGAGCCTTAAATATTGGGCAACAGACCCACAGCACTGAGTTATGCTTCGACCAAAGTATCTGAACTTTGTGCTCTCTCTTAACTGTGGTGACCTCATCCTGCTGCCCCAGCAGCAGCGTTTAAAGTCCACCAGAGAAGGGTGTACACACAGGCCGTGTAAAACTTTCGGAGCAGCTCAGTTGTCATTTTTCACTAACCCCTCGCTGTCTCGCTAAAATTCCCCTGTGCCTGGATTTGCCTCAAAATGAAACTGTTCGGCGGCTTGTTGATTCTCTGCATGTCCCTGGCCGTGGGGACAGGCACTGAAGAGACAATTCAGGACAACGCAGCCCATCCATCAGCAGTGCCCGAGGAAGCCTCTTTTTCAGATTGGGGTATTGGGACCATCCGGGATGGCTTTGAGACTGTGAATGCCTATTTAGACTACGTATCAGAGCTGCTAGGAGGGAAGAACGGCGTCTGCCAGTACCGGTGTAGATATGGTAAGCTCCTCTTCTTTCACTTCTATTTAGCACATGTTTCATTCCAGTTAGTGATAGCCTGGGCAAACTCAAACCTATATCAGCTTCTCAATAGTTGACCAGAATATTGCTTTCTATATAAGAGGCCTGCTGGATGAGTCCATAGGTCCAGCCAGGGATGGATCTGCTCTGAAAGTAATGAAGATTAAGCTTCAGGGCCCATAATCCTGGACTGGCCCCAGAAGCGACTTTAGTCCACAATGCTTTTTTAAAAAAATGGTTCTAGTAGATGCAAATTGAGTCACATGACTCAAATTGATTATTTTGTTGTTGCTGCATGTATTTCAATAACCCCAAAGTTTGAGAGTCAATAGCACAGATGTTGTAAAGGGGAACAGCCCCGCTGAAGAACGTAACAGTGGTTAGTTCATTGCTGGTTGCAAAGGGGCCCCCCATAACAATTCAAGTTTCAGGGCTCCCAAAATGTCCTGCACCCTGTTCTCACAGTGACCAACCAGATGCCTGTGGCAACCCTGCAAGCAGGACCTGAGCACAGCAACTCTTGTGGCTGGTATACTTGGAGGTAGAGCATAGCCATCTTGTTGTCATTTTTTTATTATGGTTGATGAACTTGCACACTTTGGCTAGGCGTATTTGTTAATCTGGGCTACATACTGCTTGAAGTTTCCAAGCCATCATCGTTAACATAGTTTATGTAATCCTCATTTCACCTATTTAGAATGGATAAATATATCCTTTTACTTTTCCCTGAACCAGGCAACAGATACTTCAAAATTCAGACCTGGACTAGGGCAGCCTTTGCCAATCTGCTGTCCTTCAGATGTTTAAGACAACAACTCCCATCACAGACCCTCCAAGTGTCCTTAATTTCCAGGGTTGCCCCGATTTAGAGAATCCATCCCAGTTTCTGATTTGATCCTAGAATGTCCTGCTTTTCCTTACAATGTCCCTATTTTCACTGGAGAAATGTTGGGGGTATGGAGTCAGCCAACCCCCAAGGTGCCTGAAGGCAATCCTGTATTGGGAAGGGGTTTTTTTTAATGTTTAATGTTTTCTTATGTTTTTATATCTGTTGGAAGCTGCTCAGAGTGGCTGGGGCAACCCGGTAAGATGTGTGGGGTATATGTTGGAGGATATGCCATCATCCCCATCCATCCAAAATATCTGAAGGGCAACAGGTTGATGAAGACTGGACTTCGAGAATCAGGATTTCAGGTGCTGGGTTAGAAATTGCTTGCACCAGCTAGTGCTACATGGGCAGTTTCCATCTGCATGCAGCTTCTGGAACTGTGCATGTGGTTTGTGTCACGAGATAGGAAGCCTTAAGCAAAACAGTCAAGACTGCTGGTTTGGCCAGCTCGGATTTCTTCTTTAGGAGTAGAAACACTAAACATTTGCTGTCTAGAATGGTTTGGGGATAGTGAAGAACATCCACAATCTCTTTGGAGGCCAAAAACTTTGTTTTTTCTTGTTTTGTTGAGACTAACAAGTTACAACCATACATTTTGCTTTTATGGTGCCTCCCACACTCCATTAACCTCTGAAATTGGTACCAATGGAGTCCCCAGGAGCTGTTAATCAATTCGCTGCTCATTTCTTTCCCCAGAGTGGACGGTTGTTATTCACCTTGATTTTTCTTTTCTGGGTCACAAAAACTCCTCAAGGCTTTGCATCTTAAAAAACAACAACAAGCAGACTGAGTATTTCTGTAATATGTGCAGCTGCCCAGTGCTACCGATGGTTTGGGTTCAATTCACACATTACAGTGGTACCTTGGTTCTCAGACTTAATCTGTTCCAGAAGTCTGTTCCAAAACCAAAGTGTTCCAAAACCAAGGCATGCTTTCCCATAGAAAGTAATGCAAAACAGATTAATCCGTCCCAGACTTTTAAAAAAAAACCCTAAAACAGCAATTTAACATGAATTTTACTATCTAATGAGACCATTGATCCACAAAATGAAAGCAATAATCAATGTACTGTACTATAAAATAAATAAAACAGTATTGTAGATGATAAAAATTAAAATTAATTTTCTTTCTTACCTGCACAGATGATAGTCATTGTTTGCATAGGGGGCTTTTATCCATTTCTGCAGTCACACAATCAATCAATCAATCAGTAGCTGAACTGGGATCCACACAGTCACAAAAACAGATTAACTGAAAAAGCCTCAAAAACAAAAAGGCAAAATAAATAGCAAAAACAAAAGCACCAAATATAAGCTCCTAATATCACCTTAGAACACTGCAATCAAGCCTGGGAGGCTTGAATTACAATGGGGAGGGTGCAAATTAGCAGCGCAACAGGGAACACAGGGGGACTCAAAACGGAGCACGTTCGGCTTCTGAAAAAAGTTTGAAAACCGGAATACCTACTTCCGGTTTTGCAGTGTTTGGGTTCCAAGTTGTTCGTGAACTAAGCTGTTCGAAAACCGAGGTACCACTGTACATTTTAATGCAATGCAAACAAGTATGCTCATCAAAGATTCAGCTGTTCATCAGGTGTACATTCAACTGCAAACCTGGGTTAACAGCCATGTCATGTGTGGGACATCCTTGAAGAACGCAAGAAGAGGCCTGCTGGATGAGGCCCCAGGCCCATCTAGTCCAGCCTCCTGTTCTCACAGCCAACCAGGTGCCCACAAGACAGGATCACACAATGCTCTCCCTTGGCTCATCCACCAAGGGGATGGGGGACCGGTGCCAGTAAAAGAAGGGATGGATTTATCCTGTTATGATATGGCATCTGACATGTCATCGAGGGTTAGGGCATCTTGCCATTCATTTGTTCTTGGAATGCTGACAGCTAGGTTGGCAACCAGCGAAAGTTTGAAGAACTTTCTGTCCGTATCTGAAGTACAGGGGCTTCCACAGACTATTTGGCTCCTGGAGAGTAAATAATGCAGTACCTCAGACCACTCTTCCACCCCCCACCACTCTGACGGGCAACAAAGAGAGAATAATTCCTATATTTTCAGGGTATGAGTGTCATTGCTTATGCAACCAAAAGGCATCACACAGAGACACACACACGAGGGGAATATTTACAAGTTTGGGGGAGTCCCAAGTTTTTAGAAGGTACAAAAACCCTGAGATGGAAATGCATTGTGTTTCTTGGCCTAGCTGCATTTCCATTGAATACATGAACTGGATCATACAGAGAACAAGGAACCCACAGTATTGGGTTGTTGGCATGCAATGCTACTTATGGGAGATACATATTTGCTCATTGACTGTTGACATCTTTTGAAATACTACATTTTACATCAGATAAAATAAAAAACAAGATGTCAACACTTGAATTTTGACAGGAAACGCCCTTTCAAAATGAGTATTTCAATTCTGAATGTGAAATGGATGTTTTACATGTTGAGTACTGGAATTAACCACTTTGCTAGATTTTTAAAAACACCTTTGCAAAATTAAATTTTAATTGCAATTCTAGTCTGTTGTAAATAGCATGAAATAAAGGATATGGATATGTATAGATATGAATGACTTCAACTTTATATTATGAAACTTGTTTGGCAACAGACTATGGGGGACACTTGGAATAGTGCCAGTCAGGGGACTCAAATATCCATCAACGAGGGCAGGGCCCAATCCTGCTTGTTGTAGCAGTGACATCACTCAGTACCCTCTACTGTGCAGCAGCACTTCTGTACAGGGGCAAAGCTTGGCTCCTATCTATGGCGGCCGCCTGCCATCTTACATCACCCAGATGCAATGCCCTGGCCATTAGATCAATGAATACTAGAGGTTTCATTGACCTATGGGCCAGGGACTTACATCTTGGGCCACTTAAAAGATCAGGTGGCTACCATAGATGGATTCAAGTTTCACCACCGCCTGGTGCTAAAGGGCCCTTCCAGCCCCCTGGGGCCTTCAGCTGTTGCTTCTAGTCCTGTTCCCAAGGATGCCCAACTAAATTGATTCCTTGCTCTTTGGCAAAGCCAAGCCAGTCCTTTCCTGATGCTCACCAGCCCTGCAATAAGCTTTGTACAAAGTCCTCCTTCCCAAGGCTGTCACATCTAGAACTATTAATGCTTTCTTTGGGTGTGTTATCCACTTGTCTTACAGGGAAAGCACCAATGGCCAGGCCAGATTACAAGTCTCCAGAACCCAATGGCTGCAGCTCCTATTTCCTGGGTCTCAAGGTACCCGAAAGTGTATGTACTGCTAACATCTCATTACCCAGTGAAATGATTTACTAACCACACTTGCCTTTTCAGGCAGGATTGTGATTGCTTGGTGCTTTTTGTCCCTTGATCTGTCCACGCTCTCCAAATGGGAAGAGTGTCCCGCTCAGTGTTTGCCCAGACAGCCACTCTCATCCTGATGTCAAGTGCAAGCTGTCTGCCTTGTGTGTGCCAGAGGTGACGGCTGGCTGCTGATGGCAAACAAAGTGATCACGTCTCAACTGACTGCTACCCGTATAATTTACTGTTTGATTGGCCAGTCACCCGAGCATTTAGCTTCCAACTGTTGGTGGCTGCTGTGGTGAACAAATAAATCCTCTGGATGGGGACTGCATAAATGGATGCAGGATTCACGACTCCAATTATCTTCATAATTACAGAAAGGCAAAAATGAAAGAAAGCGGGATCTGTAATAAAAACGAGTGGAAAAGCACTCCAAAGAGCTGACATGGTACCTGGATGTGGACCAGATTGGAATGCATGAGTTGTAACTGATGGGCTTTGGTCCTAAATGCCAACTGGCACCATCGCCTCAGAGGGACTCAGCATCTGGCAGTTTGAGGCTGATGGGCAATATCTTTTTCTTTTCTTCTTCTTTGGCAATCACTCGTAGCCGATTAAGATTGTCTTCCATAAACAGGATTTTAACAGTGGGTTTGTAAGTGACTGTGGAGGCCAATTCTGGATCCACACGTCCTTCCACAGTGGGGACATAGGCTTCCAGGTGGGAGTTGGTCATGGTGAGGGTTTGCCAAACGTGCCTTCCTCTTAGCACGTTTCTCCCTTTCGTTCGAGTGTTTTGAGTTCGAGTGTCTTCAAAGCCCATGACACCTTTGGTGAAGGCTGTTCTCCAATTGGAGCACTCTCAGGCCAGTGTTTCCCAGTTGTCAGTTTTTCTACCACATTTTTAAAGATTTGCCTTGAGAGAGTCTTTAAACCTCTTTTGTTGACCACCAGCATTAAACTTTGCATTTTTAAGTTTGGAATAGAGTACTTGCTTTGGAAGACGATAATCAGGCATCCGCACAACATGACCAGTCCAACGAAGTTGATGTTGAAGAACCCTATATAAATGACAGTGTCCCCTTGTTCTGTAAACGTGAGTTGCTCCTGGTCAGTGGAAGCCTCGCCATACATGGCTTGATGTTTCCTTGGAGAAGATTCGTCCTTCTTTGATGCTGGTCAGCAAATGAAATATATTTCACTGTGTTCAGGGTGTTACCTGACCAAGAAAAGAAATATGTGTGGTTCATTGACATATTCAGGTCATCTGTGGCGAAGGTGGATGATGACAAGCCTGTTCTTGTATTAACTGCCATATCTGTAGTCAAAAGCCATGGGCAACCACATGTTAGGACAGCCTTCCCCAACCTGGTGCCCTCCAGATGGTTTGGACCACAGCTCCCATCAGCCTTGACCAGAGGCTGATTTAAGACAAAGGTAACCAACAAGGTGCCAGGTTCAATCCCCGGCATCTCCCGCTACGTCTGGGAGAGACCCCTTCCTGAAACCTTGGAGAGCTCCTGCCAGTCATTGTGGGCACTGCTGAGCTTAGTGGACCAATGGTCTGATTTGGTATGAGGCCGCTTCCAATGTTACTCCTTTGAGGGGAATTGGGAGCCTACAAAATCTGAAGGACACCATGTTAGCTCTGCTCAAGGAACTATGGCATTGTTTCCCAAGACAAGTGACATGGTAATTTGATAGGCATAAAGGTAAAGGTAAAGGGACTCCTGACCATTAGGTTCAGTTGTGACCGACTCTGGGGTTGCGGCACTCATCTCACTTTATTGGCCAAGGGAGCTGGTGTACAGCTTCCAGGTCACGTGGCCAGCATGACTAAGTCGCTTCTGGAGAACCAGAGCAGCGCACGGAAACGCCGTTTGCCTTCCCGCCGGAGCGGTACCTATTTATCTATTTGCACTTTGACGTGCTTTTGAACTGCTAGGTTGGCAGGAGCAGGGACCGAGCAACGGGAGCTCACCCCGTCGCGGGGATTCGAACTGCCGACCTTCTGATCGGCAAGTCCTAGACTCTGTGGTTTAGCTATTGTTTAATCTCACTGCAGCATGTTTTTCTCATCCTGTTGGTCTCCTAAGAACCATCAGTATCAGGCAGTTCAATCCGTTGCAGCTAATCCATGCAAAATTAAATTTTATAAACAGCATTCAGAGAAGAAATATGAGGGGAGGGAGGGAAGCAATGTTGTGTGTCAGAGAATCTTTTCTTCCCTCTCCTTTCATGTACAGCTGGATATGGGTATCCCTGCCATGACTAAGTGTTGCAACCAGCTGGATATATGCTATGATACCTGCGGGGCCAACAAATACCGCTGTGATGCCAAGTTTCGCTGGTGTTTGCAGTCCATCTGCTCCGACCTCAAGCGCAGCCTTGGCTTCGTCTCCAAGGTGGCAGGTGAGTTTCCCACCCAGGGATGCATTAAGTGGAAGGAAGTGTAGCTCAGTGATGGCTGACTTCCTAAGCAGTTGGTGGGAATGAGGCAGTAGGGAGTGTCCTTTGAAGGGGTGAAACTTAATTTTTTCAAGTTTCTTCAGTTTCAAAAACATGTTTTTGGGTGTGAGGAATTCAAATCGGCTGTTATTTTTGTGATGGGACAACCTTTAGCTTGGTAAGTCTACGCTTGATGAAGAAGCACATAAACTGCTTTGGGAAAGCAAAATAATTTTAATTTTACTTTCTGAAAATGCCAGGTAATGGTATTTCAAATTATATTTTAATAAGCACCAAAGATACTTGCTAGCACTTCAGACACCACACTTTTACATAGCATCAGCAGGAGCTATTACAAATGGAAAGTGGACCGGGCAAACATAAGCTGCATAACATACATTTAAAGCAGTATGCTACCACTTTAAACAGCCATGGCTTCGCCCAAAGAATTCTGAGAGCTGTCATTTGTTAAGGGTGCTGAGAGTTGTTAGGAGACCCCAGTTCCCCTCACAGAGCTACAATTCTCAGAGTTGCCTAGGAAGAGGTGTTGATGGTAAAACCACTTTGTGAACTGTAGCTCTATGAAGGAAATAGGAGGTCCTGTAAAAACTCTCAGTACCCTTAACAAACCACAGCTCCCAGAATTCTTTTGGGGGAAGCCATGGATGGTTAAAGTAGTAGTGTAGTGCTTTAAATGTATGTTGTGATGTGGCCATAAACATGTAGTCTGTGTCTGGCCCCAGGCAAATGTTGGGTTCATGAGCTGCCAATTAGCTACCTCAGTGTAAGGATAGGAAGATGTGTCCATGTTGGTTGTTTTTCCCCATTTCTCCAGTCTTAAACTGGGTTACTCGTATTTCTACATATGTTTTCAATCCTTTCTTTTTTTTTAAAAAAAAGAAGTCTTCAGGCATATTTGTATGCATTTCTATGTGCAGTTCTCCTCATGCACACCTTGTCACAGTCAACTTTTTTTTTAGTTTATTCATTTTCGAGAGCAATTTCCCCCAACAGAAGGCCTGTTACCTTCACTGTGAGTTTTTATGCGCAGCTTTCATTAATATTACATTTTTGTACATATTCTTTGGCTGGAGAAATGCAGTGCAAAATCTGGTGACGGGCCAATTTCCAAGAAGCATTTCAGTATTGTAGTGGGAGAATTTGGGGATTTAGCGTTAAAATGCAAACTAAATCAATTTCTCCCCCTTCACTCCTCCCGTGTAGATGAGCAGATTTTCAGAAAGATTCCCTAGGAATCTTAATAAGTGGGTTGGGGAGGGGGAGGAGTGGACTGCCTAATGTGTGCTGCTTTGAAAAATATTGTTCCCACAGTGTCTAGCCTTTCTCTCCCCCCCCCCCCATTTACCCCTCTCTGGTTCAGCTTCCAGCAATTAGATGGCCAAGGGGTCACTAATTTATTTTCCAAGTGTAACAATTAAGATAAATGGGGAAGTTCAGAGCTGCTGATGCAGACTCTCAGCAGATTCTCTAAGACAGTTTCCCTCATCATTGGCTTCCTGTCTCATTAGGATGATGGAACGTGTGTGGTTTTAGTACTTATAGGTGTACACAACCTACTAGAAACCGAAGAAAAAAATCATGCCAGTTGCCCTGTAAAGATTATATGCTGTGAGCATCTTAGCGATTCATCACTTGCATCAGGGATGGGGAATCTGCAGGTGTTGCTCAGTTTCAACCATCCTTGACCATTTCCCCCGCTGACCATTCAAACCTTTCAGATATACCAGCTTCCCGTTTTCCTAGATTTCCTCTGCACCATGAGGATCAAAACTTATATTAAACTGAAGTAATGAAACTCCCCACTTAATTATGGGTCTTCCCCTTGCACTCCTAGATCACATCTTTGCCAGGGATGCAGGAACCTTTATTATTATTATTATTATTATTATTATTATTATTATTATTATTATACCGCCCTATACCTGGAGGTCTCAGGGCAGTTCACAGAATAAAAGCGAAATATAAAACTGCAAAATACATAATCAAAATAACAACAACACAATAATGCCCCCCCAAAAGCCACAATTTAAAAGGGCATAGAATGTCAATCAAATCAACCAAAGGCCTAGTTAAAAAGGAACATTTTTGCCTGGTGTATAATGAAGGCGCCAGGTGAACTTCTCTGGGGAGAGCATTCCTCAGATGGGAAGACACTGCAGAGAAGGCCCATTCTTGTGTTGTCACCCTTCGGACCTCTTGAGGAGGCAGCACATGCACACAAACCTGCTATTTACTTAAAAAGAAGAAGGGTGAGAGAGTCTGATTATAAATGTAGTATCTTGTTTAGCTGTTAATAAGAAAGGGAACAGTCAAGTATAGTAGGGGTATGGAACCTTTCTCCTACAGGCCAAATTTGGCCTGCCAGACTTCTCCATTTGGCAAGCTTTGGCATTTGGGGCAAGCTACGCCCACCTGCCCTACACCTGATGGGGAAGGCAAGGGCAGAGCTTGGCCAAAAGGGGCTTTGCAGGCACTTAGTGCCTGAAAAGCTCCCTGTGCAGTGCTTGCAAAGCACCCAACAACCAGATGTTGAGCGCTTCAGAAACGCTACGCAAAGGGCTTTGCAAACCCTATGATTAATGCTTGGCAAGCGCTGAGGGGAGAACTTGCAGAATAGAATACTTTGTGCAGCACTTCCCAACCAGCCTGACAACCTGCTTCCCAAGCGCTGGGCTTTGAAATCTTGCTGAGTCCTAGGCACAGCACCCAGCTATCAGGTGGCTGTTGGATGTTTGGGTAGAACTGGGCACAGCACCATCGTCATGGGTCAACAATGACATGCGTCAATAACCCAATATCATCATGACTTCAGATGACTGACAAGTGAGTGGTTCCCCATCACCACCTGGCAAAGTTGGCCCAAGAGGTTCAGGGGAGATAAAGATATGGCCTTCTGGGCTGAAGGTTTCCCCACCCCTGGACTATAGTGTGATATTCTAGTGAGCATCCACAAAATAGTCTTTGGCTGAGCACAAACATGACAACGTTTTATGGAAAGGTGAGGTAGAAATCCTAGCAATAAACAAAGAAATTTGCAATCCAAATGACAGAACTGCTTATCAGCTACACCAGACACAGGAAACTGGGAACTATAGCTTACCCCCACAGACCTACAGTTCCCAGCAGCATTCCTGGGGATTTTTTTAGGGGAAACCATGCACCTTAGATGTAAGGGATGTCTCCATAGCCTAGCACTTCTCAGCTGGCAGTTCCAATTAAGCTAAACCAGCTCCCCTTGGTATGATGGATCATGAAACTGTCTGTATGACAAGCAGCTGCCTATAGAGAAGCAGACCAAACCTCAGTAGGCACACAGTGGAAATTGTTGGTTGGCCCTGACATGCGCCTCTTTGTCCTCTGTTCCAGCATGTGAATCAGTAGCCGACGCCGTATTTAAAACAGTCAGGACTCTGGGCTGCCGTCCTTTCATGGACAGCCAAAGAAGCGCTTGCATTTGTCAGGAGGAAGAACGGGAAGAGTTGTGAGGTGAGCGTCAAACTGCCTGACAGCGATGGCTCTGGATTCATGCGCCCCTTTGCTTAGAAGCGGGTCCGGTCTCTACTCCCTACACAGGTGCAATTTTTGGCAGCGGTTACATTAGGGGAGCAGATCATTGCGATCACTGCAAATGCCTTAATTGCAGCTTGAAGACTGGAACCGATTGCCTTGGCCCGGCACCCTCGTCTGTTCCATCTGACAACTTCTTTCACCTTCCCAAAGCATCTGTTTGGCATAATGACAAACCTCAGTGAAGACCAACTGCGATGTGTGTGTGTGTGTGTGTGTGTGTGTGTGTGAGCATTCCAGATGTGACAAAGGATACAGAGAAAATGTGACATTGGCTATGGTACATTTCCGCAGCAAATATTCACACAGCCGACTGGCTGTTATCACCAGACATTTAATGCTGCCATAGTGGTGTAGAGCCAGTCAAGGGTCATGAGAATCCCATTCTATTGGAAAAACAGGTGCAGGGTTGCACCAGTAGTCCTGGATCATGGACTACTCAACAGCACACAGAATGGCTGGTTCTGGGGATTTCCCAAAAGACAAAAAAAGAGGGAAGAATGACAAGATCACAGTGTGGGTTTTGAAGTTACTCTTAATTTTATTTCCATTAAGGCATTGCTCCACTTAAAGAGAAGCAACATACATATTGCTTAATAACAAGAAACAAAGGTATATTGACTATTTGAAAAGTTTATTATGGTAGGCCGTTGTAAAACTAACTTTTATTAAATAACATATATAGTTCAAAATAACATCAGAGCTTGCCAGTAACATTTACGATGCACTCTTCTAGCTACAAAGGATTACTATTATTTTACAACTTCGGGTGGCACAACTATATATTTTTTTAGAACCATCCTCATTCTTCCAAAATATAACTCTTAGATCCTCTGGGTTATTTCTCTGTAAACACAAATTGCCACTTGTCCCAAATTGAACATTTTTGATATTTTGCCTGTTGCCCTCTGATAAAATAACACCATGATTCCTTTTCTAAACATATCCTGCTGCACCTAAACATATGTTCTCTGGTTCTTGATTATCTGAAACTCTTGGAGCTGTTTTTAACACTGTTGAACTTGTCCAACCATTTACATTATGAATGCCTTACAGAATTTACTCCTTTCAGTACAGTATTTACTCTTTTCCATGATCCCATAACTAAATAAATCCCCCCTCCCTATTTAGGCTATCCTGCGATAAGTGTGTTGTCTCCCAATATTTCATTCCTCTATCTGGGTTGATGTTTGGTAGGTCCATCAGTTAGTTGTTGAGCTTTGCGGAAATTCCCCCCAGACGTCAATTCCACCTTTGAAATCCCGGTAATGGCAGCCCTACATCAGTTTCCTATACTGCCTTTTATCATTATATTTTAAATTCCTAACAATAGGTGTGCATGATGAGAGCAATATGATCAAAACATTACAAAACATAAATGCTCTGTTATTTGGGATGGAGAATGGAGATTCACACTATAAGAATGCTACAATTAATGAACTTCCTAGTAATACACAGTTAGCAAGTTAAAACATATAGAATTTTCAGCACCTAGTTCCGAAGCTTTTTTTTTTTTTTTTAGTGTAGATTATATAGTTTGAACACATGGTGCATATATCTTACATCGGTGCTGACAGTGAGCCTATGCAAGGCATTTGGCTACAACCAACAAAATATTTCTTAATAATCCTTACAAAAAGTAGAGAGAAGATGCAGGAAGAGGACAATGCAAAGGCCTTAAAGGGGAACAACACGAATTCTGGACTTTCCTGGCCAGGGCTTGCCAAAGGCATTTTCCTGCTTGTGTTGAAGGACAAAAGGGAGCCTTCACCCCCATTCTATATATTGACTGTAAGTTTAATTTTACTACACCTGAAGGCAGCATCTCACCTGAAGCTGCCCATTCCCCAGCATCTGCTGCATGAGGCAGCTGCCCCCTTCTGCCGAATGGTAGGACTGGCTCTGATTCTAGCATAAGTACTTTGTGGGCTATAGAGAAAGATGTTCCCCAACAGTATCACCGAAGTCCACAAAATTTATTGAATAGGAAATAGAGACTAAGTTGGTAACCCTATTCACACTTACTTTGGAGTAAGCACTATTGGACAAGGTGGTACTTACTTCTGAGCAGACAGTAATAGAGTTGCATTGCATTTCTTTTCACTGAATCCAGTAACTTGAATTAATCCTATGTCATGCAGCCATCTTTTACTGGGTGAGATCTATCACACTGACATTTGGATTGGTGTTCATGAATCTGTCGCTGTGAAGAGCTTCAACACCTTTCCAGACTGCAAATTACTATGCCACTGGTTCATCTGGCTTTAGGAAAGATTTTTCTAGGTCATGATGATATAGGATCTCACCATTTAAATACTATAAAGTGGTTCAAAACTCCTAGATTTTGAACCACTCTGCACTCTCAGCACCCCTTAGTTTGTGTTGATTTCAACACCTAAAAATGATCAAGTGTGCTAGTTAAGTTGTTGGTATGTTGCAGACAGCGTCCCCCTCCTCTGTGTCAGTGTAGCCTTGTAAAAAACCCAAATTCCTATTCATGAAAATGTTATGGATCTGGACATTTTACATGCTCTTTGAACTAATGATTTCTAACAAAAATTGGTACCGTTGTCATGCCTGTGATTCGAATGGCCCATTTAATTTTGCTCCAACCATCCATTATCAGTCATCAAACAGCATTTGGATGAGATTGCATTTAATCTCACCTTAGCAAAGATCATAGGCTTTCACTGGGGAAAGAGGAAATCACATGGTTTTGTTTTGTTTTGTTTGTTGCCTTTATTTTCTTGCCAAACACAGATGACTGCTCACTATCGAAGGTACATAGGAGAAAGCATCAGTGAGACAGCATGTTCACAAGATAAGACAGCCTTTGCCAACCTGGTGCCCTCCAGATGCTTTGGACTACAACTCCCATCAGCCCCAACCAGCATGGAAGCTGTAGGCCCAAAAAGGGGGTCATAGTCTGGTGGGATCTAGGTTAGTGAAGGCTGAGATAGATCTACTCCACATCAATTCTAATGGGACCACCTGTGAGGATGCGATTAGCCATGTGACTGGCTTCCTCTTCCTCTGCCCGTCTGCGCATCCGTCTGCGGCAGCCCTGGGCACAGCGAGACCTCTCATCCGTCACTCCACACACAAGGACACGGCAGTGGAGGAACACTTCCTGAATACAAAAGGAGATAAACAAATATGAAGCATCCCAAATGGCCTGGGGGAATCTGTCACACACTTCTGCAGAATCCAGGGATTTGCTAGGTAAAGGAAACAATTCAGGTTGGTGGGGGGGTAGCAGTATTTGTACAGAAGCCAGAAACTCAGAAAACACCCTTTTTTGCCTCTCAACCACATGCAACCTATAGGCTTCTGCAGTGGCATGTCTGAAACAGAAGTTCAGAGAAGCAACCTGCTAGGCTTGGAGCTTTTTAGGCTATGAGGCTTACAAATGATTCTGCCTGGGGCTTAGTATTCCTTCTATCTTCAGTGTCGTCTGCTCCTGAGAAGAAGAAATCGACTGAAAAGGCTGCACTGGGATTTTATGCCATAAAACAAAGCAGGTCAGGTATTGATCCAGCAGACACCTCCACCCCAAATCAGCAGACTTATGTGTACATGTTTTGCATATTATTTGCACTGAAAATAAGCTTAAATAAGAAATAAAGAAAATCATAACAGATAGGTCACAAAGTTTTGATCAGGGTGGTGATTTTAAAACCAGACAGGTTGTAAGTAATTTTAGGTTGCAACAGTATTCAATTTCTGAACAGGAGTTGAAAGTGGTGTCAACAAGCTAAACAGATAACATAGTTTCAGCTTCTGCTGCACTCAACAAAGTTCTGTCTCTTTTCCAAGTAGAGGGAATATCTACACCAGTGGTTTTCAATCTTTTTGAGTCCATGGCTCCCTTGACCAACTACCGTATTTTTCACCCTATAGGACGCACTTTTTCCCCTTCAAAAATGAGGGTTGCGCAGAGCTGCCTGCACTCCCGGGCGGCGCGCAGCTCTGCACAACCTTCGGGAGCCCGGCGCGGCTTTGCACCGGGCTCCGGAGGGTTGCGCAGAGCTGCCTGCACTCCCAGGCGGCACACAGCTCTGCGCAACCTTTGGGAGCCCAGCGCGGCTTCGTGCCGGGCTCCCAAAGGTTGCGCAGAGCTGCCTGCATTCCGAAGCCTGGGGCGTGCTGAAGAGCGCTCCTGGGCTTCGCGCAGCTCTCCGCAAGCCTGGGGAGACTGGCGCAGCTTCCTAGGCTTGCTGGTAGCAGGCTGTTCTGGGGGCTGGGGTCGGGGGAAGCTCGGGCTTCCCCCGTGCCAGCCCCGTGCCTGGGGGGGAAATAATTTTTTTTCTTTATTTCCCCCCCCCAAAAAAAACCAGGTGCGTCCTATGGGGCGAAAAATACGGTACATTCTTTCTGCAGCAACCCATGGGGCTCAGGAACCCAGTTATGTCACCCCTTGCCTGCAGAGCTGGCAGAGCCTCTCACCCTTTTGCAAATACCATCCCTTGTGGAGTGTTTCCTCAGCCTCCTCTCCTCTCCCCTCTCCTTGGGAGTCCTCTGGGCAGCCACAGCTGCCACCCCTGGTCACTGAGCTCCACCTCCAAAGAGAGGTGCCTCCTCACACTGCCCCACAGGGGCTTGGGAAGCACTCCTGTCAGCCCCAGAGGCACCATTCGCCTGAAGAGCTTGTAACCAGGGCTGCTGCAACAAATAGCTGTGGAAGCCTTTGGGAGGCAGAAACGTGAGAGGGCATCAGAGGAGGGAGTAAAGGAAAGAGGGACAGAGGCCAGTGCTGCCCACAACAATATTGCATCATCCTATTGCATTATATGTGTGTGTGCATTGTATACATATACCGTATATATTCTCAAACACCCACTTTGTCATTCCTACACTGTCAGTATGAAAGTATGAAATAAAAGCAGAAGTCAGGGAACCAGCAAACTGTTATCCTTATACTCTTCCTAAAGTGAAATCCCTTATGAAGAACTGGAAGAAGGCAATGCATCTCTGATTTGCATCCTTCAAGGGCACCTCCTGCATCTATTGTCCATGCATGTGTCAGATGTTTTGCTAGAAAACTGCTAAAGGAGCAGCTGCTACGCATTTTCACTCACCTTGTTGTCCTTACCCACAAATTTGAACACTGGCACTTGGAAGTGCTTGGCCAGATGATCTTTAGATGTGTATTGCTTCACAGAGTCATCAGAAACACAGCTGAAGAAAGAGAAAAATGTTAATGGTTTTCACAGACTTGGGTGGGGAAATCGCGACACATTCCTCCAAGAACAGAGGCAGCAGGGTAGAGAAGCTGACTCTCCTTGCTCAATAGATGTGTTAGTGGTATAACATCCAAAAATGAAGAGTGGATGGAAAAACAGAAGTGAGAATCAATAGCACTGCCAGAAATTGGGGGAGGGGGGGAATCAGGCAGAAAAATTGTCAGAATGCACAGTGAATCTCTGAGCATGCTCTCTCCCTCTCTCTCCCCCCCCCTCCTGAAAGCCAAGTAATTTGCCAATGTATTGCAATCAAGATTATCCTCAGTTCACCTTTGTGACCAGAGATACACAGATAATAAAGAGCTGGCTCAAGCAGCCATTAGCATTTAGTTCAAAGAATATAGTTTCAGAACTAAAGGCACGCCGGAACCATAATCATCTCTTCCTTCCCTTTCTGATTCTCAAAAACACCAAATTATCACAAAAATAAAGTAACTTTCCACAGCAGCCTTTTACTTTATCCTGTTGATTCACTGGGTCTTGTAACAGCTTTGCAGCTTGGATTGTAGGTACTAAGGCAGGAAGCAAACCATAGTTAAAGGTGACTTGAAAGAAAGCTATGCACAAATCTTGAAGGTCTACACCAAGGCTGAGGAGCATTTTTCAGCCCAAGGGCTGCATTTGAACCTGGGATAGCTCAGGAGATAGAGCATGAGACTGTTAATCTCAGGGTCGTGGGTTTGAAACGATTCTTGGACTAGATGTCTCCCCAGCCACTCTGGGCAGCTCCCAATCAAATGTTAAAAACAGTACAGCATTAAATATTAAAAACTTCCCTGAACAGGGCTGCCTTCAGATGTCTTTTAAAGATAGGATAGCTGCTTATTTCCTTCACATCTGAAGGGAGGGTGTTCCACAAGGTGGGCGCCACTACCGAGAAGGCCCTCTGTCTGGTTCCCTGTAACCTCACTTCTCGCAATGAGGGAACCGCCAGAAGGCCATTGGCGCTGGATCTCAGTGTCCGGGCTGAATGATGCGGGTGGAGACGCTCCTTCAGGTATACAGGACTGAGGCCGTTTAGGGTTTTAAAGGTCAGCACCAACACTTTGAATTGTGCTCGGAAACGTACTGGGAGCCAATGCAGATCTCTCAGGACCGGTGTTATGTGGTCCCGGCGGCCACTCCCAGTCACCAGTCTAGCTGCCACATTCTGGATTAATTGCAGTTTGCGGGTCACCTTCAAAGGTAGCCCCACATAGAGCACATTGCAGTAGTCCAAGTGGGAGATAACTAGAGCATGCACTACTCTGGCAAGACGGTCTGCGGGCAGGTAGGGTCTTAGCCTGCATACCAGGTGGAGCTGGTAGACAGCTGCCCTGGACACAGAATTCACCCGCGTCCAAAATGACTCCCAGGCTGCGCACCATGATTCCATGATTTCCTTCTGGAAAACTTCCCAGGGGCCACATGCCAATGGAGAGTGGGGCCAGAGACAACAGGGAACAGAGCAATGGGTGCGAATGTTACCTTTGTATAGCAGGCTAGTTTCTATATTCAAACATGCACACCTCTCTATGGCCTCCTTCCAGGTAACGTCCAGTTAAGCAAGAAACATTATCAGAGTTCAAGGCAAACTCTAGCCAGGAAGAGGGGGAGAGTCCCATGAGCCAGATAAAGAGGTCTGTAGGACCACATTTTGCCTTCAAGTCCTTGCTCTACACTTATTCCACACAGGCCTGCCAAATCTAGTTGACCAGAGATGCCAATGAATCAGTCAGATGCATACTTTGCAAGGCAATGCCTATTTCAAGCTGTATTTGGCTCCCACAAGAACTATTTGTCTCTCTCCAACCAGAGATTCTTAGGGATCATTATACCTCTGAGGTTTGGGGGCCTGTGATGCCAAAAAACAGATGAGTCATACAGTTATCTTAGTAGGTTTTCATCTGAACATGACACGGCATCTTATTCTCATCCCAGTTAATCCAGAATTGAAACTAGTGGAATTAATTCAGAGGAAGTAGATGAACTATGCACTGTAAATGTCACTCCCTTCAAAAGTATGATATAATACTAGGGAAAATGGCCCCAGCTATTAATTAATTGAGAAGAGGGCAATCCAGAATTATGTGATGTATTGTACCTGGTGTTTCCTTATTACAGGAGCAGAATCTTTTCTAGAAGGGGATTTTTTAAAAAATTAATTAATAGATGTTATTTTTCAGTAACCTGTCCTTTCAAAAAGAAAAAAAAGAAGAAAGAAGCCATCTGGTTTTGCAATATAAGACAACATGGCATTTTTCTTTCCAGCAACCTAATCTCAGGAATGTGGACTTTGAATGTTCTAAACGCTGTAGATAGGAAGAGGAAAGAAACAGACTTGAACTATTATGCTCTTCCCCTGGGTATAATGATATTTGATACTTGGACTTATGGCATAAATAGCTAATTAACTGCTTATCCAGGGGTGGGAAAGAAAGGGCTCATTGGGCAGGATTTAATTACATTTTTAGTCATAATGATTGCCACCTGAATGCAGCTCCTTACATTATCACCAAAAAGGAGGAAATGTTTTAGTTGACATATGAAACATGCTCCAAACCTTGTTGTTGTTGCAGATACACATCCCAGGCACTCGCTGTCTAAAGGTTAACATACCGTGTATGTAGAGAAAATTAATGTACTGTTGTGATTTATGTTCCTCTGTTATTCAAAGCTTATGCCATATTACAACAAATGACACCTCTGGGACATGATGCTGGGGCAAAGCAGTCAGATGGGTGGGGTGTTTAGAGATATATGAGAGAGACAGCAAGCAACTGGACACCTGGAATGTAGATCACAACTACAAGTTTTGCCTGAATAGGCAAGTATATGAATGAGTTGTGTGAGGAAGACTGAGTGGCAGCAGTTCACAGGGACCTCATTTGGATTGTGGAGGACTACCAATGTTGCTTTAGGACTAGAAAAACTTGGCTTCTGCACCTCCATGATACCTGTTCAGTGAATTTGTGAATAAAACTGAAGTTTCCAGTGTGTTCTCCTCTAAAAATGACTAATTCACTCTTGCCAATAGGAAGATTACCCTAAAATAAGAGAGTAACTGAAGTCTATTATCATAACGCTCTTTCATCTCCTCTTCTCCAGGCTAAGCATTCCCAGTTCTTCCAACTGGTTTTCCTCGGACTCAATTTCCAAAACCCCTCACCATCCCAGTAACCACTCTCTGAAAAAGCTCCATTTTGTCAATGGATTGTTGTTGATGATGTTGTTGTTGATGATGTTGTTGTTGTTTACAATATGTGGTATCCAGAAGTGAGCACTGTAATTTGGGTGGAATTCACCGAACAGTTGCCTATGGCAGAAGACATGTGCAGGGATTTCTGTCTGTACATCAGGGTCCCCCCTATGAAATTGGTTCTAGGTGGGTTGGCAGCCCACACTCCACCCCACTGAAAAGGATGTTCCACCTGGAAAGCTGAAATATCCTGATGGAAGGCTTAACATTGGGCGACACTGAATTTCTCCCTCTCCCTCCAGATGCAGCCTGAACATGGTGTATAAATTCTTTATCGCGAGTGTTTATTTTTCAGACTCCCTAGGATGTTGGCCCTATCAGTGCCCCAAAATAGATGTTATATCTGAAAACAGCAAATTCTGCTTAAATCCAGCAAAGCAGGAAAAAAGTTCCTTTGCAGGTTTTTTGTGCGTGGAAATAGCCTACATATTTGAGGGTTGTTTACATGCAATCTAATAAAGAATTATGAAGTCGGTATCAAGCAGTTATACACAGACCACAGGCTACGTGCCTGGCAAATTTTCAATTTAAAAAATGAGTTTAGGGTTAGCAGTTTTAAAATTGCTGCAAAGGCAGCGGGTACAAAGATGGATCTCTAGAGGGAATTTATAAAATTTATGAGATGCATCTAGAAAAGACAAATACCCACATATCTTGGAAGACAAGGTAAACACCAGATGCTACTGAAGTGTTCATCAATAAGGGTGCCCTTGAAGGCATGGTTGGTTCTTAATTGATTACAAAAGTGTACCGTTTAAAAGAACAATCCTGAAAGGAAATTTCATTAATTGTTTGTAATGAAAGTACCTGTATATCGGACTGCGGAGCAGAGGGAAAGAAGAAAATCAAAACTACTTTATCATCTTTGCTGGGAGACCAGCCACCTATGCTCTCTCTCTCAACTGCAGCCATTCCACCAGTCTCCTTGAATTGTTTCCATCCCAACTTAGTGTTATAAGAACTGCAACTTTAAGAAGTAATGCACGAGCTTGCTTTTCTCCTCCTCTCTTCCCATTCCTTCTGCTTATGTGTCATGTCTGTCAAATAGTACACCAGGTCTGTTTTACTACTGATCTTTGTAACCTGCCCTGAGAGTGGTTTTCTGACCAAAGCGTGTGGTAAAAATGCTTTAACTAAATAAATAAATAGGCCTAGTGGCTTAGTCCTTGCATGTGATGAAGTGGAGACTAAGTAATGAAATATGCCACAATATAACATTATTAGTCTTCACGGTGCTTCAGGACTTTCTGTTGTTTTTGCTGTGACAGATTTTAGCCTTGCTCCCCCTGGGGAACTTGTATTTTATACAACTTTAAACCCCAAGGGTACAGCAGTAAAACAGTCAGTTTTGATTATACAGTTTGGGGGTATGGATGCTTTTTGCCTTGCTTTGCTTTGCTTTAAACAGCAGGTGAAGAACATGAAAATAAATGTCTCAGAGTCACTCCCTAGCGATTGTGTGTTCATTTGACAAGAGAGGGAATGCATGATCAGTATCTATTTCTGCTCTAGAACACTTCAGACTGAAGGTGGGGGATTGGCGGCGGAATCGTGTGGCGGTTTAATCAGAAGGAAGTCCCATTATAGAATCATAGAATCATAGAATCATAGAGTTGGAAGAGACCACAAGGGCCATCGAGTCCAACCCCCTGCCAAGCAGGAAACACCATCAGAGCACTCCTGACATATGGTTGTCAAGCCTCTTATGAGGCTTATCACTAGTAAACATGTTTAGGATTGCACCCCAAATACTTTGATGTTCCTCCATTTTAAAGACTCCCCTCACATAGACAGAACCAGTACTGTCATTAGGCCAACTAGGTAGCCGCCCTCAGAGGGATGCAGTAGTACTGACCTTTGAGGGGCACAGTTTTATACAAATTAGTTTTTGATATCTCTTATCAATTTCTGATAATATTTTACTTTTACTTCATATTTTGAAGAATTTTTATCATTTCTGAAGCAATCAATACAAAGACATGTTTTTGGGAAAAAGAAATTGGGGTGAAAAAACGATCTGAGGAGAAACCAGAGTAAAAAATAATAATAATTGGTGGTGGTGCAAGTAGTTAGCTTTGTCTAAAGCACAAGATAGTCTGCACATAGATACCAGCAAGAGAAGTTAGTCCTCCTGCCTGACTTGCTGGTCTTTTATGTGCAAAGCGAGGTGTTTTATGTGAGGAAACATCCAGCCAACCTGACTTGCTTGCCATCTATAGTGGAGCAGCAGGCTAGCAACAGAAATATCTCACAAGGCTCCCAAATGTGTAGCTTGGGAGGGCACTTAATCCTGCAAGCAGGACTGTGTATGTGTACCGTATGTCTTTGATTGCACGTCACAGAGCTTTTGAACACTTCTTTCCAATGGCAACTGAAATGAGAGGCACTTTCAACTCTTAGCCAGGAAGGGGTCTCTCTCTTGGTTAGTCTTGTATAGTTGGAAGGGACCCCGAGTCACCTTGAGCTGCAATGCAGGAATCTCAGCCAGATCATACATGACAGGTGGCCATTGAAGGAGAGTCCACCACCTCTCATGGGAGTCTCTTCTACTGGCAAACAGCTCTTACTGTAACTTATTTCCACATGAACCCCACCTTTTTTTCTCTGACAGACAATCTGGGACTAGGCACAGATTTCATATGTTTCCGTATAAATTTTGGGACAGATTGAAGCAACAGCTGGTATAAGTGCCCAAAGATTTAAGCACTCTCCTTCCTAACGCTGAAACATGTCTAATCATACCCCTCTCTCCCATACATTAAATCTGTGAAACTGATTCCTGGTTTTGGCCATTAGCCGGCAAAAATTGTTCGTTGAAGCTCAGAGAATTATCTCCAACTTTGTGACACTGGCAAAAATAAAAATAAAAGGTATGTTGAAGCCAGCCTTATGCCTGTTCCATCACACCCAGCCTCCATTTTGCTGTCTCTAGATGCCCTCTAGAGGATAAAGGCAGCAATGGGGTTGCAGGACACATATGCCATAAATATACCAGAGCCTTTTAACAAGAGGAGCTGCTCATCATGATTAACATGGAGTTCTGGAAGCCCCAGAGCTCGGCCTCCTGTCTTCTCCTATGCATTTGTTGTTCCTCTTTTTCTACTTGCTGCTGCCGTTAAAAATACATACAAAGCATTCACAATGTTCCAAGTTGCAGGCAGCGAGTGGATATTTGGAGCCTGAGGTTTCGCAGTGCCCGAAGGGATCCTGGTAGATTTAATGAGCCAACCGTATAGAAAACACATAATTCCTTGGGCCAAACAGTAATAAGTCTTGATGTAGTGATACTGACACACTGCTAACTGCTTGAGGAACAATTCAATTAAAAGCCACTACACATCTTGCTGCGAACATGCTCTTTGCTTTCGCAGAATGACTCTCTCGACCCCCGAAAACTCTCTAGGCTTGCATATGACTTCGCACTTGATGGTGAAGAATAGGCTTGAAGGCCTTTGAGGGCTATGCCAGGCCACTGCAATTTATCCTTGTCCCCATCTGCAGGAGAAGCACATTGAAGTGGGAAGGATAGAGTTCATGATTGGAGAATGAAAGCATTTCTATTTCACTCTCTGGTTGGTCTGTATATGTAGAAACATGTCACCCAAGTGTCCAGAATGCTTTCCTCACAAGAAAACTGACCCTGCAAGAGTCTACCCAGGAACTCATTCTTGGGAAGATAGAGAGCATGGAACTATGTATATATTATAGCACTTGGTCAAATCCTTCCTGCTGACTTTTATCTGAAGAGTTCTATGCCCCAGCAATTGCTATGGTGGGGATTATTGCTACTGGGGGTGGGGAATGGAATGTGTAAAATGGCCTCTTCAAATAATGACGGTAAGATGTGAAAGAAATCCAGAGTACTTACTGTATGTACATCTCCAGTCCAGGGGGTCTTATTTTATAAAGGAATATTTTGCAAGGGGAAAAAGACCCGTGCCTCATTGAGGGCCTTAAGCAGGCTTCCCACTGAAGTAATCCAATCACTGAAGATCAGAATTCTGCTAATTGGCTAAATATGCTCTAATGGTGGGTCACCAGATGGCCTACAAAGAAGGGCAAATGGCTTTAACTCTTGGCACCAAATTAATTACCAGTCATTACAATCACAGGGAGAGTTGGCTCCTGTAACTGCAGTTGTAAGACATCCATTTGCTCACCCAACGGCTCCCTCTGGTTCCTTTTTATGAAGTGGGTAGCTTTGCCTGGGTAGCCATGACAGCTGGCGACTGTTCTGACGGGCAGCAGAAAAAAAACCATTTTGCCTTGAGAAAGGGGTGGCACTTTCTGTTATCCTTCATGCTCTGAGAGACCCAAAACAGCAACGAGAACAGGGGTTTTTGAACATCAGGGAAATGAAAGAAGCAGCGCCAACACTCACCCATCTCGAATCAAATAGTACTTCAGGATCTCATCAGTCTTGGAGGTAGGGGTGGCAAAACAGCTCTCCACTAATGTCTCAAGGCCACTCACGTGCACCAAGGGCTCAATTCCAAAATACAGAGAATCTCGGAGTTTAAGGGTGGGGCGAGCATCTCCGTAGGCCTCTTCAAACTCATTGTCTTTGAATATCTCGAGGGTAAAGGGGAAGACCCCCCGATTGCGGCTCACGATCTCAAGAGGCGAGTTCTTCACGTTGGGGACGTAGCCCTCTGACATGGTGTAGTGGCGAGGGAATTCACAAGTCACAGGGATCAACAGCTTCCCTGTGCGGACAATGATGTCGCCATTGCTGCCAGGCGTTTGCTTGGGCAAGCCAGTCACCATATTGGTAGCGATGATTTTGTCATTTACCACCTGGGGCAGAGAAGGAAAGAGAACGTTGTGAAGCCAGATGGACGAGGAAATATGTGAAGAGGAACAATTCTATTATGACTGGGTCTGTGTGAGTGAATCTGCAAGAGTGCAGGGGGAGAGGGACAGAAATCAGCTTCTGTGGGAGCAGAAGACAGCGTCCTAAGAACAAGAAACTCTACAGTACTGTCAAAATTTGCTTTTAAAAATCATAATTATTATTTTATTTTATTGAATTTATATACCTCCCTTTACCCAGAGGTTTCAGGGAGGTTCACAGAAAAGATCAACATAAAAGCCACAATATATATAATCAAAATAAAAACAACCCAATAACGCCCGCCCCCCCAGCGACATTTTAAAAGGGCATAGGATGTCAATCAGATCAACCAAAGGCCTGGTTAAAAAGGAATGTTTTTGCCTGGCACCTAAAGGTGTATAATGAAGGCGGCAGGCAAACTTCCCTGGGGAGAGGATTCCACAGATAGGGAGCCACTGCAGAGAAGGCCCGTTCTCATGTTGCCACCCTCCAGACCTCTCGAGGAGGAGAAACACAAAGAAGGACCTCAGAAGGTGATCTCAGGGTCTGGGTAGGTTCATATGGAAAGAGGCGGTCCTTGAGGTATTGTGGTCCTGAGCCATTTAAAGTTTATAGGTCAAAACCATCACTTTGCAGGTGGACCAGAATCGGTATAATATGCTCAAACCATCTTGCTCCAGTGAGCAACCTGGCCGCTGAATTCTACACTAGCTGAAGTTTCCAAAGCATCTTCAGAGGCAGTGCTATGTATAACGTATTGCAGTAATCTAACCAGAGCATAAGGTAAAGGTAAAGGGACCGCTGACCATTAGGTCCAGTCGTGGCCGACTCTGGGGTTGCGGTGCTCATCTCGCTTTATTGGCTGAGGGATCCGGCATACAGCTTCTGGGTCATGTGGCCAGCATGACTAAGCTGCTTCTGGCAAACCAGAGCAGCGCACGGAAACACCGTTTACCTTCCCGCCAGAGTGGTACCTATTTATCTATTTGCACTTTGACGTGCTTTTGATCTGCTAGGTTGGCAGGAGCATGGACCGAGCAACGGGAGCTCACCCCGTCGTGGGGATTCAAACCGCCGACCTTCTGATTGCCAAGTCCTAGGCTCTGCGGTTTAACCCACAGTGCCAGCCGCGTCCTAACCAGAGCATAGACAACAGTAATTAGGCTATCCCTGTCCAGATAGGGGCATAGCTGGGCCACCCGCCAAAGCTGATGGAAGGCACTCCAGGCCACTGAGGCCACCTGAGCCTTGAGTGGCAGCAAAGGATCCAGGAGTGCCCCCAAGCTACGAACCTGCTAAAAAAAACCATGTTTCTAGTCTGTATGCTAACCAAGATAAGAGGGAAAGTGTGTGGGCATGCTGAAATGTTAGGGATGGCAAAATAAGATTTCCAGTGGTTGGTGGATGGTTAGCGAAACAGGTATGGAATATGGAATAGAAGGGAAATAGAAATTTCTCCCAAATTTCAGAACTGAATGTGTGTCAGTAGCTATAAGGAAAAAAAGAGAGTAATCACTCCAGCTGTGATAATTTTCATTAAAAAGCTTGTGAGAGGCACAATGCTGAGAACAGGATACTGGATTTGACGGGTGTCTGAGTGATCCAGCAGGGCTCTTCTTATGTACTTTAAAAATACATATGAACCTTACTTTAAATGTACTTTAAACACAGAAAAGAGAGTGGAAACCCAATTAAATAGCTATAAGATCAGGAGCGACTGAGGAAGCTGAGAGCTGGTGTCATTATTCTGCCAGCCAACAAAGGGCAGCTTCAGTCTCCTCTGTTGCCAGGTGAATAACAAACTATATTTTCTTAAAAACTAATTTTAACAGAGGTGTTTCTTGTTCTTTTGCTTATTTCCTATGCTGTTGGGTGTAAGTGTGTGGCTGATACTGAAATCTAATATAAAAGAAACACTCATTCCTGGAATTGTTCTGGAAATGTTGAAGTAAAACCAATGTAGATTTGCAGTGTCAGTGTGCTCTTGAGAATATTCTTACATACACCAGAATTACACAGATTCAATGTTATAGGATTGATAGTCTCTAATGGAGATACATCCTTCCAGCCAACAGGAAAAAGCTAATATTCATACGTACATCTATAGTGGTACCACAGGATTTCAGGGAGAAGATGATGTTGACATGTGTTCCATTGGATACCCCTTTGCAGGAACCATTGATGAGTGAGAGGTCCATCCCTCCAACTAGATCCTTAGGGATGTTCACCTCTATGGAGGTAGATCTGCATAGGACAGGGACTGTAAGAAAGAGCAAATCTAGTGAGTGAGCTGGAAATGAAACTTAGAGAAGCTGCATGAGTCCTCCTTTGATGCCTCTTTTATCTGCAGCAAATGCTCCCTGATATAGGTTCATCTTGCCTGGTGGAAACCTGGCTTTGATCTGCCGGCTTGTAAAATGTGATGATTATTTTAAGCTTTAGATTCAGCTTCTTTAATCCCCCAGAGATTTGTCTGTCTTCTCTACTGTGACATCCTCACCCCTCAGGATGAGAGCTTAACTGTGCTTACATTGTATTTCTGAGATCTAGTAGTGTCATGTGCACTTTTGTGATGATTCAGTATTAGAGGGAGGTATTTTATTTTTATCCTAATCTTCCACAAATCAAGATCGCTTCCAGATGGAAACTCTCCTCCATTTGTGGCGATGCTGCATATGGCTAGCATTGCATTGGCACCGATAACCTGATCTTCACAGATTAAGAAATTGCCAGACTACCATTGTAGCATGAAGGCAAGAAGATATATTATTGTATATATGAATAATGGAAAATAAATATATCACTGGCCAAGAACTGTGAAACCAATGGCACTGTTTTATTTCATATTTACCTCTGAGAGAACATGTCTGGAATTCACTGACAACACATAGAACATTCTGGAGAGATCCCTTGGGGTAAACTGTATTTGATGGATTCCTACACACACACACACACACACCAAGTTTACTTTAATTTATGTATCTTACACTTGGCACTTATTTTGTTATATAATTAGACAGATGAAATGTTTATTAATCTTGACATGTACTTGACTGATCTGCATTGTATTGTTGTATTTTGTTTTTTAAAAGTCATTGTCATTTTAAAAACTGAAATAAAATGCCTGTTTGTTTGTTTGTTTTAAGGCACTGTGAAATGAGTAAAACAGAAAGTTTGACAAAAGACTAACGGCACCTCTCCATGCGGTGTGACAAGCTACTTAAAGAAAGGAGGAGAATTCTGTGACATAGCCTAGCCAGCTGTTCGCGACAGAGTGAGCTCCTGTTGCTCGGTCCCTGCACCTGCCAACCTAGCAGTTTGAAAGCACGTCAAAGTGCAAGTAGATAAATAGGTACCGCTCTGGCGGGAAGGTAAACGGTGTTTCTGTGCACTGCTCTGGTTTCGCCAGAAGCGGCTTAGTCATGCTGGCCACATGACCTGGAAAAACTGTCTGCGGACAAATGTCGGCTCCCTTGGCCAGTAAAGCGAGATGAACGCAGCGACCCCAGAGTTGTCTGTGACTGAACTTAACGGTCAGGGTCCCTTTACCTTTACCTTTTTAAAATTTAAAAGGTCAAGCAAAAAAAACTATATTTGGATAGCACAAGCCCCTTGTGTGAGCCTAAGCAGCTTTTTGGATGTAGGCCAGTGTCTGTGTCAGTTTTGCATAAGGTTACATTATCTTTCTATCTCATGAGTATTCTGGACAGGCAAAGAGCTGCTGGCCAATTTGTCTCCTGAAAGGATTTCTCTGGGAGTACATTGATTATTCAGCCTCACCCCATATTGCTGACCTTAGTTATATATGTGAACATTTTACTACTAGGCAATACCACTTATCATCAACTATCCATGAGGGTGTTGGATTATTCTGGCCCTTAGAGTGGTGTCTGGAGAATAAAGTGTCCTTTAAGAATCAAAAGTTGCCCATCATCCTATATACAATGAAGGAACATTTTCAAGGAATCTTGCCCCATCCTCACAAATATCCTGATGGGTAAAAGTTCCAGTTTACTACTGACTGAGGCAGAAAACTCACTTCATATTTACCCATTTGAGTTTAACTAGTTTGTGTTCTTTGTTGCCATCACTATACATTCTGTGAGGAAACATTTGAAGGAAAACAAACACACTGTCATCCATATTTAGGGAATTTTCTGAAGCACAATCTTCACTGTTTCACTGACACATAATTTTCAAGCTTGAGTGATGAACAGACTATAAATTATTTTTAGTGTGGAAAGGTACAGATTTATGAATCCTGCTAATGTAACAGTTAGCAGGCATTGATTTTGCCAGGTTTTTCAGAATCATGAAAACAGGTGCTGCCCCCATTTAAAGTTGATGCATTGATTTCTGACTCCTGGTATCTTGGATAAAATACAGTTTTCTTTTTCCTCAAATGTTACTGTTCAAAACTTTTTAAACCATCTGCCCAGTCCAGGAAATAGTTTTGATAAAAAAACAATATGCTGAAGTGTGCACACATATGTGCAGAAAAGTAATATTCCTGCATTTCCCTCCTGGCTTCATCAAGGGTGCTGTTGTGACTGAAGCATACATAATTTTATTTGTTCATGCTCAAGGTGGCTTACAACGTGAAAAAAAATACGTAAATGCAACATTACAAAAGTAGCCATAAATAATAAATAAAACATCAGAAAATGGACAACCAGACTGAACAATTTCCACAAAAATCACCATTTCCATATAAATCTAAAATAAAGTTAAAAAACCAACAGCAGCAACAGCAAGCATACCCACCACAACCCACCCCGCAACAACAACACCACAATCCAAGAAACAGAAAATGAAAAGGCAAAGGTTCTCTGTCTTTCAGCAACTGCTCTGGTAGATACACAAGAGAGAAGAGGAATCTATGTATCCCAAATACCAGAGAACAAACCAGAAAGCAGGAGGTTGTCGGGGGGTGGGGGGGCGAAGGGAGAGGCAAACATTACTTTCAAGCTTCTGAGGGACAATTTGGAAACCATTTCCAGTAATGCGTGGCAGATGGATAACTTTGCATAGATGAATTGATCAGCTCACAGACCTGATTTAGGACATTTATTAAGTCGCTCAATGAACTCTTTGATAAATGAGCATGCTTGGTGCTTTTCTGCTGTTTGGATCCCAGTTTGAGGGCCTGTCTCTCATTAATCAAGTAAGGCAAGGGCAGAAAATATGTATATCTTATTGGAAGCAATTTTTAAAGGGGGGATATAAGAAAGTGTACTATCCAGACCTCTTTTTTCCCTCGTCCAGCCCTACAGATGAAGGCCAACTTATGTTTCTGAGGCAAATTATAGAATGACAGAATCTTAGCGTTGGAAGGGACCCTAAGGGTCATCTCGACTAAAGCATCCATGACCGATGGCCATCCAAGGTATGAGAGAAGAAAGACTATGTTGCACCTGTAGCAGCAAAACCAGATGCCTTCATCTGCCCCACCTCCAATAAAACATGTCTCTCCCATACCATTCTCTATAGCCATAGCAGGCACTGTAACTCTCCCAACAGTTTGACTTTACCCCTGAAGGCGCACTCTTGCCAACATTCACAAGCACTGTCTTTGCGCCCCCTCCCCTCTCCATATCCGCTGTCCCACAAACGTACATTACTTTCAGTGCTTCCTCAAACGTAAACAATTCCTAGCTGATCAAGGAATTTAATAACTCTCTCTTCAGCAGTATTAAGGGTAATGTTGACTACTAATTTACAGGAAGAGTGTAAAGTGAAACATTAATTTCCAAACTGCTTTGGATAACTGCTGGCCTTGTTACCAACTATAGCACCATGCACCTAATTAGAATTAATAAAAAGCTGTATTTATGCAGTTGGAGGCAGGGTCTACATTTTATGTTCCCATAAACTATTGTATGTGTGGTCATAAATGTGTTTTGCTTAATAAAGTGCAGTGGCTGCTCCTTAAACACATTTGTTCTGGAGGACAGCATGTGAGAGTCTTGCAATTGCACTAGATACTCAAGCTGATGAGCCCACTACTGGGCATATGAGACATTTATCCCACGTATTGTCCTTGCAGAGGAAACTACTGCAGGATGAACCCACCAAAAGCGGGGCAGCATAATTTCACAGGTGGGTCAGCATTTTGCTGTGACAGGCTGGTGTTGGATACTGTGTTTGCCCATCAAAATGGGAGGTCGAGCAGGAGTGAAGTGTAGCAGAAGAACCACTGAACAAGGGAAGAGGGATCCATGGTGACCACACAGCCAAGACAAGTGTTGAGGAACCAAAACTAGGTCAGGGAACATAACTGAGATCTTCCCCAATGTACAGGGCTAGATGGAATGGGTTGATCTGTTGATCTGACCTCAGCATTTAGGAGGATCTCCTTCAAAATATATTTCATTTCTAATAGGATGGGGGCAAAGAAAGCAGGTGGTGCATTTGCTCCACATCAACGTTCTCCTGCACCAGCCACAATGTACTATTTGTTGCTAGCGATCTCCATTGTCCTACCTTGACAAGTGTGGTTGTCATCTGACAAAACAAGACCGCGTGGGCACTCACACTGGTAGGTGTCTTCCACCGTGACGCAAACATGGCTGCAGCCCCCATTGTTGTTGTGGCAACCTTCAATTTCTAGGATAGAGATAACAGTCAGACACACAAAAATCTTTGCTCAACCCAGATCGGCTTGAGATGAAAGTCTCTATCTGCCCATAACAAGGGGATTTTATAGCAATTGTATCTGTGGTATAAACCTTCATACGTTATGCATTAACTTTTGCAATCATTCTGGGCAAAATCTTTTCTAAGCCGCATTGATATGAATGGGAACTGTGGAAGAACATGGATGGGAATTATGAATAGAACATGAATGGGAAACTGTGACTATGAATGGTGGAAGAACATGAGTAGGAAGTAGGTCGTGCTTTTTGTGCAGCTCTCATTAATTTAAATGGCACTTGTACATAAGACTTTCTCTGTTGGATGTTACAGCAATTTGGAGGAAGAGGCAGCAAACAGCACACACACTTCCTGCTCCCTGTGAATCAATGTACTGTCCTAATCTGCAGAATCCCACAATTTCTCAGTTTTGTGTGTTTTCTTAAAAAAAGCAGTTTTTAATATTTTAAAATGTGTAAAACCTAGGCTTCACAACTTGTGTTTTTAAGTGTACAGTGGTACCTCGGGTTACATACGCTTCAGGTTACAGACTCCGCTAACCCAGAAATAGTACCTCAGGTTAAGAACTTTGCTTCAGGATGAGAACAGAAATCGCACGGCAGAAGCGGAAGGTCCCATTAGCTAAAGTGGCGCTTCAGGTTAAGAACAGTTTCAGGTTAAGAATGGACCTCTGGAACGAATTAAGTACGTAACCAGAGGTACCACTGTACAGTTAACTGTTAAATGCACGCAAAAAGGAGATCCTGCCAAGTTTACAGTTGGTAGCAAATACAGACCAGCTACCATTTTAAGGCAGCCTTTTCCAAGTTAGTGTCCTCCAGCTAGTTTGGGCTACAACTCCCATCCTGCAGGCTGGCGCTGATGGGAGTTGTAGTCCAAAACATTTGGAGGGCACCAGGATGGGAGTGGAGAGTGGGCCTTGGGGCAATCTCTGTACATACGGAAAGAATGAAAAATTTCCAGGTAGTTTTCAAAACATCCAAGGCATTTCTTAGACTGACAAGATCTTGGCAGTTCAAATGAGCTTTAAATCAGTGCCCATGTGTTAGGCTAGGAAACCCCACCACTCTGAGATTATGACCATTAAAACCAATGGTATCCTTTGAAGATTTTGTGGCTGTGCAATGGATGTTGGGGTGGTTGCAAAGTGAATTATATCTTTCCTGGAATGACTCATAAACCACATGGCATATCAGTAAATATGAAACCGACCAACTCGATTGTATATTGCTCAATAAATTCCTTGGAGAGCATTGAACGCATGAAAAATGTCACCTATTACCTCAGAGTCTTAAAACTATCTATATAGCAAGCACAAATTTCCCAACGTTTACTGAAAAGGAAACAATTACTCTTTCTAGTAAAAACAAAACAAAAAAATAATGATTAAAAAGGATGCTACCAGTGCTTTCCCCCCAAAGGCCAGAATGTTAGATTATGAAGATACAAATATATTATTGATGGATGTGAAGAGGATGAACTAAAGGGCCTTCTTCCTTGGTTACACCTGTGGTCCCTCCACCATTCATTCTCATACAACAACCCAGGGCCAAGCTAGACCCAAATATATATCTCCCAATTAAAAAAAAAAAAGTGCCAGTTTTTTAAAAAAGTGGAAACAGCATTGGTGGAAAGGGCCAATAATTACTGGCATAGCACCAATAATTTACCCAAGGTAAACAGCACTTTCAGAAGAGATTTTATTCTTGGAAGTTTAATCAGGGAGACGGAAGATTAAATCCCACTTTCCTGCCTGCTGCAGTCCCAAAGAACTGATGCTGGTTGCATTTATTTAAAATCTGCATGGCAAATGTAAAGTGGCACTTAACATCATATGACATTGATTTCCAGCTGGGAGGCTATGGAGGAAGTGTTTAACAATACAGGGCTCTGCTCTGGTACTCTAGTTCCTATTGTGTAGTTCACATTTCTGTCGTTGTCCCATTCAACTAGTTGTTATTTTTAATGAAGACAACTCATGCTGTAAGACAGGGATGGGAAACATGTGACCTTTCAAATGTTTTGTTGGAGCCATACATACATCATTTTATTTGTATGCCAGCTTTCCATAACCAAAACCATGCTTGAGGCTGCTTACAAAATGAAAAGAATTACACAAACATAACAAAAGTAGTCATAAGTAATTAATAAAGCATCAAAAAGTACACAAGCAAGTTGAACAATTTCCACATAAACCATGATTATAGAAACAAAAAGATACAAATAAATAGCATCAGTAACAGCAACACCCACCCCAACGAAAACCCCTAAACAATACCCCAGCCAAAGAGTCTGTTCACCAGCCTCAGCTTTTGTAGCTGGAGTCAGTCCCAGGTGTAAAAAAGCATGCAAGACCTGGATCAAGGGATCCTTACTCACCCTGGCAGGTCTTTCCATCCTTCCCTAGAATTCGCCCAACTCCACATTCACAACGGTAGGAGTTCTTGAGGTTCACACAGAATTCACTACAACCTCCGTTATTCTGTTCACATTCATTTTCATCTGTGGGGAAAAACAGGAGCCACAAATCCACAACTTAACAATATGAAGCTGGTGATTAAGAAGTGTAATATGCAAGCCAATTGCTCCATTAATGAAATCTAAATCAGGGAATCATTTTTTTCCCCCTTTAGGTGGCACAGGCTAGTAGTAAGGATCACCTTACATGTTATGAAAAGACAGCCAGGATTCTGAGTCTAAAGAAACAGCCGTGTTCTCACTTGCATTACACACATGGGGATGGGCACACAAAAATAAACGGAAGAGTTATATGAACCAGATGTCTGTGCCATCGTTTGTTTTGGGGTGAATCTTCTACATGACACAGCACACATGGAGTATACTGAGTACTTTGGGTGCAGCTTGAATCTTATTGAATCTGGACTCAGCTACATTAGTCAAAAAACAGTGTTTTGGATGCATTATAAACACGCAACACCAAATGGCGGTGGAGGGAGGGAATTCTAAGCAATCTTCCATAGCGTTTTTTTTCTTTTGTTATAACGATTTAATTTCTGACTTATTTATAGTGGGTTTTTCCTGTGTGTAGATCAACCCCTATATTACATTTTCTGTAGAGTAATATAGAGGAAAATCTGCTTAATAAATGCTGGAAATCCCTGTACCCAATTAAACTGTCAGAAAAGATGAAGGGGAAATCAAGACAAACCAGACCACTGATTCCTAGATGAAAATATGCTATAGTTTTTCAACTTCCATGAAATTCCAGAGGGCTGAGAAGAGGGAGCTACTCAGCGTATTCTTGAAAGTGATCTTTTTCTAGTTAGATAGCTCAGTGAAACCTTTCCAGGGCATTTTAATTCAATGCGGTTTTTTGCCATCCCGTTTGTCAGCTATGTGCATAAAGACTCGGAATTAGGCCAGATTTCATAGGGTGAGTGGCGGAGATGTTATTAGGACAAGATATTCATTAGTACCCTATTATTAGCATTCTATTAATTAGTAGTGCTTACTAGGCAGCAAATCCCATTGAAATCAGTAGGAATTAATTCTGAGTAGTGTTAATTCTGAGCACTGTTAATCAATGATGAAACCCAGAGAACCTCTATACTTGAGTCTATCCTTGGGTGGAATTCCATTACATATTCACAAATTCAGGTTGCTCAATTAAAGTTCATTTGGTGTTCTTGCATAACAAATGGGCTTTCCCTTAAAAGGATTCTTTGAGAGAAGGAATGTGATGCAGAAAAATGTAGAATAGGTAAAGGTAAAGGGACCCCTGACCATTAGGTCCAGTCGTGGCCGACTCTGGGGTTGCGGCGCTCATCTTGCTTTATTGGCCAAGGGAGCCAGCGTACAGCTTCCGGGTCATGTGGCCAACATGACTAAGCCGCTTCTGGCGAACCAGAGCAGTGCACGGAAACGCCGTTTAACCTTCCCGCCAGAGTGGTACCTATTTATCTATTTGCACTTTGACGTGCTTTCGAACTGCTGGGTTGGCAGGAGCAGGGACTGAGCAACGGGAGCTCACCCCGTTGTGGGGATTCGAATCGCCGACCTTCTGATCGGCAAGTCCTAGGCTCTGTGGTTTAACCCACAGCACCACCTGCGTCCCCCCGCCATGGAAACAAATTAGAGTGAATGCTCAATAAATAGCTGGCACCATCTAACCTCCCCACAAACTTTGCATATACAGATCAGGTTGAACGCTCCGTAAACATCAGAATGACGAATACTCATCTGAAAGCAACCCCAGATCTTCAAAAGCTTTTTAAAAGAAGAGCTGTTATTTACCAGAGCTCACGCTAGTAGGCAATGTGGCATTAATCCAAACTTTACAAGTCATAAATAGCTTGAAGATTGCTGCAGTAACTTAAGAAACTTGAAGAAAGGAATTTCAGAAAGAGCTGCTGAGAATTAAGATTCATAGCATATAACCAGGGAACCGCATGTTGAATGAAAAGCTAAACCAGTTAACTTGATTGATGAAAGACCTCTCAGATGATGGTGCTCAATGCTGTGGTAGCATTGCCAGACCCCAATCCGGCTAGATTCCCCAGTATCCTCAATTAGGAAACAGGGAATGCAGAAGGACAACTTGAGAATGTGGGAAGGAGGAAGACAATGGTTTTTGAAATATACCTGAAGTTGTTATTATGCAGAACTCAGGAAACTAATTAGGAAGGCGAGTAAGCCTCAGAGATCTCAGGCAAAAGAATGAGAGGATTGCATTAATATAGTTTCCCTAATATATGCATTTTAATCCATGCTTATTTGCTGGAGAACTGCCTCACAAAATAAGCAGAAGTTGCCAATTTCAAATTGCAGCTGCGTTTCAGTTCACAGACTGGTTCATGAAGTGCAAATTAGGTATTATTATTATGAAACAGGCACTGCTGCTTCTTGCAAAGGAGGCAGGGCCAGCTGGGCACTCTTGGGAGCACTGCCTCTTTGGCTTCCACTGCTTCACCTTGCCTCATGAATGGGCCGGCCCTGGTGGCTGCAGGTACATAAGAGACAACCTGACCCTGAGTGAGAGAGGACTTGAACAGATCTGCAGAGGAAAAGTCTCGAATGAGAGGCGGGTGTGTGATGGGATTGTGAATATGTATGAGACTAGCTTTACACTAACCTTGAGATGTTATTTGGTCTTTGCAAGCAAAGCTGCTGCCCTTTGACTGGCTCTAAGCATTTACTGTTGGACACTGAGGTTTTAGATGCTTCCGCACAGTCTCCGAGATGCCAGGATAATTAAGCCATGGATGTAATCATGGCAGCATGGAAACAATGCACAGCCCTCCTAATTAGCCCCCAAAATATTGCCTTCATCCACTTTCCTCCTCTGCAAGCTGAGATCTCTTCGGGTTTTCCAAGGGTGCAACAACAAACTTAAGTGCAAACAGTTTGTGCTGGCTCAACACCCAGTTTAGTGATTGCACATTCATTGGGTTGGGGTTGCTGCAATTCAGTTTTGGTAATTGCTCTGGGCCAGTATGGACCGTATTTGAAAAGTCTGATCCAGAGCTGGAGCACAGCCACACTCTCCACTCCCCATATGGAGACAGCAAATCTGTTTGTGCCCTATGCACATAGGACTTTACACATTTGGACTGTCCACATGGTACACTGGCTCTATGGTTAGAGCAGATCTCCTGAATGCCTGTGCCCATGCTGTGCCAGAGAGAGGAAAGGGAGATTACTGGGAAAGCACCTAGACCTTAAGAGAAATTGGTTTATTCCAACCTTTGACTATTGAACTGTTCCTATTCTGTACAGTATTTTGCACAGGTCTATTCACAAAGGATTTACAGTATGGGTAGCTAAGATTCACGACGCAGTGTATTTTTAAGATGTTTTCTTTTTTTTTACTCCTACATTCTTGTTTGTTTCCTAACTTTTTCCTCTCTGTTTCTGTAGTGGTTGTTTTCCAGACCATTCTCATACACTGATTATTCCCAATGGCTTGTATTTCCACTAGCAAGTGGCAAGCATGACTTGTGAAAAGTCCATCCAACACTCTGAAACTGATCGTGAAAAACAATGAACAGAAATATGAAACAGCAGAGGGGAAAACCTTCAGCTACTTGTTCATTTCTTCTCTCTCTCTCTCTCTCTCTCTCTCTCTCTCTCTCTCTATCTCTCTATCTCTCTTTCTCTCCCCACCGCCTTGATACTTCCCTTTTGCCTCTTTTGTCTCCACTTCTGCGTCTTTCCTTACCAAGGCAGGTCTGTCCGTCAGGTCCCAATATTGTTCCTAAAGAGCATGTGCAGTCTCCAGTGTCCAAACAAGAGCCCCGGCAATCTATCATGTCACAGATGTCGTAGAAATCTGCAGAATTACAAAGGAGGATTGTTAAAGATACAGGAGTAAATCGTGTCCTCCCTAAAAGAGGGCACGTGTTGCGGTGAGACCTGGAGACTGTTGTGGGTGGGTTTGATTGGTCAGCCACAACATCGGATTGGTAGGTCCCTCGATGTTGGGTTCAATCTGACCAATGGGGCGCAGTCCAAATGGACCGAGGGACCCATGCACGTGACCCATGCACGTGACCCATGCACGGCTCATGCATTTGGAACACTCGCCCACCTCTCCCTATATTTAGAGCTGTGCGCTTGACCTTTCTATGCCATTGTGTGTTTGTCGTTGGGACGGGGCACGGCAGGAGTTTCCCCACTTGGCTGATTGGCTGTTGCCATTTGGGTTTCGCCTGCCGCGTAGCAGATCGTCACAACTTGTAGGGTTGCGGATAGGCACTGGTTCAGGTGATAGGGATGGGGGAGCAGTCTCGCCATCCCTATGTGAAGGGTTTTCCGTTAAAGGAATCTAGGGACTCAACTGGTCTGGTCAAACTCTGAGAGGGGGTTGTGCCCGTACCTGAGTCCAGGGGGGCATCTGGTGGTGAACAGAGTCTGTACCCGGCTTTTCGCCTACCCAGGTTTTCACCCTTGGCTGACCTATGCTGGTGCCCTGGGTCAGCGCTGCCTGCAAGGGTGCAGGGAACTAGTCGAACCAGAGCCTATACAACCACTCACCTTCTGTAATCAATAAAGTTGTGGCCTAAATTCTGCCAAAAACCAAAACTAAAATTTGAGTCATGTGAGAATTTATTTAGTGGAGAGGTCTCTGGGTCTGAACATGCAATTACCTTCCATGTTCACAGTTACATTAATAGGGTGCAAGTGAAGGGCTGAACTAGATGCAACAGTGCTAAGCTTGTATGTCTGAATCAGGCACTACACCAGTAGATATCTGAAGATGGCTACCTTACCTCCTCTGTGTCTATTCTTATCCAGGCTAAGCATACCCAACTCCCTCAACCTTTCCTCATAAGGCTTTGTTTACAGATCCTTTATCAACTTGGTCACCCTCCTTTGCTCACGTTCCAGCTTGTCAATATCCTTCTTAAATTGTGGTGGAAACAATTTTGTAACACACGTTGGAAAGAATATTTCTGATGATATATTCTGATTATTCTGGGTTGCGTTGTTTTGTTTTCAGCAGGGATGATTCCTCAATATCAGTTGAAGCAGTTGGATTTGAAAAGCTCACCCAGCTGAAATTCTCTGACTGGTATGGCTATTAAAAACACTGGTGCCCAAATACTGACCCTCCCTGAGCCATGGAGTCTGTATTGATTTGATTCTAGTACTGGCAAAACCCTTAATCTGTGCAACTTCAGTTTGATAAGGTTTTGAGCATGAAAGGAGAAAATCAATACATTTGTCTTCAGGAAAACATTTTCCAAGGTGAGGCATTTTTTAAAGGTGACATACAGTTTGCATCTTTCGCATTCCTGATTTGCAGGAATCCCAAATAGCTCCAACATTTATTTGCAATAGAAATCCAGTTGTCAGTGCCTCGGGATTATTTAACAACTCACAGATTTTATGATTGGAGGCGATGGCTGAGGGCACGTTGTATGGCCTTGTGCATTGAATAAATCAAACCGACATGATCACTGTATCAAAGCCAGTCCGTGTGTATTCCACTTTCAAGGTAAGAGCCAGAACAGAAGGCTGAATTTGTCGTCAATGCAATAAAAATGATTTTTTATTATCTGGGAGGAAAGGAGTGTTTTATTCAGCTTTTAAGAAAATTAACTCCTTTCTTTTAAAGTGTCAGTTTAATTCAGTCAGTTGTACAAGAAATGTGTTCAGTAATAACATCTGTCAATTGAGAGCAGTGATTCAGATTAGAAAATAGGCCAGTATTTAAAAAGTTACTTTAGGTGCTCTCGAAGCAGGGATGAGAAATCTATTGCCCTCTGTGTCCTGTGGGACTCTTAACTCTAACCAGTTCCCGCCAGCATAGTCAATGACCAGGGATGATGGGAATTGTAGTCCAGCAACATCCTAAGGAATTCAGGACAGGATATATTATCCCCTACCATCCAAATTGTAAACTCACAAACCCGGTGAGGTGGATTTCACTGAGAGCTAGGAAAATAACACAAGGTCACTTAGTGAGATTCATGGTTGGGCATCAATTTGAACCCAAGTCTTCTCCAGTTTAAGGGCAAATTGATAGCATGTTGGAGATGCATGATCAGATTTCATAGGAACAGACATCTTCCCAAAACACATAGCAGATTTGTGTCTCAAATGTGCAGCAACTTAAACACTTACAAAAAGAGCCAAAACAACAGAGCTGTATAAAACACACAAGACAGCTAAAAGCAAGCAATCTACAGTATCTCATGAAGTAATCCAGCAATGCAAAAGCTTTCCTTAAAATAAAGGTCTTGGCCACACCTCCAGGAGTTCACAAGGGGATGAAGCCAGCTGCCTTTCTCTAGGAAAGAGTTCCAGCAAGAGGATGCCACTTCAGAAAGGCCTTTCTAGCCCCACCATAAAAAAGGAGGCCTCCTCAGCTGATTGCAATGCACAAGGGGGAATTGTTTTCCAGAAGAAATAAATTACTAAAATAGATTTCTCAGTGATAAACTATAAATACCAATGAATAACGCAACAGGAAGCTATTAAATAGATTGCCTGGGGATGCAGAGATGAACTGGAAATCCAGCTTTAAATTGCTTGAGGAAGGAGGGGGAGCTTTGTTCTATATTTTTTTATATATGAATGAACACAGCTTTATATGAGAAGTCCCCACGGTGAAATCAACAACTGAACGAAGGGATTTTCCATACATGACAACACAGGTACCGTAGAACTTTATTTAAGTTGTAGGCATTATATTATATGCCCAAGGGGAACCCCTCTTTACAACTAAAGAAGTTTTGGGGGCCACTTACGCCCACAGTAGGCATGGAAGCAGACACTGGGCTTGGTTAACTGGTAGACATAATAGCCTCCTGGGCAGGCCTTGACCTCAACCGTTGTGTTCCACATGCAGCAGTTTCCATTGAAGGTGGCACAGGCCTGCCTCTGGACAATGCCATCTGACTCCTGAGGGTGGCTACCATTTAGCCATATTGGAGCATGGGTACCACAGTGGTTTTCCGGGATGCAGAAGGTGGGCATGGCATCGCCAGCCATCCCAGTGAAGCGGTACCATTCCCCGTCAACATGGCTGTCACACTCGGGCTGGTCGTGAGAGCCGTTGAAGTGGTGTTCGGTATTCCTCCAAGGTTCATTCAGGCTGATGTAGGCAGAGCAAGGATCAAGAGCTGCAACATGGAAAGAAGAGAGAGCCCCGTGGCGATCAAAAGAACAACAGTATACATGCCGGGAATATGTGGGGAAAGACTTGTGAAACGAAGATTAGCAAAAGACAAATCAGTCGCCTAAGGCAGAGAGGGCCAAATTCTCTATTTTGGAGCGCATTCTATCCATCACAAATTAACTCAGACCCAGGACTGACTCAGTTTGTGAGTCACAAACTGTCCTCAACCTCATTGTAAATCTGATGCCCACAAAGCAGGAAGATCTTCTTCATTGCAGAGCATGTGCACTCCAGGACAGCCTCCCATTTACAAGTTAAAGGTAAAGGGACCCCTGACCATTAGGTCCAGTCGTGACCGACTCTGGGGTTGCGGCGCTCATCTCACTTTACTGGCCGAGGGTGACGGTGTACAGCTTCCGGGTCATGTGGCCAGCATGGCAAACCAGAGCAGCGCATGGAAACACCGTTTACCTTCCCACCGGAGCGGTACCTATTTATCTACTTGCACTTTGATGTGCTTTCAAACTGCTAGGTTGGCAGGAGCAGGGACCGAGCAACGGGAGCTCACCCTATTGCGGGGATTCGAACCACCAACCTTCTGATCGGCAAGTCCTAGGCTCTGTGATTTAACCCACAGCGCCACCCACATCCCACATTTACAAGTTAACACCCATTAAATTACACATTACAAGCAATTCCATAAAAAGAGATGCAATCTCTCCCTTTATATACCCAGCCAATCGCTGTGCTCTGCAGGAGAGAGAACCTCCTGCAGATAACATCTCATCAGGAGGTCCATTCTGTATAATGTAGGAATTGGGCCTTTACCATGAGAGCACCTCCCCTTCAAAAGTCCCTCCTGTTAAACATCTCTTGTCCTTTTGGTGCCTGCTGATGGTCTCTCTTTTTCAGCAAGCCTTTTGTTCCAGTCTGTGTCTATGTTGCAATTGGTTTTATATATATATAATTGCTGTAATTGTTTTGTTGTTAAATCATTTCAAGATACTATAATGCCACCCATTTCCCCCTCCCCTTCCTTAGCAAACCATGAAAACCAACATCATTGATCTTGGTTAAAATTTAGTAGGGGCTCTGAGGGCTGCATAAAATGATCTCACGTACTGGATCTAGCCATTAGATTTATTTCCCATTTAAGGAGTGGGACACCCCACCAAACATCTTTTTTAATTCCCTACAATGGTCTGCTATTGGATTGATGTAGTTTCTGGCTCTGTTTGGGGAGAGGGCGTTGATAAGCAATGAAGGAACCTAGGACCCTGCAGATTTGCGGCTATTGCCAGCACACACCCCTGCTGAAATCCCACCCCCTGTGACGCACCCATGAGGGTGGAAAGTTCCTAGGGAGGAATCCCAGCAGTGGGCCTGTTTTTCCAATGGCACCTGAGATGGCTTTCCAGGGACACAGTATTTCATCCTACACGTTTTAATCAAATAATGCCTTTGGGTACCAAAGGCTACTCTTGTGACCTGGGACTATTTTCCAGCAAAGCAATATTATCCCCTACCCCACCCGGCACTATATTTTAATTTAAAAAATTATCATATTTTACAAATGGGGCTTTACAGTGCTGGCCCACAGTGCTGTTAAATTGCACTTAGAAATTGTCTTGAAATGTCTCTGTCTTATCCTGGGAGGCTGTCTTCTCTGTCACCTTTCCTTGCCCTGGGATATATACATTGGGCCCTTCCTCTTCATTCTCTGGCTTGCCTCCTGCCAGTAAGAAGAGATTAAAATAGGTCTCTAAGCTGCCGTTTCTTTGTGTCTGTGCTTTCTGCTAGGCAGAATGGTGCTCTCCTTGACAATGGTTCATGAGAGTGGCTTTGATCTCCCCAGTTCAGAGCAGAACACTTGACTCACGCTGCCATCGGGTGCAATGACTTGCAGTTCTCCCTCACCTTGCAAATTAATTTTCTACATACTTTCCGTTCCCTAGTGTTTAAAGGTCTTCATAGACCTTAAAGACCAGCCCTGGTCCTTGTTATGTTAATAATTTGCTTAGAGTTTGATACACACACACACACACACACACACAGAGAGAGAGAGAGAGAGAGAGAGAGCAAAAATGACATTCAAAACATGATAAAATATATACAAAACCAAAAAAACAACAAAAATGAAAACTGCAATAACTAAAACAGAAAACAGCAGCACCAATACTTTTATAGCCAAGGAAAGGTTTTGCATATAGGGATGCTTTCAGCTAGCAGTGGAAAGAATATAATGTGGTGACTTGGTGGATCTCAGTAGGCATCAAAGCCTAGAGGGTGTGGATGCCACCACAGAAAAGGACCTCCTGCGTGTTCCAAGCAACCTCCTTCTCCCTCTGATCTGCAGGTCTGGAAAGGACCTCATGGGAAGCTAGTTTCTTAGGGATGCAGGGCCCAGATGTTTTAAAGGTGATATACAGTACAAATCTGAGAGGTAACCACAAACAGTCAGCACAAAATAGATATAACGAAAGTGGTGCTACTTTCCTTGTGACCCTTCCTTCTTCATAAATGCACCACAGTTCTGGACCAGGTAAAGCTGATGAACTACCTTCAAGGGTGGGTTCTTTCCATGCCCTCCATCTCTGCTTGTGTCTCCTGTTGCAATAAAGTTCTCCTAACTGGATGATGGTGAGATATCTCATTTAAGCACCATCTATTTATTGATCATGCACAAGTGCTGTTGCCTGCAGTGGGAGCTTTGTGTATGTACAAAGGGCATCTGAGTCAACCTGTTCCTAAGAAGCAGGATTTCATAGAGATTTAAAGTGGAAGCCGCCAGAGAGAAGAATGTAATAAAAATATTCATTTCACTTTTCATCAGGCCTGTATTTAATCTTCCCCCAGCAGCTTCTGCAGTGAAAGTTTGCAGCTTAAATCTTTGCATATATTTAACACCTGATTAAGCACCAGTTAACCATGACTGGTCAGGTCCACCATTAAAGCAGGATTTATGCTAATATTTTTCTGACTAAGGCAAATCCATTACTTTTCACTATCCTCACTCTTAAAGAAGGCAATTGTTCTGGCTAGGCACACAGCAAAACTGAACAAATCAAGTTTTTCTACCTTTTGATGCTTTATTTCCCACTGGGCTTCTCCTGCTACTGTTGCATTATTTAACCCAAATTTTAGGAATTCTGCAATGTCTGTAGCACCATTTGAAAATAAGAATATGCATTTTAACCTAATGAGAAAACAACTTGGACACAGACGAACTGTGATTGCTTCACTTGCCTGTGATTATAGATATTGCAGTGGCTGCAATTCACACTCATCAGAATTAATGGACACGTTATGCAGGAGAATCCACAATTGATCTCCTGGCTTAAAAAGAAAAATCCACCTTGAAATGCAGCTCTGTGTATGTATTTCTCTGTGTCTGTGATTATGACATTTTCTTAATCAAAGTCAACATACACACAAACACACCATTCACAGATTTTGTTGCTCCATGGTGGGAAAATACACAACGCAATTATATAGCCAACATTGTGTGATGGTTTGAATGTTAGGCTCTCGGTGGATCCAAGAATGGGGTGTTGGTATCTGTTTGAATTTTAGCTCCTACCACTGGAATTTCTCAACATCACTACCACATTTGAAGTTATGCCTCAGAACCCAAATTAAGAATTTGGTGTTCCATGTATACCTGTGATTCAAAGTCCACCACAGAGCAGATTCTGTCTTAGTGGTGAATGGGAGCATGATAATCTCTTCTACAGATGCTGAGAAAGTGGGTGACATCCAAGAATCTTGGCCAACTTGAATAATTTGCTGGCTCAGTGAAACTGTTCTTCTTCTCTATCCTTAAGCCCCAAATTCCCAAGATCAGATTTGTGCACAGGGATGCAGGTGGAGGAGAGGAAGGAGAAGCCCTCAAAGCTTTTATGACAACGCCACGACGGTTTAGATTGGGGGGGGGATATTTCGATTTCTTGAAAGAATCCTATTTCATTTTCTTTCTCACAAGCAGAATACATTTCATCTTAGGACTTTTGTAGTCCTTTGGGAAAGGTGTAGGATATGGTTTAGGGGGCGTTGGTTCTCCCTTGCATGAAACAGAGAAGCAACTTAGAATCCAAGGCAGTAACTATCTCATTTTTAACCCACCCTCCGGACAGGGTACATCAAATATAAAAACCAAACTACAATATAATCATTCTGATCAAAAGCATGTAAAGTCAACCAGTATAGCCTCTAAAAAAAAGAAATCTAGGATTTAGGTTTAGGTGCCTGTGAGATTTACAGGGCAAACATAATATTTGGGGGAAGGCTCACATTCTCCCACCGGTAAGAAATTCAGGGCAAAGAGTGTTAGAGGAAATGCAAGATCCTTTTGCAATTGAAATGCAATGCTAACTCTGGACTATGTTCACTACAGCTCAGTTTGGCTGGGAAAAGACCTAAAAGGAGGGCAAAGTCACTGCAAGAACACTCACTGCCAAAGTGTCTAATAAATGGCTTTGCATCTACTTACCCACTGTGTTCTCCTGCAAGGGCTGTGCTTTAGCATGGAGGTACAAGGACAAAATGAGAAACAGGAACATCCCCCTCTGACCAAGGCCACGTGCTCTGTCAAAATAATCCCTTTTAAGCACGCAACGTGGGTTCACCTGTATTCTCTCTCTCTCTCTCTCTCTCTCTCTCTCTCTCTCTCTCTCTCCTTGACACACCAAATGGGTTCTGGAGTCCTGAAGCAAGCTCACATGAAGAGAGAGTCAGTTAAGGGTCCTGGAGGTTTTATCAGAGGAAGAGGCTGTAAGGAATGCAGAGCCCAACGGCAGCCTTGACCTGCCCCATAGCAGCTCTGCCTTTCAGAGTCAAAGAGGGTTATTTCCCCCACACGCAGATGCATTCATTTTGTTTCCAAGCCCATCCTCTGATTGTTTTCTTGTCCAAGTGCCCTAAAGTGACACACCTGCTATCTTATCTGGAAAGACCACTGAGGAAGGGAGACCCAGGCATCCTGTGGAGATGTGGGAAGAATGGAAGATGGCTCCTAGCTATTATCTCCATCTTATTTTTTTTCTGTTTCCTGTCATGAGGAAAGGACAAGCAGAGTGTCTTAATCAGAGGAAATAGGAGAGCAAGAGACAATGAGACTTCAACCCCCCCTGCCCCCTGTCTGCCAAAATAGAGCAAAACATGCCTTCAGACCATACCCTGAGACCAACTTACCACTGAGGGAGGCTAGCTGGATGCCATACTAAGGTCCCTTGCCCCACCTCAGGGCTGAACAGCTGGGTGAGGCACCCACACTTTCACAGATGAAAGGAGAGACACCCTTGGGCCCTTGTTGACACAGCTCTGTTTTCTGAGCCTCTACACTTCCAGCTATTAACTCAGTGCTGTGTATTCTTCTCCATTTGCTGCTATAAATTTCTGAGGCAGGGGTAGCAGGTGTTCATAAACAGCATAATAGGGGTGCATTATTGTTGTTTAATTGAAAGATTGTTTCATAAATTTTTTACCTCAGAATGAATTTGTGGCTGGACATATTATATATGTAGCAGCAGCAAATGAAGCATCTTCAGCAACGTTTACTTGTTCAGCCACACTGGGGGAAAGGTCAGTCTGCCTATTTTATGGAGTACACTAAGGGCAAATCAAAATGTTACTCGTGGCTCTCATTCTAATGTCTTCTCCATTTAGCAAAAGGGGTGTGAGAAGGAAGGTCAAAGTTCTTACGGCACAACCATTAGAAAGTGTCCTTGGTCTCTAATGATTGTGCAGTAAGAACTTCAGCGTTCAGCTCCCAAAACATAAAACTCCCATTGAAAGGGCACCCGTACAGCCAGCCAAGGGAAGCTATGCGTTGTTGGAGGCTGATATAGTCTTCGTTTTAGGATCAAATAAAATAAAAAATGACAACTTTCAGCTGAATTTTTGATCTGAAGCACGCACACACATAAAATGTTATTTCTCTTCACTGCCTGCCTCAGCTCATGCTTGATGGCTGGTATTATTCATTTTGACTAGTTGTATCTCTGTAGTAACTACAGGGTAGTTGATCAATGAGAAACCCTTAGAATAAGAGGGGTCAGCAGCCTCTCGTTTGCTCAATCTCGAAGACAAAAATTGTGCAGAAACGTTGCCCTCCATCACCCGCTGATGGTGAGATTCCTAGCCTCCAGAGATTTCTCTGCCAGATTTAAGGATTGGCCTTTCAGTTACTTGCTTCAGAATAAGCACAAATGTACTTCTGTCAAGAGCTCTTCTATCACGCCTCCTTGAAACTGGCCAGTGCCTCAGACTGTCCTTGGATCCACTTTATTCATTTATATCCTGTTGGTACAAGATAGTGCAACAGCACATTAAAACATACCGTGCATAAAACAGAACATTAAAAACAACCACAGTTTCACAGTGCCTCTCTACCAGAGATGCACAACCATTTTCTGGCATCCATCTTAACTGTCCTGATTTGCTGCATCTATACAGCCAATTGAAGTAACTTTGCCAGCCTCGTTTTCGCTATTCCGTTTTGCATAAACAATGTGAAGTTTTCACCTTCTGTATTCTTTCACATTGGTTCAGGAGAGGGAAATGTGAGAAACAGCACTTTGCGGCAGCTCTATTTCAGGCCACCAAGAACCAGCCACATGTGGCAAGGCCTTGCCGACAGTCAACTGAAGGTTGCATATTCCAGATAAGTTTGGACATGCTTCTAAGATTGATTGCTGGGGGTCAAGGAGCTAGGAAGACCTTATTTTGGTAAACAAGTTCCACTGGGGATTTATGAGCTCATATTCTATCCAGGCAAAAGTTAAAAATATACACGAATAAAACCACCTGCCTTTAACTGAAACGCTACTAAAACCAAAGATGGATACAAGGAAAAAATAATCCAAAGCAAAGGAGTGCTGAGGGAGCAAAGCAGAAAAACTGATAAAATAAGGGAAACCATTAGCAGATAAGTTACGGAATTGGGACATAAACTCAACTCTCTTAACAATCTTGCCTCAGTGCCCCATCCTTATACTTGTGGATATATATTGTGGATATATTCATACCCTCAAACATTTCTCCGATGCATATAGGGACGCCCCATTTCATAATGATAATTTTACTATTTATACCCCACACATCTTACTGGGTTTCCCCAGCCATTCTTGGCAGCTTCCAACATATAAGAACAATAATAAAACATTAACATTTAAAAAAACATATAAAACATATAAAAAAACTTCCCTATACAGGATTGCCTTCAGATGGCTCAGAGGTAGGATACCTCCCTCCAACATTTCTCCAATGAAAATAGGCACATCCTAAGGAAAAGTGGGACACTCTGGGATCAAATAAGAAACCGGGGACTTCCGGGGTGGCGCCTCCGGAAAATGGCGGAATTCCCTTCAAGTTGAAGGGAACCCGCTGCACGGAAGCTTGGGTCCTACCGCTACGGCGCAGCGGGGACCCTTAAAACCCACAGGCGGATGAAGCCTGTGGACGTGGGACTCAGCGGGCACCGTGAGCGCTCTCCCCTTGTACAGGAGCCCGGTAACGGGCTCCGGAGTGGGAGGTGCGTGGTGCTGTGAGTCGACTGCTTCTTTCGTGCAGCAAAGCCGCACTGCCGTTTCCGGAGAGCGCTGCCTTTTCCTGGGACAATTTGGCATCTAAAACATCTATCCGTGAGTACCTGATCTTGGAAGAGCTGAATTACTTTTAAGACTGGTGAATAAATAAATAAATTGGACTTGAAATTGAATTTAATTGGGACTTGGAACGGAAGGTCTAAACAGGAAGTCAGCCTTCCGTTCTTTTGTTACGTGAAGAAAGCAAAGACAAAATATACTAAAGCTTGAAAATTAAATTCTGAGAGAACTAGAATTCAGCATCTAAGATTTCTGAACCCCCCTTTGACTGCAGGAGAAGAAGGGGTTGTTTTGGACTTTTAACCCTGCGGAAGTGAGTTTAAAACAAAGTAATTTTCCACCGCCCTGAACCAGGAGCGGGCTGTCAGAACTGACGTTTTGAAGCTTGTCCAGCTCGACAGATAGTTAAAAGAAAGGTAACATTGTGACTCTACTGTTGCCTCTTTAATTTTTAAGAGGGAACTTTTTATAAAGTTTATCTGGAAAAGAAAGACTGTTGCTGATGTTTTTCTCCTTTATAAAAAAAAAAAAAAAAAAGGTTTTCCCTCTAGTGGGATTTAGTGAAACTGCAACGCAGAGAGCTTAAAAGTGAAGGACTATAATCGTGGGAAAGAATTTTCTTTGACCTTGAAGGATAATGCTTGTACAAAGGCTTGAACAAATGTTCCTGGAAGGTTTTTCAAAACTAAGTGCCCAGCTGGACCAGATGCGTCAGGAGACGACCTTGATGACGGAAGTTACCAGAGCACAGCAGCAAGTAAATGGAACTCAGTTAAAATATCTTCAAGTATATGAACCTGCTGTAGTGATGGAGGCTTCAGAGATGGAGGGACCTTTGGACCGGCAGGATCAGCCTTTGAACTTGATAAATGAACTTGGGATAAATCAGATTCGGAAAGATGAAATGTGGTTAGATTTGGAAATGGGGGATGGATTGACCCCCCTTTATATGGTTATCTGGACTTTCCGAGTCTGGTGATGGGCCATCAGAGGATTGGAGTAGTCGGAGCCTCCAAGTTTCAAGGAAACTTGAAGTGGTATTATCTGCTGTCTGGCTTGGACAATGGGCATGAGATGGACTTGCTGCAAAGGGTCAAAAGTATCTTTCTGCTGGAGTACCCACGACTGAAAGGGAAACATCAAGAAGAGCTGAGAAAGGGGCAAGAAAGAGATTTGAGGGCCTCGGACACGAGACAACCAGGTTAAGGAGCCGGACTATTGAGGTTAAAAGGACTGACAATCCCGGGTCCAGGGGAGGGGCGCTGGAAGTTGACTGGATTGTGTCTGACTTATTATTTTATTTTATTTTTCTATTTTTCAATATTGGGAACGTTCATAAATGTTTGAAAGATGTTGAATGAAATTATATGGCTTAAGTAATGATTGGTAAATGATTTGCAAAAAGGTAATGATGTAAGAATTTGGTAAATACTGAATATAAGCTTTGAGTTTTAAAGTTTTTATATGACAAGAGGGAAAATAGAATAAGGAAATGTAATGATAGAATGTTATGAAAAAACAGAAAGGATTTGCTGTAAAAATTAAAAATTAAGAAACAAGAGAGGGGAGGAGGAGGAAGTCTAGAAAGGAAGTTAACAGAGATCGTAAATGAATTTATACTTTTGTTTTTCTTTTTTCTTTTTTTCTTTATGGTTGGGTGTTTTCTTTTTTATTTCTTTATCATTTTTGTTTTTTGTATTTTCAAATTTTTTTGGAAATTTTTGTTGTTATTCTTTGAAAACTTAATAAATATTAATTATTAAAAAAAAAAAGAAAGAAACCGGGATGGCTTCTCCAAATCAGGGACATCCCTGAAAAATAGGGACACTTGGAGGGTCTGGATACATCACAGTTTTACCTCTAACATTTTAGCCTTAAACTTTCTGTGGTCTTCTAGATGTGGGTAAAGGTAAAGGTAAAGGGACCCCTGACCATTAGGTCCAGTCGTGACCGACTCTGGGGTTGCGGCGCTCATCTCGCTTTACTGGCTGAGGGAGCCAGTGTACAGCTTCTGGGTCATGTGGCCATCATGACTAAGCCACTTCTGGCGAACCAGAGCAGCACACGGAAACGCAGTTTACCTTCCCGCTGGAGCGGTACCTATTTATCTACTTGCACTTTGACGTGCTTTCGAACTGCTAGGTTGGCAGGAGCAGGGACCGAGCAACGGGAGCTCACACCGTTGCGGGGATTTGAACCGCCAACCTTCTGATCAGCAAGTCCTAGGCTCTGTGGCTTAACCCACAGCGCGACCCGTGTTTTAAATGTACCCCCCCCATCAATTGGTTTTAATGTCATTTGTTTGTTGGTTGGTGGTTGCTTTGAGCTGCCTTGGGCAAGATAAAGTATTATTTATTAAATAATACTAATATTATGGGATGTACCCATCAGTAGGCTGCCCACACAGAGATAGCATGAGAGGCAAAAGAAGTGATGAAGAAAGGGAGGTCAAAGTAGCGCAGCCTATCAACAAGGCTTTTTTCGGCTGGAACTCACCAGAACTCAGTTCCAGCACATCTCAGGTGGGCGCCACTGCCATTATAAGAGAACAAGGGAGGCATTCATTATGAGTTCTGGCACCTCTTTTTCTAGAGAAATAGCACTGCCCATGAAGCACGATAGGAGTCACCAATAGGGAGGAGGCTGCATATATAATTTCTTGCAGATGGCTGTACCTGGGAAAGGAGAAGGGCTTCCTTGGTATTTATTGAAAGGTTACTTTTTGTCGCAACCACAGAGCAAAGAAGGAAAGGTGGACAGGAAGCTATAATTCCAACAGAGCTTTAAACACTCTGAAATGGAATATTCGCCTGAATATTAATCATTCACAAACGTATTAGATCAATGCCACATAATAATAAAAAATCCTGGAATCAGCTATCTTCAGATTACAGCCATGAAATGAAACATTTTGCTGATTTTAAGCAGTCGGGGGAAAGATTGCTGGAGATGGGAAAACAGACACATTGACACGTTTGTGTACATACCTCTCTGCAAGTAATCTCACCAAAGGCGTAGTTCTCACTGAGGTGGAAATCTGTGTTTCGGCTGGAACACTTAACAGGAAATGGTTCTCATGTAACAGAATGCTACTACATACATAAATGCATATAATAAATATGTCAGTTTAAGACTGGAGTTAAGGTTCTCACATGTTGGCTCATGCTCCACAGTGCTAGGAAACTGGAAGCCAAGTCCTTAGCAGTGGTCCATGATCGGTAATGTGCAATTTCATAAACCGGGTTTGCCTACACCTTAGTCGCACACCCACAAATTTCCTTGGCCTTTGAAGCCCAAATCCCAACAGGGAGGATGGATGCCTGGGACCAAGTGACGACACCTCTCACTATCCTGGTCTTGTATTGCATTATGAAGCACTTGAGCCTTACTCAAATGCTAAAGGAATCCTCCTGTGAGCTGAGCAATGCTGGTTTGTCACTGATACCTCTAGCCGGCATGACAGGTTGCACACTGGGAGATGGGGGTCTCCTTAGACGTAACAGTGGCCATTTTTCCTAGCATTATTGTGCTTGATGGTGCAAATTGTAACATAAGGGGAAGGAGGGGAGTGCCTGCGTTGGCACAACTGTTGCACAATTGCCTTGTAGGGGAGTCATGATGCACCTCAACTATCCGGCTATTGCTGCCCTGCAACCTTTCCATATGAAAGCCTCTGGATGGGAGAGAATTCTGGAGCACCCAAGGAAGTACTAAAATGTGGGTCTGAGACAGCACACTCTGCACTTCTCAGCCAGATCCCTCTCAGTTTACTCAGAGTAGCACCAGCTTCTGGCTCTCCCTGGAATCCGAGCAGTCTGTGCCTCTCTTATCAACTCCCATGCCCTGTAGCATGAACCAAACAACCTAGGCATATGGGTGATTACCAGAATCCTAAAGTTTGGCATTAACGTCAGACCCCAGCAGCCAAATTATATAATGTTTTATTGAGAACAAAAAAGGAAGAGGACAAATGGACAAAACAGACTGAAAATAAAAGGAGATGACCAATGCTGACCTAGTTAGTTACAAACCTGTGTCTGGTCTCCTCATTTGCAGGTTTTTCCAATGGTCAATGAAGGGCAAAAGGCAGCTCAGTTTTTAAGGACTTTCTCACCAACAATGGATTGAGTGACAGCTGGAGGTTTTAAATATCAAAGCACAGGTCGCGTTTGGCCAGGTAGTGCAGGGGTAGGCAACCTAAGGCCCGAGGGCCAGATGCAGCCCAATCGCCTTCTCAGTCTGGCCCACGGATGGTCCGGGAATCAGAGTGTTTTTACATGAGTAGACTGTGTCCTTTTATTTAAAACGCATCTCTGGGTTATTTGTGGGGCATAGGACTTCATTCATTCCCCCCCCCCAATATAGTCTGGCCCACCACATAGTCTGAGGGACGGTGGACTGGCCCATGGCTGAAAAAGGTTGTTGACCCCTGAGGTAGTGTGATACATGCTAGGAGTTGCGGAGACTGTAGACAACCCCTGGGGTAGGTGAAGATGGTTTTTGCTGATGTAAAACCCCATTGCATTTTTCTTCATCTTCCTGTTTGACAGAACCCATCCTGGGATTGTAGATTTAGGAATTGGGGCTGGAAATAGGTGCCTGAGCGCTCTGGCAAAATGGTGGGGAAGAGAACAAGGCTTTTCTTCACAACAACAATGAAAAATGTCAAAGCAACTTTTGAAAACAATTCACCTGCTTCACAGATTTTAAAAGAGGCAGCAACAAAAGGTGTATCTTGGTAATGTGGAGGTAGGTCATGTACTGGTTTTGAGCAGGTTTTGGCAGCTTATTCATTTATTTCTCACTGCATTTGTGGGCCAGTGCTTTTTCCTTCCTCTAAAAGCCACTTCCAGGGAAGATCAAGTTAAACAACTGAACTCGCAGATCTTAGCTCACACATCCTTTCTGTCGCAGAGAGGTGTCGGGAGTGTGTAATTTGAAGCAAAGATGTGTTATGGTGGAAGACAGTGCTTAATCTTATTGCTTCCTTGCCTATTTTATCCCCCTAAAGCATCATAGGTTCCTAAACAACTCCAGATGTCTAGCACGGTGGAAATCTCAACAGTGTAGGTAATAAACGAATATTTTTCACTTGTTTTGAATTTGGCACTGCAACATGACAGGCAAGGGTTTTCCTGACATCCAGTCTTATTGTAGTCATTTGCAGGCAGATTGGTACAGTGGGAGACACTTACTTGACCTCTCGGCCGTTGAGTTGGCTGGTGCTTCCTGGGAGGAGCAAGGCACCATCGAGGTCAGTGTGGTACAAATGCATCAGCCAATCTGGTGCTCCTTCTGCACCAGCCACCACCCTCCTTCCTTCTCCTGGTAAGCAGCAGCAACTCACCTGTCGGGACATCAAGTCAGCACCTACATCCTACCACACCATCTGCTAATGACCATAGAGCTGTACAGAAGCCTCCTCTGCGATCAGCAGGCATACGGAAGGTGCAGGTTGATAGAACAAGTCCCCGCTTCCACTGTTAGGGGGTGGGGAACTTCAGGTGTTGCTGAGCCACAACTTCCATCATCCCTTAACAGTTGTGATTCCTGTATTGCAAAGGTTCGACTATATGAGACCATTGAGGTCCCTTCCAACTCTTAGGATTCTATGAGTCTAAGTCCAACAACAACTGGAGAGCAACAGATTCCTCACCCATGGGTTAAGTTAAGCTTCTGTATCTCAAGTTTATGGTCAAAGCTATATTTCAGGGCATTCTTCTTTACTGCCATTCCAGGGCAAGAATGATATCTATCAGTTGAGGAAAGTCTGCCTGTTACAATAGAGATTATACTGCATACTGGAAATTGTGTGCTTATGTGATGATCACTGGCATACAGGTCGTCAACTCCATGTACATAAGAGGTACAATTGCTGAGAATGTACCGCCACATACTGTGATCTATGGGATGAATGTTGTTTCCCACACAGAACTACCATCCCTGTATGATTTTTGTAAAGCATGAGACATCTTGGTTTGGGCTTATCCATAAATGAAAGAGGCCCAAACAGGCAAAAGTTGGCAAACACTTGATTCACTCCTTTCAACTGGGAAGAAATCAGTTTCAACACAACAGTTCAAAAACTGAATAGTTATTTATTGTTCCAGAAGTACATTGCTCTTTTATACATATTTAATAAATGATACAGGATTTTACACATGTTCAGTATTTTACTTTATTTTTTAAGGACTTTTTCTCCATGCCCCTCCCTCGCCCCAAACACACATAAAATGTTCCTCTACAGGACTGCTCGTCTTCTTCCTTTTTTAAAATGCCGCATACAAAGAGGGTAAAACAGGTTTGTTTTTGTTTTTGTTTTGTTTTTTAAAAAACCAAACGAAAATCAAAAATCAAAAATGTAACTGAGAACAGAAAGACAAAGGTGGGGGGAGAGAGAGAGAAAGAAAGAAAAAACACCTTGGAACATGCATCGATTCAGTCCAACATGCCATCGAGTGAGAGGAGGCAGCAACGGTCCCGTCTGCATTTCCACATCTGCAAGGCACCTGGCGTCTGGTTTATATTTATTTTGTACACTTTAAAACATGGTTTCTCCAGAAAGTGGGAGCCTCTCGCCTTGACACAGTGAGAAGTAGTGAACTGAAAGGAAACACCCGGCCTTTCTGCGAATTAAGCTTAGAGCCCTTCTGCAACTTCCATCCTGTCTCCACAGTATTTATCACAGGATGATAAGAAAAGGCTGATTCCACTCCATGCAGGATGCAAGATCCGCTCGGGGGGGGGGGGGGGCGGAACCGCCCAGTTGGTTTGCAAGAAGTGGAGGGTGATGGAGTGCCATTTCCTCAACTTTTAAAATAATAACAACAATAATAATAAAAAAAGGAGTTTGCAATCTGCTACTCCGCAGAAACCCTGGCTCCTAGGCACCGGGGCGTTCTTTTTAAAGCTACCAAAGAAAGAAAGGGCTTGTGAATCAATGTGGAACTCTGTGGTCTTCTACTCCAGGCCTTTGACAAAGTCTCCAGACCAGGCGACTTCATGAAAGACACATCATTCACTCTGCTATGCAAACATCACATTTAGTTATACCTGTCCTAATGCTTTTCTGTAAAGAGTCATGGTTTTGAGTCAAGTACCCAATTTGCTATATATTTAAACCAACCTTTGTGATTTGATTAATCCAGGTCGCTACCAGATTCTGGGGTGGAAAGAGTAGAGGGAGACTTCCCTCCCTTAAGACTGAATATGAAAAATTCTCTCATGCAATATCACCATTTATATCTAGAAGTACATCCAGGGCAGTGGGACATGTTCAAGTTTAAGAATGTAGGAAGTCATTCAAAGTGTCAATTATCAAACGTTCAGGGCAAGGGTTATTCCGCTTGTGATATCGATAAAATTGACTATAGTGATGTAATCATCCCATAAAGGAGAAAGTCTGCTTCGTTTTCTTTTAAAGTAAAAAGCAGTTTCACATGAAGGTTACAAAAGAGACACACTAGGTCCAATCTAGAGTGCATGTTCATGTAGGGCCAATTGGATCAGCAGCCATAGTTTCATAAGATGGTGCTTTCCCCCCTTCTTCTTCACTTTTTTTGATGCACTGTTATTATTTATTATTGGTATTTTGAAAGAGGAGAAGTCTTTTAAAAAGCTTAGCAGGCTGCTGGTGCATCATCAAGAGGCAGACACTGCAAAGCCGGAAAAATATGCCCCCTATACATTCTGTTTATGAAATGCCGACTTTTTTATATATATTTTCATCCAGGAAGAAAGAACGTTTAAATGTGACGGTATTTGTCAAGCCCTTTGAAAAGACTTAACATCCCACAATGCCCGATCTTCTCGTTGAACACACTGACCCCTCCCCAGCCATGGTCCTTGTTCTGCTTTGAATGATTAAAAAGCCCTCCACCCCCGCAAGACCTCCCAGCTTCCACCAGCAATGCTTTAATTAAAGAGGCGAGAGCTATGAACCGTTTTGCCAAGTCTGCCAGGGTTCAGAGGACCTGGGCTGGTCAGTCTTTATCGCTGATTTGTCGGACAGGCAAATGCACCTGCAAGGGGTCTCGAAGCCTCTTAAGATCCAATTCTGCCTGAAAATTAAGGGGGGAGAAAGCTGTAAGAACCACATTTCACCACAATGTGCTGACATACACCCCTCCAGATGTTACTGAATGACAAGTCCCATCAGTCGCAGCCAGTTGTCAGGAATGATGGGTTCTGTACCTCAGTAACACCTGGGGGGGTTACAGGTTAACGACTCCTGCTGTAAGGTAATGTGATCTCTTTATTGTTGAGGCTATAACTCATAGAAATTTTATGAAAAATAAGTAGATGATACCATCTGAACCAACATCGTTCAGCGCGGACACTGAAGTCCAGCTCCAAGGGCCTTCTGGCAGTTCCCTCACTGCGAGAAGTGATGTTGCAGGGAACCAGGCAGAGGGCCTTCTCGGTGGTGGTACCTGCTCTGCGGAACGCCCTCCCATCAGATTTCAAGGAAATAAACAACTTTCTGACTTTTAGAAGAAATCTGAAGGCAGCCCTGTTTAGGGAAGTTTTTAACGTTTGATGCTTTATCGTGTTTTTGATATTCGGTTGGGAGCCGCCCAGAGTGGCTGGGGAAACCTACCCAGATGGGTGGGGTATAAATTATTATTATTATTATTATTATTATTATTATTATTATTGCACAAGCACAATGTTTTTATGATTATTTACATATATCCAATTGAAATTATAAATACCCAGCCCTAATTAAGTGCAATAATCCCCCTCCTAGTAGATTGAACACTTATCCCCAAAGACTTAGCAATTTCAGTTGCAGCAACTGCCAAGTCAGTAACTTCCAAAGTGGCAGAAAAAATGGATTATCCCTCTCCTAGAGATCACATGCACCTCCCACCAGATAATGCTTATTTCCTGTATACAACGAACAACACAGCATTCTATAGAATCCAAGATTAATGTCAGGGGCAGAAAGAACAGCATTCATAAATGTAAGAAGTCTTGCCAAGTCTGTTTAAAAAAATGCTGGCAAGCCCAACACTAATAGGGTCAAGGTATTAGATGTGCAGCCATGGTGTTAAGAGGAAGAGCCCTGTATCGGGCCAATTCTAAAGTTCGTTGGAATTATAGACCATGGTAGAGGTGATTTTAATGACTAGATTGGGAAAATGATGGACAGCTGGCAACTCTAAAAATCAGATACAATCCTAGTGCCAGCCCTTGACTATTTCCTCATCCCTACTCTTGTTCTCTTCTTCTATAAACATCAGTGAGCCACGCAAGGGAGTCCCACAAACTCACCATCTGCAGGTAATTTGTACAGCCATAAACCATGGATAGATTAGGGCATATTCCACGGGCACCTCACATGGCCATTAGCCACTCAGCTATCACATGACATCGATGCACATGTTGGATTCTCAGCTGAGGCATGCTGGCTACATGAAACTGCCACCACGCACATTCACATACAGTGGTCAAAAGGTTTAAGGTTTCGTAGCAACTACTGATAATCATCCACCGGGAAGAAGAGAGATTTGATGTGTGCAATCATTTAACGTGGCACCCAACAGACATTTACTCTTTTAGCCCCCGCAAGACAACAACTAGGACTAACATTTCCCCACCCGCACTGTTGCAGGTTCAAATCAGCCATTTAAACTTAGGGCAGGATCCACCTAACCAGCAGTTTCAGCCGAAGCCTTGAGAGCAAAGACTTCCACTTGTACAGCAGGGATTTCCCCCCTTTCCGCCCTCTGCAGCCTCTTAATTTGGCTTGGGGGCGGGTTGGGAGAACCCTCAGAACGGTGCGGGGGGTGGAGAGGGCAGACTGGAAGAGCACAATGTTGGATTCCACCTTTAGTATCTATGCCAGAATTATTAACACCTGCCATAATATGCTGCGCTTCATAATACATGGTGATAAGAGAATGTGGGAAAGTGCCTCACTCAGTTACTGGGATGGGATGGGAGGGTATCTTCCCACCCCACCCCCGTTAGTTGAAATTACTTTCATTACCTGAGCAATAGCATCCTTGAGTTGATTGTATTTTTCTAGATCAAAACGCGTCTTTCTGGCTCCTTTATGGAAAAATAATAAGTACTGGCGGTCTCTGGCATCTGGGTATACATACTCCTGTGCAATCAAAGATTGAATAAAAAAGAAAAAAAGGAAGGCATTAATATATGAGGGTTGGGAAGAAAGGGGATAAAACTGTTGATTAATTAATACGTGCATTGGCTAAATATAGGAAGTGGGCAATAAATGCATAACAGAATATTGAAGCTTATCTACAGTCATGAACTCAAGTCTGGTTATCAGCTAAAGAGTGATAAGCTGTGAAGTCTTTTTGGCCTATCACCCAGTTATCATTTTACATATTGCTAGATTCAGGTGAAGGAGTTAAGCTATGGCAAGGGTTTTGTTTTGTTTTTTGAACTTTTTGCCTCTTCTGGGATGTAGTAGCAAGCATGTTTTGACACCTTTGCTACTCTGAAAACAACAACTGTGCAGTGGTTCATCAGAGCAACAGAAGGAAACAGATCTTTGGTTTATGGAGGAATTTGCTCCTCTCACCTAATGCTCAGTGAGTTATATCTGTTTCTATTTCTGTTATAAATTGAATGTTATACAGTAGAACCTTGGTTGTCGAACGTAATCCCTTCTGGAAGACCGTTTGACTTCCAAAACGTTCAGCAACCGAGGTGCAAAGGGTTGTTGGCAAAGTCTATGGTGAAAATTGAGAAACGCACCTCAGAAGCCATTCGACTTCAGAGGCGCGTTCAAAAACGGAAGCAATTACTTCCGGGTTTTCGGTGTTTGGCTTCTGAAACATTCAGCTTCCGAGATGCTCCAAAACCGAGGTTCCACTGTATCTGTTATGTTCACACACACACACACACACACACACACACACACGTCATCGCTTAATGTTGCATTTTTTTTGCCACATTATGATGGTATATGGATAAACCAGCCAAAGATTCAGAAGTACACAGGGTAGGCACCCTCATTTTCAAGAAAAGAACAGCACAGATGAGGAAAAGTCATATTTATGAGAATGGGGTTTCCTGGACACCTGCTTATAACGTAGAATAAAACCAAAAGCAAGCCTCACCTGACGCGTTACTACGAAGTATGCGTACATTGCCATGGCACTGCCATATGTGATGAAGTAGGTCACCGGCTCCATAATGTCCCAAGAGTATTCCCACCAAGTGAGCCGGGCCAGAATTCCAAACTGCGTGGCCATGTAAGCCAGCCCACCCCAGAGCACCCAGGTGGTCCTCTTCTCTGCTTTCCGGCGGATTTCCATCCTAACCTGCAGGACAAAAATGTTCAGAACTATGTTGAGCTGTTGCTTCTCAACAAAGGTTAAACATGAAATAAGCACATACAGTAGGATTGGTGTTTTCAGTGCTGATATTATAACAATCCTTAAACAGAATGCTGTTTAACTTTGAAATCAATAAAGTGTGTGTGTGTGTGTGAGAGAGAGAGAGAGAGAGAGAGAGAGAGAGAGAGAGAGAGAGAGAGAAAGAGAACATGTTTACAGTCGACTGAGGGGCTGACATTTCAAGTTCAAAATAACTCAGCTTCCATTCCTATTGTGAAACATTTCTTTCTGTTGACTACCAACCCCCTGCTGCATCCCTTTTTGTTTTGTTTACTATTTAAGACCATCACATAAGCTCTGTCTCGATATATAGATATAGAATGGGGGGAACCAGAAAAACATGTAATCATATATGTAAATTATACACATGCAAAGAAGGGTGCAAGGTGGGAGAGAAGCTGTCGTTGACCTGATTCATGCAACACGGTAAACCAAACTACAGTCGTACCTTGGTAGTCAAACACCTTAGTTGTTGAACAAATCGGCTCCCTAACATCACAAACCCGGAAGTGAGTATTCCGGTTTGCACATGTTTTTTGGAAGCTGAAAGTCCAACGCAGACTGAAGTTCCTACAGCCAATCTGAAGCTGCGCCTTGGTTTTTGAACCTTTTTGGAAGTCGAACGGACTCCCAGGACAGATTAAATTTGAGAACTAAAGTACAATGGTATAGCTTACAAGGACTGCCCATACATATTCCTTAGTATGTTGTCCAAGCTGGAACTTGTGGTTCAGCTTTCTCTTCACTAACCATGAGTATAGCCAATAACAAACCTTGGTTATAGCCAATAGATAGCAAACTGAGCTACCTCCTAAAATGGGGGCTTGGTGTTTTACATTCTGAAGGTAGCCTTGATATTAAGGCATAGACTAGAAATGTTAAAGAGCAAGCGCGATGGACAAACTAATGTGATAGCAACTGAGCTGATCCACTTACTTTCTTGGTGGTTTGTGATGGAGGAGCTTGAAAAACGGACCCCACACAGTTTCAGAGTAATTTATTACAGGGGAGTGCCAAAGGGCTGTAGTTTAGAGTTCATAGCACCACCAAAGGAATTGCTCTATGTAAACAAAGTCTGGGGGACAGGACCCAGGTGATTGCTGTGACGTGTGCAATATGTATAGCGTATTTCCATTGGCAAGGATCTTTATGTTTAAATCTGAACTGCATTGTGGATTTACCCTGAAATGCTTAATATTAGTGCCAAAAACTCATTTCGCAGATGAAAAATAACTCACTTGGAACCCATTTAATATTTCCGTGCTCTGACAAAGATCAGAAAGAATTGCATAAAGTAGGTTTCCCTTTAGGCTACAAATCCAACTAGCAACACAAAGCTATTAAGCTCTACTTTTTCAACTACATTTATTGCTAGCTTACAATGCAATTTGTGCTATGCCATTGACTGAGCCACTCATCAAAGCAGCTTAGGATGTCACTCAATGAAGAGAGGTTCTCACCTTCTCCAGGGGCGCTAGTTGCTGCTTGAGGTCTTCTAGCCGTCTAACGAGCTCCTTCTCCTTATTCAGCTGGTGTTCCTCGATACACAGTGTGGTATATAGCTGCTGAACCAATGTCTTCACATCATTCAGCGTGGTTGCATCTTCGTGGCTTAAGAGGTCTAAAGAAGCAAACAGGACTTTTTAACGTTCTGTTTTTCACAGTGGTTACGCCTCTAACAGCTTATTAGAACCGAAATGAAAAACTGCTCTCACTGCACTGACATTTACAGAACCAAATAAAATAAGAAAACGACACCCTGCTTCAAAGAAAGGCTCAGCGGAAACTAATGTTTAAAGATACACACCAAATATGAATAACCATGTTCTTTTATGCTCATTAATTCCAAACACTGGAATTAGGACTTTGCTTGCAATTGTGTGTGTGTGTGTGTGTGTGTGTGTGTGTGTGTGTAATCGGAAAAATATACTGGATCATTTTTCATCATCAGCAATAAGAGGAAGAGGAAGATCTAGGACTACTGATGAAAAGTTAGCATAAATTTTGAAGCCATGTAAAAAACTATCCCTCCTGACCCTACCTTCCCAGGAAAAGCTGGGGAAAATGGAAATATATGCCATGTCTTTATTGAATATATGCAATTTATTTATTGAATATATTGAATTTATTTATTACATAGTTTTTTCTGTTTAAACAATATAAAAGGCATCATTTGTAATTTAGCACATAAAACCGTACTATTTGGCATATTCCTGAAGTTTACAAAGCATTCCATGCAGGTTCAGTCAGAACCCACTCTGCTTAAGTTCCACACAGGTTTGCATCTATAAACATATAAATATATGAATATATAAGGTTGCAATCCTATACCCACCCACTAGGCAGAAACCACTGAACTCACTGGTAATTACTTCAGAGTAAGGATGTATAGGACTGCACTGTTGGTTTTGTACGAGCTAATGTGAATGTATATGTCTACGCAATACACAGAAATTATTGCTCAAATGCTGCAGATTCTTTTCCATAAAAATCTTCATGCTGCACATTTTGAGCGAATAAAAACTTGTATTAAAAAGTAGTTCGCTCCTTCCAAAAGAGAAAACGTTTCAGAACAAGTTTTTCCAAGATCCCCAAAAGTCTTTGGAAAAACTGGAAGGGGAGGTGTCACTGGGAAGTGGGGGGGGGGAGGCCCCTGAATTTTTCCAATGGTTTTCTGGACCTTTACATCTCTACCAAGTACTTCACTTTAATATTTCAAAATCTAATGACCTCATACTGCGTTCTCCTCTGCTTCCCTAAAGTAACCTGCATCTCCCACTGATACAAACAACTGGGTTCCAGTAACAAGGGTGCACAATGGTTTTGAAGAAGAGCCTAGGAGCGTCTCCACCCCCATCGTTCTGCCCAGCGCTGAGGGCCTTCTGGCGGTTCCCTCGCTGCGAGAAGCCAAGTTACAGGGAACCAGGCAGAGGGCCTTCTCGGTAGTGGCACCCACCCTGTGGAACAACCTCCCACCAGATGTCAAAGAGAACAACAACTACCAGACATCTGAAGGCAGCCCTGTTTAGGGAAGCTTTTCATGTTTAATAGACTATTGTATTTTAATATTCTGTTGGAAGCCGCCCAGAGTGGCTGGGGAAACCCAGCCAGATGGGCGGGGTGTAAATAATAAATTATTATAATATTATTATTACTAGGAGAAATGAAAATGTAATAGGCCAAATGGAGATGCCAGAATTTAGTACTCAATGTTTATTAATATCAGTGACGGTTTGGTCTAAATCGGGTCTTCCTCACAGAGGGCACGTGTTGCGGTGAGATCAACGTGGCTGACCCAAGGTTGTGGGTGGGATCGTTTGGATAGCCACAATGCCTGATTGGTGGTCCCTCATTGCTGGGTTCAATTTGACCAATGGGAAAGAAGGCAGACAGTTTGAGGGACCTATTTCTACCCATGCACGTGTCGTAGAGTTTCCTCTTTTTGCTCGTGCATCGGAACACCTGCCCACCTCTCCCTATATTTAGGGTTTTTTTCAGCAACTGACCTTGCTATGACGTTGTGTGTTGTGTGTTGTTGGGACAGGGGCATGGTAGGAATTTCCCCACTTGACTGATTGGCCATGGCCATTTGGGTTTTGCCTGCCGCGTAGCAAACCGTCACAACTTGTAAGGTTGTGGATAGGCACTGGCTCAAGGTGGATAGGGATGCGGAGCTGTGCCGATCCCTATGTGAAGGGTATTCCGTTAAAGGAATCCAAGGACTCAAAATGATTTGTTCAACCCCCGGTAGGGGGTTGTGCCCGTGCCTGAGTCCAGGGGAGCATATGGGGAGTGGACAGAGTCTGCTCCCAGGCTCTTGACCTTCTCCAGGTGTTTACCCTTGGCTGTCCTATGATGCACCCTGGGTCAGCGCTACCTACCGTGGGCGTAGGGAGCTAGTGGAAACAGAGCCTATGCAACACTCACTTATCTGTAATCAATAAAGTTGTGGCTTAAATTCTGCCAAAAACCAAAACAAAAATTTGAGTCGAATGTGTCTTTATTTATTAGCGAGGTCTCGAGATCTGAACACGCAAATCAATTTAAGGTAGCTATAGTGAACTGGTACTTCATGCACAAATTAATTAGGATAATCAAGTCTGAGAGGGCAACAACACTTATCTGATATTTCATATTGCATAGCGGCCTGTTGTAACCACATTCTTTCAATATTACTGTTTACAAGTTTGTACATTTATCAAACAGTTAATGTTAATGTTGTTAAGGTTAATGAAAACACTTTTGCTGAGTTTCTACCTAACAATTAGATATTGTAAATTTTGTCAAGACAACGCAAACTAAAATATATAGAACCTTGCAAGCAGTAAATTTCAGCACACAGTCTTCAGGTTTAGCTTGCCTTTGTTAATTCTCAGTGAATCTACAAAACAAGCCAAGTTTGACAGACATCAGTTCAGCAGAGATGGAGGCAGCACAACATTTGAACCACAGCAATACCTGCAAGCTCTAATCTTCTCTATCAATACACACAAAAAGTATAAATACAAGGGTTTTATGAACTACAATGTGTGTTTATATTAATATGCTTCAATCTAGCCAAGAAGCATGTCAAACTAATTTAACCTGTGAGGGGAGAGACTTCATTAGGCAAGGTCTTCTTCCACCTGCCTTGCCACACCCTCCAGTCTCTGCTTCTCAATTTGTATTGTATTATTTTATGCACTGTGGCTTGCTGTTGTTTTATTGATTGTAGTTTAGAAATTATTTATTGTAAATGTTAAGAGTAGGTTTCTGTTTAATTTTTATATGTTGATATTTAATATTATTTTATACTATTCTAACGGGACGCAGGTGGCGCTATGGGTTAAACCACAGAGCCTAGGACTTGCCGATCAGAAGGTTGGTGGTTCGAATCCCTGTGACGGGATGAGCTCCCGTTGCTCGGACCCAGCTCCTGCCAACCTAGCAGTTTGAAAGCACGTCAAAGTGCAAGTAGATAAATAGGCGGGAAGGTAAACGGCATTTTTCGTGTGCTGCTCTGGTTCGCCAGAAGCGGCTTAGTCATGCTGGCCACATGACCCGGAAGCTGTACGCCGGCTCCCTCGGCCAATAAAGTGAGATGAGCACTGCAACCCCAGAGTCAGTCACGACTGGACCTAATGGTCAGGGGTCCCTTTACCTTTATACTATTCTAATGATTGCTAGATGTTACTTTATTTGATGTAGGTTGCTTATTTTAAAGTTACGTTTTATTATCACATTTTTGCATTGCATTAGATTGTTATAAGGTGTACATTCTTTGTTTCTTCAGCTTGTAAACCACTTTGGGTATTGTAAGATAGAAAGATGGTATACAAATCAAAAGTGATGATGATGAACCATGCACAAGTGAAAAGTGATGGAACTGGTACAGAATCGGGTAGTAGTACACTTCTTAAGAAACAGATCTGATGTTCAGGTTTACAGGCCTAAAACTACTGCTGTTCCTACAATATTTAGCACCATGAAGAAATTGTTTCTCTATGTTCTGAGAAAGTTTTTATGTCTGGATTTAAATAAAACTAAATTCCAGCTTATGCCTCCTGCATTAGCAACTCAGTCACAGTTACATATTAATGTTCTAAAAATGGGTACTTTTTATACCTAATGAGAAGTTCCTCCATGACAGAACATGTGAAAGACTAAATCAGTCTTCCTTGACCTGGGGCCTTCCAGATGTTTTGAACTAAAACTCTCACTATCCCTTCCTATTGGCCATGCTGGCTGAGGCTGATAGAAGTCCATAATATTTGGAGGGCAGGAGGTTGGGAAAGGCTGGAAGATTCAAAGGGCCCTCACACTCCACACAACATTTTATTAATGGTCTTATTGTTCCCTGAAATTGAACCAAGGCCTCTTCTGTCTCATCAGGTTCCTCTTTGGTCTCATCAGTATTTTGCAACAGTTTCTCTTTTCAGAAGTATGATTAACCTTTCGCTCCTTATTATTACACAGGACCTCCCCTGTTATTTGTGGGCACAGCCATGCAATCATTTTTTCTGGTGACATTCAACTTTTAAGAATTTCACAGATAAGTTCTAGCAAACAGCAAAACCGAAACCTCAGAAGTGCTTGACATTGTGAAGAGCACTTGGCTTGAACGCTACTCTTGACTCCTAGGCCAAATCAAGACCCAGGATTTCAGCAGATGGTAGGCGAAGTTGCCAGTTAATCCTTTTTGCTGCCTTTTTAAATATTCAAAGTCACAGTTGCCACATGGCTGATAGCATAGTTTTATTAATATACCTGATTTTTGCCCTAGCGATGTGCTGCATTTTGGAACCTAAAATTCACCACTACTTTTGTTCCAAAGCAGAGAGGAATTACAGTTCACACAAACTGAGAAGTGTTGGTGGTTCTACTGACTATCATCTCTCTCTCTATCTCCCCATGTTCTATTACACATCATTCTTGAGGTTCTCCTGACCTTCAGGAGCAGCTTCTCAGGAGGTGCTGGGGACTGCAGTGGGGAGGTAGGAAGAGATGGAAAAACCCTGTTCCATGAGCAGAATACTGCTTGCTGTTCTTTGAATTGAAGCTTGTGTGTGTTGCGTTGGCACTTCCCAAAAAATCCCTAGCAGACTAACAAGCTGCCTTATACAGCGGAACCTCGGTTTTCAAACGTAATCTGTTCCAGAAGACCGTTTGACTTCTGAAACGTTCGGAAACTGAAAGCAGAAGCTTCAATACAATAGGGAAACTCAAAACAGAAGCCATGTGGCACATTAGGCTTCTGAAAATTGTTTGAAAACTGAAGCAGTTACTTTCGGGTTTTCTGCATTCGAAAGCCGAAATGTTCAACTTCCAAGACGCTCAAAAACCGAGGTTCCATGGTAGTAACAACAATGTGTGCAGCTGGAAGTCAAATGATCATGAGATCAATACACCTATCATACATTCAGTGATCTATATGGGGTGTCCTGCCCCCAGCATCCTTTACCCTAGAGGAACCTCTTATAAGAGAGGACATTAATTTGCCACCTGGATCGTGGGTTCTCTCTACCAGACTGTCTGTCAGTTCTTTAAGTCTAAGTCCTTTTTATAGAAACTGAAATTTTAAAAAAATTAAGGATGAGAAGTATGAATGAGAGGAGACCATAAGAATGGATGTGTGTAACGGGGGTGGGGGGGTGGGGAGAGAAGTGACTGGAGACTTGGGGGGGGGTGGAGCAAAGAACTAGGCAAGTCACAGTAGTTCTGCCTTAGAGATGCTGGAGAAGCTGTTAGAGTGTTTTCACAGTTATCTTCACATCCTGACGGTCAGGGAAAGAATGATCTGCTCAGAATTCTGAATGCATAGGTTTGCGGAAGATGAACCGTCAACTAGTCTTTTTCAGTATGGATGAAATGATCTTTTTAAAAAATTGCTAGATGGAAGGTTTCCCCCCAAAATAACTTCTGGAAATACATCCCAACTGCATGAAGTCGTTACCTCTCTTTGGTGGACGAACATGGTAAGTCAAGTCATTAATTACTAGTTTGAAATCATCCAGGAGTAGGAGATCTATGCCTGTTGAAGAGGCAACACGTGTCCCATCTGAAAGGCGAAAGAGGGAAAAGATTTTATTAAGAACTATCCAGAAATCAATATCAGTGTACTGCATTCCAGTGCAAAACAGTGTAGAATACTTTGTAAACACACACACACACACACACACACACACACACACACATATAAAATTCACAACACATTTCCAGGAGTGCAACCCGCAGCTTCAAATTTGTAAAACGAAAGCTTCCCAAAATATGAGGTATCCTTGATATGTGTGAATTGCAATGGCAGGCCTATGTGTTAGAATGTTCCCAAAATGGTTTGAAGTGGGGTAGGATTTAAGCTGGAGTAGCAGCAATTTGGGATGCTGAATCCCACTCTCTGCCTAAGTCTTTGTCACAACCAGTATTCTAGCACACAGGTTAACGCCATCCTTATGCAGAGCTAGAAGAAGAAGAAGAAGAAGAAGAAGAGTTTGGATTTGATATCCCGCCTTTCACTCCCTTTAAGGAGTCTCAAAGTGGCTAACAATCTCCTTTCCCTTCCTCCCCCACAACAAACACTCTGTGAGGTGAGTGGGGCTGAGAGACTTCAGAGAAGTGTGACTGGCCCAAGGTCACCCAGCAGCTGCATGTGGAGGAGCGGAGACGCGAACCCGGTTCCCCAGATTACGAGACTACCGCTCTTGACCACTACACCACACAGCTAGCCCATTTGTTTGTTATCCGCTTGGTAAACTATAGTTTGTGATTTTTCCAATAATCAAAGAAGATAGAACCAACCTCATACCTAGAACCTAGAACCGGCCTCTACAGGCCTAGTAGTAGGCAGCACAGAATTAAATGCTTACGTTCTAACTACCTCATCTAGAAAGCAGTTTAGAAAGACCTGCTATTCCAAAGAAATAAAAGTGACCAGTACTTTTAGTTAACTGTAGCCACAAGAAACCAAGTATCCTTTTTATTAAACGAGCTTATACATTATGAATCTTAGGCATGCCTAAGAAAACATCAAAGAGACGGCATTTTCTAGAGTGAGGATTATCTTTACCCCCACCCTCAACATAACAGTTTTACAGGACATGTGAAATACTGCTTATATGATATAACATCCATATCAGTTTTGCAAGCGGTTTTGATGAAAATGCATTAACAAACTAAAGGAACTATAAGCACAGAAAACAAGGGCAGAATCTAACATTGTATTGTAGGTGTTCATCCAATTGCTTCAGTAATGCTGAGTGGTACCTGGTGAGTAAATGGCAACCCGGTCGATTCCCCGGTCTTCTGCTTGTAGTTGCCGTAAGAATACCCCAACAGAATCCGATATAGGCTTAAGTGTAAACTGGCACCGCTCACGTCGGGATGGAAGATTCACAGATATTACAGGTAACCCGTTTTGATAAACCACTGTAACGTCTGGGGGCAGGGAAGCAGACATTCGAAACAGATTACTTCAAGTATATCATGTAATTTTAAATAAACACTATTACTAAATTCATAAAGCAGAGGTTCCAGCAGCTGGTTCTAGGACTCATTGGGGGGAACTTAAAAGTTTGTGTGCAACAGCAATGCCATTCTCAAAAGCAAAAATTAAAAATGCCACATAGACTTTGCATGCAAAGTCTGATCTACAGAAAACAACACCAGTAACAAGCATCTGTCTTGTTATTCAATGGCCCATGTAAGATGCTTCAATATTTAGGCAAATAATTGTAACTTCTCTTTAAAAAAATACCAACACAAAAGGCACCCAGGAACAATAATAAACATTCATCTGTAACTTGGTCTTTGGCTGATTAAACCATCTATGGTCTTTTAAATGTGTTTGTAGGAGAGGGGTTATTGGTTGTTGTTGCTATTATGGTATTTTGTGTCTTCATTTTGTATTTTTATGCTGTAAACTGCCCTGTGATCTTCAGACGAAGGGTGGCGCATAAATTTAATAAGTAACAATAACATTCAGTGCCAGGAGCTTTCCGCCATTTAAGTGAAGAAATGATTCTTTTTGCATTTTAAAAAATCTCTCTACTGAAAATACCATGTTAGTAATGAAATTATAGAAATCTCACAATTCATTCTTAATGGCCGATTTTTTCTTGAACTCAGTTTTAACATGGTACTATTGGAAATAGCTTAATGTATCCCCAAGGTTTTAAAATACTTTTCTCTTTGGTTAGCATTTTAAACTCCCTCCCTCCCTCTCCCTCTCTCTGTAGTTTAAAAATGCGAGTTCACTACTAAGTAGAAAATCATTTCAAAAAAATTAGCATACTTAAAATAAATACAGAACAGTTCTGACTGCTGATCGGGTTCAACTATTTTTTGGTGGGGTAGCAGCCATGTTTCAAGTGCCCAAGTGGACAGTGGGCAGGATACTTCAGGTTTCCCATCAGTATGACAGGTACACATTCTGTGACACTAGATAAAAACAAGGGGAAATATAAGCTCAATACACACAGCATCTAGCTGACTCTATCTTATAACAGCTCAAATAATTCAGTAACATTTTAACAATGGGGCAATGCCAGAGGTTTGAGTACATGATTCAGAGGCTACAGCTTCTGTTGGAGGTCTGTGAAGGGAGAGGGCGAAGGTGTTTTGTTTTTAAAAGAATTGTTCTGGTTAGCTGAAAATCTCACTGGCTTTTTGCCACGCACAATGTTTCCGTATGACTCTGTAGACTCTACATTGACTTCAGAACTCCTTTGCAACATTCCCAGGACCAGATGACCCTCAGCCAGAAAGTTGGGAGAGGCTATTTTGAGCAACTCCAGCTACAACTCCTCTTACGCAAATACAACTAAGGAAACTGGGGCAACAGCCGCCATGAATGTCTTTAGTCCGCAATTTACCCATTTTAGGAGAGGACATGAACCCACAGCAAAGAAAACCAAAGCCTGTCGCTTTAAGACCACATATGTATACTAGCCATATTGGTTTCAAACTCAAACTAAGATGCAGGAAACGCTAAAGCTCTTTAAAGTATCAGTTGTGAAAGGTACATATGCAAAGCAAAGAAGAAAAAGGAATTTAAAAAAGGAAAATGGAAGCGATATGTTTCAAGTTGGCTTTTGAAGCAAAAGTCCAAATGCAGCTACGCATCATTCTGAATCTCTGCAAGAAGAATTCTGACTGACCTTCAAAGCATGGAGTTGACCTTGAAAAGGTAGCCCTAAACAAGGCTGGTAAGGCGACATGAAGTCAGCAAGAACAAAACAAACAATGGGAAAAGATCCTCTAATTTAAGAATGGACAAAAAGATAAAAAGGTAAGTGGCAAAGAAAATCACGTACCACTGCCTTCTTGCAACAAAGCAGTGCGAGAATGTTAGAGTAGGTAAAGGTATTTATTTTAACCAGCAAACCATTTCATCAAGTTTTGAAGTGCTTCTGCCTACAAGTGAACCTCATTTGCCACAACTTCTATGGGGGGGGGGGAAATACTGAGGCTCACCCTTGATTTTAAAAAATACCAATACAGACACATAATCTTTGAGCATTGGGGTAGGAATCTTGTCTTGAACAAATTTATTTATTGTACTCACCATCAGAGGGCACTACAGTACTGCAATAGACCACTCTCATGGTCTGCCAAGGAGGAAGCCTTTGGTGCGCCTAGCAAAGGAAAACAGGAAGGAAAGATTTATTAAGAGAAACAGCAAGTGCTAGGTTATTTCAGATGACCCATGCCAGGACACCAATCTAGCAACATCCTACTGTAGGGAAGACAATGAACTGGTAGGACCTTTCAGGAGAAATACTTCTTGTTGCCATCTGTCATTCAGTATGGATACAGTTCACGAGCCAATTCCCATACCTTACAATTTTTTGCTCATCTGAATTTAAAGCCAGGGTGTGGAGGGAGAGAATGGAATTGTTTGCAAGTCACAAAATCTTTAAAAAGTACTATAAGCAGGGCTTTTTTTAAGCTGGAACTCACCGGAACTTAGTCCCAGCACCTCTCAGGTGGGCGTCATTGCCATTCTGAGAGAACAAGGGAGGCGTTCATGGTGAGTTCCAGCACCTCATTTTCTAGAAAAATAGCCCTGATAGGAATTAATTTCCATTTTAAGCCAAGGGCATGAGTGTGCTAACAGGCTGCAACAAGATTCAAAATGCAAAACATTATCTAAGAAAGTAGGACAGCAATAAGTGTGAATCGCCAACACCCAGAATCAAAGTGATAGTGGTACATCTTTTAGGAATCCCAGCAGAAACAACTAAAAACATTTTGGTACATTTTACACAAGCAAACTGGCAGAAGCAGAGACAGAGGAAAATGTTTGCGGGCTGAAAGAGTAACTACGTAAGGGAACGCTTAAGCAGGACTCCTTAGAAATATTGGTTAATCCACACCAATTGCACATTTCTGCTTGAACTGCTTATTCAAACAACCCCATACAACAACAGAATACACATACAATTCCACGTAAAACCTGCTGCATCTGTTTCACTCTTAACTTATTTAATTAGGAAATCTGAATTTCATTCTGATGGAGCCATAATGGCACAATTACTGAATATTCCCACAAATGGCGGTTAATAAATTAATTTTAAAATCTTTTTATGGTCATGGCCATCCTACTTACTGCAAAATGCATGGACAATATTGCTAAACCCTGACCTTCAGCCACTGCTATCTAAATCTTCATATAAAAATTTAAAAGCCTAACTATTCTATGAAGCTTACAGCTGCACTTTTATCTTAAACTTCTCCATGCAGCAGCGAGGCTCCTTTTGAAAAGTGCTTACTTGCAAATAAGGGTATTTAGGACTACGGCTTTTAAATTTCTAAATTAAATTATTAATAGAAGCCATTAGTTTTCAGGAGCTTCGCAGTGTGTTAAGCCCATACCTATAGCATCTCTAACGTCTTGTTCAGTGTGAAAAAGAAAAGGTGACTTGGAATATGGTAGCTGATGTTTACCTTGAAACAGTACATTGTCAAATATCTGTGATATGTTATTCTCTCTGAAGTAAGGGCATACAATAGATGGGGCTACTTCCACAACTGCGGGTAAGGGAATGCAGTTTTCCTAATCTCAGAAATAGCCTTGCAATCTTGAATAGACCACTCGGATGAGCAGCTTGCTACAGAGGGGACTGCAGCAACATCTGCACTGACTCAGCCTGGAGGTCCTTAAGAGAAAAGGATGGCTCATTACTTGAGTTGCCAGCGAACATCCTCTTGTTGCTCTGCATTAAGGTAGGAATCAATTTATTCAGAGGACACCAGCTAGAAACTTGGAAAGAACAATTTCCTCTTCCATTTCCTAAGTACAATGCTGTATATAGAGGAGATTGCTCCAATATGCTGTAATTACCATGCTAAAAGGTAAAGGTAAAGGGACCCCTGACCATTAGGCCCAGTCGTGACCGACTCTGGGGTTGCGGTGCTCATCTCGCTTTACTGGCCGTGGGAGCCGGCGTTTGTCCGCAGACAGTTTTTCCGGGTCATGTGGCCAGCATGACTAAGCCGCTTCTGGCGAACCAGAGCAGTGCATGGAAACGCCGTTTACCTTCCCACTGGAGCGGTACCAATTTATCTACTTGCACTTTGATGTGCTTTCAAACTGCTAGGTTGGCAGGAGCAGGGACCAAGCAACGGGAGCTCACCCCGTCACGGGGATTCGAACCGCCGACCTTCTGATCAGCAAGTCCTAGGCTCTGTTGCTTAACCCACAGCGCCACCCGCGTCCCTAACTACCATGCTACCACACATCAAATGGCTTCACTGAACTACCCAAACTGACACGTTTCCTGTACGTTAACTTATCTTCTAGCATGCTATGTTGCCTCATACATTTTAGAATGGATGCTAGTGGGGGTGGTTCTGTATTGCACTGCATTGCTGTACTTTCCAGCACTGGTTTTTCTAAATCTTTTTTATTAATGGACCACTGCCACCAACACCAGCATCAGCATACCTGCAGATATATGGGTTGGCAAACATGTAGATATTTCCTTCAAGAAGTTCGCTATTATTGCTGGGTAGGGGACATAGGAAGCTACCTTATACTGAGCCAGACCACTGGCCTGTCTAGCAGAGTAATGTGTCTTCACTGATTCACAGTAGCTCTCAGGGTCTCTGACAGGAGACATTCCCAGCCCTCCCTGGAGATGCTGGGGATTGAATCAGGCCCCTTCAGGATGCTCTACCACTGAGTAATGGGCCCTGCCCCCCAAACAGCTGGTTGGTACTCATTGCTGCGTCTCCAATCCCTCAATGCACAACCAACTGTTTGCTGTTGGAATGAGTGTGGAGCCGTAGATACTCTTTCATACGTGATGGTTGGTTTGTTGACAATTGGCTTCCTGCACTGCGTAGGAGACATCCCAAGTGGAAACAACTGACAGGGGTTCATTCGCATGATATCACTATATATGGGACAAGGTCCCCTTCAGATGTAAATTTGTAAAGTTCTATAACCATGAGGGGTGGCACCCTGAAATATTGTATTCAGGCTACTGATGGAACCACACTCTGCCTCAATTTTATAAAATCTCAATTTCTTTGAACTAAACCTTTTGGTATTTGCTCCAAATTTTGCTTCAGCCCATTTTGCAGAAGACCTATAAGGTTAAATACAAAAAAGGGTATGTATCTGTACAAGATCGGCCACTGAAGGCTATCATGTTAAAAGTCGTTGGATATAGTCCTAAATTTCATAACTACTCAAACAATCCATACATACTTTCAAATGTCTAGTTTGTCCATACTACACAACTGCAATCCAGCTTGATTTATATTATAGTATATTCACTGCTACAGCTTCTGTTATAGTAATGCAATAGCTAATATGATGCTTGTGCAAGGTGGATCTAGAAATAACAGACACTCCTATTCCGTCTGGACTGGAGTTTCAGATTTAAAATAGCACGGGTCTGAAATGATCTCCTATGTGAAGGCAAAAAGTTGATCCCTCCATCTTGCTACCTCCCTTTCATTTGATTAACATGCATTCTCAACCACCCAAATTCTAATCGACAAAGTTATTGCTACTTATTTCCAGTAATCTTCCTTGCTACACTTATTTGCTCTGTTGGAATATCTGAAACTGCCTGAACGGGCTCTTCTCTATCCATGCAGTTTTGCAGCTGTTATCCCAACTAGCCTAGAGCCTCTGCTTAGGTACATATGTTTGCCTGATGGAAACAGGGAGGCAGAATCATTAATTCTCTCTCCACCTGGGTTCATATACCCGTAAACTAGATTGAGGCTGTGGCACCTGCTTTCCTATAAAATGTTATTAAGAAGAGAAAAGATTGAAGCTATGCATGTGATCAGCATATATAGCTGTTGATATCTAACTGTTGGTCACTTACTGCAACATGGTACAACAGGTCCTGTTTTGAAAACAGCAGTACAGTGGTACCTTGGTTTAAGCACAGCTTAGTTTATGAACAACTTGGATTAAGAACACTGCAAACCCGGAAGTAGGTGTTTTGGTTTGTGAACTTTAAGAACGCTTTGGTTTAAGAACGGACTTCCAGAACGGATTAAGTTCGTAAACCAAGGTACCACTGTAGTACAGTAAGATGTAATCAAGGGACTTGAGATGCAATGCACCTCTGTTATCAGGTCAATTTATGCTACACCTTCACAGAAATGATCCAATCTCCATTTTTCTTTTCTTACTTAACATCAATAAGGCCACTTCCTGGAAGAAACAGCACGTTTCTTCACTACAGTGTTACTCAAAGAAACATGAGGAAGTTCTTCTGATGGTGGCTCAGTATACAAGGCACCATACTATCAAGATAATAATAATAATAATAATAATAATAATAATATCTTTATTGTCATTGCCCCCTTCGGGTACAACGAAATTACTTGACTGCTCCATAAAAAGACTAATTAATCAATACAGTATAATACAGCAAGGGAGATTAGATGACTTTCAAAGTCCGGGCTTCCCATTCAGGGCCGAGATCGCTCTGGAGAAGAAGCTGTTCTTAAGACGGCTCGTTCTTGTCTTCATCGTCCTGTATCTCCGTCCCGACGGCAAGAGCTCGAAGAGACAGTGACCAGGATGCGATGGATCTTTTACTATGTCCAGTGCCTTCCTATGGCACCTTGTGGCATAAATCTGCTCTAAGGTGGAGAGTGGGCAGCCAACAATGCTCTCTGCTGCCTTAACAACCCTGCACAAGCCCATCCTGTCCTGGGAATTCACCTGGGAACAATATGTAACCCGGGCATGATATGAGTCCACCATCTTACTGAAGTTGGGAAGCACATGAATGCCACTTTGGGTTCCATGGCGGAAGAAAGGTGAAATATAAATATAAGAAAATTAATAAATAAATCCACTCTGAGGTCTTTGGAAAAGGAGTGGGATACAAGTGTGATAAACAGCAAGGAATTTTTAAAAATCTATCTTGTATCCCAAAGGGTTTGAGCATCCTGCACAGATACTTAAAATTTCAAACACTAAACAATGGGGTATCTTCCCCATCCACAGATAGGGTGCTGCTGAACATGAGAATGCCAGAATTTCCATGCAGGATGTCACCATAAAAGTCTATTTAATCTAGCCTTACACAGAGGTGCAGGTTAGTTTAATCAGTCTTCTACAGTGGTCAGTCAGGTGTCTCGAGAGAGTCCACAAGCAGATCAAGATAGATAAATCCATCTCATTTATTCCCACCCTCTTTGTTTTATAGCAAATTTGCACCCTGCTTTTCACACAAAAATGTCCAGTGTGTCTGAAATAAAATACACAGTATCAAAAGCAATCAAATGCAGAGCAAATGCCAACAGTAACAAAAACTAGGTGCAGACAGAAAAGGCATATAATGCAGACTAATTAAATAAAATTTGAAAACATCTGCCAGGACAGATGAGTTTTCAAAAGGTAGTGGACAATCATTAGAGGATGACAGAGAGCTCTCTTGTGGAAAAGTTTCACAGGCTGGGAGCAAACATAGAGAAGGCTATCTCCTGCATCTCATTACTAGAGATGCCTCAGAAACTGATGGGGTACACAAAAGAGCATCCTTAACAGAAGTGCAGGTTCCTATGGGAGGAGACAGCCCTTTAGCTATCCAAAACAATTTGCGGCTTTAAAAGTTAACAACCAGCACCTTGAGCTGAGTCTGGAAATGGATTCACTCCAGTTGCTACTGTAACAGTTACTGCAGAACTGCAGTAGCACCAAGTTGAGCAAGGTGGTTTCCTAGCACTTTAGCAGCAGACCCATGTGGAGAAATCTTTATAGTAGTCGGAAGTGAAGGTAAACAACTACAACCACGTCATTTGACACCTTGATCGAACCTATTTTGTCTAAAAGCAGGCACAGGCAGTATAGCAATCTTGTGTTGGGCAAAGCCATTCCCTTACGCCAGGGGTCAGCAAGGTTTATCTTGCCCGGGCCGGATCGGTCCCACGGAGATCCCTCCGTGGGCCGGATCATGTGTGTGCGCATGAGTGTGCTCCCTCCCTGGTGTTTTTCGGCGTCTGCAAGTGTGCAGACACAATTTCTGTCACTGCAGAAGCAAGTCCCCGCGCTGAGCTGTGCCAGTTCAGTGCAGCGCGTGAGTGGGTAACTGGGTTCAGGGGCAGATCGTGGGCCAGTCAAACGACCTCCACGAGCTGCTTCCGGCCCATGGGCCTTAGGTTGCTGACCCCTGTCTTACGCAGACAGAAGCATCTAGCAACCATGCTGCCACTTACCATGCTGCTATCGTGAATGAACACCGAAGAAGCTCGATTGTGCCCCAAATGTTAAAGCAGCAAGGTTTCAAGCAATTTTATGCAAAGCAACAACGAAGTGGAAGGACTGGAACAGCAGCGTGGGTATAGCAGACTCCCCAAATCAATCCTTTGCCTTTGGCATATGAGAGGAACATGAGATTAGGGCTCTATGCATGGCACACAGCAAGGAAAGTTTGACCAAGTTTTCTGATTTCTCTCCTCAGCTGTTTTATTTTAAAGACCAAGTGTAATGATAAAAAAAGTGCTGTACTAGGGGTTGTACTAGAAGACTTCCAGGTAAAGTTCTAGCCATGAAACATCTAGAATACGGGCTTAACAGACAACTATGCTGCATGAGAGAAAGTTTAGGATTCAAGCCTAGTAGCATATTTGTGAGCCACGGCTAATGCAAATTTGATTAAATAAGTTAATAGTGCAGCAACTATAAACACTGAGATAAATGAATCCATAACCCTTGAGTGCTGCTCCTGGTCTCCCCAGGCCACTATGCCATACAAAGCAGACTCCAATTTATAAAAGCATCAGTGATCTCTCATCTAAAGAGTGCTAAGCAATTTTAGTTTCTGATCTTAAGGGTAACAGAACGTAACACCTGCTACCCAACAAGAATTCAGCAGAATAATGAAGCTTTGGACCAAATAAAACTCAGCGCACATTCCAGACTTCATTGATTATTGTCAGGGAACTGACATCGGAGCTAGAGGCGGAGGGAAGGCTCTCAAATGATGCTGGAGAAGGGCCCAGCAGGGAGAGAGGCAGCTCATCAGCTGGGGAAGCAAATCAGCGCAACACCAGGGATAAAGGGGGGCAGATGGGGGAATCGGCGAGAGGGCTCCAGGACTCTTCACCGGACACCAGCGGGGAGAGCACGGGTCCTCTGCTACCCACGCCCTCCCTGCGCAGAAGACTTCCGCGCAGGGAGAGTAGGAGGAGACTTGGCGTCAAACAGCTTTTATGCTGGAAAAGGTTTAAGAAACGCCCACCGACGGATTCTGCTAGCGACTGAAACAGCCACGAAGTGAAGGGCTGTCCAGACAGAAAAGGTTTAACAGGGCAACCTAGCCAGGAGTGGCGGCAACTTACGCACGAGCAACCCCTATATTTATTACAATTATGTTTCACAACTATTCATTCAATGACATTTAGTTAATAGCCAGAATGTTCTGGCATCAATTCAGGAAGCAATACTAAATAATTACACCCAGATTTCAATTGAAGGCATGTGTTTACCTTTAAGAGCATCTGGTAACAGATCCATAGGGATAAGGAGGGTTTCATCAGTTTGAGAACATGCACAAGCTGTAAGAGTTTGGAAGTTTTATTCCCTCACTATCTGATTATGGATACTTGGCAGATAAGGTTCATGCACAGAGGCCCATTAAGAGCTCAATGGTCCCACCTAGGGTCTCTGGGTTTCATCCTAATGGTAAAAACAGCTTATCTCCTGCCTCACCTCTCACTGTCACAGTGGTAATGCCAACAGGCATTTTAAAAGTCAGAGCACACAAGAAGCTTCCATAATTCAACCTCCACCCCATAGACTAGAGTAATGTTTGTAATCTAGATAGAATGTATCGGTCATCATTTTAAACAGGATACCAACTACCAGTGTAGCTGGTATTGATTTAATTACCACCGTCTTTTCTTTTTTGATCAATGACTCCATTCTGACATAATGTTTTGTCCATTGCTTGTTCCCCCTTAACCATAGTTAAGTGTTAACATTTGAATAGCTGCTGCATAGTTAAGGATGGGGTGCAAATCTGGATATGAAAGCTTTGTTTGGAATGGGTTTGCAACCCACTGTTTGCATTATTCGTAGCAAAATCTTGCTTCAATACAGAATGAACCATCATTTCCCTACCTTCCTAACCTCTTTGCCTGCATGATGAAAAGCAGTTTTCATGGGCATTTCCATAGTACACAATCCCTTAGTAGGGTTTAACTCTTAGCTCAGCATATAGTTTCTCTGCACATTCAGGCTCTTAATAAGGGCTTAGGCTACCAAACATGGCTACATATGATGTCTATACTGGTCCAATATATGCCAATTACATTCGCTTCTACCCAGTTTAGGTAGCCTATTCTAGATAATTTCTGGTCAGCTAAGTTCTACCTTTCTAAATTCAATGATAATAAAGGGTAAAGGTAAAGGGACCCCTGACCATTAGGTCCAGTCGTGACCGACTCCGGGGTTGCAGTGCTCATCTCGCTTTATTGGCTGAGGGAGCCGGTGTACAGCTTCCGGGTCATGTGGCCAGCATGACTAAGCCGCTTCTGGCGAACCAGAGCAACGCACAGAAACACCGTTTACCTTCCCGCCAGAGCAGTACCTATTTATCTACTTGCACTTCATGCTTTCGAACTGCTAGGTTGGCAGGAGCAGGGATCAAGCAACGGGAGCTCACCCCATTGCAGAGATTCGAACAGCCGACCTTCTGATCAGCAAGTCCTAGGCTCTGTGGTTTAACCCACAGCGCAACCCGCATCCCTCAATGATAATAGATTCATGGAATTTCTCAGATGTGTTTGTGAACACATGAAGACACACACAGAACAGGAACAGCAATCATTCCCCCCACAGAAGTAAGAAATCCAAATAGCAGATTAAATTTCTGCACTTCAAGCTAACAGAATATTCCATACAGACACAACCTTACACACCTCTAATTTCCTGTCTTACAGTAAAGTCTAGCACTGGGACACTTAATTAATTGAATACTGAAGCTCTGGAGCTAGGTGTTCAGCTCCTATTTTCTGTGTGGGAAAATTAAAAGCTTTTTACATCATTATGCTGCAGGTCCCTCAAAAACGAATCCAGTCACGTCTGAACCAGAGTCAAGGCAATTAGCTACCTATGGCTGAAAAGACAAATCTTGCTTCCAGCTCTGCACTGTGAAATAAAAATCCATTTTTGGCTCTGACATACAAGCACCTCCAAACCTGTTGGCCACAATCCCAGTAACATTACAGGAGTGCTGCAAGCTTTCCTAAAGCAATCTCAGTGCCTTTGGCTGTCAAATTAGTGATGGACTAAACCTGCATGTCATCTCAGCCTCTGCTTTCCTCCACCCGTGCTCCTTCCCACTCTTTAAGCAATCATATATTCTACAGCAAATGACAGAATTACAGAATAACCAAATTAGAAGGTTTACAGAAATGTGACGATAACTACACATTTACTAGGAAACTATATTCTCTTGAATGGGAGCAAAGTCTGAAGACAAGGCAGCTACATCTTCGGTTTGGATAGTTCTCATATACAGTATTGCAGGATATAAATAACCAGTGGGAGAGAATAAGCAGGTATCAGAAACTTAAGTTGTTCTTGCCCCCTTGAGCTCTGGTGAGGAAACAATGCATTTGCTCCGATGGCTGCAATAGCTTTTCTGAGAAAGCATGAATGCAGAAAGAGAAAAGAATGAAAATATATGCAAGCAAAGCCATTCTAAGCGAACGAGGGAGGTGTTCATAGCGAGTTCCGGCACCTCTTTTTCTAGAAAAATAAGATTAGAAATAGAGATAGAGAGGTGCCATAACTGTGTTCCAGTGAGTCCCAGCTGAAAAGTGTTGGCGAGCGCGCTCTCTCTCTCTCTCTCTCTCTCTCTCTAAATATTTTCAGAGAGGGAGAGAGATGCCAATATTGGGGCACACCAGTCTAAGACTGATTATGTACCAGGGCAGCAACATTGGACAATTAGTCCCACTATAATCTTGAATATCAATTTTATTCCTGTGTTAAAGAACATTAATTACAGTTCTTTTTAAAGATCAAGCTTTTTGTTGCAAAGAACTAATCAATATGCAGCTTGGTGGATGGCCTTTTTTGGCTTCCAGTCTCAGAAAAATATATTTAGAGTCCATTTCAATGATCTGCTGAGCAGATTCTACATTGCGAGGGCATAAACCTATTGAGGTGCTATTTATTCTTTTTCTTTTAATTTAGGTAATTTATAATGCAAAACTTTCTGTAATATATACCATGCACATTTTTATGCTTTAAATTTAAATGAGTTTCAGGTATATTTTATTTTGCTGACCTTTGTCTTACTATGGAAAATAGACTAATTCAATAAATTCCATTATATGGGTGTTGTGGCATGCGTATATATGTGCGTGTACATATATTTTAAGTGAGCATGGGCAACTTGTGGCCTTCAAGATGTTGCTGGACTCCCAGCCAATATGATGAGGGACAATTGGAACTGTCACCCAGCAACATCTCAGGGCCACAGGTTTCCCCATCCCCAAGTACTCTCCTTTCTACACAACAGCAGCCATAAGAATTTGGGTGACAACTTTTTCCCAAGCTTACCCAAGCTGTGCACTGGAGCCTAGCATCTTCCTTGTTTGCAATCTGTCTGAATAATGACTCTGCCTTGCGCCTTTTCCTGGCCATCATAACTCTGTCTACTGCAGCTAGGGCATATGTTTTAGATAGCAAAACATTCTTGACATACCAGTGTCTTTACAGTACAGCAAACAAACAATCCTTTTGGTTAAAGTTATAGCCATGGTTCACTACTTAGGTCGAGCTCATGGACTGGTGGGAGACCCAGAGGTTGGAAACTGTATCTGGGATTCCTTATATATTGTAATTCTTGGTTCATTCTGATCGGTTTGCAGGGCATTTAGATGATATTGCATCAAAGCAAGAGTGATCATACACTTTCCAGTACATTTTCCTCATCTCAAAATGCTAGATCTTTGAGGGTTGTGGGGTTGTTGTGCAAGACCAAAATATGGACAGTCTGGAAGTGCCCACAGATTAGTCTGCATGTAAAAGAATAGAAGGAAACAAACCAGAGAATTTGGACACCACCTCTGCTGATGTTCATTCTCGGGAGGCAGGCATTAAAGAGCTCTTTGCCTGCCTCATTCCCTCTGTCTATCTATCTCTCTCTCTCACACACACCCTTCACTGTGGCAACATGATGCTTGTGGAAAAAGAAAGCCCTCATATAGTCTGGTTTAACCATCATTCCTGTGATTATGTGGAACATGTTGCCAATATTATTATTATTATTATCCCCCAAAGCAAATCTAGTAACTGAGTTCAGCATTACTATATAAAAACAGAAAGTGTGCCTCTTCTTGTGCCTCATTGTGAATCAAAGCAGCTGAGGTACATTAGGGTGGGGGAGAACAAAACTCTTAGAATCACAGGCTATGCTGGTGACCAGAGAGGGTGCCTCTCCCAAACCTTGATTTATAACAGTGTGCTTCATACATAGGGGGCAATTTGAAGTATCTTGTAAGGGGAAGAACCATGAAAGTAGAGCTCCAGCTCTTTGGTCTTCCCAAAGCTATCTTCTGTTTTCAACAGCAAGGGGCTTGTTGTCACTTATTCCTTGACTCAAACCTGGAAGCTGTCACAGACATTTCCCTGCCTGTGCGTTTGCCTTGCATTAGTAAGAGAAGTCAAAAATAGGTTAGAATAATCTACAGGAGAAGCAGGGAATGCAATCTTCCTGAAAAGGGGAAGCCATTATTCTGTTACAGTTATGCTTATTATTCACACAGCCAGTTCTATTTTCCCAAATAACCATTTTTTGTACTTGGTCTTGATACTGAGCCATGTAAGAGCCTAGCAATTGTTTCAGGGTTCTGCTTCTGTGGCCCTGGGACTCCAGCTGCTTCTGTGTGCCTGTCCTGCTGCTGCTCAAAATAAACATGGCACAGCATCCCTTCTGAGGCAGGGAGGGAGAAAGGAGAATAACTTCCCCCCTCCAAATGTTCTGCATGAAGAAGATGCTGGATTCATCTCCAGCTTAAAAATACCTCAGCTGCATGGCTTGCAAAGACTCGTAGGGCCTTGGAGCATCTCTGCCAATCAGGACAGACATACTGGGCAGCGTGACCAATGGTATTACTCTGAGTGGATGAGCACTATGCTCTCATATACAGTGGTACCTCGGGTTAAGAACTTAATTTGTTCTGGAGATCCGTTCTTAACCCGAAACTGTTCTTAACCTGAGGTACCACTTTAGCTAATGGGGCCTCCCGCTGCCACTGCGCGATTCCTGTTCTCATCCTGAGGTAAAGTTATTAACACGAGGTACTATTTCTGGGTTAGCAGAGTCTGTAACCTGAAGCGTCTGTAACCCGAGGTACCACTGTATCTGAAGCAATGGCTGCCACGGGAGAAACTTCCTACCGGTAAGAGCTGTGCAACGGTGGGACAGATGACAGTGGAAAGTGGTGGGCTCTCCTTTGCAGCAACTGGGGCACCTGTCAGGGATATCGTCATTGCATCCTGTATTAGAGATTCTCTGTTGATTTAGGAGGTTGAGCCAGATGACCTTCAAGATCACTTTCAGATCTAAAATGATGCGATTTGATATTCCCAGACATAAATTTTCAGTGCTCCCTAGAGAGGTGCTTGATGGAGAGGCAACCATTTAAGGGGGTGAGCATTTTTGCCTTCCACCCCATCACCTTGCAGCCTCAAAAAACCTGTTGCCTAGGAGACAGGGCTACATGGAGCATTTGGTGGCAAGACTAACGTCTAGGCACTGAGTGTATATAGGGATCTGAAGGAAGAGTGACCATCTTTACTTCCCCAGATAAGTAATAGGTGAGACCCGGGATGAAAATTGTCTCAAGTGGATAGGTGTATCCTACAACCACAGTCAGCTTTGGGGTGTTGTTGGTTTTTTAAAGTGAAACAATACAAAAGTTAAATAAGATAATACTTGTGTGGCATGGTTTAACATCTAAGTAGGAACACAATCCTTCCTTAGATAGATAATGTAGCTTTCGGTTTTGCCGTGATAGAAAGCTGCTACTAGACTGGCCTGTGGAGAGACTGTAACTAATTAGAATGCCAAATTGATAGCTTTGAAAAACAAAATGCTGTTATTACAAGATAGTCTGAGACAAAGTTGAAGCTATTAATCTTGATATGGGAGGGTGGAACTCACCGTCCCCAAAGTAATTGAATTTTTGTTATTACAGTCTACAGAATTTAACAACAGCTTACAGAGCCTAACAGTCTGTTACCACAACATTTGCACAAGTCCGCATACGGACCATTTCAGCATCCAGAATCTTCAGACAGATCCAATTCCTAGTTCACAGAGTAGAACTACTGAGATAAGACAGAATTTCTACCTTGAGTGACTTTTGTGCTCTTAAATCCCTGTGAAGCGTAACAGCAGTTCGATCTAGAGTGTTTGGGGCACAGAAAAACAGGAGAATGTGACTGTTTTATTGCATCCCCAAACCTATCTGCTTGCAGGTGGTATTATTTACCTGCATTTCCATAACTGACCTATAACAGAGAGTCCTCTACAAGGCTCACAAAGCACCTGAACCTCTGCTAAACAGGAAGAACAAGAGTTCAGCTGAAACACTATATCTGGACTTAATTCAAAACAAAACAAAAACTTATGCATAGACACACATTATCAGACAGCATTAAAGAGCCAGTGCAAAACTGAGCATCCCTGTCTTCAGTGATTACAGTGTTCTTCTTAATTCAGCACTTTGACATGAACTAGGGTAAGAAATAAGGTTGTTTTCTAGGCTGCCCTGTAAATGATTCACTAAGTTACTACACTTGATACATACAAATAATTATACAAATAACCATGTTTACCCAAACATTTTAAACATATTATTATTATTATTATTATTATTATTATGTATATGAAAATGAACTAGTGCAGGGAAACCATGAGTTAACTTGGAACATTCCAGTTACTAACCGTAGTATGCTTAAAGAATGAGCATGGTCCTAGATATTTGCTTCAATATCCAGTGTATATTAAGTTGAAGGATTTATATTTGAAAATTCAGAACTATGTGACAGGTGCTCTGCTCTGTTCCCAGGCAATACGTACTGGATCCAATAAGGAGTAAAATATTCACATACCAATGAATATATTAGCTCCTGGGGAAACTGATGGGTTTAGACATAGCACAACCTTCACTTGTTTTAATTGCCAAATTACCAGCTTTAGGAAACCTTTTTGCCAAGCAATGACAATAGAAGATCTACATTGGGTGAAGGGCTACAACACAACTATTTGCTTTAACATGCTGGTTGCAATCATTTTCTATTTCCTGATGGGCCTGAAACAGTAGTCGTCACACTCCTAGAACTGCACGGGAGCAAGCTTTATCATGGAGATGTGGAATTTTCACAGTTGCCCAGTCCCGCAACCATATACCCTTCTGTAGGTTTGATGCAACATGCCCAAAAGCTTGGTGGAGGAGCCAAGTTCTGAACTGGTGAATTACCCAAGTGGCACAAAGGGGATGGGGGCAAGGCCACACACAAAAACGAAGGAAGCAAGAGACTCTGATAGTGAAAGAGGAAGGGAAAAAGAGCACCAAGAATATTATGGGACCTGTGTTTCTTCCTTGCACAAATTCCAGCAGGAGGCAGACATTTTGCCTCCCCTTATTTGCAGCTTTACATAAGCCTTCAGAAACTATTTGGTCTGCAAACACAAGGGCTGGTGCAATTTCTTTGCTAATGCTGCTTGTGGTCCAACAGCACAATATGTTTGCTTTATTAAAAAAAACCGTGCAGAATATTAATGTCAGGCTCAGCAGAATAAATGTTCCAAAAAGACCATTAATTTGAGAAGAAAAGTAACAACAGATGAAATATTCAAACTGTGCTAATATAAAGTAAGTAGCATAATTTCCAGTTATTGATGGCACAGCTTCTTGCAAAGTACTCTGGAGAGAGAACTATTCCTTGGTATAAGATAGGTGTTTGGTAAGTGGTAATTTTCATCAGTAAAGGCTGCAAATTATATATTGAACTCCAAGTGTAATAATTTGATCAAAATATTCAACAACTACGAGGACAAAATAATAGGGAGTGCTTTTGACCCTAACTGCTACTACTCACTAAATAGCCTTTTAAAATAAGGTTTATGCCTCTTTGGAGCATGCTGTTACTTAAGAGCAACAATTTACACAACCGCCCCTCCTCATTTAATGGCTCACCCAAAGGCCAAACTACATGTGACCTTAACTATATAGTTCTACCCGAGTTTCCCCACCACAACATGCAGGGGAGCATTCCTGATCCCCCCCCCCCCCGTGTGTGTGTAGCCAGCACACACCTGTGGTCTCAATATGAATCCAGCTCTCTCTCACACCTGCATTTTGCACTGAAACAAAGATCTCATTGCCGTATTTTTCACTCCATTGGACGCAGTTTTTCCCCTCCAAAAATTGAGGGGAAATGTGTGTGCGTCCTATGGAGCGAATGCAGGCTTGTGCCATAGCCGCGCGCAACCCCTCCAGCATGGAGAGGCTGCATGGGGCTATGGCTTCTTTAGCCCTGCGCAGCATCTCCCGGCAGGGAGGGATTGCGCGGGGCTAAAGAGGAAGCCAAAGCAGCCAGCGGGATCCATCCCGCTGGCTGCCTTGGCTTGTTCCATAGCCACGCACAACCCCTCCAGCAGGGAGAGGTTGTGCGCAGCCTGTACACTGCTCTTTGGGGCTGGGGGGGGGAAAGATTTTTTTTATTGATTTCCCCGTCTAAAAACTAGGTGCGCCCTATGGTGCGAAAAATATGGTAATTTCAGTAGGAACTTCTTCAAGGAAATTGCACACGTGGGGATTTCAGTCTGAATCAGGACAGCAGAGGGAGCAAAGTACTTAAAGAACCCCATTAGAATCCAAATCTGGAACAAGCTTCCCAGAGTCTAACAATTTGTGGAGAAACCCATGCATGGCATTGTTCAGGTTGTGCGCAGTTTGGCCCTGAGTCACTATACTTTCTTTAACTCGGGCAAGACTTTAAAAGAGTCTCAATACCAGGGGACTTTATTGATGTGGCATGGTGACACATCAATGCAAAACAAACAATCAATTTCAGTAATCTCGTATTTTCAGCACACTATGTATTATATATTTTATTATGCTAGACTTTCAACAGGCTGCCACAGAGCTGAAGCTATTTCAATGTGTGCAAGGAACACACCTGAAGTTGAAGTCACTATTAGGGACATCAGAGAATTCTGATAAAAAACAGCAACAGGAGAATAAACTGCCAGTGTTTGCTTAATTGCCTCATGTCTTTAACATAAATTGTTCCGGCAAATACAACTGGTATTCACTGTTGTTGTTTGGTCCACAAACTATATTTAATTGATTACATCCCCACCATTTGCATTGCATAGAAATGAATGGGGTGGAATAATCTAATGACAATGTACCGGTAATTGTGTGATTTAGCTGCAGCAAACAGGGAGACAAATAACGTAGTATTTGACAGAAGATGCAGGGGAACAGAAGCAGTGCTGCATGTGACAAATACAGGATGGGACAGAAAATTATGCCTTCTTACACTACACATACCAACGTGAAGTCATTTATTCATCATTTGACAGATGTGATAACCGGTTATGTTTATCCTAGAAACCAAGCCTTGGCTTTGGGGTTGTTGTTTTTATTTAAAAAACAGCTTGCGGTGTTATTGTGAGCAGTTTTTCATTGGCTCTGCACTTATGAAAAGATGACAGCTTTTCCAAGCTTGATTAGGGTTTATTCTGCCCTGCACAACACTATAATTTAGAACTGAGTACCATGAAATCTAAAACAAATTGAGGAACTGGTGTGGCTTCTCTTCAAAACAATCTAACATTCTGTTAACATCAAACCAGAGCTACATACTTAGCCAAATTGCTGCATAGTTGTAGCTGAGAGTAGCAGAGACAAGCTAGTTCATAAAGCCTGTAGGCAGGACTTGTTTTATTTATTTTTGTACAGCACCTAGGAATTTTAAGCACTGCACAAAGTTAAAAACACACCCTACCTGCTACTTCTCTGCTTAAAATTGTGTCCACTGCTGTTCTGCAGCTCTTTTGAAAAAGAAAACATACCAACTCCATGTGCAATACAGTGGTACCTCAGGTTACATACGCTTCAGGTTACACACTCCGCTAACCCAGAAATAGTGCTTTAGGTTAAGAACTTTGCTTCAGGATAAGAACAGAAATCGTGCTCCAGTGGCGCGGCAGCAGCAGGAGGCCCCATTAGCTAAAGTGGTGCTTCAGGTTAAGAACAGTTTCAGGTTAAGAACGGACCTCAGGAACAAATTAAGTACTTAACCCGAGGTACCACTGTACTTAGAAATGTGAAAACTGACCAAAAAAAGTCATCTGGAAAAAGTAGCATATGTGATAAAGGAGTTTAGTCTGTAAGGTATCATAGAAATTATTATTGATACAGAGGCATACTCTGATATATACTTCTTTATGTTATAATTTAGTTACAATAATAACAGGGAGAGTGATTTGTTGGTCCCATGGCCAATATACAAAAGACCTTTACCTATCTGATTTTAGTTCTCTTGCCAGCAGTGGAATTCAGAAGCTAAAAAGGCTAGTGCTATTCTAGGCTTCATGAACAGAAGAATTCAAATATCAGACAGTAACGGTACTACTTTATTCTCTTTGGTCAGACCTCATCGGCAGTAACTTCCCCCATTCTGGGTACTGCAGTTTAAGGAATGTGCCCATGGGAGAGTGAGAAAGACCAAGTCCTATGAGGAAAGGTTGAAGGAATTAGGTAAGACAATTAAGAGGCAGTTTGATACTCCTATTCAAATAGGAGGTGACACATAGATGATGGAGCAAATTTATTTTCTTTTTCTCCAGAGGTAGAGGGTGGGATCAAAATCAATGGTTTCAAATGACAAGAAAAGGAATTTCAAATAAGGACTTCTGATGACACAAGATGTTCAGACTGCCTCAAAAGGTAGTGGACTCTCCTTTAAGTTTTTTTTAAACAGAGGCTGGATAGTTACCCACCAGGGATTCTTTAGCAGCAGGTTTCCTGCATCAGTCAGAAGATGACTTTTGAAGTGAAGTCCCTTTCAGCTCTATGATTCTGTTTTTGCATCCTTTTCTTGAGCTAAAAAATAGCCTTATGCAGATAATGAGGATCATGAGAGAAAACATTTCAACACATGAGTACAGAGAAAGGGGGACTGAGAGGCTAAGGTGACTCAAAAGAGATACAGTGGTACCTCAGGATGCGAACAGGATCTGTTCCAGAGCCCCAGTCGCATCCCGTATGGAACGCAAGACGCGATGACGCGTCTGCACACACACACAGGTCATGTTTCGCCGCTTCCGCACATGCGTGTGACATCATTTTTAGCATCTGCACATGTGCGAGCGGCGAAACCCGGAAGTAACGCAACTCGAGATGCGCTCAACCCGAAGCACATTCAACTCGAGGTATGACTGTACTAGAAAATTGGGTTGTTGTTTTTATTTTGATTATATATTTTGTGGTTTTATATTTTGATTTTATTCTGTGAACTGCCCTGAGACCTGTGGGTATAGGGCGGTGTGTGTGTGGGTGTGTGGGTGTGTGGGTGTGTGGGTGTGTGGGTGTACACAGCAAGTCAACAAAATACACAGTCTTCAATGATTTTAGGGGGAAATCATCTCCGGGGGGGGGGGGATAAATTACAGGAGAGGTGTAAAGTTCTATGCTTCTATGACATCTTCTTTTTAGCCATTCATTTAACATCAGCCTTAACTTACCCAACCATGCACATGCAGAAATATACATTCATATATTTTTCTCCATATCCACTTTCAATCAATACATGATCTGTTTGTTCATTCACCTTTTTTCTGCCCCACCACACACAAGCTATATTCATTCTTAACCACAACAGCAAATATCCTTTCCAGTTCTGCAGCTCTTTAGGCACCATTTTATTTAAAAACAAACAAACATCATGGTATATACAGTGATATAAGGCAGGTCATTCAAACTTTTCAAAGTGAAACACATTTATTTTAAATCATAATTAATCACAAACCTATTTCATGCCTCATTGACTCATGCTTATATGAGTTTAGATTGTGGCATTGTGCACTGTTCATTCATTAAACAAGGGTGGTGAATCTGCGGCCCTCCAGAGGTCAGTGGACTACAACTTCCATAAGCTACTGACCATGTCGGCTGGGCCAGATGAGAGTTGGAGTCCAACAACGTTCCCCACCCCATCCCTTCATTAAACCCTTTAAGCACACTTATTCCCAATTCCCAATATTCCCAATCAAGGTAATGAAAGGGTTTTAAAAAGCAAGGTTGGCAAGGAAAGACTTGAAAGCCAGCACATTCATTCATTTGTGTCTTTGTTTGTTTGTTCATTCATTTTTCTTACATCTGTATACCACTTTTATCTACCAAGGGTCTCAAAGTGGTGTACATGGTTCCCTTCTTCCCCATTTCACCCTCACCACAACCCTGTGAGGTAGGTGAGGCTAAGAGATGGTGACTGGCCCAAGGTCACCCAGTAAGCTTCATGGCTGAGTGGGGATTCAAATCCTGCTCTCCCCAGGTTAGGGCCAACCATTATGCCAAACAATTTTTTTTTTCATATTGTGTAGAATACACCAAATAGATACAAAATAAAGCACTTTTTTGGAGTAAAACATGCCAGCTGTACTAACACGTGTACATGATTATTCAGAAATCAGCCCCAGTGGTACTTACTTTCTGGTATAGGTATGGGACTTCACCCTAAAGCTGTGTTATGACTACATGCAATACTTTTAGGCTTAAGGTTTGTTTCTTGAGCAATGCAAAAGCTCACCAATAAAAAATATTCTGACGAAAGCCTAAACAAAATTTTACTGACTAACACAAGTTTTAGATGTGCTATATAGTGAACACAAAGGGGAGCAGGTGGAGCTGTGGTCTAAACCACTGAGCCTCTTGGGCTTGCCGATCGGAAGGCTGTCAGTTCAGATCCCCAAGACAGGGTGAGCTCCCATTGCTCTGTCCCAGCTCCCACCAACCTAGAAGTTTGAAAGCACTGGTGCAAGTAAATAAATAGGTATCGCTGTGGTAGGAAGTTGAACAGCATTTCTGTGCACTCTGGTTTCTGTCACGGTGTTCCATTGCACCAGAAGCAGTTTAGTCATGCTCAGCCTGAAGCAAGATGACCACTGCAACCTCATAGTCGCCTTTGATTGGACTTAACCATCCAGGGGTCCTTTACCTTTACCTTTACCTTTTTAGTGAACACATGGTGTGAGGATATCAAGATATACTCTTTTGTCAATGGAGAAACAAGCTTTTGTCTTTGATTGAAGGCACTAGAATTTTATTGAACTATTTGACCAAACTCAGTTATTCTTGAACTACAGCCCAGAATACCTGGTGAGTCATGGAAATAATTTTAGTAACTATAGAAGGCATGATAAAAGCATTACTACAACACTTTAATAGAACTCAGCATCCTTTTATACTCATGCCTTTAACAGCGTTTTTATATTTGGCAATGTTTTAATGCCAAAGAGCAAACTCAAGGAAATGTAGAATAAAAACACGTGATTTTAGCTATAAGCCATGACCTTAAAATAATTTTTGTATTTGAAAATCTTCTGCCCAATTAAACACAATCCTAATTCACAGAATTCTTGCTTGCAAAAATCATTTTGCATGATTTTACCGAGCATGTTCAAGTGTGTCCATCTTTGCCACTAAGAAACAAGCTAAACCCTTGTCTACTATAAATATTTAAGTAGCTGCACACAAGCAGAGGTTGGAAAAAGATAATCAAAGTTTTCATTTAATGAAAGATCTGTTTTCAGTAGGTATTTGGGTGTGTTGTGACTTTGGTAAGTCACAACCCACACTAGTGCTGACAGAGAGCAGAAGGAGGAGTAACGGGTGTGCATATTTGCAGGGTGTGCTGTTTGGTTTTGGGAGCATACTTCTTGCCAGTTTAGAATTGGCAAGCTTATTTCTGGCTGAAAAAATATGTCCTACCTGATATAATCAAACAATCCAAGGACCAATTCATTTTTATGTCAGACAGGAAAGCCTTTGTACAACTGGGATGTCCATGCGCATAGTTATAGGCACTGTCAATCACTTTCATAGTTTGTCATAGAAGTGGAATTTAACTTCAAAAAAATGAAACTTCCCCAGAATGAGGGAATTGGTAAAAAGGAAGTTGAGATGGAAAAGTCAAGAGGGTCAAATCTCTCCAGAATGCTTGAGGCTTCTTCAAAACCAAAATAACAGAAACTCAGCTGAAATTGATGCCACATGTGAGGTGAGAAGACTGTTTTATAGAATCATAGAATTGTAGAGCTGGAAGGGAACCTAAGGGTCATCTAGTCCAACCCCCTGCAATGCAGGAATCTCAACTCTGCTTAAAAACCTCCTGAGGAAGACTGTTCCACTGTAGCTGGTTGACTGACTGAACCCAAAGAGTGCTCATTAATGATTCCTCAACATTCTGGGGGAAAGTGCCAAGTGGGGTGCCACAGGGTTCTGTCCTGGGCCTGTTGTTATTCAAGTCGTTTACAAGGAATTATGAGGATGCTCATCAAATTTGCAGATGACACCAAACTTGGAGGGATAGTTAATGCCGCAGAAGACAGAATCCGGATTCAAGATGACCTTAACAGATTGGAGAACTAAGCCCAAATTAATAAAATTTAATTTCAACAGGGACAAATGTAAGGTTCTGCACTTAGGCAGGAAGAACCCACCTCTGGCACATGGCCCCAGAAAGGTTGGTGAGAAGGGAATGAGAAAAAGGAATGTTGGAAAAGGTTCTGCAGCCTGCTTCTGAAAGCTTTTACAGTGGTACCTCGGGTTACAGATGCTTCAGGTTACAGACGCTTCAGGTTACAGACGCTTCAGGTTACAGACGCCGCTAACCCAGAAATAGTACCTTGGGTTAAGAACTTTGCTTCAGGATGAGAACAGAAATCATGTGACGGTAGTGGCAGGCCCCATTAGCTAAAGTTGTACCTCAGGTTAAGAACAGTTTCAGGTTATGAACAGACCCCCAGAACGAATTAAGTTCTTAACCCGAGGTACCACTGTATTATGTTTCACTCAGTTTCCCACTGGACAAACAATCTCTTAACTCCAAAAGCATGTGCATGCCTTCTTATGTGATGCACAGACACATATAAGCTCTCTCCAGATAACATTTGAGTTCACCGCAGACAAATGTTTGCGCGTTCTAACGTGTGATCTTTGTCCTAAAGGGCAATGGAAAGCATTCAGTTTCTCAAACTGGTACTATCTCTCATGACATCATGAATGTGGGGAGAATTAACTCGGTCCTTTGTCTTGGAGCACGAAACCACAGTATAACCACTGCCTGCCACTGAACTGAAACCAAAAAGTGTTATATTGGAAGCAATCTTCTTCATTATGTTTCCAGACGTAAAGGAAAAGAAAGAAGCCCCTGGGATCTTCTCAAAGCCTTGACCTCTGTGAGAAGCAGAAGAGCAGTAGACTCTGTCAGGAATACAATCCTTTTTGCTCAAGCAGCACTGCAGATTGTTAGAATTTTAATGTGCCCACATTAAATGATGGCTCCTGGCCAGCTTGGTAATCGTGTGTACTAACTTTCCAAAAGGCAGGGTAGTTTGTCTCCCTTCGCTAAATCACTCAAAAACTAGAGTGGGCAGATTGGCATTTTATAACAAAAAAAAATCCCCAACAATAGGGCATTTTAGAAATATGTATATCCCCTGACAAACTCATCAGGATAAACCAAGTCGTAAAATATTGAAGTGAGACATAGCTGGGCTTGCAGCTGTTTGGTCAGGTGTTGTTAATGAGGGACAAACATCTTTCATGCATGGAAGGAGAAGACGTCCTTGCTATATTTGCTACGGTCCCCTACAGAAATCCTCTAACATGTTAACATCTGAGCAATATTGCTAGCCCTCCCCTGAATTACAAGAGTCAGGTGCATTCTTCTAGTATTTCCTCCGTATAATAAATATACAAGAAGCTAAGGAAAGAGATAAGCCTGGACAAAAGGCTGCTCTTATTAAAAAAATCAACTGAAGAAAATGTGGAAGAATGTGTTATTAAAAATAAATAAAAATGAATCATTTCCCATAAAAGGCAACAACAACAAAAAGACATTTGAGAAAAACTGAGGAGGGGTGGGGGAAAGAGGTAAGGAGGAAAAAGATTTCCCTGGGCCAGCAAATTTGCTTACATATCAAGGCTGGGTGCAGAGGAAGAATTTACAAGTGACTATGGAGCAGAACAAATATGTATCTTATTTGAAACTATAACTTTGTTATAGTTCTCCTTCCTTACTGGGCCAATAGGAAAATTCATAAAACCCTATTAAATTTCCATACACTAACAATTAGCCAACCCATTCTCTCGTTACTCCATGTCATTAGAAACTCTGACCTCTAAAAGTCTTTTGGATTTGGTAGCCTTCTCACAGTCCGTGTCTCTAAATAACTGACCTTTCCATATTCCCCACCTCTTAGCACATGACGATCGAAACAAAGACAACTTGTTGCTATCAAGATTTCCATTCCATCTAATGAAAATAAAGGTGCATAGCAGGTCAGATATCAACCACAAAACAAAAAAATCTAGCTTCGTTAGAGATGCCAGCATAGTATTTTAGTGACCCATCCCAATCTTAGGAACCTCTATATCCCAAAAAAGGAATTTAAAGAGCCTGAAACTTTCTATTTTAAGCTTGTATTTCCACAGAGGATTAATATAATTAGATTTTAGGAGAAATTGGTACATCGTGATTCTCGTAAGATAGGCTCCTCGGTGCAGGAAGGTTTCTGTGAATGCACTTCACTGTAAAAAAAACTGTCTCACTCCTCAGTCCTCATATAACCTGAAGGCTTTTAAAGGTTTCATAACAGAAAGCTGTGTAACAGCCTATGGCTAAACAATAAAACTGACCGATTAATAACAGGATGCTTTGGGGGCATATATAAAAACAGAGATGACTATTATCCTAGACTGTAACATAGCTACAGTTTCTCCTCATCTCCTTTCAGTTTATCCTTTTGAAAAATGCTTACAAAGTTACCATGTTTAAGGGGAAAGAATAATCCTTAAATTTCAACCGAAAACTAACTTTGCTGCTTTAGCTATCGCTTTCAGTCACAGCCTCTTCCTCATTTCTCTACTGTGGGAGCAAAATGCTGCAAACATAAGAAACACGGTCCCAAATGATCCCCCCAAAACCTGGATATTAATTTCATTTATTTATTTGTTTTAGGGGAAAAAATATACTCCACTGAAATGTGCCCTTGCCATCTGTAAATCAAATCCATAAAATATTGAGCACAGCTCTGTCTTGAAGTGTCACTAGAAATTTGATGTGCACTTTTTAGGATTTATGATAGACTCTTTCCAACCACAAGTTTCAGAAGTACCGTATTTTTTGCTCTATAAGACTCACTTTTTCCCTCCTAAAAAGTAAGGGGAAATGTGTGTGCGTCTTATGGAGCGAATGCAGGCTGCGCAGCTATCCCAGAAGCCAGAACAGCAAGAGGGATCGCTGCTTTTGCTGCGCAGCGATCCCTCTTGTTGTTCTGGCTTCAGAGATTCAGAATATTTTTTTTCTTGCTTTCCTCCTCCAAAAACTAGGTGCGTCTTATGGTCTGGTGCGTCTTATAAAGCGAAAAATACGGTAACTCCCGTCCAGCTTCTATCTGAGGGAGAAGTTCTAATATGAGGCTAGGAACATTGGCAGACTAATAGTTGGCAATGCATTTATATCTATATCTGTCATCTATCTATCTATCTATCTATCTATCATCTATCTATTTTTGAAAAGCACTGCAATTAGCGATATTTATTGTTAACTTTTAAAAATATTAATCTAGCAGTGGCTTCTTGGCTCAGCCAGCAGGATTTTGCTCCTCTTTGATCCTTCTGTGATGTGCCACATTTAGCACCATGAGCAGCCGCAGAAAAACAAATTATTAAACTGCCAAACCAGAAATAGAAATATGACAACTGACTGTAAGTCAGTACATTCAACCTGGACCACTGCCAAAACTATTGTGCTACACTGAATAATTTGTCCCCCCAGTGGTAAAAAGTATATCCAGTCACAGGAGGTTGTGCCCTTATAGGCCATATATTACTCTGACAAAACACAACACGTTACACAACTGTTGAATAAACACAGTGGTCAGTAAATTGGACTTCTTAAGTTGGGTACTTCTGGTTTCTCATGTCAGTATTTGCATTCCCAGTTCTAAATGCAGAAAGTTTTGTGCATAAATAAATAATAATGTTTTGCTCAAGAGAGGCTGTGGAGAAAGTATAAACGTTTAAATTAAAATAATTAATGGCTTAAACACATTTGGAAATGTTACACATTAGCTAGAATTAGTAAAAATAAGATTATAAAAACAAACAGAAACCCTATGATTCTTTAAATTATCACATAAACCAACAGCGAGCATTAAATAGTTTACATTCTGACAGTTTCCTTTTCAAATGAGAGACAGACAGATCATTTCACCTTCCAAAGCTCCCACAACATAATTTTTGCAAGAAATCCATTGCACAGCTGAGTGTCAGCTAGTATGGAAATCTGACCATTTCACATGTGCACATGGCATAATTGAAATAAGGCCACTATATGAACTGGATATACACAAAATGCTGTTGATACATGCAGTTTTTCCATCCCTTTTGGGAGGATGAGGGTGCAGGAGGATTCAAAGCTTTGGAAATGTCATATACATATGTGTTGTTCAGGAGGTAAGAGAGGACTTTTATCTTAAATTTACACCCCATCTTTCTGCCATCATGGAACCAGAGGTGGTACGTATCTGGTTCCCAGCTGGTGTCCCTGATCAGACCTAGACCCTCTTTGCTTCAAGAAGATGATTGCCTTCAGATCTCACCTTGGGCAGGTGTGAGATTGCACCCTGTATGCACCATATTCTGAGATTATAAATGCGCAGGAAAAGACATTCTCAACCCTTCAATGCACCATTATAGAAACTAGGAAACGTTTTATCAACCAGTGTTAAGAAATACAGTGGTACCTAAGGTTAAGAACTTAATTCGTTCTGGAGGTCCGTTCTTAACCTGAAACTGTTCTTAACCTGAGGTACCACTTTAGCTAATGGGGCCCCCTGCTGCCGCCGCACGATTTCTGTTCTCATCCTGAAGAAAAGTTCTTAACCTGAGGTACTATTTCTGGGTTAGCGGAGTCTGTAACCTGAAGCGTCTGTAACCTGAAGCATCTGTAACCTGAAGTATCTGTAACCCAAGGTACCACTGTAAATAGTTACAGAACTCTTTAGGTTTCTAAACCAAGCTATGGAGTTGAAATTCAACTTACTTTAACATATTTCTTGCTCGCCCTTCATCATAAACGATACTAAGATGGGAACAATAAATTCACAATAGGACCAATCAGAACAATACCACCACAAAACAAGAGCAGTTATAGTGACACCATCAGTAGATACAGGAAAAACATCCTGCAAACTATTGAGCAGACATCTTTGGCTTCAGCTAACAAGAAAACACAAGAAGGGATGGCACCAGCCATATCTTGAGAAGAAGGAAATTCCAAACAGGGCAGCACTGCAATGAAAGCCTCTTCCAAGTCACGACATAGTTAGGGTTGGCAAATCTCTGGAATTTCCTGATCATAGCCAGGATTCAGTTTTTGGAAATAGGGTCTGGGCGAAAATCGCTAGAATGTCCGGGAAAATCCCGACGCATGGCAACCCATGGTCAGAAGTGTAGATTTTGGTGAATTCCGTTAAACTTATATTATTTTTTGAGATTCTGCAAAAAGAGGTCAACAACTTTCTGCAAAACTGAAAAAAGCTCAACAAATTCATGGGAAAAAAGCTCAAGAACTTCAGAAATATGACAACTCTACGCATAATGTATCTCACAATAATGGTGGGGAACCAAGAAAGGTCTCTGCTGTTGATCTTAGCATACAGGCAGGCTGATAAAGGGGGATATATTGGTAGTCAGTGCTGAGCCACTTTAGCTACAGCATTCTGCACTAACAAAAGCTTCCATACCACCTTCAGACGCAGCTCCACACTGTACACAATACAGTTAGCCAAGTTGGCTTAGCCAACTGAGAGGTTATCAGTGCATGGGTCACTGGGGCCAGGCTCTCTCTGTCCAGGAATATACTACTGCAGGCAAACCAATGGGTGCAAACCCTTCTAACAGCTGGTTCTTCTAGACTTCAATCACACTTCTTAAAAGTAATGATTTCCAATCATTGCTTTCTACAGGCAGCGTAGGTGACGCAACAACTAAACAACAAAGATTTGGGCATTAGTGAAGTAATGGCTGCCAATGTAAGAACTCCTTTCATTAAAAGTTAACTCCCCGCTCTGCAACACTAGGAACATTTGTGCCAGCCCCTTAATACCATACACCTTATCTGCAAATGGAACAGGTTTTGCTTCGTGAAAAGAAACCAGTGGCTGACCAGCATAGCATAAAGACTGCACTATACTGTTCTGCAGCTTGCACTTAACTCTTCTGTTTAAAACGAGTACTGTTGTTGCATGACATGTGTATTATTGTAAAAAATTCATCAGAAACAGGGTACCAAAATAGTAGCCATCACTTACAGCCAGTTTAGAAACAAAATGTGTCCAGCAGATATTGGAAAGTTAATAAATATTTAAGTGTGCCATGTTATAAAAGTGTTGAGTCTATCTTCATCTAGCCAGCTGCATTTTCCAAAACAAACACTCTACCAGATGTTTTGGGGGTTTTTCTGCTGGTGAATAGATGCTTTTAAAGTACAGTGTAAGTGGTGCATTTGAACGCTCTCTGTGTGTGTGTGTGTATATATATAATATTGAAGCTCAAATCACATAAAATGCCAATGAAAACTTTACAGTTATATCTAAGCGCGAATACTGAATTCAACACTTCACAGGGCCATGAATGCTGTCTATTTACCTGGGAATAAGTCCCACGGAATCAAATGGCAATGCAGTTATGGCTAAGATTACATTCTTAGGACTCAGCTATACAGCTGCAAATAAAAGGTTTTAAGTGTGTTTTAAGTGCAATATACAATGTGAAACTAGATGGCAACAGTGAGCCTTATAGAAAATTCAATGTATTTTTTAAAACACTTTTTAAAACAAAGCATTTTCAGAACTTTTTTTATATGTGTGTTTTTTATATATAGTCTGCTTGACCTGAGTGAAAAGCAACTGAGGCAAAACAAGAGCCCTCTTGCGCAAAATGGACACCCTTCAAGTGCCTAGAGCAGAAGGAAGATACAGACGAGAAAGAAAAGGGGTGGAGGTGGTTGTGGCAAGATTCTTGAAAAAGCAAAATCAAGGACTGCTTCTTGAGGATCTGCTTTGAAAAGGTGAAGGAGCCATCAGTACCATGGTGGCTTGCTCTGCTTCTTGGGCAGTTGGGGCTTCATAGAGGAGTAATTTGCCTCCAGCACACGAATAATGCAAGTGACAGGAGGTGGGGAGAATCAGGCACTTTAAATTGCTGAACTTGCAGTGCTTTTATTTCTTAGTGCCTAATTGCTCCATCTCCTTGCCTAGTTGGCCACATGTATGATGAAGCTGTACTCCTTCCCTCCCCCACAAAGTCTAACCACATAAAATGAGGGATCATTATAATGGGTAACAGAATGAAATGAAAGAAAACCACGGCCAAGGTGGACTTGAACCATCAACCTTCTGACTAGTAGCTAAAAAATACACTAACCAATTGCACAACAAAGACACCTGCAGGATGCAGGAAGATGTGTTGGAAAATAGGAAGAAGCAGAGCAGGACAGCTTATGTCACAACTATTCCAACTGCTCTTTTGAAAAAGAGATTGATGAGTGAATAATCTGCAACTATTGAGTAACAGGACTTGGATGGAGCACTATAAATAAGCAAGCAGTCAGGAATCCCATTAATGCTTAGACTTGTACGATTTCTATCTTGCGAGAAAAACAGGTTCAATGGGAGGTTTGTATTCAGTCTGGTGCCCACACCACCTCCGCCGCAGCAATGACAAAAATAAGCAACACAAACACAGGGTGAGTGGGCTTGCATTCCAATTACTAGCGAAGTCTCTTTCAAGGCATGACTCATTCCTCAGATTTCATTCATAAAGCTTCCATTTTAACAAACTACAAAGCTGTGACCTTATTCAGAGAGCTCTAGGTAATAATCTGCAAATACAGAAACGGGTGAATGTTGCCCCTTAAAAGCTGCAGCGTTGGTTTTTTTAAAAAAACAACAAAACTATCTGCAGTGTAAAATAATTGTGCAAAAGCTGCTTTTAGAAAAGCACCATGTTCCCCCCACGATGCTTTCTGCTTCAAACATGTCTTAGTGCAATTTAAATGGATTATTTACCAAAATGGCAAAATAGTGGCATTAATTATAAGTACAGAAAACATATGCTAGGTCAAGTGTTGAGTTGAAAATGAAGAGGTGAGCACCCCAAGTAGCTTCCAAGCTTTAAAAACACTAGCCTGGGATAGTACAGACCTCTTACAAGCCAATGAAGAAAAGCCTCAAGGCTATATCCAAAGCTCAATCTCCAGGCCTCAATTCCTTTCACACAAGGTGTACTTATAAAGAACAGTGGGACAGGACTGCGCTGAAAAAAATGTTATCTTGCCAAACACCTCTAACTGCAGAGAATGCAGGGCTTGGAATGTGGGGAGGAAAGACTGCCCCTAACTTTCAGGTCTTTGTTGAAGGCAGGTGCAGCAAGAGACATTCATGTTGCTTTGGGCTTCTTACAAAAGCTCAGCATGGAGTGAGATAAGATCATGAGCACTTCCTTTAGTTCCAGAATCTTAGCAAGAAGAAAAGCTTCCCCCCACTTCTTCACATAGACTTGGGAAAAGTAAGGAAGCAATGTAGCTCCCTCATACTGCTTTACTCTTCTGGAAGCCCGATACAGCGCACACACAGCTGACCTATCTTTTGCATCTCGCCTCTGAGCTACTGGGTCTTCAGTACACTGCATATGAGTTAAGGCTACAGAGCAGTGAGTGAGACCACACAGGATTAGCAATTAAGGGTCTCTCAGGGTCATGTGGACTTGCAGGTCGTCAGTTTTTAACTGCATCTTGTGAGGAGGGCAAATTGCTTGCAACCCAAGTTCACTCGTACTACATGCATGCCACAAACAAGGTACGTTACACATTTAGTAATTCGGGAACGGAGTCTCCAGAAGCACTAATACTGTTTTGTATAGCCCCTGCATCTGATGAAACGTAACCCAACCTATCGCCCTGAACTTTCCATCCAAAAGGAAGTCTAAAGCTTTAAACACTTCACCTCCCTGCTGGGGGAGCAATTTGAAAGATAAAGATTTTTTTGGCACTACACTAGCATAGCTCCTGAACTGTTTGCTCCAGTGGCTATCTGCCAGTGCATTTGCTGTGTTGACTGTAACACTCCATCCATCACGTCCGCTGCTTTACAGTGAGAAATTACCCAATGAAGTACTAAGAAGTGCTTTCTCTGGGATGTATTCAAGGAACAGCAGGATAAGGTTATCCAGGAAGGCATGTATTTCAAGTCCTGTCATATGCTAGGACACCGTTCTATACTGATGGCCGTGAACATCTCATTCCATGAAATAGGGTTCTGTTGCAGTCTGATTGTGAGCCACTTTTGAGTTCGAAAAGCAACATAAACGTTACTTAAAATATATTGCCTTCGCTGATGGTAGAGAATGTCCACATTTGTTTTAAATTTCATTAAAGGTGGTTTTACACAGACATTATCAGACAGTCACTAATTATGCCCACCAAACAACAGGCTCCAGAAACGTATCGCAGACAGTGTCAACTGCTGCTCACAATGTGTCTTTGAGAAAAGCAACGCATAGTCCCATTCAGTGGGCACACTATTGAAATGACCAACTTTACAAGTTGTTGAAAGGGTGAAAATGGTACTCTGATTAGGGTTGCAATATTTTATCAATTCACAATGAAGCCAGTAAGACGACACATACTATTTGTAAAAGTTTGTCTCCTCTCCTCCTTTATAGAACTTGCCATTTCCAAACTGGATTGTGTTTGCACAGTATATGACATGCAAAAGAACAATTAAAGGCAGACTTTCTTCACTGCTATAATACACCCAAAAGTCAAGAAGTGTGCACACACATCAGCTGAACTGTGATTTGAGAGCCACATGAAATCTGAGCAGTTTTAAATGCAGCACTTGGGCAGATGTACCACAGGAGGAAAAGGAAACAGAAAAGAGCAGCAGAACACTTATAAAGAAGGAAGCAGTTTTAACAGATCAGTAGAATCTGGTAGCTGCCAGTGTCAGAAGGATCATTACTGAAATGGAGTGTTAATTGTTGTAGATAGTTTTGTAGTAAATACAGAAAAAGGAGGTCTCATAAACCAGCTCATAACCTCAGAATAATTGCACTTTTACCAAATGCAACCTTTTGGTTTGAAAGCAAGCTTTTAGCCCTTATACCAAAATTGAAGTTCTCAGTCAATCTCTGGTGAGATCTTTTAAACTAAATGGAGACTCAGCAGTTTTTTCACTCACCAGGGGGCAGAGATTTAACACCTTGCACAGTTTCTTTACCCTCCTCTATGATGAGCAGAATTATGCAAAATTTGCAGACAGGCAAATCTGATCATTTATCCAGGCTAGATTTCAGTTTTTCTTCTGCATGGAGAACATAACCTGGGAAAATGAATGACTTTTTGCTGGTTGCCCTAAACCAAGATTTTATCTGGCAGGGTAAGCTTGTCACAGTTTACTTGTTGACACTTAGCTTGCAGTTTCCTGCCTCCACTTCCCCACTTTCAGCTGAAAGATGTTGACCTCTCTCACTCTTACAACATCCAGATCTATCACTGTGGCCTATCACTTCCTAATATTTGCAGGACTCCCAAGTTCTCAATGTAAGCTATTACTTTTATCCAGACCAGACCAAGTCCTAAAAGAAATTATGTTCCATGCCAGCTGCAAATGCATCTACTCCTTGCTTTCATTCAAATGCCCTTTCTGTGCTTGGGGAAAGGGGTGATGGAGAAGCTCTGCAAATGCCACAATTCTTGCTACTTGTGCATAATTTATCAAATCACTTACGCCTGCTAGTCTTACTTGCAGCCGTGTGCTAATGTACCAGCTTCCAGAGGAACAAACTGCAGAATTGCATACTTTCACATCTAGGAATACATGAATGGCTTAGCAACTTTAAAAGGAACACTGCTATTTTTTCCCACCTGCTAACTGGATTCTTTCATTATAGTAACTCCCGCTGATCAAGTTGCAAAAGCACATCAGCATGCGGACACCTACTCAAACACACCAGACCTAGCAAAATGCACACCTATTTACTCTCAACACCACAACAAAAGCAAATCCATAGTAATTGCTTTATTTAACAGGGTCTAGTGATGCTGCTGGCTGTAAACTTTTTGTTGAAAGCCTGTCTCGGCAGACTGCAGCATACACATCATTTTCTAAATAGGTTTATTCTTTAAATACACTCGGTCAAGAGAGAATGGACCAAAGAGGGATGAAGCATAGATTTCGAGTGAATGCCCGGCCTCCTCATCTTGCACAGTCCTAATCCATTTGAACACTACCTTTGACGCTGCAGCAGCCATACCCACTAGGGCACCAGAGCATGACGGATGGTTACACAGAGTCTCTCACTACAGCTTTAAGAAAAGGCAAGTTTTATTTTTTTCTGAAGAAGGAAGGGTAATGTGACAGAACTGCAGATAAAAGCAGAAGCTTCATGCTTCAGCAGCTCTCCATCCTAAAGGAAGAGAAGCCTATTGGAACCTGCACCTGGAACAAAGGAGCCACGTCTGCCTACTGTAGCCAAAGTAATATACCTAATGGCTTGCTAGGAATGAGCAATTCCATTCTAAGATGAGTCGCAGAAATGCTCGTGATCTATAGATCTAAACTTGTAGGCAGCAGAATGCTAATTTGCAGCCTTACCAGCAAGGCCTTTAAGAAGGGATAAAATCTTCTGTGTTGTTATTCCTATAATAATTTGAGACTATTACTCATTTCTGCCTCGGAGCACTTCGAAAAGAGGAGGATGGTGAGACACATCAAATTATCTCTTAAACAACTGAGTAGCAAAACGCTGGATGGGTATTATTCTATCTCCCGAACAGCAAACAGAAAAGATGAACAGGTTTACTCTAATGACGCTAAGTATAGGAGTTAGGAAATGTAAACAACATGTGACAAATATTTAAGAAACGGAAGTTATTATTCTTAAATGTTTCCTTAAAATGGGGAGGGAAGGAGATGTATGTGCCATCAGATTTGGTTTCTGAGCTTGACAAGTTGGAATAGCATTAGTTACAGCTGAGGAAATTTGATTTTAGTTCTCAGATGACGTTTGATATTCAGGTGACTAAGCAAGCAAAACTGCATGTTTGTGAGAGAGTGGAAGTCACCAGTTTCATTTCATGCAGGAACTTGCAGGAAGCAATGAAATGTCGCTGTCCAGCATGAGAAAAGATCGATAATCTCTTCTCCAAACTTAGTCCCATGAGGAAAATATAGTTTTCAGGAGGCTTCTCTCTCTCTCTCTCCCTCTCTCTCTCTCCTGTTTTCAGGGGGCTTATCTCGTATAAATCCCACTGTTTAGCTTTAGCTGATATGAAGGAAATAGACAGTTTTCCTGCAAACACCCACATTTATTAAGGGATTTCTGAAACTTAAGAGTTCATTTTCCCATATCTTTTCTAGAGTGTCAGGTCAATCTGGTCCACTTAGATTCACATTACTAAATTTGTTCTGAAGCACCAATTTATTTAGAGAACAATTTAGAATTTGGTATCATCTAAACACAAGATATTGCTTCAATGGGACTCTGGTCAGTTCAACTAGTTTGAACTGAATTGCTGAACTAGTTTAGGAACTGCTTGAACAAATAAAGCAAGGTTCATTACCATGAAAATGTTTTGGTAGACTAGATACAAACCATGACTTTTCTGTTGCCTACTTCTAGCTTAAAATCGTGTGTACAAGGCAACAAGCCCCAATAGGGGCTGTTTTGAAAGATGAGAAGATATATTTCTGGACCAGAATAAACATGCAAGGTCGGGCAAAACAGCACATTTATAAGAATAATAAAATAGCCTTCCAAATATAATTGGGAGAATATCTCTGCAACAATAGTGTCAATAAAAAACGCTGGTAATGAACTTCCCAATAAACTAATGTACATCGTGGACCCCATTTCATATTCAAATTGTGAGTGAGCTTTTAAAAATCTATTTCTATAATATATTACATAGCAGCAGCCTCTTATGACTCTAATATCTTGGGGGTTGTTTTTTTAAAAAAGGAAAGAAATTAACCAGTAGCAGGAAGCCTCTATCAGATCTGATATTTTGCCTGCATACCACATGTATATTTTACTGTTACTCTTAATAAACTATCTCCTTTTATAGAAAGGATGACAAACTTGAAGGCAAAAATAATGATGATGATGATAAGGGATCTCATAATGGAAATAAAGTTGTAGCTTTCATTCAATACAGCCGGTAACCTTGCAGGAGGAGCACCAAGGTTATGAGCAAAGCACTAGCAGTTGTACTGCCAGGGTTCTCCGCATCCACTGCTGCTTGCTTTGCTGAGTGTGTGATGTATGAGAGACGGGGAGATACTCTGTGCTGGATGGAAACACTTCCCTCTGCATACTAAGCAGGCAAAGCGGGGGGGGGGGGAGCACGGCAGCGGCTGGAATCCCCACTCCCCTGACTCACAGAACTCCTCCCTCGGCGCATATTTCAGCAATGCTTAATGCGAGTCAGAATGTGCACCGCACACCATTATTTTAAAATATTGTTTTCCTTCCGTCCTCTCCCCAGGATGCCTGGGAACTACCTTTTTGGTGCAGGGAACTCCCACACTCTGCCCTAGAAACATAAGGCAGTTCTGCAGTCCTTTTCAGTATTGAGAGGCTTGGAGCATTTCCAGCAAAGTCATGTGCACAGCTCTCCCCTGACATTTCTTATATTAAAGAAACCGTTCACCAAACTGAACGCTTGGCAGCTGAATGTGGGTTTCCTGGTGTAAAGAGATATCTTCAGAGAGCTGACCTTCTTCGCATTTAGATATCTTCTGTGGACATTTCTGGATTCACTACAATGTACCATTGGAGCATTTTATGTACACTGTCTCTGTTTAAAGCACATGCACCCCTCTACGCATAGCAAGCATTCAGATGTCCTTTTAATACAATGGTACCTCGCTTCAATGGTTACATACGCTTCATGTTACAGACTCCGCTAACCCAGAAATATTACCTCGGGTTAAGAACTTTGCTTCAGGATGAGAACAGAAATCGTGCAGAGGCGGCGCAGCAGCAGCAGCAGCGGGAGGCCCCATTAGCTAAAGTGGTGCTTCAGGTTAAGAACAGTTTCAGGTTAAGAACAAACCTCCAGAACAAATTAAGTTCTTAACCTGAGGTACCACTGTATAGTGATCCTGCTGCCTTGCCGTAGAATATATATTTAATAACAGATTAGAGAAAGTGTAATAGGGCCTGGGCAGGATGGCACATTCTGTTTCGCCTCTCGAGAATTTGTGTTGGGGGGGGGGGCAGAACCAAGCTATCTGCGATGCACATGGTCAGCTAGTTAAGTGTTTTTATTTATTTACTTGATCTGGGGAGGAGGCAGCTGCCCCCATGCCTGCCATGGCTATGCCCATGCATGATTTGACTTTTATATATATATATATATATATATACCCCACTTTTCAGAAAAATATTCAAGACTACCCCATGCCACAAAAGAAGAAACCACCACCACCATACAAAAAACGTTAACATATTAGGAGCAGGGTTCGAAATTAGCAGGGCGCCAGGCATATTTCGCACCTGAAGATTCTCCAGACTCCTCAAAAAGTCTGGGCACCATTTTCTGCACCTGGCTGACACTCAAGGATTACTGATATGCATTTCCTTTGTGCCTTGAAGTATACATTAAGGAGTTTCAGAATAAAGAGTAGAGTGTTTCGAAAACTGAAGTACGGTACCAATGTTTTTATTGTAAACACCAAATTAAACATGTATTAACAATTTCTGTTAAAAATGTGGTATTAACAATGTGTCACCTATGCGAACTGTGTATTAGTTCATGCTTATTGAAAGAATAAATAAAAAGTGTTGCCGATCACCCCCCCCAATGGCGACTAGACATTGTGTTTTGGCACCCACAACCCAGGTCGCAGGAGCCATTTGGCTCCTGGCTTTTCTATCCCAGTTTCTAACACTGATTCGGAGCCGTATTGCCTCAGTCACAAGGCCAAAAGATTGGTAGAATACATGCATATTTCAAACCACATTAGCTAATCTCAACCACGATGGGAAAGTGCAGAAGAGAGAAGGTGGGAAGTTTAGGTAAATGTAGCAAAAGTATAGCAAATGTGTTCCAGTACAGAGATATTTAGTGGGAAACAAAACTGCATGTGATTTCAAACATCTGGGCTCAAATTACAGTGGCAGCAAACTCCTGGTTCACTTTGGGGGAGGGGATTTAACAACAGTTTGCACCATTTGTGTAGGATGGGATGCCTACCAGGATGGTAGCTGCGGCTTTCTCTCCAAAATCCTTTGGGAATTAGGGGAGGAAATATGGTAAAGGTGGCCAGAGCTCCATTCTGCTGTTGCAGGCAAAACAAAGTCATTTTAAATTGTTATGGGGGTAGGTCGGGATGCATAGCAAGTAGCAGCCGCCACTTTGGCAAACATAAACTTTATCCCTCAAACTGCAAGGGGTTCAGAACCAGCTAGTCCAATTTGTGAACGGGAAGGGGGTGTCAATGAAAATGGGCAGCCATTAAATTCAGCCCTAGTTCATATATAAACTTGGTCAACAGCTCATTTGCTCTCTGCTTCAGTTCTCCATCTGCAAGATCCTAACAGGTTGCCTGAAAGCAGCTTTTAAATCTATTAGCCATGACAAATAGCTTAAAGAATCACTTTGGGGAACAAATGCAGCTTGCCTTCACAAAGCAAAAAACACACACCCTGTATATTGTGTGCAGAGTCATTCACATTCAGACAATGTGCCATGAGACACAAATCTGGTGGCAGGTGTTTCATAGACATCAGACTGAGTTGGAGATATGAATTATTTTCAGGCAACAGTAGGATGCAGCGATGGTTTTGAATGATACTGTTCTTCCTTTAAATCAAAAAGAAATATTATCAGACTCTTATGTCAGGCAATGCTTGTAGAATTCACAGAAGGTGGAAGAAAAGCTATTGGGAAACTCCTAAAAAGTAAAAGGGAATGGTAAATTGGCCAGAAACCTCTACCCACCAAGTGGAATCTATTCCCCAATACCACTACATATTTTAGTGAACAGAAATGTATAAATAATGTATCTCAGATTTTTTTAGTTGCCTGTTTTAAGACACTGATTCACCAGAACTATTAAGTAAAATAATTATTCTGATTTTTTTTAAAAAAACAACAACTGCTAGTTAAACAGCTTCAGTAGTTTTATAGCCATTAATATGTTTCATTAGACAAATAAAGACATGGTCTATTTAAAATAAAGCTTCAGTGTGTAAAATGGTCTTCAATTGCAGTCCAAGAATGATCCAGTCCTCTCAAATGCAGTACCTAGCACTTGAATATAAATTTCACCAGTTTCTTTTTGTTTTTAAAAGAGAAGAGCATTTTTAAGGTCTGCTGTATTCATTTCCACAGATTTCTAATTCAATTCTTTGCCACAATCAGTTCATTTCTTCATTTAAACCTATTAAAATGCACACCATTATGAAGCAGATTATATGTTATTGTGAATATTACTTAGGTAGCCTGGTCTAGGTGTAGCTGAGGTCAAAAAAGCAGTCCAGAAGGAAGCATAGTGCAAGAGGCAGGGTTTTTAAGTAGACATCCAGAGATTGGCAGCATGGGAGGTCAATGGTAAAGGTGGTACAACAGGAGGTCAACAGGTAAAGGTGTTTCATAAGAGTCTGGGGGCTGAAAGACGTGTTGTTCCAGCAGCTACCAGACCTCAACTAAGGTCTCACATAGTCTGTTCTGCAGATTTGAGTGCTTAATCCTCCTACTCTCAAGGTGTCTTGTACTCATGAATAGCTCTATTACTTTGGGTTCTCAAGCGTGTGTTCCTTCACTCACAGCCATCCTGGCCTGGACTCTAGAACTTTCTGAGGCTGGGAAGCAGTTCAGCTTCCTTCTCTGACTTGGAGGGCAGTTCCTCTGCTACATGTGAACTGGGGAGTCACCTCAAGGCTTGTTCCAGGCCAACCTCTGGAGACCATTGTTATGAGTTCTCCCTCTGGGCTCTAAGGTCAGATTTGGAGGGCTCTGTGTGCTCTGCAGGGTCTCATGCTTTAGGTGGCCTAAGTCTTCCAGTGAGTCTTCCAGGGAGCCAGTGTGGTGTAGTGGTTAAGAGCGGTAGTCTCGTAATCTGGGGAACCGGGTTCGCGTCTCCGCTCCTCCACATGCAGCTGCTGGGTGACCTTGGGCCAGTCACACTTCTCTGAAGTCTCTCAGCCCCACTCACCTCACAGAGTGTTTGTTGTGGGGGAGAAAGGGAAAGGAGAATGTTTAGTCGCTTTGAGACTCCTTAAAGGGAGTGAAAGGCGGGATATCAAATCCAAACTCCTCTTCTTCTTCTTCTTCTTCTTCTTCTTCTTCTTCCAGTGAAGAGCTGTCTGAGACTTGACCAGGGTCCACCAAAACATCAGTCATGTATTTTTCAGCCTAAGGCATGCAGCAAGCTCTTGATGAAGTGACTGAAACAGCAGCATTCAGCAGCTTAGAGTCCTAGTTGTGTGTTCCAAGTTCTGTGAGTCTTAACTAGCTAGTTTTTGAAGTGCCACATGCTTGCTGCAGCATACTATGCCCCAGTATTTTTTTTGGGGGGGGGGTTAGCAGGAACTCGGGAGAACTTACCCTTTTTTAATTAAATAAAAAGAATTGTCTGGGGAGCCTGGAATGGATATACACCCAATGCCTGAGCCAAAAATCCATCTGTATCTGTTGTGGCCATCTCTAATCCAGATCATTGTCTGTTTGATTTTATCAATTATATATTACATTTAGCCACTGCCCAGGGTGGGATGGTGCTGTGACTGGGCCAGCAATGAACAAACAAACTTTGTGGTGAGTTCTTCCCCCTTTTTTTCCAGGAAAAAAGCACTGCTAAGCCCCCTTAACACAGAGACCTAGGATGAGCCAATTTCTTGTAATCCAGTCCCACACCATCTCTGAAAGTGCATGCACACTAAAAGCATCAGCAGGCAGGTGACTTGTTAACTGCATGCCTTCCATGTCCTTTTTAATTCTCTCGGTTTCATTTTGAGGGATAAGCAACACCCCCTACTTGCTGCTTACTGTTTTATGTAGCATGCAGGCCGCTTTGAGGATGTGAGCCTCCTCAGAAGGCAAGCAGGTAGGTATATTAATTTTTATGGCACAGGAGCAGCTAGGCCAAAGTGCATTGCACTCTACCCTTGTTGCAAATGTAGGACAATTATTTCGTCACTGATTTGTTACCAATAATTCAAACAGCTTTAAGAAGACAGCTAGCCAATAGAGCTCAACAACCTGAATAAAGTTTGTAAATCAACAGCATTACCCAGCACTGGCCTAAGGGTAGGGCAGGGAACTTGGTGCACAAAAAGGCATGGCAAACACACTTGAGAATGGTGGACACTCCAGAAAGGGCATTTTAATACTAAATGGAATGCTATGAAACATGAGCATGAGTAGGACCTTACTGTTCAAAATAGAAACCAATGGATAGGCATTGTGTCCAAACCTGAACTTTGTGTTCCCCACTTTAATGACACATTTTAACTTACTGGAAGTACTGATTTCAGTCCACAAAGCTTATTGATGATCTGGACTTTCCACAGTTCTTGCCACTTGGGCAAGTAACTTGAGGGAAAGTTTGCATATTTTTCAAACAGCAAGTCAGGACACAAATGTTTTTTAAATTAAAAATCAGTCTAAGAGCAACAGAAGTTACACAGAAGAAACATGTGTCACACATAACCATGAAATAGTAAAAAAAACATTTTCAAGGAAGAGAAAGCCGATTGCTACATTGACATTTTAAAGACTTTTCCTGTTCTTATTTTACTACCTGTTTTGCAGACAAATTAGAAATACAAGGAGAGGGGTGGGGGGAGTTCTATCAGAAGAGAAATCAGAAACCTGAAAACAATTTGCCAGGAAATATCAGAAATACTATTTGTCTATTAGTAATACTTCTGTTCTGTCTTGGAATAAACATAGATAACTAAGATATGGAACAGATAGACTTGAGACCCAAAGTAGGGAACAGCAAAGTGCCCTTTCAGAAGCTAAGAAACATTGACTTTATTGGATGAATTCCCTAAGAAGTCATTAGCGGCTTCCTAGCAAGCACATGGAAAATACAAATAGATGTATTTTCACCCAAAATCAATATTACCTACAGTAATCTATACAAAAGATATCACACAGTTGAAGACTTGTTTTACTTCCTTGTATTTATTTCCTCTGAAATAAAAGGGAGGCACAGAGTTTAAGATTAATGGTTCAAATTAAGGATGTAATTGAGTCTGTAGAATCATAATATTACTCATGTGAAACATCTGAAGTGAATAGTAACCCTAAAATGTTTCTCCCTAAGTGGCAGGAAAATAAAGCATAAAACAGCCACTTATAACTAGTGGGAGCCGCTCAGAGTGGCTGGAGAAACCCAGTTAGATGGGTGGCATATAAATAAGAAAATTGTTTTTGTTAGTCTGCTAGCAAAAATTGAAGAACGCTTTCTCTGAGTCACTTGCCTCTCTTTGCACCATGAAGAACAAGCGGATGAAGGGATGGTGAAACAAAAGAAGAGGACAAGCAGAGAAGCAAGTGGAACATAGTAGCCAAATCCTAGGGATCAAGGTCTCTTTGGCACACACCCCATAACATATTTGAGGGGGCTGAACACCCACAAAGTTGATGGGCATTGCCATTCAAATAATAATAACAACTTTATTATGTGTACCCTGTCCATCTGACTGGATTGCCCAGTGCATGCACCATGTCTTGTGATCGATTCTGCAGGGCAGGGCTTACTCCCCCCCCCCAAAAAAAAAATATTTCACTCAAGTTGGCACCCCTGGTGATGAATAATAGGCTTTAGGATTTGCACCCCTTTATAGGGGAGTAGAAGAACAATACTTTCATCTAATAGATCATGAAAGCTATTGGAAATAAGTAGGAAGAATTCCTTCCTCCTGCCCCCACCCCCAACAAAGATTGCTGGTTACGTAAATGGATCTGAATCACTTCATTCTTCCAATGACTTCCATTTAGCGTGACTCTGCAGAAGAAAGCCTCTCCAAACCAGGACATCTTCAGTTATCAATGTGGAAGCCTCCTGAAATCCCTAAATTCAAGTGAGGACAGTCATCTTAAGGTGGAAGAATAGCTACCAACTGACTGTATACTCAGGCCCGTCTGCACAACTGCAGTGCAAGGCATCAACAGGGAAAACCAGTTTTCAGAACCAAAAGGATTATTGTCTTGTTAAAAACGGCAGTAAGGGACAGCCTAAGGGATGCTATCACCGTGAGCTAATTGTTGGTTTGAGATTTTAAGAGACACATTTTTGAGCTGAGTTAAGTTTCAAATAAAGCCAGAAGAGTACAACATTCTACTTTAAGCCTTTATAGTTGTACAGGATTGGTATGTACAGCAGCATATTTTGGCAAAAGCACATTTAATACCTTGTAAACATTTCATTCCCTACACTTGCAGATCTTCTTATATAACCTGAAAACTTGGGCTTAGTAAAATAAAAAATTAAACAAAAAAAAGGTAAACAAAAAGAAATCACATGTAGTACTTGAGGAAGGAGTGGGGAGATACCTGGAAGTCTCAGGGGACAGCAAGACCACACAGTGCCTCTCAGCCATTTGTGGGAATGCAGCTAAGTACTTAAGAATACCATTATAAAAGAGACAGAACTCAGCAGGTCTTCAGTTGATGTCCTGAAAGATATTAGGAGGGATGAAGCTTGTGTGCTACTACCTAGCTCTGATCAAAGGAACTGCATGGAAACCAGCCACAGAAGTGTCCTCACACCAATAGGCCAATACTGGCTACCACAGCACAGCTAAAGAGACAATCCCCATTTCCCTTCTCCAGGCCTTCTCTTCATCTTCTGCATTTCTGGGATATATAACAAAAAGAAGAAGCTCCAGCAAAGGTGCTACACTTCAGACAACCTCAAAAACCCAGCACAATTGTGGCAACTATCGCTACCACCCTTTTCAGGTCAAAGCTTATAGAGATTTATTGGGGAACAGGAGACTATCATTGACCTTGTACTGCACCTATAACTTGAAGCCCAGAGTAAGGGAAAGAACTTCATATCCTTTAGAGCAGGCATAGCCAAACTTGGCCCTCCAGATGTTTTGGGACTACAACTCCCATCATCCCTAGCTAACAGGACCAGTGGTCAGGGATGATGGGAATTGTAGTCCCAAAACATCTGGAGGGCCAAGTTTGGCCATGCCTGCTTTAGAGGAATGGCAGGATCCTGGTGATCACCATTTTGGGATTGTCCACAAGTAGCCAAATTTTGTGGGCTTCGAAACCACAGATGCAATTTTATCCCAACTCTTTTCTCAAAACCACAGTTACTTGGTGGATTGATTACTACAGGCATCCTCAGCCTCTTTCAGCCTGGAAGGACATTGGAAAACATAAGAAACTGCCACGACTACCACAAAATACCCATTTCACAGAAAACTGCTGATGCTCACCATTACCTTCCCCCAAAACAGGACCACCGGCTATACCTCTTCCAAAGATAAAAACACAAAGAACATGGCCCCCAACAACAACAACAAAACAACCAAAGTTATGCAGATGTTTATCAGAGAAACCTTTATGAGCAAGAAAGCGTACACCTAACAGAAATGGACTCCTCTGAAATATGCAATAAGCCACATGGACAGAGCTGATTGCATATTTGTTTAGTTCTCTAGAGAAAGTGAAGGGGACAATCTAAAGAGCAGTCCATGTCATTATTATCCAGATACATTTACTCAAGTTCCGTATTTCCAAATATTTTAGCTCATGTTGCTATTCTGTGTTAATGAATAGAGCTGATGAAGAAACATTTTGCCAAGTCTCTGATTGAATTCACTTTGCCTAGGGTGAAGTGGGTAGAGTGAAACGTATTCTAGGTTGAGCTTTTCATTGGGTTTGTAATGTCCATATTTGAATTAAAGCTTTTGTTTTTTCCTGCCAAAACTGAGAGCTTAGAACCAAGGGGCGACATCAATACACATATACTACCAGAAGTTGACTTTTCTTCTCTTTCGTAACTTTGTCAGTTGTAAACCAATGTGGTTAGAACTAAAATGAGACATTTTGCAGCATTTTGCACATCCTTGATACCTTCTGTCATCTCAGTAAATACTATTCAATAATATATTTTGAGATTTCGTCTCTTTTAATTTGGTTTTACTTCAGATTCAAAGAAATGTGACCATCTCACAGAAAGCTCAATTTGCAAATCTGGCTTCACTGAAGCCCAGTTTCTGCATTAACACAAATGGCATACTAAGAGGAAGGATGGAAAAGGATAAATTGCCCATTTTGCAGGAAAGATTTCCCTCAAGACTTCATGCTCATATTGAAACCCACTTGCACCCTTTACACTTCTATTCCACCTAACAGCTATCTATAGGAGCATTTACGCTCATAAGAACAAACTTGTTATAACCCAGGTTATTTCGCAAGAGCCATCTGTGCGCATTTATCGCCCAGTAACCTTGACAAGTTAAGATTAATGAAATAGCACCTCAGCATCTGTTGAAAGCCATCTTGAATGTTATGGTGAAACCCTGGGGTCCAAAGGACAACAAAGCAAATCCAGGAGAGAAAGTGAAGCTGAAGTTGCCATCTCAGGTTCACCTGTTTAGCAGTTTACCATGCCAAGGTTCTGTGTGAGGATCATGTATGTCAGGGGCAAAATTCTAACACAAGATGACAAGGAGTTGCCCAACACAATCCACCACAGTATGGCTCCTTGCAGGCCACAGGACTGGGGAAACGGGGGATAAACCCTAACTAAACCATGAAGCACACTGGGTGACCTTGGGCCAATCGCTATCCTTTGGCTTAGAGGGGGAGAGGCACTATGTATAATATTGCAAGTTTCTTGGAGGAATACAAATCAAATAAACCGATAAATTTTAAAAGCTCAGGCATTCTAGAGCTTGCTGTATAATCATGAATGCATATGTGAACTGCGTGTTGTTGTTTTCTGCACGCATCTAAAATATTTTCAAAAAAATAAGGTAATATAAACTACCCTAACAGAATTGTTGTGAGGATAAAAGGAGTGCAGGGAATCCATGTAAGCTGCCTTGATAAATATAACAACACAGAAAAATCTATTACTGGCTGATGTAAATGAGCGGTGGATTGCCAACTGGTATTAAATGTGCATACCTTTCAAAAAGGGACACGGATGGGTAAATTTTTGCACAAGATCATTAGAAAAGCTATGGGGAAAACATTATTTTTCTAAATCTGGCTGTTTCCCCGAACCTTTAAATCAAGGCAGGCATCTGGGGAATAAAACAAAGGAAACTCCTATTTGTTTGAGTATCTAGGGAATAGTGTACCAGTTATCACTTGCCAGCAGTTAGGATTACTGCACTTCACAGAGACTGGTTTTACAAAATAACCATCTTATTCGCTTGCTTTCAGGAAACTCTCCTCCGAGTTTACATGACATCTCCTAGTGACCGACTCCACTGAACCAATAATGGCCAAACCTAAAAAGTAAACAGCATTTGGAACAGAAGCAGTCCTAATATAGTAAATACTGTAATGCTTGGACAGCCACCAAAGAAAGCTATATTAGTTAACCCGATTTCTAGCGGACACTGCTCTTTTCACTGGATTTTTAGTCTCTTCCTGTACAATGTAATTAAAAAGGGACACAGCTCCAATGGCACAGCCAAAATTCAAGACTCTAAATAGAAAGCAACTGAAGGCAACACTGTGTTATGCATTTTAGAAGCCAAAAAGTCAGTCCATTATCTTTACTACCCATTTGGTTACATTATTTGTTTCTTCACACGACTATCAGCACTAGTTTAAGAAGGTTAGCTGACACATCATAAAACTGAGTGAAACTTGAAAATTAAGTGCCCTTCCTAAGAACATGGTGGATATCCTTAAATATTCATTTCATGAAACTAAGCAAAGTTCACTTACAATAAAAGCAGAGGACGATAGCCAGTGGTGCCCACTGCCCAAGTGAAACACAAACTTGCACAGCCAACCTTTCCCTCTCCCCTTGAAGGCCTCTGTACCTCCTGAAAATAATCTTCATTGGGTTAGGAGACTTAACAACATTGTGGGACAAACTATTCCACTGGATCCCAAGCTTGCTCTTCTCTCTATCTACAATGGTTCCACAATGAATTTACTACATAAAGAACTCATTACATTTCTGCTTCCAGGGACCAAATTTACCACTGCCACATACCGGACAATTCTGAAAGCAGGTTTAATGCTAGGCTGGCACCAGTAAGTTTGAAACTTGGCCTTAATGGAAAAATTGACCCTCAAGTTCATTGGAGTAATTACAGCAGACCACCTTTGTGCTCTTTGGGTCAGTTTTCTCAATTATACAGATACAAAGAACCTGACTGGTGACCTCCAGATATGCATTAACACTAATTGAGAGAATGAAGTACAACCCAGGGTTTATTTACTGCTAGAGTTATGTATTCCTCTTTTGCTTGTATGGGTGATCATTTTTCCTGAAAACTAATAAAGCATTGCATTGGATTGTAGGAGAAGGACTCTCAAAATCAGGTTGAGAGTTTTTCTGAGAGCCAGTGTGGTGTAGTGGTTAAGAGCGGTAGTCTCATAATCTGGTGAACCGGGTTCGCTTTCCCGCTCCTCCACATGCAGCTGCTGGGTGACCTTGGGCTAGTCACACTTCTCTGAAGTCTCTCAGCCACACTCACCTCACAGAGTGTTTGTTGTGGGGGAGGAAGGGAAAGGAGAATGTGAGCCACTTTGAGACTCCTTAGGGTAGTGATAAAGCAGGATATCAAATCCAAAACTACTCTTCTTCTTCTTCTTCTTCTTCTTCTTCTTCTTCTCCTTCTGCCACCCTATTTCAAGTGATCCTTCTCCCCTTGCAATCCCAAACAACTGTCATTGCACAATGTTAAGTCCCCCTGACTCTCTGGAATTGATGGGGGGGGTTACTGGGAGCTTTGAAGGAGGGACATAGCCCTTGTACAAGCATGTACACACACCCACAATGATGGATATTATCCATAATGGTTAATATTTGACCTTCAGATAGGTGATTCATTATTTCCTCAGTTCACTGATAAAAAGCATAGCTCACAATGAAAAAAAGCAGAAAGATAAGTGGAGAATAGAAAAAGCAACTAGAAAGCAGATGTTTTCCAAGTAGCAATGGAAGAGGTGGGAAGAGCTGCCATAGGTATAATTAGGCAAACAGTTCCAGGCAGAGGGAATTGTCCCCAGAAATAAGAAAAACATGCTTTATTCAGGCAGCAAGTGAGAACACACAAGAGCCCAGAGTGAAGGAGCCCAGACTAACCATTAACAAAATCCATACAACAAGCATCAAAACCTTCACTACTCAAAGTTCTCAGCCCTTCTACCTATTGAACTAATACAGCATATGCAGCAGAAAATCAGATGGTAAAAAGTTACATTTCTTCTACAAGAAACAGGGAACTGTTGTCTTCTATTTGTGATCTTGAGTAAATTAGTGAATCCCACATGGGGTTGTGGCCAGCTTGGTGAGATCTGAGAGGAGAGGACAAGGACAAGCACTTGAGCTGTTCCTGACATGATAATAGATGTTTCATGGGTGGTTAGCAGATGCAGTATATACTGCTCCTGCCTTCAATACTGCTATACAGTTTCTTGGCTTCGTGGATCCTTAGCAGGACCTTTAGCATAAAAGTGAGAGAGCACAGTTCTTGCAAAATTGTTACAGTGGTACCTTGGTTCTCAAACTTAATCCATTCCAGAAGTCCGTTCCAAAACCAAAGCATTCCAAAACCAAGGCGGACTTTCCCATAGAAAGTAATGCAAAATGGATTAATCTGTTCCAGACTTTTAAAGACAACCCCTAAAACAGCAATTTAACATGAATTTTACTATCTAACGAGACCACTGATCCATAAAATGAAAGCAATAATCAATGTACTGTACTATAAAATAAATAAGACAGTATTGTAGATGATAAAATTTAAATTTAAAAACTTTTTATTACCTGCACTGATGATAGTCATTGTATGGATGGGGGGCTTTTATCCATTTCCGCAGTCACACAATAAATCAATCAGTAGCTGAACTGGGTTCCACATAGTCACAAAAACAAATTAACCAAAAAAGCCTCAAAAACAAAAAGGCAAAATAAATAGCAAAAACAAAAGCACCAGACTCAATCCATTCCGAAAGTCCGTTTGACTTCCAAAATGTTTGAAAACCAAGGCGCAGCTTCTGATTGGTGCAGGCACCCCGGAAACAATAGCCAACAGCCACATCGCACGTTAGGCTTCTGAAAAACTTTCGAAAACCTGAACACTTACTTCTGGGTTTTCGGCATTTGGGAACCAAGGCATTTGAAAACCAAGGCGCTTGAGAAACAAGGTACCACTGTATTCAGTTGTAGAATTAATCACACACTGCCCAACTGACTGCACTGTAGAGAACTTCCTGGACAATGTAACAAGGAAGTTCTTGTTTTTCACAGGATACAGTCTTATAAAACTGGACTACAAGTTATAAAATCATACAATGTTTCTGTTTGCCTGCTTATTTTGAAGTACCCACATTGCTACTTTTCAGATATTCAGGGTGAACAGGAAAGTAAAGTTCAGGTTAAAGAGTTCCTTGCCATGATTTATACTCGCTTTCGCTTCCAGTATTTCACGTTGTTGGGTTCTCATCATCAGTTTCAGAGGTTCCCTCGCATTATCTGAATTTGGGCCGGCATTTAGTTCCTCGTCTACTGAGATCGTCTCTATTTGTCAAAGTATAAGAAATCTGTCAGTAAATGATTGTGTCTGAAAATGATTGTTAACATTTCCTGTTATTGGACTCTGGAATCAGTATCAATGCATCTGAAGCCCTGATAACGAGGTATTTTATCATCACTACAAGTGTTTTGGTATATATGTTTTTTATCTGTAGTGACTGGGCCAAAGGTTTCGATCTGGAAAGAATGAATCTTTCTTCAGTGTTAATTAGATCCCCAGCCTACACCTACAAACAAGGAGGATTTGAGATATAACATATGAATTTAATTTACTCCACAATACCCTTTCCGCTACCTAAGCTTAAAATAGTTTGGGCAGACATGTTCAATCTACTTTGCTGTTTATAATCTGATCCTTCTAAAACATTTTTTAAAAAAACCCTACCATTGATTCGCATTACAAGTAAATGGATGAAACCATTTGCATGTCTTGCCTGAAGTGGGGCATTATGGGCAGATGTTGCATGGGAACACTGGGACCTCCCCTTGTTAGAAAAATAAATACCTATACATGTATTTATTTAATAAAATTTATACACCGCTTGACTTCAGAACACGCACATCAAAGTGGTTTACAAAAAGATAAAACAATAAATTCAAGAAAAAATTGCAATACTTTAAAACATACTAAAATTTAAAATACTAGAAACAGATTAAAATTCCCACCAGCATCTGGGTAGGCTTGCCAATACAGGAATGTTTTCAGCAGGCACCAAAAAGGATAAAGCAAAGGTGCCTGCTTTATATCAATAGGCAGGGAGTTCCTAAGTGTAGCTAAGTGATTGCATTCTTACAAATGTGCAACTGGTATTATGTAGCACCGGTGGCAGTGCAAATTCTGTTAATCAAAGTGGTTGAGTGGGCACAGGTGGGGGAAAGCGTATTATGTATCTTTTTGTTTAGAAAGCTCCAGTAAGCCTTTGGTTTGATGCAAAACACTTTGAAAACATGCCAATGTATTAAATTAACTTTGGGTATTGCTATTAATCTGCACTGAAGATTTAACGATTATCTATACAAAGAATTTAAATGTTATTACTACAGAAACACCACTTTTAATATTAGTAGACTTTCCAAGTATTTGTCTTAAGTATATGAAGAAGTGTTACAAGCTTAAAAGTTTTTAAACAGCAGCATGATGACCGTTCCATGACAATATGGAGCAGGAAGTCTTTTCCAGTGTTTCCCAAACTTAGGTCTCCAATTGTTTTTGTACTACAATTCCCATCATCCCTGACCACTGGTCCTGCTAGCTAAGGATGATGGGTGTTGTAGTCCCAAAACAACTGGAGACCCAAGTTTGGGAAACCCTGCTTTACGCCCTTCCTACAGGAAATGCAGAGTGAGAGAATGCTAACAAGCTGCACTGTTTCAGCATAAACAGTTTTAGGCTCATTTGCTTATAACATATATCCTGATTTTCTCTGCAAGCAGAAAGAAGTCAGCTTTCAACAACAATAAAAACTGCATAACTAACTAAAAAGCTAATTAAAACGCAGAGCAGACAGAAATATTAAAACTATCCCACTATTAGAGTGTCGTAAGTGTCAGGTTTTTTAAAAGGCAAAAAACACATCACTAGTGAGGTCATTCCAAAACCTGGGTCCCACAACTGAAAAGGCCCTCTTTATCATTAATATAAAATATAAAATTAATAATATTGCATTTATTATGCACTCTTCACCAGCAGGTCCCAGGGCGGGTTGCAACAATTTAAAATTAAGTATTAAAACAGTTACTATCACCAGAATAGAGTTATACCACTGGCAGATATTTGGATGGTGGGAAGAAGAAAAATTTCAGAAGCTAAGCAGAGTTCCTGGATTGGTTCATACGGAAGAAAGGGATTCTCCATATATCCTATTCTCAGACAGTTTAGGGCTGGAATGAAGGACCTACAGTGGTCATCAGTCCTGACCATTGGCTGGGCTACCTAAGGGAGTTGGCGTCCCTAGATGAGAACTTGAAAGGTCAAACCAAGCGTCCTGAACTGAGCAAGAAATAACTTGTTTACTAGTAAAGATGGCACAGAACTGACATCATATCATCTGACCTGCTATCTCCAGGCAACTGTGTAGCCATCCCATAGTAAAATGATGTGGCTACCCAGAAGGCTAGGTGTGCCAGTGGTACCACAGTTGCTGCCAGTATCAGAAATTTACTAACCCATGACAGTCATAATACTTTTGATACAATCTGCAACGCATTGACAGCATGAAACACTAACTGCTATTGGATTTCAACAGAAACAAATTTGCTAAGAAAGCCAACTTCTATCAAGTAGTTAAAATAATAATATTTTGAATTATTCACATCAGTTATGGAAGAGGAACAGTCTTAACAAATCGTTAGTTCTTTGATTCCTTGGAGACAATATGCTTCATCAGCCTTAACATTTTGAGCAGTACATTAAGTATTTTAGTCAGTCTGGAATAACTGTTGTCTGCTGCAATTCAAATGAACCTATGCACAATAAGGTTTTTAGCTTTGCCCCTTTTACAGAAAAGCTGTTAGAAGTTTTAAACATGGGTGCATGCTTGCCAAATGTGTGTGTGTGTGTGTGTGTGTGTAAATTGTCTGTAACCTATGTTTTTGCTTCATGACAGTCATAACGCTTAAACTGAAAAATCCAATTTTCAAGATGCTCCAGAGTATGTTTGCATTCCTGATCCCAAGGAATTCAGAACATTAAATGTCAAGAAGAATTGAGTTCTATACTATTGTGCTTGCATGCAACAAGATGTAGCTAAAGCTGAAGGCTATCTTTGCAAGAGTTAAATTTCATAAAGAAAAACCCCAGTATAGGAGGAAAATTATTAATTGTGATACACCAAACCTTTATTTTCCTTTATTATTTTTCAACCAATTTTATATGATGAATGGAAAAATCCAGTTTTTATCTCACTCAACAGGGAATTGAGTATCTGAAAATTTATCAAAAACAGCAAATATAGGATACTGTACACCAGCAGTTAAGTTGTGCAAACCCCAATGAAATGAATGTGAGCTTTACAAGGCTTACCAGGAAAGCAAAACCCTTACAAAATGTTTCACATGATATTGCTGGCAAAGGCTGCTTTTATTGTGAGCCCCAAGATGCCATCAGGCTCCAGCCTGGAAGCTCTGACTTTCCGTTCTCCTCCTGGGGAAGCATATCTTGGGAGTCTGGGGAGGATGCCAACCTACAGCTTGGGGTGGAAGAACAGGAATCAGGAGGGGAGGCAAGCTCAGCCTTGACTCCCAGGACAAGGAGGTTCCTCTGAAGAAGGGACAGATCCAACTACCTACCTAGACGTAGTGAACACCTGCAAGCTCCACATTCCTGCAAGGCACAGAAATCCTGTGAGTGACTATACTACAACTTCAGAAGCTCGGCTGGCAAGAAGGCAGGCAAATCCATTGGAAGAAATTAATAGCTCCTGTGTGGTCCTGAATTTCTTGCCCTGGTCTTGAACTCAGGAACTCTGGCTCCTACTCCCAGCCCATTGTGTCCTGCCACCCCTTCGCCTGGTAAGAGTTTTGAGGCTGCAATAGCTCTCTACCTGCTACTGAGTCTGTGCTGTTGCTTTGTTTCAATAAAGCCATCCTTCGTTCCAAGGAAGAGTCTCCGCCAGTGCCGTCATGTGTTGGGTGGGAGCCAGGACAGCTTTCACCAGGAGTCCATTATTCCACTCAAGTCTTCCTTCCCCCTTCTGACAAGCATGGTGAGAGGATCCCCAGTCTTTCACTGCAGCTTGGAGCTGGGGTGTGTGTGTCTGGGGATCATCCCGCAGTTGAACTGTGCTTGGAAACAAAGTGCACTATAGGGAATCTCTTTGAAAAGGCTATGGCCCCAGCTGGGGACTGCAGGGAACTTCCAAGCACTGTACAACCCAGCATGAAAACCAAGCATCAACATTTCCTTCTAACAGCCCAGCGCTAGAACACGACCCTCAGCTCCCCTTCTCATGTCAGGGAGGAGAGATGTGAGGATAAAGACCAGCAAAATCATGGGGGCAACCTCTACCCTCACTTTGCAGCTTCAGCCCTGGAGCTAGAAAAGGGATAGGCCCCAGTTTTGTACGATGGTCAGGAACAATTATTTTTATTTATGAGATTATATGCCACTTTTCCTGCAAGAAGCTTAAAACATTACACATTCTTCCCACCCTCCTGTTTTTCTCCTCACAGTTGTTTGAGATAGAGAGATGGAGATTGGACCAAGGTTATCTGTGAAAGGATAGAATACTGCACAGCTTTCCTTAAGGAGCAAAATCTACAGGAATCTTCTTAACGAAAGTAGTTTCCAGTGCATGCGTTGTTCAACAATGAGATCATTACTAGCTGAAACTTGGGAATTTGAGTAAGGTAAAGGTAAAGGGACCCCTGACCATTAGGTCCAGTTGTGACCGATGCTGGAGTTGTGGCGCTCATCTCGCTTTATTGGCCGAGGGAGCCGGCATATAGCTTCCAGGTCATGTGGCCAGAATGACTAAGCCGCTTCTGGCGAACCAGAGCAGCACACGGAAACGCTGTTTACCTTCCCGCTGGAGCGGTACCTATTTATCTACTTGCACTTCATGCTTTCGAACTGCCAGGTTGGCAGGAGGAGGGACTGAGCAATGGGAGCTCACCCCGTCGCGGGGATTCGAACCACCGACCTTCTGATCAGCAAGTCCTAGGCTCTGTGGTTTAACACACAGCACCACCCGCATCCCCCAGGGAATCTGAGTAACTTGCTTCAAAAACTGTCTAGGTTTGTAGAAGACTGATTGTTACCCAATGACGCTTTTGTTCCTTTTATACTTAAATGTATTAACTAGCTTATACAGAGTCAGATTGATCAGTTACTGTTTGCTCCAACTAGCAACAACTCTCTCAGCAACCAGGCGCAGATTTGCACAGCCCCACTACCTAAAATCATTGAAATTAAGAGGCCATAGATTAATGTAGGGATCTTAAGCATGCAAAACATGTTCTTCATGACAGAGTAATCCTAAAATACACTGTATAGACCAAACTTAACAGAAATACATTCTATTTGTAATTTAAAAGGAATTAATCCAAATAAGTTTTGATTCTCATTCTCTTTCAGCTCCATTATCTATGATTTTCTTTTTCTTTTTCCTGACACTGGTCTTCTGCCGACTGGTTCTGGATACTGCTGCTCCAAGCTTCCTAACATAAGGATGAAGAAATGCTTTTTGGCTACAACTTGCCAAGTAAGTCAAACTATTGCTGAGCCAGCCTCGTCTTAGATCAATCTAATCCAACATCCAATTAAGTTAATTACATTTGTAACCCCAACCTGAAATGGCAACATTCACTCCAAAGCAAGAAAGCACTGAGGATGTCCAGACATTACTGTATAGCCTAGCTTTTATTTCACGCTTTTTTCAGCTCAAAACCCTGAAGAGCTTCCTAAACATCATTCCTTTTGCAGCTTCGGCATTTTTAGAAGATGTATAACAGTAGCTCAAGGACTGCCAATCAGTGCAGCAGTCTTTTCCCCTGGCAAGCTAGTCATTCAAAGCAACAACGACTTTTCAGTAGAAAGCAATGCTAATCCATACTGATTTTTTAATTCAGAGATGTATTTCTAACACTCCTATTTTCCAATTTGTGCTAATTTTGGCAACGTATAAATCTTTACACAGATATGAATTGCTTTGAAACAGTTTCATGCTTGACTTCCGGGGTGGCGCCTCCGGAAAATGGCGGAATTCCCTTCGAACTGAAGGGAACCCGCTGCACGGAGGCTTGGGTCCTGCCGCTACGGCGCAGCGGGGGCCCTTAAACACCACAGGCGGAAGCAGCCTGGGGGCGTGGGACGCGGCGGGCACCGAGAGCGCTCTCTCCCCTTGTACAGGAGCCCGGCAACGGGCTCCGGAGCGGGAGGTGCGTGGTGCTGTGAGTCGACTGCTTCCTCCGTGCAGCAAAGCCGCACTGCCGTTTTCGGAGAGCGCTGCCTTCTTCTTGGACAATTTGGCATCTAAAATATCTATCCGTGAGTACCTGATCTTGGAAGAGCTGAACTACTTTTAAGATTGGAGAATAAATAAATAGCATTGGATTTGGACTTGAAATTGAACTTAATTGGGACTCGGAACGGAAAGGTCTAAACAGGAAGTCAACCTTCCGTTCTTTTGTTACGTGAAGAAAGCAAAGACAAATTATACTAAAGCTTGAAAATTAAATTCTGAGAGAACTAAAATTCAACATCTAAGATTTCTGAACCCCCCTTTGACTGCAGGAGAAGAAGGGGGTGGTTTTGGTTTTTTTTTAACCCTGCGGAAGTGAGTTTAAAATAAAGTAATTTTCCACCGCCCTGAACCAGGAGCGGGCTGTCAGAACTGACGTTTTGAAGCTTATCCAGCTCGACAGATAGTTAAAAGAAGGGGAACATTTTGACTTTACTGTTGCCTCTTAGGGGGGAATTTTGGATAAAGTGTTTTTGGAAAAAGTAAGATTGTTGCAAAAGTAAAATTTGTTCCATCTAGTGGAACTGAGTGAAATTGCAATGCAGAGAGTTTAAAAAGAAGAGCTATTCTCGTGGGAAAGAATTTTCTTTGACCTTGAAGGACAATGCTTGTACAAAGGCTTCAACAAGTGTTCCTGGAAGGTTTTGCAAAATTAAGTGCCCAGCTGGACCAGATGCGTCAGGAGTCGACCTTGATGATGGAAGTTACCAGAGCACAGCAGCAAACAAATGAAATTCAGTTAAAGTCTATACAAGTATATGAACCTGCTGTAGCGACGGAGGCTTCAGAGATGGAGGGATCATTGGATGGGCAAGATCAGCCTTTGAACTTGATAAATGAACTTGGGGCAAATCTGATGGGCCATCAGAAGATTGGAGTAGTCGAAGTCTCCAAGCTCTGTGGAAAATGGAACTGGCATTATCTGCTCTCTGGCTTGGGTAATGGGTCTGGAATGGACTTGTTGCAAAGAGTTAAAAGCATCTTTCTGTTGGAGTCTCCACGACTGAAAGGGAAATATCAACAAGAGCGGCGAAAGGGGCAAGAAAGAGACTTGAGGGCCTCGGATACGAGACAACCAGGTTAACGAGCTGGATCATTGAGGTTAAAAGGACTGACAATCTTGGGTCCTGGGGAGGGGAGGCTGGAAGCTGACTGGACTGAATTTGACTTATTATTTTTTCTTTCTTATTTTTTAATATTGGGAATGTTTATAAATGTTTGAAGGGTGTTGAATGAAATTATATGGCTTAAGTAAGGATTGGTAAATGATTTGTAAAAAGGTAATGATGTAAGAATTTGCTAAATATTGAATATTGAATTGAAGTTTATATATGACAAGAGGGAAAATAGAATAAGGAAATGTAATGATAGATTGTTATGGAAAAAAAGACAGAAAGGATTTGCTGTGAAAATTAAAAACCAAGAAACAAGAGAGGGGAGGAGGAGGAAGTCTAGAAAAGAAGTTAATGGAGATCGTAAAGAACTACATATTTCTGTTTTTCTGTTTTTCTTTTTTTCTTTTTTGCGGCTGGGTTTTCTTTTCTTTTTCTTTAATATCTTTGTATTACTTTTGTTATTTTTGTATTTTCAATTTTTTTTGGAAATTTTCGTTGTTACCCCTTGAAAACTTAATAAATATCAATTATAAAAAAAAAAAAAGAAACAGTTTCATGCTTGCCTTCGCAGCACCCAAATCCAAGAGGATCATTGTGCATAAAAAGATAAAGGTTATTTACATAATTAAATCAATAAAGCTCTACCCATTGTGATTTGTATTATGAAGCTACTGGTTAGCTTTTAATTGGAGAACTGCTTTCTTCAGAATTAACTGTGCATTGTAGGTGGTATTACAAAATTTGAATGTATTAGTCAGCGTTCTTCAACCTTGGGTTCCCAGATGTTGAACTACTACAACTTCCATCATCCCTGACCATTTACTAAAATGGTTGGGCATTATGGGAGTTGTAGCCCAGCAACAAACTAATGGCAGACTTTTTGCAGGGAGAATTCTATACCTTTTAACTTGCTAAAAAAACACACACATTTTGATGCATTCACAAAAATATTCTGGCTGGAAGAAATCAGCTTGAAGTTTTAAGATTTGGGTTCTAATATTGTGCTGGCTTCAAATTAAGTTAGTTAAACTTAAGACCCCATTTAAATCCATGGGGCCTGAACTTTATTGACTTAGCTTGGAAACCACTCATAGTTTACGAAGCTGTGGATGAGTGGACCCATCTTGCCTTGTGCTTAGCTTTCGTGCCAAGACCCTTATTTTCAGTAGGGTAGAGTTCCCCATAACATCTGAACCAGGGAAACATGGGCTAATGTCAGTTATAAAACCAAAATAAGAAGCAGATATGTGGTTCTGGTTGCACAACCTCCATAGTCTGTTTTAGAGTGTCTGAACCCTGAGTAATTAACCCTGAATGGACAGCTGTCTACTGTGTTGTTCCTGAATATTCATCCTCAAGTTAAGTCTTTTTTCCACACAGACTACCTGACCAGAACTGATTAGCTCTTTTGCCCTGTAAGTGCAGAGAAGTTATGAAGCTAGAACTAAGATACAATACAAGCTTCTGACTGTCCAGAGACTACCAACATCATTCCAAACAACTATCTGTCTCCACTAAAGGACCAGCTTCTCCTGGTCTCAGGTTCCCATAAATACACGAGACTCCAGTTTTGTCTTCCTGGAAATGTATAATCAGGAGTTCAAATATGCTCTCTCTCAAAACCTTTCTTCTCCACGGAATTTTGCATATTCTCTGAAAGCAAAGTCTGTTCAAGTAAGCAGCATGCAGCCAGCTAAATTAGATTAATTTATATTATTTGCTTGATGTTAATTTATATTACATTTATATAACTTGCTTTACATAAGCAGTTCAGTTCTGCCAAATGCCTAGAAATAAGTTTTTGTGGAAATTACCTTTAAAATGTTACAATGATCAATCATTTTGGATAGTGTTTTATGCATCCATTCTCTGTTATTGACAGCCAACAATTCTTCAACTCCTGTGGTTTGATTTATAACTACATAACTTTTGGCTGGCTCTCCAACACTAACTGAGAGGTAAATCTCCAGAAACAAAGCCTGCTAGACTGCTCTGCAGTCATTGTTTCTTAAAAGCTTGTCATTAAGGGAAGTCAACTCATTACACTGGGCAACAATTTTTTACTTTTTGAATGTTGTCTAGATTTCTACAACTGATTTAGGGTATTTTTGCACTGCTGAATCAGGAAATGGCATCCGTTTCTCTCCATCAGGTCAGGTTTTCTGTAAACTGAATGGTGGGCATTGATAAAGGTAAGTACACGTAAATTGCATGTTGCTTCACCATTTTTCAAACTTCAGGGCTTGAACTTCCGTTTCTTGGAACTCCTGGAATGCTCAGCAGCATGGAGGTCTCTCTTCAGAGTCCAACAGTAGTCAGCCATCATGACTGCGTCCCAGCGACCCTGATACCTGGTCTCCATCTCTTTCATGTCCTGATGGAATCTCTCCCCCTGCTCGTCACTCATTGAACCCAGGTTCTCAGGAAACCGGTCCATATGTGAAAATAGGTAGTGCATCTTGACGCTCATGTTGCAGCCCAGGTTTCTGAAAGCAGTCAGCATGTTGTTGACAAGTTCTGCGTAGTTTCTGGCCTTATTGTTGCCAAGAAAGTTCTTCACTACCAGAACAAATGCCTTCCACGCTTCCAGTTCCACTTCGTTCATTGAGTTTCCGAACTCTGGATCTCTGATGAGCTGACGGATCTGAGGACCGTCAAAGATGCCAGCTTTCAACTTCTCCATGGTCAATCCTGGAAAAGCCTGGCACAAGTAAATGAAGCAGTCACCATCCTTGTCCAGAGCCTTGGTGAACTGCTTGATTAAGCCGAGCTTGATGTGCAGCGGTGGGAAGAGTATTCTGTCTCTGTCCACCAGAGGGTCGTTGATGACGTTCCTTTCTTTGCAAGGCACCAATTCCTCCCGCACAGGCCAGTCCTTCTTCGTGTAATGCTGAGCACGGTCCCTACTATCCCACATGCACAGAAAACATGGGTACTTGGTGAAGCCAGACTGTTGTCCCAACAAAAAGTTCACCATCTTCAGGTCAACACAAATAAACCACTTATGCTGATCATAACCAATTTTCTCCAGCACATACTTCACCGCTTCATAGTTCTCCTTCAGTGTACTCGAGTGAGCCAGGGGTATAGAGGCAAACTGGTTGCCGTTGTGTAGCAGAACACATTTCAGTGATCGCTTGCTGCTGTCAATGAACAGTCTCCAATCTTTGGGTTCGTACTGTGGCACTCCAAGCTTGAGCAGAAGCTGCGCAATATCTGCACAGTACACCAAGTCCTTCTCTTCCGAGAAAAAACGGAGGTACTCTTGATGCCTGTTGCACAAGAAGCTGATGCGAGCACTGTCAGAGAGGAGGTTTTTTTCCTTCAATCTGGATGCCAACAGTTCGGCAGAGTCCTTTGACAAGCTGAGGTCGCGAACTAGATCATTCAACTCCTTTTGGGAAAATGGATGTGGAGCATCATCTTCAAGAACCACTTCTTCTTCTTCATGTCCTTCAACACTGGAGGCATCTTCGTCACTAATGTCAGGAAGTTCTCCGAAGATAGGCACTGGAATTTCATCACAATGAGCTACAGGACGAAGTGCTGATTGAAGATCAGGATACTTCGTGGGGCGGCTGCCCCATTAACTTAGTTTTGATCCCCCAACTTTATGCTTTGCTGGACCAATTTATGGAAGATTTCGAGGTTTTATGACTTCAAACTGATCCCTTTTCGACATAATCACCCAGAACTATCGGACCTGAATACTTCTTGTCATTAAAATAATCATTTCCAATCAAAACAATTATTTGACAAGGCATTTTACCCCCACCAACTTCTTCTAAAATGCTCCACACAAGCGTACATGTGAACAAAAATGTAAAAAAGACATGTGGCCATAGCTCAAAAACTTGACCTGATTGAGCAAAACCAATGTGATTTTTGGATTCAGCGCATCAGATTCATCCTAAATCAGCTGGAAAAACGCAGACAAGAAATTTGTTGTTGACCAGTGTTATCAATTTAAAACTCTCATCTGTGGAGGCATTTTGCCTGGGTGGGGACCAAACCTATCAGCAAGCAAGAAATGAGATTGAAGAAGAAGAAGAATAGACCAGCTTCAACTGTACACTTAATGAAATACTAAGGAACGAAAGAAAGTCGGCAGCGGGGGGGGGGGCAAGAACAGATATGAGGAATGTCATTCTTGTAATCATTAAGTGAATTTATGGGACATCGTTAAGATCATGAAACTAACTGTTCCAAAATATTCGGAAATTAGAAAAGGGAAAGCTGCTGATCTGAAGTATTCCCAGGGGGTGGGGAATGACTTTTCCATTTTTACCCACTCTCACATTAAGTTCTAGAGTCCAGCAACAGATCTATTACGTGAGGTTGCTGATCAAGATGCTTGGTACTCAACCCAGCATATCACCATTTCCAAAACTTCTATTTTCATATGCAAATTTTCTGGTAAGAAAGCCAAAAGTTCTAGTTCCTCAATACAGTCCTTTTTATTTTCTCTATCAGGTGGCCAATCAGAATAGTGATTTTATTTTCTCTATCAGGTGGCCAATCAGAATAGGGTGAAAACTGGCTCAAGGACAAGAGGACAAACGTAGAGTGTCCTGTCTTAGATCCTAGAACAGGGTTTCCCAAACTTGGGTGTCCAGCTGTTTTTGGATTACAATTCCCACCATCCCTGACCACTGCTCCTGCAAGATAGGGATGATGGGAGTTGTAGCCCCAAAACAGCTAGAGACCCAACTTTGGGAAACCCAGTCCTAGAAGTCTCTTAAAAACATAATACCATTTTTTCTTTAAATATTAGCTCCACAACAAACAATTATTTGCTCTTAACACTCATGCAGAAGAACTCTAAGTGAGTTGCAAAAGCTATTAACAATACTGTTCATACAACAAAAATAATCTCAATTAGGCTACCTAATTTGAAACAGTTCTGATTCTTGGCATGGTTTTGAGGTGGTAAATCAGCTAGAAAGAAGAATCAACTGAAGAAGACAAGCAAACAGTTTGCTTAATTTAACAGCTGAAGTCACAATAAAAAAGAAGAAAAGTTCAGAGCCCTCAAGCTTCAATAAGATGCTTCCTGGGTTACTCAAAACCATTTATGGCTTTAAAAAGACATAAAAAATAATCTGAAGAAGAAGAAGAGTTTGGATTTGATATCCCACTTTATCACTACCCGAAGGAGTCTCAAAGCGATTAACAATCTCCTTTCCCTTCCTCCAACACAACAAACACTCTGTGAGGTGAGTGGGGCTGAGAGACTTCAAAAAAGGTCACCCAGCAGCTGCATGTGGAAGAGCGGAGACGCGAACCCAGTTCACCAGATTACAAGACTACTGCTCTTAACCACTACACCACATCTGGCAGTCAACGAACATGTTTCAAAAGAAGTTTACAAGAGCAGCAGGTAGTACATGACATTTTTACATGTACTATGAAAACAGCTCCACCTTAAAATCAGAATACATAACAAGGGTCATATATCAAGGATCAAGATGGACATTAAGAATGCTAGAGCATGGAATAAGTTCTTGGACTTCAACTCCAAGAGCAGTCTGATAGGAGCATTCTGTCTTTTCCTGCCAAGAATTATAAAAGGATCAGTTGGCGAGGTCACAGTCCAATACTTTATTAAATAGAAGTAATGTATTATTGCTATTAAGCTGAAAACATACTTCAGGAACAGAAGCTGGACTTGGAATTGACACATAACCTCTTTGGATAAATCATACTATTGAAGGATAGGGACAATTTGGCTTTGCCATAATTGCTAACTAGCTGAATACTTCTGTTTCATTTTGTAAAGTGTTCTTCAAGATTCAGGCTTTCTTGATACTGCACCTTTTAATTCCAATATGCCGTATATTAACCCATTAGGAAGTCTGTTGTCCAGGAACTGCCACAAAGTTTATTCTATCAACACCATTGAGTTCTCTGCTATTTTAATAACCAAAAGCCTTGAGCTCAATAGGTATAAAGGTATTTCTTTTCCTACAGGTGGGTTGTAAAGTAAATCAACACTAAAATAATTGTGTTATTCCGATTACCAGTTGCATATCAGCAATACCACGCCTCTCAAGAAATCAGTTTTGCATAGGTACCATTGCTGGTGAAATTACAACATTAGCATCTGCAATTTGACCAAAATGCTGTTAGACTATGTTGTCCAGATGTCCAGAACCCTTTAATTCCTCATTGAACAGTTACCTTCTGCTGCAGAGCAATTGCAACCACATGGCAGCATGAACAGCCATCCAAACAGCCTTAACAAAGCCTTGCCTTGAAGTTCTATAACACCAGGGACCAGCATATTTGCCAAATGAGATGCCTTGGGAACTTACGTTAAAGCAATGAGCCATCCAGTATAAGTCTCAATGCTTCTTTACAATTCTATGATTTTGTGTTTATTATCTGTGAACCTACTCAACAGTTCCACCTTAGTATTTCGACAACAGCAAGTTCACGATGATCCATTATAGGGCATTACAGCTGAGCTTATGAGGCCCACAGAGACTTTCCAGAGGGATTGCTTTTAACTTGTTTGTGTGTTGAATGCTGCCATTATGGATGGTCAGGGATGCTTAAGTTTCCATTTGCAATATGTTTGCCTAATCCTTAGTCATGCCAGAGCAAAACAAAAAGAAAAATGGATCCAAACTAGCTTGGGAAGAGATTCAGTTTTTAGACATCCCAAGAATAAATAAGTAATTCAGTATTTAGGGTTCTTTATCTTTTTTTAATTAATTGGTTTGATTCAAGGTTGTATCCAACACCACACACAGAAAGAGTGTTCCACTCATGCTTCTTCTTCCTCTCTTCTCCCTGTGCGCCCCCAAAATTAAATCCAGGGATTTCCCACCTCTGGAACAGGTTTTGAAGGTGAGAGGGGATGCAAAGGAGGGGGAGTTCCATTGGACAAATAGAGGTCTATTGCACAAGGAGAATGACCACATGGGCTACAAAATCCCGATAAGTAACAAAGTGTTGGTGCTAATATTTACTAGCAGTGAGTGAGGCATCCAGTTGTGTGATTTTTGTATTTTAAACAATATGCATTATTTCAGATATGTGGCAGCATAACTAGAAGATGCTTGTGTTTTGTTGTGACTGTGTTTCATCAATATCATCTAGACAAGGACAGGAAAAATCCAAGGCACTTGGTTTACCCAGGTGACCTCAACTTTGAAATGTTCATTTTGTTAAAAAGAGCAGTGGCTGTTACTTGAAAGCATTTAAAATAGTTTCCCTGTCCACACTCTTCACTCATTTCCAAATATCACCTAAGTGTTACTACTACTACTACTACTACTACTACTACTCAATGCCCTCAAATTGTACTGATTATTAAGGAATGTAGCGCTCTGCTCCTTGGAGCAATAACATTTTTTAAGCGGCACTCATGTGGGGAAACATACATTTGAAGTAGCCTTGGCTTGGCTTCTCTCACTCATAGCTATTTCTGAAGCAGACATTATTCCCGCAAACAACACACACACATTTCCAACAAACAGGGCAGGAATAAGAAAGTGGAAGTGAGTCAGGAAGTGCCACATGGAGCCTCGAAAAACCCTGTGATGCAGCACCAGAGAAACTGGAGCGAACCTACTGCCTCTCACCCAGGCATCTCTCTTGCATGTGTAATGAGACTTGTGGTCCTCTGTCCCACCAGATCCTTGAGAACGCTAACCACTTTCCAGGTGTAATTGCTAATTTCTGTCAGATTCACCTCTGAAGGAAGTGTGGCTGGGGGGTGAAAGGAAAAGGAAGGATCCCCACCAAACAAAGAGTTGTTTAATATCCTCCTGCCTCATTCTGCAAAATGTCAAATGCAACAGCAGGCTGTGCGCACAAAGCTCTGAGCACACTCTACCACAAGCAGATGGTTGTTGCCATGGGTGGAGGGACATGAAGGGTGGAACAAGTTAAGTGAGGAAGCCAAGTTCAATATGTTATTAAGTAAGGCATGTTTAACTGAGTAAGAAAGAAACCAAAATGAGTTAAAGCTGTCAAGGCAGATGAACGGTCAAGCGAATGGCTGGCAGACATATAAATTTGTAGCATAGGACAGAAGTTACAGAGCCTCATCACAGGTGAGATTTGGTTGATACATTTTATGCACATTTAGACTTTAACATAATTGTCCATCTGCTTTTTTTTTTTGGCATGTCATCTCCCTTTGACCTCACTGTTTACAATTTTTCCTCTATATCTCTCCACCTGCCAATGGGGGATAATACTTCAAACATCTGAAGAACTTGACTGCAGTCTGCTGAAAGATATGCCTTAATAGATTTGTTAAAGGTGCTGCAAGCCTCTGTTTAGATCTATGTTTCTCATGTCCCCCTCCTTTAAGTACACCAAGTTGTTCCATTATAACTTTTTACAGTGCCCACTGCTTTCAGCCAATCAAAGCATCTCGTTTACAGGTTCCGTTTTTTGAGTTTTCCACAAAAAAGCAGCCAGCTGTTCTTTCCCTGTATCCCAGCTCACCATCAATATGCACGTGCAGGAAAACAATCCTTAATTATAAATGGGGGGTGGGGGGTGGAGTGAACTCAATGAAAATCTAGAAAAGCTTCACAAGTCAGTCAGGTAAAGCCAATGTAAAAAGTGTATATGTTATACGAGCAGACAATAACAAATAGCAGCTGAATATGCACAGTCACAAATCTTCAAGCCACACAGTTGACTACAAATGTATGGATCTTGCTTACGTGTAGTTTTGACAGCCCCCATTCTGCTCTTATTGAATTTGTGTCCATAGAAGAAATGTGGGTTGACATAATTTGGTTTACTTGCATTAGCAGGTGAGTTATTTTCCATTAGTCCAGTGTTCAGCAACCCAGCACCCTCCAGTTGTATTATCACTACCATCAACCCCAATCAACAGCAGCTTGCTGTGCTTGCTGGTGATTATGGGCAGCGTTCAAAACTCGCCAGGTGCCTTTTGCACCTGGCTGTCAACCAGATGCCAGAATGCCTGACATCTTCACCATCTGGAGGTGCATACCCAAGTATCACTGGATCTCGACTGTTTTCACACACTAAACACCACATCCTGTAGCGACAGGCCAAGATATATTTGGACTGTCCCTGGATCAAGTGACTTTTCTTCTTTAAGTTCTCAAGGTTCTTAACCTAGCTCAAGGGTGTCATCTGAACTAGCCAGATGTTTAGCTGATAATCAATCACAGTCAGTCCCATCATTTGAAAAAATAAAGACTTTAGAGCAGCCTTGTCCCAAAATGGCAACAAGTCATTCCGCTCTGGAAACTGTGACCTTGTTTTAAGGAGCCATTTGGCACCAGGCTTATATATTTGAGTTTCTAACACTGACTGATGGGAGTTTTAGTCCAACAGCATCTGGAGGGCACCAGGTTGGCAAGGGCTGGGTCAGCATGCAGCAAAACAGACAGGAACGCATTTATCATTCACCATAGCAAAATGTTCCCCCCAAAACCACACACACAATCCCCTTATTTGTGTAGAAGAAGAAGAGGAGTTTGGATTTGATATCCTGCTTTATCACTACCCGAAGGAGTCTCAAAGCGGCTCACATTCTCCTTTCCGTTCCTCCCCCACAACAAACACTCTGTGAGGTGAGTGGGGCTGAGAGACTTCAGAGAAGTGTGACTAGCCCAAGGTCACCCAGCAGCTGCATGTGGAGGAGCGGAGACGCAAACCCGGTTCATCAGATTACGAGTCCACCGCTCTTAACCACTACACCACACTGGAAAATCTCCACAAGTTTACTTGAAAACTAGGAATTACAGCTCAGTTTGAGTGAAATCACTAACCCTAGAGCAGATTCAAAAGTTCACCTGGGGACATAGCAGAGCTCATCCCAGAATGTACCCTTCCCCCATTTTTCATAGTCTTGACTATGCTTCTCAGATAAAAAAATCTTCTCTTTTTGTGTGTGGAAAAGAATACTCTGCTATATGCCTGTCTGGTTTTTTGCTTTTTTAAAAAAAATCTGCTCTTTAACTAGGCCTTGTTAAGTACTGTTTTCAAAGATTTACTTTGAATACGTCCCACAGGCATGATCTGAAGATACATGATGCAGCAGACTTTCTGAATAAAGCTAAGGAGCTATGGATCTAATCAGGGGACTGTCAGAGAATATGCTTTCTTAGTTATAACTATAGATGCAGAATCTATTCGAGCACAAATACCAGGAGCAAAAATGGATTCAATCAAACAATCACAATTTTGCAGTGGTTTTTCAAAGGGTGCGGCAGGAAAGGATGGTAAGTGCGGCAGGAAGATTCCAGGACCATCAAAAGAAACATTTTAGTATAGTATAGTATAATACACCATGCTTATGGTATAATACACCATGCTCATCAAAAACATTTTTCTATTTGCAAAATCAGAGCTAGAGCGACAAGTGATACTTAAAGCTTATACCTCACATTGAGTTTGTATACATACTTAAGGGACATATGTAAGAGGCTTGTTTATAATTATATTGTGATGAATGATTCCTGTTCTTATGTAGCTGAATTGTTTTATTATAAAATAGCTGTGTTCTATGTTATAGATCAAGCCCTGCTATTGTTATCACCAAAAACCTTGGTGTGTTTTTGTTGCTTTTTATTCTGAAAGTGTGGCCCCAGAGGGGGGTGGAGTTTGAGAACCACTGCAATTGTGTAACACCTACCTTTGGACTTGCTGCCTGTTTTGTGACGTTTTGGTCAGTTGTAACAGTTGTCACTCTACTGTGACAAATGTTATCACTATGTACTCTTTAATCCATCCACCAGGAGGTGATATTTCCCTGGTGAACTGCAAATCCTGGTATGCATCTGCTAACCAAGTTGAGGTTTACAGGGCAGCTACACCATAGCCTCAATGTTGTGCTAAGCCAGGGCAAGGAGAAAGTCCACCCCTTACATACACAGGCAGCATGTTGGAGTTCTATACCCCTGGGCTGACAACAGATGCACTAGTTTTGTATGGTTTGCAGAAAGCAGAGGCACTGAAGGAATTCTTCCAGTTCCCAAGAAGTCACATGGTGTTCCCTCAATTTGTTTATCATTCATTACAGAAACCACATTCCTTAACCATATGGATAAAAAAAAGGATACCTTACGCAGTGCAAAAAACAGCACGCAGAAGATGGGCAGGATCTCAAGAACAAGCAGGCATGTGTAGGAGATGCCTGCAGGGTCAAACCCATATAACCAAATGCTTTTGAGAGTATACTGGTTTCTGTCATCAGTAGTACAAACATGACCCAGCTGCCTATCTCTGGCTTTCCCAACCTGATTAAAAATCTGCACTCTGCCAGGTCAACTAGAGGAGGCTCTTCCACCTGACAGAGGCCACAGAGATCCATGAGCTATCTGCCAGATACAGGTCAATCAACTTCAGCATTCCTTCCCATCGCATACTAGAATAGCCAAGTCGTCAGAGACTATCCTGGTCTCGTACAAACCACCAGCACAATGCAGAGTGCCATCTACTGCATACATAGGATGATTGCTCAATGGGGAAAAAATTAATATAACCTTGAAACAAAGTGAACACACTACACAACTGGCCTGTTTTTCTCAAACATCATGTAGACTTTATGGCTTGAGCACGATTGATTGTGACATGGAGAAAATAAAACAAAATAATCTGACAAGAAGAGCATTGAAATAAGCTGTTTTGTGTTTCAAATGCATTCCTGATTTTATTGTTACACCAGCAGTAAATAATCCATGCAGCCATGTTCATCAAAAGCAATTTGATTTCCCAGCAACACAGTCCAGTAACAAAGATGATCCATTGGTTGACTGTGATCAGTGACCTATTAATACATCAATAAATCTCTCCCTTCAATATCATTAAGATTTGGGGGGGGGGGCAACAACACAATAGTTTACTTTTCGAAGTTTTTTTATACTTAAGCCTAATACTATTTTTCTGTTAGATTCTGTTATCAACATTTAGCTAAAGTAATGAAGTCTAGCAGATCCTGAATAAGATGATACTGTCAGACACCTGTTTCATTAGAATGAGTTATTCTTCTGCATTTGGCCTAACATGCCGAAACCGCAGGTCGCAAAAAGTAAAAGTTATGAGATATAAAAGCATTAAATGTCAAGTAGAACAAGGAACCTATTTACTTGAGATCTTGGTATACCAGATTTGCAAAGTTTTACAACTTTCAAAGGAAGAAAATTACTAAGATCACTCAATGTGAGTAAGTTTTCATTACGAGCCACTTTACCATTTACTATTTTGTTGAAAATTTCATTTCTGCATAGCGGCTTTGACCTGTTTCACCATTGCAAAACAAAAAGCTATTATGGTAGGCTATATCAAACTTATTCTGGCATATGTGGTTGAAAGTAATTTCCCTATACTCAGTGTTAAACCAACACAAAGTGCTTATAAACCTGACGGAACAAAAGAATATAGCGTAGTAAAATCTGGACGAACTGCATACATGGGGCCTTGTGCTCTTCTCTACTTCCATCAAAATTGCTTCTGTAGTGTACGTTTCATCAGCTTTATTTGAGCAACTTAATTAAAACGCTGGCTGGCCTTTTAGATCACAGGAGAGCAAGGACTTCCTAACAGGCTGCTGCAGAGAATCCTTTAAAGAGCTCTGGGTGGAGGGAGCAACATAGCAGCTCTGACATTTAACATTACATAAAAGTCTACATTGACTGAATTTCCCTAGACACGCTGAAATACGATCCACGCTACATACCCAAATTTTAATTGAATGCAACCATAAGACAAGGAGGTGGGGCTTAACAAGGAAGACGCCAAAGCTTCCATAGTAGCCATGGGGAAGTACTCCACAAAAGTTCAGCAACAGGCCAACACACAAACATACATACAACCTTTGTATCAGTTTCGCTTGTGAACTTTTGGCTGCCATGTGCAGATTCCCTGCTGCCAGAGGTAACTGAACTTTCAGATCAGCTGGATTCCATCCCAGTCCTGAGTTCACCCATCCTGACAGACCAGTGCACTTCAGTCATTCGACAACTGGAACATTACAGGCAAAAAGCCTCAGACAACGGAGCGCTGCTGCACAGCGATTTGCATTCAACTCAGCCTGGTTCTGCATTGATTCAGCTTAACAGATAACTTTCTCAGGAGAAAGGGCAGGGGGACAGAAGACTTCCTACAACTGGGAGGAATCACTGGTTGGAATGCAGCCACGACCTGAAGAGGGAGGGAGGGAGGGAAGCGGAAAGACCCCTGTGCCATTTCCCCACTGACTTTCCCTTCCTGGAACGAAGGGGTGAATTCAGAAGGAAATCGCCCAGCAGGCTTCCTGACCCTGTCCCTTTGGAATGAAAAATTGGAACCAAGCCAATGTCCTCCCCCTCCATCCAAAAACGCTCCTTCGCGAGCAACTTGTGAACCCCCCTCCCCTCTTTTTCAGCCTGCCATCAAGTTAAGACGGGCCCACGTAAGGAGGGGCACGGCTGGTGTGCTAAGATAAAGAGGGGATGCAGCACCGGGGAGGATGGAGAAGGGGGGGAGAGGGAGAGGGGGGGAGCAAGCAAGCAAGCAAGCAAAGACTCCTCCAAGTCACTGCTGCTGCAGCAGGAGCAGCAGCGCCGGCGTCTCCCTCCTCCGCCTCTTTGCCCCTGCACGCCGCAGCCTGCAGCGCCTTCTCGCTCTCCCTTGCCAGCCAGCCAGCCGCGCGAGGTGCATTGATCTGTCCGAGGCGCCGCTGCTGAGGAGGAGCAGAGGCACGAAAGCGCCCAGGGAAACCCAACGGGGAGGAGGGAGGAAGGGGTCGCCCTTGCTCCCGGGCGGGCGGTCCCTCCGCTGGCGGGGCGGACCCTGGGAAAGGGCTGGGCTGCCCGGGAGGAGGGGAGAGCCAGGAGGCTCCGACGGGCGGCAGCGGGCACGTCCCGCGTCCCCCAGCCCCCAAGCGCCTCGCAGGAAGGGCAGCGCCCGGGCGGCCGAGTCCCTTCCTCCCGCTTCTCCTGGCCAGCCCAGGCAATACCTGTCCTGCCGCCCCGCTCCCGTCTGGTCCCCGGCCTCCGCCCGGAGGGGGACACTCACCGTCCGGTGCCGCTGCTGCTGTTGCTGCTGACGGTGCCTCCCCAGCCCCGGGAAGCAGCCGGCGGCTGTCAGCGCCGCTCCTCCTCCGCCGGGGGTCCTCGAGAGGAGGAGGAGCAGCAGCGATCTGCCCGCGGTGGCCGCCATCTCTCAACTGGAAGCCGCCCCGCTCTCCGGCAGGCAGCGCTGCGGGGTTGCTGGAAGGGGGCGGGGAAGAGTCCCCGCCGCCGCCGCCGCCGCCACTCCCCGCGCGCGCGCGCGCATACACACACACACACGGAACCAGCCAATCGCGCGGCTCCGCCCTCCCTGGAGGGCGCGGGGACGGAGTGTCAATCCCCGGCCAAGCCCGCCGCCAATCGCCGCCGAGGAGCTGGGAAGGGAGGGCGGGACAAGGCGCCTCGGGAGCTGTCCGTCAACGGGGAAGGTGGAGGGACGGGAGAAACAGGGAGGGAATAACTGAGCGGCTTATTAAGAGGCGCGCCTAGCTCAGGTAGAGGCTGAGGGGGTGTCCTGTGGAGACGCGTAAAAAGTGGGTGCTGCGATCCCAGCCGCGAGTCCTCAAGGGTTTAGGCTGCAGTCCTGACCTCAGCCCCATTGAATTCAGTAGGAATTACTTCTGTGTAGACGTCGCGAAGGTTGCGCCGGTGGGAAATCTCACCCTTGGCTGCTGTTTGATGCCTGGCTAGTGGGGAAAGCGCTCGGCAAACGCGAAGATCAAATGCGTAAATGCAGCCAGAAAGAAGCCAGGCGGCTCTTCTTTTGCCTGCCTTCTTAGACTGTACTTTGTCCCAAACGCCGTCAGGTTGCTTATGAAGGCATTTCGGTCTCGCCCTTTTGGTGCAGAATGCGCGAGATGCCTCGTTTTGCTGGATCCGCTCCCTGGCTCCCTCGAAGGTCTCGCCCACGCTTTTCTCCTCGGAAGAGTTCAGAGCAGCCAAGGGCGGGAGGAGCAGGGGAGCCACGTCCATCCCGGGAGGTTGTGGAGGCAGGAAGGCTTGTTGGCAGGCGGCAGAATGGAAAGGCGTTGCTCTGCCCCGAGGGGACCTCCCATCGTGAGAGATATAAAGGAGTCTCCCAGAATTCTGCATATCAGCTGCAAAATCAAGAAAAGGGAAGCCTAACAGTGCAGCTCTTAAGAATATCTAGAATTTGGCAGGGAGGAGCTGGGGTGATGCCTGTTCAATTTCAGATTAAGAGATGGGTTCTAATCAAAGTGTGCAATTTTACTGCCGGCCATTGAGTTCAATGGGACTGACCCCCTCGTGGCAATAGAACTTGCGGCTGCCATTGTGGAATTTGGCTTCTAGAAGAAGTAGACAAGAAGTGTGGTGAATAAGAACATTACAATAGTCCATTTGTTGGTTCACAGAACAGGCCTGCGCAAGTCACTGTTTACTGAGTCAGCCATAGGGCAATTGACTTAGCCACCACTGACGTGGCCAGGATCATAAATGTAAATATTGTTGCATGCCATTCCAAACTCTGAGAGGTGAGGGATTCTAGGCATGTGCCCAGGGTCTGGTTTCCTTGGAATGAGGGATGGCAGAGACTGTGGTGTCTTTATGACATATGGTTGGTTGGTTGGTTGGTTGGTTTACCTACACACACACACACACACACACACACATATATGCAACTCAAGTCTAAAATTGAGAGGCTCTTAGCATTAGCACTTGCTTCCCCCAGAGTCACAGTCTTGGAATCAAGCATGACTCTGTCTCTCGAGTTGCTGCCTGCTTTTGGCTCAGCTCTCAACCAGAGCACTACTTTTGTTATACTGATGGAAGTAACTATGGCCAACATTTCACAAATAAGCTTGCCTGACCAGTACAACAATGGAATCCCACATTAGATTTTAACCCTAGCTGGAGCCAGGACCCCAGAAAGTAGAAGGGACTTGGGCATCGTGCACACTATCCCTACTCAAAACACTGTTCATGATGCTGAGAACCAATGTGGTGTAATGGTGAGAAGGTCAGACTAGGGCCTAGGAGTACCAGAGTACAAATCCCTGCTCAGCTGTGTTAAGTTCAGTGGGTAACCTTTCAGCCTAACCTATCTCACAGGGTGGTTGTAAAGGTAAAATGGAGTGGGAGAAAATTGTGTGCTTCACTTTGAGCAACTTGGAGGAAATACTATATAAAATAAAAAAATGACACCTGGAAATGTTGCTTTGTGCCCTAAGCCTTTGGATAATACAAGTCTACTTGAGTGAACATTTCCACCCTCATTTTTCAGCCTGGACACTGAAATCCAATTCCAAAGGCCTTCTGACAGTTTCCAAGTGCTGCCATACGTCCAAACATTACTGGGATTTCAAAGGCGGAATTGACGTCTGGGGGAAATTTCCAAAAGGTGGCACTTTGTCCTGAATCTTAGGCAAACCAATAAAAAAATTGCAGGTTTTTTGGTGTTTTTGTAGCGGGGGGGGGGACCTTTCATGGTTTTAACTTTTTTAAATATGGCAACCCTAGATTCCTCACTGCAAGAAGTTACAGGGAACCAGACAAGAGGGCCTTTTCTGTAGTTGCACCCGCCCTGTAGAACACCCTCCCATCAGATGTCAAAAAGATAAAGAAAGAGATAAGCAACTATGCAACTTTACATAGACACCTGAAGACAGCTCTGTATCAGAAAGTTTTTTATGTTTGGTGTTTTATTATGTTTTTATATCTGTTGGAAGCTGCCCTGAGTATCTGCGGCAACCCAGCCAGATGAGCAGGGTAAAAATTATTGTTGTTATCATTATTACTAAAATTATCCCACATAAGGGAATACTTCCAGCAATATTTCTATAACACTGGTTTTATAACATTGATTGGTTGATTGATTGATTGACATTGAGGGGAAAACACTAGGAAGATCCTCTGTTTATTCTCAGTTCTTTTTGAACTTTTTATTTCAATTTATAGTCAGCCCCACCCTGGAGGCTTTTAAAAATACGTGGCAATGAACAATTTGACTGTGATCCTCTATCCACTTATGTGGGCCTAAGCTCTATTTAGCTCGATATGACTTACCTCCACGCAGACAGATATAGGAGTAAACATAAAACCCAGTCATAAGCATGCAATAACATCAATTAAAAATAAAAACCCTGCATAAAAAAATAATTTAAAATCCATAATAGCAATGGATATGAATAAAGTGTTTCAACTCTGGAATAAAATTCTCATTCCCGGTCTTTTTGTACCTTGTGCAAGAAAACCAAAGCAGAGGGGTAACTGTGTATCAACAGATATGTGTTCCTTGCAAATATGTAACAATGAATGGGGATGCATTTTGCAACTGTATACTTGCAGTTTTACAGAAACAGTTGCTTATTTTGAAGTTTGGGGCTTTAACTAGCTGCAAGCCAAGGCTTACCTGCATTTACCTTTTTAAAATTCCTTCTGCTGGGATTACTGAGTTCTTTTCACCTCTTGCGCAGCTGGGAGGGATAAAAAGGTAAAGGACCCCTGGACAGTTAAGTCCAGTCAAAAGTGACTTTGAAGTTGTGGTGCTCATCTCGCTTTCAGGCCAAGGGATCCAGCATTTGTCCACAGACAGCTTTCTGGGTCATGTGGCCAGCATGACTAAACCGCTTCTGGTGCAACAGAACACCGTGATGGAAGCCAGAGAGCACAGAAATGCCGTTTACCTTCCCGTCACAGTGGTACCTATTTATCTACTTGCACTGGTGTGCTTTTGAACTGCTAGGTTGGTGGGAGCTGGGACAGAGCAACAGGAGCTCACTCTGTCGCAGGGATTTGAACCGCTGACCTTCCGATCGGCAAGCCCTAGGCTCAGTGGTTTAGACCACACAACAAAGAAGATGGAGAAAGAATCAATGGAGAAAATGGAATATAACATTTTAGTGGTGTTTATAAGAATTAAGTATTTGCATTTGTTCTGATAGGAAACAGTCTAACCCAACCCCCTACTGGAATGTGGCCCCTAACAGCTTTCTGTTAGAGCAGGGGTCAGCAACCCTTTTCAGCCGTGGGCCGGTCTACCGTCCCTCAGACCATGTCCCTCAGACCAGATTATATTTGGGGGGAGAATGAACGAATTCCTGTGCCCCACAAAGAACCCAGAGATGCATTTTAAATAAAAGGACACATTCTACTCATGTAAAAACATGCTGATTCCCGGACCACCCATGGGCCGGATTGAGAAGGCGATTGGGCCGGATCCGGCCCACAGGCCTTAGGATGCCTACCCCTGTGCTAGAGTAATGCAGCCCTTAAAAAGCCACACAAACCCTGTCTGTAAGAAATCCTGCTGTGCATTATAGGCACATTCAGCTTTCCATCCGCTGGTTACTATTCTGTAGCCTGCGAAAGAAACAAGTATCAGGAAAATAGCTTGTGCTTCGGGTTTCCGGGAGAAGAAGAATGGGTAAAAAGTCTGTTTCCTCTGTGGAAGCAGCAGTTACCTTCTTAGCATCATAAGAGTAGATCCAAACATCAAAACTGAGGCGTCCTGGCACTTGGGGTGTCCTTGCCTCTCCAGCTTTCTACCTTAGATGAAGAAATTTGCATGCTTTCTTCCTCTCCTCAGGCCCCTTCTATTAATGGGACATCCCTTTCATTCCCCAAAGATAATTCAGGAACTGCAACAGACCAGGTCATGGAATGTGAACCACTGCTAATGAGATCCTTGCAACAGGAAAGCAACAGAGAGGTTGTGTGCAGGAGGTTTGCACAAACCTCATGCCCCTCACATCTTTATGCTACAGTAATACCTCGGGATAAGAACTTAATTCGTTTTGGAGGTCCGTTCTTAACCTGAAACTGTTCTTAATCTGAGGTACCACTTTAGCTAATGGGGCCTCCCACTGCCGCTGCACGATTTCGGTTCTCATTCTGAAGCAAAGTTCTTAACCTGAGGCACTATTTCTGGGTTAGCAGAGTCTGTAACCTGAAGCATCTGTAACCTGAAGTGTCTGTAACCCTAGGTACCACTGTATTTCCCCCCCCCCCCATGCTGACTGGGGCCGATGGAAGTTGTTGTAGTCCAAAACATCTGGTGGAGAAAGACTGTCCTATGCACAAACAGCTGCAGGGACCACTTGGGGGGAACATCTGTGCAAGAATTGCAGTAGTCGCAACTCTCTTAAAGAAGCATAATTTTGTTATAAGCTGTTCCTGCTGCACTGCTGGAGGTGCATTCTGGGAGGGGTGGGTCACTTCTTACTTGGTGCAGCAAATTTAGTGACTCGGTTGCAACTCATGCTGGGAGGCAGTTGCAGCACAGAGGAAATAGATAAATGCACTGCA